TTAAGAAGCGCCTCCTTCTTAGTAGCTCGCTTATATATCGCTCTAATACGATAATATTAAACTCGTTATATATAAACTATGCCGTCTCGTCGTAGTAGGATATAGGGCGGTCGCGAAGGAAGTCTAGTACTCGTAGCTCTTACTATTCGAGTAATAGGCGCGGCTAGCCTCTTTTTATAAAAGTTAGATATAGCTTACCGAAGAACGCTATATTAAGCCGGATCTTGTCGATATAGCGGCGGCTTATATTTATTCGTTTAGCCGTCTAGTTATTCGATAGTCCTACGTTAAAGAAGTCGAATATCCTATTAAGATTATACGGTAGTAGTTAGTTAGCTAGCGGCGGCTTGTACGAGGGTGTTATAATAGGTAGTAAGGCCTATAATAACACCTAGGACTGGCCTATACTATTACAGAGTCGATAACACGTTAAACGAGCGATATAGTACAAGAATGGTAGACTATTCCCGGTTTTACTAACAAATTACAGTGTGAAGTCGGGAGCTCAGAATTGCGGCTATACCCGCGAGGGATGGCATGCTTTATTTGCGCGCACAATACAAAGCTTGTCTTGTGGCATGGCAGACTAAGCGTAAGGACCAGTATTCTGGAGATCAGACGGATGTAAAGGATGGTGACGAGATGTTACTACCAACGTCCCCAACTCTAGCAGGAGCAACGAGCGTGCTGCATCTGCTCGCTGACCGGGGGACGTCGTGCCCACACGGAGGGTACTCGCTCGTGAAGCTGGATAGCGAGGTGGAACCTGGAGTGGGAGTGCCTGTCGCAATCCGTGGAATGCATATTGTCGCTCCGCCGTAGCATGTGTCGAATGATCACACAATCTTCCTTCAATTGTAACGGCCACCAGTCTTATAATGCGCTGGATGCGTGGCGGTGTATTTCCTGTTGGATTGCGGCATATATCTTTCTCCTGCAATGCCTTCGATGCTTTCTCTCAATTGGATACTGGTATCCCATTGCTTAGGGCACACCTCGACTGCTCGTGCGATTACCTCCCCAATTGGGTTTGATCGAAGGCTGGGTCGAGCATAAGTAGATAGGAGAAGGTATAAGTGTCTCTCGTTTGTGTGCGCTTTTTGCCTCTCGGATTCAGCCTCAGGTTCTTCATGCCTGACGCATGAGACAAGGTTTTGGTGGCGGGGGCGGAGAGCTCGACTTCACGTTGCCTTGCTGCAGTTCGCCACCACCATCATCCACAATCCCAGGGTCCGAGCGGCGTCAAATTAAAAGTCCACTCCCCGATATAATATTAAGTATCGCACTTTGCAATCGGGCAGCAACGCTCTCTGCTTCCACACAGCACATCCCTCCGCGTATATTGAATCGTGCTTCTCCAGAACGCAGCCACCACGTCTCGACAACCAACATGCCGCGCCACTCCTCTTCGCGGGAAGATCAGACAGCTTCAATGCAGAACGAAGTCCAGCAAGCATCTGATGAGGACCTTCAGTCCGAGACTTCTGACTTTGCGGCAACGCTGGGATGCAAGCCGGAGCTCTTCCAGCAGGAGATTCGACACATCCCATCAGCAACGGCAATTGCGGTACCGGAGCGTATCGCGGAAGATCCAGGATGTACGTGCGATGGTCTTTTCGTGGAGTTCCTTGCCGTTAGGCGACGACCAAACTGCCCGCTCGGCAGGCCCGAGACATTTTTCACCACATCTACCACATTGGCCGACTTCATGGCGACAGCTTCGAGTTGTCAAGTATGCAACTTCATTAAGGGGCAGATCCCTGATGAACCTCATCCGGGGTTCCCATGGCGCGAGTATGAGAGAGAACTGATCTCATTTTCCTACTCTGGTGGCGACTACATTGAAGTGACCATCGACCTCAATGTCGGGAGCAGACCTATTCGAGAGTTTGCAGTTGTACCAGTCTTGGGTAGTCCCGTTCTCGTGTAATGTATTCCTAGCTGACCTTGTGCCATAGATTCCGACTTGGGTGACGCGGCTCAACATGATCTGATTCGGTTCGTCCAAAAGAGCCCTAAGAACGAGGCAGCAATTCAACTCTTGAAGCAATGGCTCCGCCGCTGCGAAGAGCACCCCGCTTGTAGCGTCGAAGAGTCGCAGCGACACCTACCATATAGGGTGCTTGATGTCGGCACCGATCTCGCCCCTACTGTCAAACTGCACACCTCTGATCATGACGCGAGTCCATACGTGGCGCTCAGCTATTGTTGGGGTGGCTACAAAGGGATTATGCTCACGAGGTCTTGCATCGAAGCTTTCCGTCAAGGCATTAATGAGAATAAACTCCCCCAGACGTACAAAGATGCCATCTGGCTCGCACGAAAGTTGAATGTTCGCTACTTGTGGATAGATGCGTTGTGCATTGTTCAAGACGATGGCGAGGAGTGGGCGGTGGAGTGCAGCAAGATGAAAGATGTCTACAGAAATGCTCTGCTTACCATCGCCGCTTCAAATGCTGTCTCTGCAACTTGTGGTTTCCTTGGAGACCGTGAAGATCATGAGACAGCTCGGCCGCGGTGCGGTTCTATCACTCACTGGGATAAGACTGTATCCTTCTATCTAGAACCTCCCGGTTCACGGGTCGAGATTGGCAACCTGCATCACGTGAGGTATGGAAAATTGAGAGCACAGCCTCTAGCATCAAGGGGTTGGGCTGTGCAAGAGCGCCTACTATCTCGCCGGGTGGTGCACTTCACCCTCACTGGGATGATTTGGCAATGCGTTGAGGCCACTCGCACGGAAGACGGGCTGAGGGGCAGACCACAGAAATGTGTCGCATCTATAGGTCGATCAGATGCCTGGAGGGCGTGGCTCAAGATCGTGCAGGACTACTCTGCCTGCCGCCTCAGCAAACCCTCGGACCGCTTACCTGCGATTGCTGGAGTCAGTAATGCGTTAAGCGCGACAACACGCGACGCAATCATCTTTGGACACTGGGAGAAGAACATGGTCCTGACCCTCCTCTGGGAACGGTCCCATGAAGCCCAACAAGCCCTGCTAGGTAATGGACGGAACCCATCGTATCTGGCCCCGTCATGGTCATGGGCTTCGATGGTCTCGCCTGTCTATTTCCGACCAGACCTACCTGAATTTTACGACTGGTCCAGAGCGAAGCTACTGGCAGACGTCCGCAAACTCCCGATTCAACAGGTCTCGCCATATCTCGAAAACCTTGGCGAGGAAGGAGCATTGTGGATTAACGGCCCGGTTCTCTCCGGACGCCTTGGTGGACTCGAAAGCGCTCATTTCTGGCACCTTGACATACAAGTCGAATTCGACCAATTCCCGCACCATACGCTCCACATATGGCTCAGCCTGGATGATCTACCTCCGGAGGCTGGATTCATCGAAGACTGTACGTTTGCACCTCTAGTACTTTCAGGTCTACTCTCTGGCAGCACAGAATGTGTAGGCCTCCTGCTAAAGCGAATCGACGAACGCACCACCCACTATCGACGGATCGGGATTTTTTACTCTCGCGATCCAATATTTCACGAGAACGAGCTGCTCTCCCCTAAGCGTGATGTCTGCTTAGTCTAGCCAGACCTCCGCAGTGACTTGGCTCTAGACTCGGACAAGGCAACGTGACTGGCACTACGAAATGCAAGGGACGTACAGTAATAGAGCACCGTCGTGCGTCAAGCTAAAGCTTTGTTGTCGGCTCAACTTTGAATTCTGCGGACTGGAGAATTTGGCGGGCATATGCTTGTGCAACTGGCTATCTTGACTCAACTTCCTCACATACGATGGTTACCTTGATCGCTTGTTGCCATCCCCCGCGGTTATGAGCTGAGGAGGTAAGTATGAAGAGTTTGTGACGTGGTAACCTGAGGGCGAAAGCGAGAGACGGATCTTGGGCAAGGTTATGCAGATGGAAACGCCAGGGCCTCGATTGAGATGCTGGTCTTTTGTTTCTGTTGTTGATCAGCGTACGCGGCCAGCGTCCTGGTTGCTTTGATCTACCCAGGGCGGTGTAATCTCTCAAGTCGGGGCACACCGCGTGGCATTCCTGCAGCCATCCCTGAACATTGTCGCTGAAGGGGCATGCCGATGTAGAGAGTAGAGGTTACGGCTTGATCGAATCGGAACCGAGCTTCTGTGCAAGCCTAGCATTGACGACTGTAGTAGTAGATTATATCACATGCTTTCCTGACGAACAAATCCAGAGCCTGTGGGCCTGGAGCATGACTTGTATTGCGTGATTGTCACAGCAATATACCGATTGCTGAGACCCTGATCCATATCCTTCCTGACTAGGCGACGTCGACGTATCAACCTTCAACTTCGCATCAGGAAAAGCTTACGACAGACTATCTGCCAGGCAAGGAAGCAATATCTTGTCGGCACGAATTAGCGAACTGTTCGCTTCGACTAGTTCCATACAAGAATATGGATGTGCCGCTCAGCCCTGTGCGCGGGATACGGTAGCCTTGCAGCATCATCTCCAGCAAAAGAGTCGTCAGAGTCCGGACAAGTGTAGGATTCGCCCTCAAACCAGCGCGGCGATGAAGCATAGCTGCTTGTTGTTGCGGTACATGTATTCTGTCTGACCGGCTTTCCAGCCTGGCGTCCTGTTCCCGTCGACAGCCGAGTTGGATCCAGCAGAGCATGCCAGCCAGCACTGAGCAGTTCTGCAAGGCGAGGACGTCCGCGATTCGGATAACCAGCTGGTGAGGGAGACTACAGTGCCGAGAATGCAGCATGCAATCGCCAATAGGAAGATCGTGAGGTCTGCTGATCTTACCTGGTTGATGACGACGGGCTCTGATTGTGGACGATGGTGGAATCCTTTTCCTTCAAAGAGGCACTTGCGTGTTTGTGGGCTTGAGTGGGCATCTGTATCATTCAGTTCCCACAATCGTGTGAGATGGTGCGATGAATTGGAGGTTTATCAGAGGGAGCCAGCGATGGAGGGTGCAGACAGCGAGAGCGCAGAAGTAGACTCAGACGCACTAGCGACGTATGCACCGTGTTGCGCGCGTACTTGCACGGGTTGCCGGTAGGAATCTTGCGTGTGATGTGAGCTTGTGTAGGTTGCTGGTTGAGCTTCTGCCTTCCTGCACACAAGAGCCACGCTGGAGATGCTCAGCGAAGATATGGGACGGTCTTGAGAGTTGGGAGTAGGCAAACAGCAGAGTTCGTGCCGAGAGAGCTAGGGTAAGACACTACGGGGCGAAGATTTCAGGTGTGGTCCATCTTCGATTCCGCCTATGCTCGGGATGAGGGTATGGTAGAGATCGAAGAGAGCATCGAGGCCGTGGACTCGACTGAGATGGCACGCCTGAGTATATTGCGTCTTCGTGGAAGCCAATGTTGTGTCTATCTTCTTCGACACTCCCATGAGTTCATTTTGTGCCAAAGTCTCCATGTTGCTGTGCAACATCGCATCCGTAAAGTCCTGCAAGACTACACACATGCCACAGCTGTACCGATCGATATCTCTTGGTTGCCCAAGCTACTTCTCGCCCTCTCAGACCACTTCAGTCTCGACCTCTCCCTCAATCCTCTCCTCCGACCACACCCTCGCCCCATCCCACCTCCCCTGCCTCCTCCCCGGCCCTCCTCTAAACCCCCCTCTCCGCCCTCCGTCCAGCCAGCCTCCTCGTCTTCGCCTTCCTGGCCTCCTCCTTCCTCAACTTCTCCTCCATCTCCGTCATCTTCCAGCGCGTCTCAGGTTCTCTTCTCCCGTGCTGAGATTGCTCAAGACTTTGCCAGAAATCGCTCCACGTAGGGGTATCCTCTTCCTTGTTTCCATGCTTCGGTTCGGACTTGTGAGGGTTGATGTGGCAGTGGAAGTGGTCGTCCTTGTTGAGCTCCTCTTTTGCCGGTTCCGCAGTGAATAGGTTCTTGATATTGATCCAGGCCACACTGGCCAGCGCAGCGAGAGTAGCCATTCCGCATGCGAGACGATGACCAGCGCCCCATCGCTGACGGTATTGCAGGTGTAGAGGAGGCACGCGACAGCAGCGACGATGACAGCCAGAGAGAAGATACCGCCGACGCTGTGGTTGAAGAGGGAGAAGAGGGTCTCCATCAGGTGCCCGGCCCTGGTCTTGCCATGCGCTTCGAGCGGCTCTTGACGCGGCTCGGGGGTCGACGGGAGGCTACCGTGGTAGGTTCGGCGGTTGTTGGGCATTGTTGCGGTCTATCTCTAACAAGTATGAGGTATCAAGCAGTCTTGCTTGCAGCCGGGCGGCGTAGCCAGAGGGTTGGTGTCGGGGATGTGTTTGTCGAGTGTGCTGTTGGGTGAGGAACTCTTGAGCCCCGAGCATGAAAGTTGAAATTCGGCGCCGCGACGGTGAGCGCGTGTGTTCAGGTTGGACAGCACTCCGCGCGCGGTATTCGCTCGTTGATGGTGATAAATCACTTTCTCGAGAATCGATCCTTAGGAGCTGCCCTAAACGGGAGTTTGGTGAAAGCATAGCGCAGGGCACAAGGATGCTTGATCGAATCAGGGAGGCTACGTGTGTCTTTCGAGACCATGGGACAGCAATGCACGAGCAACTCGAGGCACAAACAGGTCGAGATGAGAGCAACGAGGTGAGACACCTGGAAAATGCTGTGATTGAGCTTGTAGTGTACAATGTGTCTCAACAATGGATGCGAAACCTCATCCCCACGATAACTCCACCTTCTCCAACTCTCTCCAACCACAACCCTGCGCCAATGCATCCCGACGGTGATCCACCTCTTCCCTCCCATGACAAACGACGCATCTTCCAGTCTCTGTCTGATCATCGAGCGGGCCGTGGTTGGATGATCGAGGCTGAACAGTCTTGTTGAAGAAGTCGTCGAGCAGCGGGAAAGACTTCCGTGTGAGAGCTGGAGAGCAACACCGTCCTTGGCTGCAGTGGTGGCGACGTCTCTTCGGTCTTTCGGATGTCGTCTGCGGTCCACGCTCCAGCCTAGCTTCATCGCTGCCTCGAGGTCGCCTTTGCCAGATTGCTTTCGCAGAGCCTTGATGGTGCGAGAGCTGTTCTCGCCATGGCTGCGGCCCTTCGCCTTCTTCATTTGCTCGATGACGCTTTTTGGCTGCAGAGGTGGCATGGCCTCTTCGGTCTTTCGGCCAAAGCCGCGACATGTGCCACCGCAGGAGGCTTTGGTGGGCACATGTCACGGCTTTGGCTGCCGTAGAGAGCCGCGCCGGCTAGATTCGGCACGATCTTGATGCCTGGGTGTTGCAGAGCCGCATCGGGTCTTCTGGCTCCGCAACACCCAGACGACGGTGCTGGCGTTCGGGGCACCAGGCGGCGCCGGCAGGCGAAAGAAACCCGAAGGTCATCTGTGCGCAAGTCAGCAATGGGAAGTCATGGACGAGGAAGAGGGAGACTGACACCAGAGAGCGCAATGTGCAAGCTGGCGAGATTGTTCGCAGGCGCTCAAACCTATCAACAGGACAGGCAGACACCGCCGTGCGGTGGCAGTGGGGTGGGGTTTGGTCGCCCATCTGGTGGCTGTGTCAATGCTGGCTCGAGACTCGATGTGAAGCAGGGGAAACAATGACAGCGAGGGCAGCGAGATGCTGGCTTTGAGGTTGTTGGAAGGCGCTCAAACCTCTTGTGTCGTGTTATGTGAATGCCTGGCCTGTGCCAGGCGGGCACAGGTAGGCACTGTTGCAAATGTCAGCCGTCTGTTGAAAAGGATCATTGTGGATATCACTTACCATGACGAGGGAGCAGGGGGAGCTCCCGCTAGGAGGGTCATGAAGATGATGGTGTGATGGTTGTTGGTGGCGAGAAGAAGTCGGAAGAGAAAGTGAGTTTTTGGAAACGGTGCGGTGCACTGGCCAACAGCAGCAGGGGTACCTTGGCCAGGCAGGCGAGAAACGTCACTTCGACGTTTCATGTCAGGCGGCAAGGCAACGATGGTAACGATATCAATATGGATATCAATCTTGAAGAACGATCTGAAGCAGTACGGACTAACTGGAGAGCTGAATTGTTGTATGGACCTCCTCTTTCAGTCTCAGGGCAACCAATGCTGTTCAAGTCGACCCAAACTTGATCAAGACTGCCTCCGGCGAGCCGCCCTTACCTCTCCTCCAACTGCTCGTCCTGGGCAGGAACTGTCTCCCCCGCAACGCTCAATTCCCCTTCATTCCTTATGCGCCCTCTTCTTGACTCTTCCTCTTCGACCATCGTCCACGACACCACTTCGCTCTCCCCAGAGAGTTCCACCCGGCGAGCCACACCATGCTGGCGACTCTTCACCTTGCCGACCTTGACAACATCGACCAGCGGTGGCCTTTGGAGAACGACGGGGTGGGTGGGCAAGAGGTACGTACTGCCACGAGACGCAGGCGAAGAACCATCCTTCTCATCTGCACTACCCACATATCCCTTCACTACCCTGCTCTTCGCAAGCCCACAATCAAGCGCCTGTCGCACCCTCACTGCACACTTCACTTCGCACCCCCACCGCAACCGCCCAGCTGACACCTCCCTTCCGGGGGCTCAAACACCTGCATCGTCCTCTCCCCCCAACCTCCCTCTCGATCCGAGTCGACCTCCCCCCGGCCGCTCAGACGTCCAAGTCGTCTGCAAGGGTTCCATCCCCGCGCGCGATGAAATTACGATACGCCCATGGAAGAGACTATCGAGGGGTGCAGTCTCATATATTACTGCTCCTCGACGGATGGCATCCCTTCATCGATATACTATCCTTCGCGCTCGCCCCCGGCGACGGCAGGATTGGTGGTGGTGTTTGGTGGTCTTGGGAGGAGGGGGTTTTGGTGGTGGTGATGGGGGGTTTTGGTGGCGGTGATTGGGGGATTGGGGAGGTATGGACTCGTACATCTTCTGGCGAAGACTGAATGCTGACATGTGAACAGGAAACGGGCATCGGCGGAGGAAGGAATGCTGGGATGGGATGGGTCGGGGGGTGCAGTCTGACATATTACTGCCCTTCGACCCGGGTGCTGCATCTTTGTTGCGGCTGTTGAGGTATGACCAAGTCTCCACTTGCTTCAAGACCATCATTGACGACGAGCGAGCAGTTCGTATGGGCGTTGGGTTCGTATTTCGAACTTTTCACGGGCGTCCACATCCCTTACCGCTCATCGACCTACCGAACAACATCATCGACATACCATTCTTCGCACTCTCATCCTACGACGTCGGATTCTCACATAGCACCCGCGCACCTTTACGCGGTCGCCGGCATCTATTCCGCATTATCTACGATGCCTCTTTCTCGACAGCGACATCAGTCATTCGTCCTCACTCCTGAATCGATGTTCAAACCTCACATGCTCTACATCATCATCATCAAAGCGGCATCCTCGACCCTTCTCCGAACCTTTCTGGCGGATTCATCTTCACATCAACGTTGCGATCGATGGATCATTCACACCACATCGACACTGGTCGACGACGGATGGAACCATGAAGAGCGATCGACGGCATGATCAAGATCCACATGACATTGCCTGGCGCTGCTGTGGAAAAGAGAAAGCCCTTGTCGAAAGGAATGCTGGCGGCGAAGGACTCGTACATTTCATGTATATCACACACTCAATCATTCAGCGTCATCGTATACAGATGTACAGATAATGGACAAAGCTGTGCTCAACATCCCTTTCACACTTCGAGATGTTCTACATGTTGTCAGCCTCCATCCATCTCACGCCTCGCTTATGGTACCGAGAGGTACTGCCGCCAGCCAGGCCCATGTTCTCCACATCCCATCTGACGACGACGGACACCACTTTGACCATGCGAAGACGGATTTCAAGCCACCGGCTATGCTGTCCTGGTCATCGAGTGCTTGGTAGATTGGACTACGACCAGAATGTCATCTACACAGAAATGCCTGGTCGCTTTGTGATTTCGCCTGACTGTACGGTGTTTTTCATTCAACACTAGTACTTTCGTCTCGTCGTCGTTTCCTCGCAGACATTCAAAACATGTTTAAACCTCCTGCGAACACTCCTCGCCGCCAGATCCCCGCCATCTAGAACCCTGCAATGTACCGTTGATCACATGGCAAGCAAGCAATCCTGCTGCAAGTCAGCGCAAGCTATTGATGAGACATTCCCTCAATCTGAGTGGACGGAGAGTTTTAGGATGCTTGGAGAGCCTCGGCACCATCGAAGCCAGCTAAGCCGGAGCTGAGCCTTGATTGGAGCAAGGCGCAGGCTTGGTGCGGCTTCTTTGCCTTAGCGGGCTTGGGCTACGGCTGAGGCGTGGGAAGGGGATTGGTTGGGTTTGATCGGGGATTTGGAGAGTTTGGAGGGGGTTGTGGAGGGGACTGATTGAGAATTGAAGGGCGAGGGGGTGAATAGTTGGAGAATTGATTGAATTGATTGAATTGATTGATTGGTGAAGATCTAGAACTATTCACCAGCGAACACTGTACTTCTCCAGCGCCACGGCCAGCCACCCCATTGGAGGCTTCTTCACCAAAAAGTGGACACCCGGGGTCGCCCACGGGGAGAGAACCTTGCACAACGTGGCCCCTCGTCGGGTGGCTGTCCCAGACTTTCAACTCTGACGGTCACGAGACACCCGCGATGCCGCAACGGGAAGGCGGGAGCCGTGCAACCACGCGACCTATTTCTACACCTTCGTCCCCACAGCGATCTGCGACTTTCTTCCTCTTCTTCACCTCTTCCTCTGCATACACCCACTGCAACGACAGCACCGTCGAGGAATACACCGCGATGGACCACAACGAGAAGCCGACGGCGACGTCCACCGGGGTCCACCCCGTCTCCGACAACGACGAGCGCCGCGCCTCGGTGCAGGAGCTCAAGGAGAAGGATGTCTACCACTCGGACCTGTTGGTCGACCAGGAGCTCATGAACAACGCCTTCGACGCCGAGAACCGCGAGCACGAGCAGGGCACCTGGGCGGCGGTCAAGTCGCATCCAATGGCATGTTTCTGGGCCTTCATCTTCTGCTTCACGATTGTAAGATAATATGAGGCATTGCGCAAACGGGGTGCATAGACTGATTGATATCTCGCAGGTCATGGAGTCTTTCGACATGTTCCTCAACGGCAACTTCGTCGCTCTGCCCGCTTTCGCCAACAAATACGGTGTCATGTCCGAGGACGGCAAGATGGCTATCCCCACCAAGTGGCAGAGTGCGCTGTTCCAGTCTGGACAGTGCGGTGCTTTCATTGGTGTCTTGATTGCCGGCCCTATCACCAACCGACTCGGGTACCGCTGGACTACCATCATTGGACTGATGCTGATGAACGCTACGATCTTCATCTCGTTCTTTGTATGTATTACCTTCTACAACAGATTGACATATGGCTAATAGTGTCTATACAGGCCGACTCTCTCACTGTCCTCGTCATCGGTCAAGCCTTCGAGGGTGTCCCATGGGGCCTCTTCATCGCCAACTCGCCCGCCTATGCCAGTGAGATTGTTCCAATCTCCCTCCGAGGTGCCTGCACGGCCACGTTGCAGATGTCGTGGTCCATCGGCAGTATCATTGTCGCTGGAGTTACCTACGCCACCAACCAGTGGACCACTCAGTGGGCTTGGCGTGTGCCATTGGCCCTGCAGTGGATCTTCCCAGTAAGAAGAATCCCTCTTCACCAAACACAATCCCTCAGACGCTGATATCATCACAGACCCCCCTCCTCATCCTCATCTTCTTCGCTCCAGAGAGCCCGTGGTGGCTCGTCCGCAAGGGCCGCAAGCAAGAAGCCCTTCGCTCCCTTGAACGCCTTGGCCGCAAGGGCATGACCGATTCCGTGGAGAAGCTGGCAATGATTGAGCGCACCGTCGAGATTGAAGCTAAGATTGGTGGCAACCCATCTCTTCTGGACTTGGTCAAGGGCACTGATCTTCGCCGGACTGCCATCACCTGCTTGACCTATGCTTCGCAGAACTTTGCCGGCAATCTCATTGCCAACCAGGCTACTTTCTTCTTCGAGCGTAAGTCTTGTCATCATACAAAACCTCAATCACCTACTAATATGACATCCAGAGGCCGGCATGTCCACCGACTTCTCCTTCCAACTCAACCTCATCACCACCTGCCTCCAATTCGCCGCCAACATCGGCTCCTGGTTCCTCCTCTCCTGGTTCGGCCGCCGCACCATCTACCTCTGGGGCACCTTCACCAACGCCGTCTTCCTCTTCATCCTCGGAATCTGCGCCTCCATCACCCAATCCCACTCCACAAACTACGCCCAGGCCTGCTTCGGCGTCATTATCTCCGTCGTCTACGCCGGCTCCCTCGGCCCCGCCACCTACACCATCATCGCCGAGACCTCCTCCGTACGTCTCCGCGCCCTGAGCACCGGCGTCGGCCGCGCCGCTTACTACATCGCCGAGATCCCCATGATCTACCTCGCCTCTCGTCTGCTCAACCCCACAGGCTGGAACCTGGCAGGCAAGTGCGGATACGTCTGGGGTGGTACTGCAGTGGTGTGCTGGGTCCTTGCGTACTTCGGTCTGCCTGAGCTCAAGGGCCGCTCGTACCGCGAGATCGACATTCTGTTCAACCGCAAGGTTTCCGCGAGGAAGTTCAAGCGCACGCAGATTGATGTCAAGGATAACGACTAAGAAGGGAGAGGTACGATTGATGAATGACATGCGAATGCGAACGGATATGACATGCAGCTGAGCTGCGGTGATTCACGAAGATGCGGATACGACAGACACGTGAATGAATCGCGAGAGATAGACTCTCACGTTGCTGATACTAGTCCCTTCTAACTCTCCCGTCGTTTCCCATCTGCGAACATCCCAGTCCAAAGGGATTTGGAGAAGACGCCAATCATTGTTCCGTCGAGACCTCTTGGGAAGACGATCTCTTCCCAGTCAAAGAACGCCAGTTATGCCACTGACGACATGCTGCTGAGCTGCGGAACGAAGATACGGGTACGGCTGACAGATGAATGAATCCTGAGAGATAAGACTCTCAATTTGCCGATGCTACCTTCTCCTGACTCTCCCGCCGTTCACAGCTGAGTCCATAGCAGTCTAATCGGGACGCAAGCCATGGTTTATTGAGAGCGCTAGAGAAGCGATCGTTTGCGATGAACAGTACGTTGTCGTATATCGCATTCACTCACAATCGACTCCGCAGTCCCCCGATCCCCTAACCCTGAACCTCAAACCACGCCCCAATCTGTCCAATGCTCAGCAACAATCCAATCTCAAAGACTCGTCTTCCGAGAAGCTGAAGTACACCCACTGCCGTGTACCCCGAGGACCAGATCGTCGCATCTAGCCTTGCCTTCGTCTGGGCCTGACTATCGTACCCGTGGCGGCGAAATCTGGCCGCACTCTTGTGATGAAAGAACGGCTGTTATATCATCGATTGGGATTCGGAAGTGCAAGGTCGTTGAGACTTCTTTCCCTGAACATACCACGGGCAGCGAATCCGTCTCAGCCATCTTTGCCGCCTTTTTGGGAACGCAGGCTTTCTCCGACGTCCATCAAGCCAAAGTAGTACTACTGTGCTGTTCGGCTGGGATCTATCACAGACGAGGAATGCCCCAAGTCGACATTGTCTTTGCGCGGAGCCACTCAACGGGACGAACAGAAGTCGCGGGATGTGAAAGACTTCCAAGACTGCGTATTGTTTGAGGCTGTTTCTTCTACTCCCCAAAACTCTCACGTCTTGAGGGCTCCGGCTCGATGACATCTACTTCTTTCTGCGAAAACTACCGCCCAATGAACGGGCTTGTCGACATGCTGCCGAAAACGAACGACCTTCACCCATGCGCAGGAACCATATCTCTCGGCTACCCCGATCTGTACACCCTACTTCGCCATTCAGCCGTAACGCATCATGATCAACATCAACATCGATATCCAAAGTCCAAAATCCATCATCTCCCACGAACCTGCTAATCAGACGACAGGTCAGTATTTCCGACGCCGCTCTAGGTGGAAAGGAACCGTCCTGCCTCCAATACCCAGTTAGGCACTGGATACTTTCTCTGTCCTCGAAGCCCTCACAGACTTCATCAACGACGAGACTCCCAAACTTTACTTCTATTTCCCCTTACAGATGATAGAGCCAACTCTTCCGGCGGATTCCCCTTCTTCGCATGCCCGAGCCTCCATACTAGGCAGTCTATAATGTTGAGCAGATACGGTGGAGCGCCGCGAAAGGAGGGACTGCAGTCGCCGAAAACACTACCCACCCATCCATCGAGACAAGTCTCCCGGAAGAAACCCTCGCTCCGTCCTTTCACTATAATCAAACCATCTCCTCTAGCCTCATCGTGTGATGACTCTCAGCAATCTCCGCTCCGAATCCACACGTACAACTGCTAGCTTCCTCGCCTACGAATCTATGATTTCCATCGAATCCCCTCGCCGTTATCGTCATCAACTGAGTGGTGTTGAAGCTTCGCAGTTGATGTTGATGTGATCCAGCTAAAGCGGATCTCTAGGCACAATACACAATGAGCGAGGAGGCCCGCGATGCGGTCTCACTCCAGAATATATCACCTCAATATATTAACTAACCCATCGGCGATCGATGCCCGGATGGACTTACTGCAGTAGAGGGACTTCATTGATCACGTTTTGCAGAGGAGAGAGGTCTCCCGTTAAACATCCGCATGCAACAGAACCCGCAAGGATGTGTTCCTGAGCATAGTGGGCCTGCAAAACGCCAGATGCCTGACGAAGCCGCGCCACGCCTCCTCGCACCTGCAGGCTGGACCGTCCTCCCGAGTGAAAAGTCCTCTACAAAAGCCTTTGACAGCCGCGATGCTGTGTCCCGGTTCTCAGAGATATCTGACGAGGATGCGGACGCCGTCGAGGAAGGTAGCGGTGAAGAGGAGGAACTTGTAGGTTGGGGAGCGCTCCTCGAGCATGAAGTCTTTGAGGTTGGCGTTTTTGATGGCCCTTTTGAGGGCGGTTTCTTGGCAGGGGTTATTGTTGTGGTGAGGGGTCTTTTATTCGGTTCGTTGCTTGGATGGGGTAAGATGCTCTGCTTAATGTACGTATTAAATATAGCCCGTAAAGCCATTTTCTCGGGCAGGGCAAATCAGGTGCAAATTGCGAATAAGAACGCGGTTAAGCGGGCAGACTGCACATGCATGGTCTTAAGCCGACAATGTAGCATTTGAGACTAGCCACGCACGTGTTCTAGCAAGCGGCGCACGTGTTTTAGCAACTGTGTTAGAGTGTGTCTTGTATGTATGCTTTAGTCTAGGTGAACCACGCGCTTGCCAAGATTCATGTGTTTGCCTCCCGCTTCTGAAAACAAGTAATACACAACTTTAGCTTTCTCGCAACATTATCCCCTGCAACACACTCGCAACCAAGGCATTAAAGCTCTCTCTAGCCATATCGTCGCTCGCAGTTTTTCGGAGATACATCTGTCTTTCGACCCGAGGTAATTTCTATCAGCCCCTGCGACGCACGACTTTCGCGCAACCTCTAACCACACACCAGCACCACCGCAAGATGTCCGAACGCCAGTGCTCCCGCTCCCCCGCCACCAACCTCTTCGAGGCTCTCATGAGCGTCGAAGACTCCGACCTCGAGGACGCTCCCGAGAGCGTCGTCCTCAGCAAGAGCCAGAAGAAGCGCATGAAGCGCAAGCAGAAGATGGCGGAGAACATGAGCGCGGGATCGGAGGGCGGTGATAAGGAGAAGGCCAGCAACCACGAGAAGGCGTCTGTCCCCGAGATCGAGTCTGTCCCTGGTCCCGCCGACGAGGAGTCTGTTCCCGAGATCGACGAGTCGCTCCAACGGCCCGCGAATGAGGACGAGCAAGAGCCCGTCAACAACGACACCGCCATCGCCTCCCCCATAATGGAGGGCGAGGACGAGATGCGCACCCACCCCGATCCCAAGATGGATCAACTCCTCAAAGACGCCCACCTCGACTCCGGTGCCCGGCTCGAAGCCTACCTCGCGGAGAGGAACCACTTGCTCGACCCAGAGCTCTTCCACGAGCGAGTGTTCGACGAAGAGGAATTCCCCATCGAATACTCCCGCACTCCCTGCGCCTGGGTCTACGACCGCGAGCGTGTCACTTCTGCTGCTCTGTCGACCTTTGAGAAGAACTTCCTCGTCTACGGCCTCGTCTTCGCTTTCCTCGTCTCGCTGCTGCCGTTTGTGTTGGGGGTGGAGTGGGATGTTCTGGGTCTATATGCTGCTGTGGGGGTCTGGGTCAGCTGGGTGCTGCTGTTGTGTGTGGCGGACTGGACGGGTTGGGAGTGCTTTCAGGGAGGGGTTGTGGAGGGATGGAGAGGGGTGTATCAGATGGGAGATGGGAGAGCCATGGAAGCAAATTGATAGGGGAGATTGAGGAGTATCTCCCCGATTCGACAAGGGCGACTGGGCCTTTCATGACAAGAGAAGAAGACTGGTTTTGAATACGACATTGGAGATACTCTAAGCTTCGGCGACTCACAAGCTATTCTAACCTACTCTCCTTCTTCAAAAGCTTGGATTACGGTTCTCTCCCACCCATCCAAGAACCTTTCTTCTTCGAGACATTGGTAGAGTACCTGGTTGCGGGTTGGGATTACGGGGCACGGGATGGTACGCTCGCGATGTAACTCGGGCATGGTGTCCAGTTCACGGAGGATGTCACGGAGTTTCTTGTCGGCAAGAAGGATGTTCGCGATACCGGATTCTTGAGGTTGTCAGCAACACTCATGTCAAAAATGGTACATTCGTCACCCACGGCATTAAACCTCAGCTTTAGCGGTCCGAACGTCGTAGCTTGCATAGATTTTCGGGCCCCAGCTTCATCAATGCAAGTATATTGTATGTTGTCTAGGGCTATAGGCAACCGATGACCTTCATACACCGGGCCCCCCCCCCCCCCCCCCCTCTCCCAGTCTTGCAACAAAACAGTGGCTACCGGTGGCGCCACTAGCGTGCCGATCTTGGTGCTGTGGGCTATGTCGGCTTTCTGGCAATGTTGTCGCTTGGCGTTGGAGAAGCAACAGACGAAAAAGAAAAAGAAGAGTAAGGCAGGGGACTAGTTGGACAAAGGTACATGCCTCTGGGCACATAATCGTGCGTTCTGTATTGACTCATGACTTATGAATCTTTCCCCTGAATGCCATATATCGCGAGGATTCCATATCTTGTGGCTATCTGGCCACATATCTCGAGATCCCTTTGAGCGACCATGATATCAATCAGGAACACTGTACTTCAGTGCCATGTTCATCAGTGGAGACAAACGAGCAAACCACCGGATGCAGCTCTGAGGCCCTGTCTAGACCAGGCAGCGCACTTACCTATCAAGCAATCATTAACAGCAGTCTTGCCTAGGCGAACGCGCTCCTGGAAGTGCGCTCTTGAGTGCGAATCGGTATCGTCTGTGACAGCCGTGCTGGCTGCTTTTGGACTGCCACCCTGAGCGGTTTATTTGTTGGAAGCAGCAGCAGAGCTCGATGTTGGAGCTACTTGAGCCTGGTCTCCCCAGCTGCGCGATCGTCGCGAGTGGTCCACGGACAGCAGTCCCTCTCGTTTTGTGGTGTGCCGTCTGCTTGCCCAACGACATGTTGCACGCTCGGCGAGTCCTGGCCTGCTTTGAACTGTCTGAATGCTTTGGCTATGTACGCCTTTGAGTGCCAGTGGAACACGGAGCGCGCTCGGACCATCATTCGAATTCTTATGCAGAGCGTTATAAGGGTTACCAGGCATCTCGTGCAGGCACTCGACATCAAGAACTTCCAGCGTTTCCTGAACATAGACTCCTTATCCGAGCGAGAAGTACACGGAACATCCTACTTCAAGCAGGGGGTCATTCTCGCGGTCCAGGGCCTTGTCAAAATGTTACACAACGGAGGCGTTTCACTCCAAGACATCGTCGACATCACCATGTATCAGGAAGATGAGCCTTTACGCCCGGGATGTTGAGAGTGGTACTCTGGTCAGCCTCATTGCCCAAGAGTGGTTGCTCGAGGAAGGCAACATGGAAGGTGGTAGTAGATTAGGTGGCCGATACACAGGCCGAGGAGGTGATTCCGGCCTGAAGTGATGTTCTGAGTAAGGGGGCCTGCTGAAGTCTTTGCCCCCTTCAACCTGCTTCTCACGTTATCTTTTTCGCCTAGACATGCGTAAGGGACCTACCGATGCACGCGGTAGTAGGATGAAGCATGCGTAACGCTGGAACTACGATAGCTCAGCGTGACAGTACATGAGCACCGCCGAACACATCTTGGTTGCGGGTCTTCCTTTGCAGGCCAGCAGCCGAAATCGCTTCAGGGGCACACGTGTTTCTTGGTAATCGACATAAATAGTCTTTCTGCGCAGTGTCTCGAACAAATCATCGGACAGCACCTTTGACCCGGCGGGTGGCAACTGTGCGAGGCTCGCCTGTCGCTTCCATGTGTTCAGCGCTTCTGGCGGCCGCCTTTGCGGTGTTGCATAGTGCGCTTGTTCCGACGTCGGTGGTGTGAGCTGTGGTCAAGACGTTGCGATAGGTTCTGCTCGCTTGTGTGCTACTGTTCCATTCGTCTCACAGCAGTCTCGTTTCTGAAAGATCTTAGTTTCGTTTTGGTGGCATGGGCAGATGGCTGGGTCTGGGGATAGCAGTCCAGTCCACAGGGCTTTCGCCGTGAAACCGTCTTGCAAAGGCAGCAGACTTAGCCAGGCCGTATACAGATATCCCCCGATTCTGAGTAGTGGCAAGACGTTTATGTCTCACATCGAAGGCGTGGATGTCTAGATCTTTGCAGAGATGAATCCTGTGTATATTGTTAGCTTAGGCCTTTATCTCGAGAGATCATTCGAGAGTGCCGCAGAGCCGCCCAGCAGAGGCGATAAACGCAGCAAACTCGTCCAGGTTGTATGCAGATATTTCCAAATCCCCAGAAGTGTCCAGACGTTCGTATCCCACATTGAAGGCCTGGTTGTCTGTCTTCTTCCCGGGATGAATGTCATGTATACTGCAAGACTTGCGCTTTGCTCAGAGCGATGCCCATAGAAGGCAGCATGTGAGCCAGACATACCAGCAGTGCGAACAGCGGAAGCCAGTCACATGACCAGAGAAAGATGTGTCCCTGGAATTGGAGCTGTTGGTGTGAGGGTGAGTGCTTGCGTGCTCCTTGAAAACGCGGTCCTTGTCAGGTCCAGCCATCATAACTCGTAGTTGTTTGGGTGATGTCTTTGGGGAGGTCGTGTGCGGGAGTAGAGCAGTTGGGTTGAAAGTCAGCAATCTCAATTAGATAGAGCAGTGGTTGCAAATTGATGAAGCAAAACGAAGAGAATGTGGAGATGATGCGCACACACGAGAATGGCACCAGGAACCACCGTGAGTGATATCGCTGGCGTCAAGCGCTCAAGGCGAGTCAGATAGGCTGTAGTGTGGTGGAACGTGATTTTCCGATGTGGTCTTTAATGTCTTGGATCTTGGACGGCGGTTGTTTGATCTCGGAATAAACGGGAGAGCAATGCAAGATGTAGGAGTTTAAGCAGAGAAGCAGTTGGTGCACAGTGCTACGTGCGCGTGGGTCGAGAGTGAAGGAAAGCGTGTTTGCAGCGCCGTTGTGCCTGCGGAGGGAGATGGCTGTCGAAGCGCGTAGACCCGTCGAGCGGAAGGGACCAACCTTGTCCAGATTGTATAAAAGCATCCCCGTTCCTCTGTTGGTGTCAAGTGTCTCGATCTTGTTATTGAAGGCATGGATAGCTATACATTTCCGGGGATGAATCCTATATACTGTTGTTCCATCTCTTTGGGAAAAGCTTCATCCCTGCCAAGCCACTAGCGCGCTGGCCCTGTTGGTTAGAAATTCTTCGCCCTCGCGCGCTTCAACTTGGTCTTGACAACGCGACCATACGAAATGTAAGTATTCACCACTGATCCCATAGCGCGTCGATGCTGACGATAGCAGTTTCACATCACACATCAAACCCGCAAAATGGCGCGCACCAGCTTCCCCTTTCCCGCCTGCGCCTCCCAGCAGCAAATCCGCGATGTCTCCGCTCGCATATACTCCCAGGTGTTCGAATCTCCCCGAACAATATTTCTCGACGCCGAAGCCCGCGGCCAGGGCAGCTGGCAATTCTTCATGGTCCCTCTCAGGCCTGGAGATGTGGAGATGATGGAGGGATTTGGGGCTCTCTCGCTCACCTGCCGCGCCCAGCATGCCGCTGTTGTGGAGTTTCTGGGTGACGAGACCATCTTCGAGCTGAAGATCGCACCGCCCGGCGGACCCACCCTCACCTGCTCGCCCGATCCCCACAACATCATCAAGAACATGGCGAGGCTGGACATCTGGCTGACGCCAGAGTCGAACACCCATTCGCGGAGCGATTGGGTGATTGTGTTGAAGGTGCGGCGAGATGGGAGGGTTCGCTCGTGCGAGGTGAGAACAGAGATCCTCAACAACAACAGACCCTTCGGGGCAAGCCAGCAAGAGATGCGCGCGGAGCGGGACGAGGTCAAAGCCGATGTGAAGCACGAGCTCCATCGCATCATCATGAACGAGCAGTTCTCGTCGGCGCGCCTGTCGCGCGTGGTTACCGTGTTGGACTAGGCGAGAAAGATGATGGGAGTGTTGGAGGGAGGCGAGTGGTGGACGGGGGAGCTGGCGTGGTTGAACCACGTCAATCTGGCAGACGAGCATGCGAGGGCTTGGGAGGTGGAGGGAGAGAGCAGCGAGGAGGATGAGAGTGATGTGGAGATGGGAGAGGGAGAGGAGCAGCCAAGTGGCGACGAGAAGACGCTTTCGGGAGAAGATGAGGACGAGGAAGACGAGGAGATGGCCGAGGGTGGCTCAGGGAGCAGCGAAGGGAGCGAGATGAGCGTGGATGTTTAGGTGATATCTGTGCAAGGCGTGGGCCGACCAATTAAAGCTCGATTCCTGGGATTCCCATTTCTTCTCCCTTGTTTCCCTGCTTCTTGTCTTTGAACTGTATCATCGATCCTATGATCGATGTCGTACCCTCTGTGGTCGTCCTGGAGAAAGGGTTGTGATTTCAGGCTTGGCAGGTGAAGTTAGCCAGTCCGGCTTGCGGCGTTTGTATCAGCTGCCAGCCCTTCTCTCACAACGCATGTGACAGCGATTTGCAACCTCAACAACAACATTCTCTCCGCCGTCTCGTCATCATCCACGCCTTCAATACATCTTCTAGACTCTCAGCTTCGTATGTATGTCCAGGGATATTGTCAACAATATTGAACAAGTGAGCTAACTAAGGCCTCCAGACCCACGGCCACCTCACCACCACTGCCATGCCCATCGAAACCGCCCAGATCGCGCGCCATGTGAAACCCACACTCATCACCATCACACAGAACAAGAAGGACGGCCTCACCAAGTACCTCTACATCCACGACCGCATCGAGCAGAAGGTCGATAGCTTCGAGCGGCCAAATCTCACGCAGGAAGAGGAGAAGGAGGCGTTGCGCTGGATGGAGATTTTCATGCGCATTCTTCCAGAAGATGAGGACTGTGCGGTGATGTTGCATAGCTGCAGGAGGGTGAGGAAGGCAAGAAGGACGTGAGGGGAGGGTAAGAAGCATGATACGGTGTAGAAGGGGTTGAGCTAACTTGGGTGCAGGTCCACATGTATGAAGGAGTGGGAGAAGGAGTGTACGATTGATATGCGTAGTTTGAGCCAATTACGATGAGAGCTACGGCCTCATGTTGCTCCCTGACTGCAGAATACACTACCCAAATATATGCAATCCTGCTTTGCTCTCCCTCAACAGCAATTAGCACCAACTAGCATTGATGCTCCTATCCCACTATCCATCTTCTTCAATATAGAAGGTACCAACTGAGTTCCCCGCAGAGAAAGACAACAAAGACTACAATATGCACTGGCCACCCATCAGCTTCTTGGTGTGCACAAAGGTGGCGTACTCGTCCTTTGTCAACCACTGCGCCTCATATCGGAATCGACACTTCTTGTAGCGAAAGAGTGCGCCAGGCATGCCGATAATCGAAATGCCGCAAGACCTGCAGAACACCGTCGCCGGCCCACACACCACGCTCTTCTCTGGCGACGCAGTTACGGTGCCTTCGCCGTCCGACCACTCCTTAATCTGCTCATTCTCGTTGAAAGTGTCGTCGAAAGGGTTCGACATAATGGCTAACTCGCTGTCACCATTCTTGAGCGCCTTGCTGAGTAGCAAGTCGAACTCTCCCATCATGTTCGCGCGCGTGAACTGCTCGACGAGTGGCATGAGATACCGGCGATGCTTCGCCTTGGCCGTGCGATTGACTTCATGAGCGTGGACAGCCATAGCGATGAAGTGCACGATCTGGAACAGCTGCATTGGCGAAATGGGCCTGCGATCAACTCTGGCGACAACGAAGTCTCCGCGGACGACAGCGCCTTCGACGACCTGGCGGAACTCGGTCGACTCGACGTCGTAGTGGAGGAAGAATGTGCGAGCTGTGAGGTTTGCGCCAGTGCTGGGCTGTAATTCTCGATTCCGGCGGGGATGCGGGTGGTGAACTTCAAAGGCAGACCGATCTGCTCGGAGACAGGAGAGGTGAGCCATTCGGTATCGGTGTTGAACTTGTCGCAACTGATGTCGAGGCGTACGAAACCTTGGAGACCCAGTTCACGGTGGCGGGGCTGAAGGACGTCGGCCTTGGGTGTGATGAGGATGGCGGCGACCGCAGACATGATGGTGGGTGTTCTTCTTTTGTGATATTCGCGACTGCGCTGATCGAAAGGGTGCGGCGAGGCCGACGATGTGTATGAGGTGGAGACAACACTGCTTCTCCCAGTGAAGGTGTTGATGAAGTGTTGTAGGAGGTCGGCTTGATGAAGGCCGGAGCATTCACTGGCGCAAGTTGCGCTAGCGCCATCACGTGCGACTCCCTCCTTCCCAAATCGGTGCCAAGCCACTGGCCAAAACGCACACTCCCTCCCAATCCTTGATGCAAAAGCCACGACCAAGACAGCTCTCACATCGACAGCAACTTCACGCACATACCGTCCAAGAATACGCCAGCACTTTGCAAGTAAGTCCCTTCACACCTCCCTCGATCTACCAAGTATCTCACACCCAATGCAGATTCAAACAGTACCATCGCCAACAGCAACGGTATGACCCCTTCCGGTGCCGGCGGGACCCCTTCGGACAAGAAGAAGGGTTACGCTGGTCAGGCCTGGGACCAAGCCATGCCAGAGCTGGTCGGGACGTAGGGCGGTCAGCGCGAGGAGGGTGAGTTTGGGATCCCCAGCATGTTTGGCGATGCTTGGGATGAGGACCCTCGGGTTTCCCATGAGAAGGCGGATGATATGCTAGAGTATACAGAGAGCAAAGGACGTGACTGACAATAAGAAGGAGAGCAGCCCAACGCGACTGCTGAAGCAGCACAAGTCGCTCCTCGCGATGAGCCAGCAGCATCTGGGCCTCCTGAAGGTGCTGAGCTTGAAGGCCAAGATACCCAGCAAGAGGACTCGCCAGAGCCCCTTGGTAGTAAGGATAGTCCTCCCTTCCATCTATGTGTCCGCCATTGCTAAGTGAATCTGCAGAGGGAGCTCGAGTCAAGGCCGAGCTCAAGAAGACGTGGAACTGGGTCTTCCACGGGAGCACAGGCCGTTACACTGGCCAGGGCACGACGAAGTCTCTGTTCGGCGGCATGAAATTCTCGGGTGGAAAGCGTAAGAGGGAGGAGTAGGAGTGTTTGGAATGGGTGGATGCTATGGGTTTGATGCATCGCTAGCGGGCATAGATTGGTCAGGGGCAAGTTCTGCCAAGATCGCACGGAAGTAAGATGAGTACCAAGTCCCCAAGTCTCGAGCTTTATGGCCTACAGTCTTGAGGGCAAACCCCATCCGGTTCCTCTTCAGGCTATCAACACCCATTTCAGCGCTGCAGCTGGACTTGAAGATAAAAGTGCATCAAAATAATGCCCTCTTCTCATACGCGAACGAGAACTGATGTAGTTCAAGGTTTCTCTGCAGACTGAATAGTTTACGCATAGTATACGCTCATGAGTAGACGGCAGGACTGGACGTGAGACTCAAGATCTGGTACCAGACGGAGTCCAGTGTTATATCATCACTTCCTGGCGAGATCATGGCTATGGACAAGGGCAACACCAGTATGAGTGGTAAAGCTCGAGCACGTGGCGGGACGCTCCTGTTCGATCAAATTGCTGAATCTACGCTTGTGATCAGCCAGACAGCTGTGCCCCTGAGCTGGAAGGCGAATCCTGTTGGGCGGTGACAGAAACACGCCACATGGTCGCGACAATGCTCGAGACATCACAGGTCAAAATTCTCATTCATGTGCACACCATGCTTCCACAAGCGAATCGACCTCCGTGTGCCATTGGAAGCCGAACTTTCACTCACATGCTCTGACGTAATTTTGGCCGCTACGCACTCAAATATTTCCTTCGAATTCCTTTCTGACCTACACCGCACACCCACACGAGAGTTCAGAACCCCTTTTGCTCTCTGTATTTTTCATCACCACTTCGATACATCTCCAATACACATCACCAAACACTCCATACCATCATCATGCGTATCGAGGCCATTCTCCTCGGCGCTCTCGCGGGTCTCGCCATGGCTGCTCCTCAGGTATGGCATACTATAACACACCTTATCTACAGTCATATGCTGACAGTCATACAGCATGGCATCTCCGACGCCCTCTCCAGTGTCACCGTCACTGCAGTCGCCTCGAGTCCTTCCGAGGCCCCTGAGACCTCATCCTCCTCTCCAGTAAGCCCCTTCCAGAACTCAACCAGATCCATACCGCTAACACATGTCATAGCCCACGGACGACCACGTCCACACCCTCCCAACCTCCTACAAGCTCGACCCCCAGGGCTTCGTGCACATGGCCGACGACGGCGTCCTCCGCTCCTACGCCGCCAACGGCAGCATCCTCGACGCCCTCCCCTTCTCCAACACCCAAATCAAGCGCATGATCGACGACTCTCCCGCCCACACGGCCCCCATGCGCGAGCACCTCCTCTCCACCTTCGACAGCATCTCCGGCCACGTTGTCCATCCCGACCATCACCTCAACCCGCCCCGCGAAGTCCTGCACTCCGAATTTGGCGGTCCCAGCCCGTACGAGGACGACGAGATGTACGCGGAGATGGACCGGCTGTACAAGAAGAGCGTCAATGAGCTCGAGAAGGTCAAGCGCACGCTCGAGGCTCGGACGCTGTACTGCATTGGCAAGGAGTGTAACAGCACTGAGTCCTGCGGCATCTTGGGCTGTGTTGTGTGCATGCACTGGGATCGGGCCTCGTCGAGGAAGCGGTACTGCTTCTATGAGGCGGTCAACGGCCTGTATTGGAATCATGGCAGTGGCTTGTGAGGGGGGATGAGATTGGTTTCTTTTGGGCTGCCTTCGATCCCACGGGGGAGGCATTTGCTTTCATGATGATGATACAGTAGCGAGTGCATGAATACAGAAGCAAGAGGATCCTTGCTTGACATTTTGTGACTGCGTTTGCGTCTTTCTTGTTCTCACATTTCTTGTGTTCCCCTGTTTGCACCACTTTCCAGCTGAAATGCACAGGAAATCACGACCTGGCGTCCTGAACTTCAAGCTTCTGCACAGTTTTCATCATCTCTGTCAGAGCCTCCCGGCTGTCGCAACCTCGGGGCCTCGAAATCGCCCTCCGATAACAATACTCTCTCTTGGTCGGCCCCTTTTCTTTGACGGACCTGACTGTTGTTGAGGCCATTGTCACAACAAAGACGCCACAAAATGCATTATGCTCAATCCCAAGTACAGAGAAGAACCCTTCGTCCTGGACTTCAATCGCATTCAACAAAAGCTGCCTCAAGGTATCCTATATATACCCCACCTACGCACATGTCATCTGAAGACCCCAGAACCATCTCCACCCCGTCAGCACGCACCCAGCCAGATCTTCAATCCGCTAAACCTCAGCATCCAGATCAAGACCACCCGCCATGACGAACCCCAACCCCTCCAACTCCCAAGCTGCAGGACAGCCCTCCACCACGCCCAAAGCTCTCACCCCTCTCACACCAACAACCAGCCAATCCATGCAGAGCCATCCCCCCTTTCGCCTACTGACGGGCGCACTCGCCCAACCCATCCCAGCCGCATCAACACATGGTCTCAAGCCTCTGACTCCGACGTGCGGCAACTCAACTGACTTCCTCTCGTTCAGATCGGAGTCAAATCAGGTCTTGCCGCCTGTTCCGGCGAGCAGTGCTGCCGCCGCTGAGAAGCAGAACGCTGCCACTAACTCCCTCGCGCCGCCTTCTGAGAAGGCCGAGCCAGCGCAGCAGAAGAAGCGTCCAGGAGGTCTGATGAGGAGTATGATCGCGAAGAAGTTTGAGAACTACTCTTTCAAGAAGTAGGTAGCAGCTGAAGTGTGAGAGGACGATGGAGGACATGATCATTGGCGGGAGAGGTAGAATGACTGTACGATAGGAGGAGCGAGGTAAGTGTAGAACGAAACAGTTTTGTGAGCAACGTGGTTTCCTTTCTTCACTTTCATGTGATGGCCTTGGCCTTATCCCCGAAGCATTTTATATCGTGACCTGATGGGCCAGGCAGCTTCTTGACGAGGAACATGATGGCTCAAAGGACTCGATGAGGGTTTCGAAGGTATAGAAGACCTCGTCTGTCATATTCCCCCAAAACGAGTCCCGGTGTAATGTCCATCCCTAGTCGCGAGCCATAACTCTACTCTAAACTTTGAACAATCTGCCCGGCATATCTTTCTCAAATCGATCGGTATAGTACAGTTCTACGGGTCTCTGGCTACTCGAGAACCTCTGTGTCTTAGGGAATACTACATTGTTGGCTCTGCTATGAGTTACTATATCGAAGCTGTCAATCGTACCACCTAAAGGATTACAAGGAATTCCTCGACGCGGTGATACCAACACTACATCAAAACGACTTTACTCCACTCGACACCAGTCGCATCCGGATTACCGGTTGATACCCATCGAGGTGCTTCTGCTAACGGCTCGCCATCCATGACACCATCAACATATGCCGGGCCTACGAGGCTGTACAGTGTTCCACAACCCGTACGAGAAGGTCTCAGAAGGAACGGCACGTAACAACCTGCTAGTAAGAATACCTCGTCTCCGGCTTGTGCTTCATTAGGAAGAAGGCAGAGAACCTTGTTTTCGAGCATCGCTACTCGGTGTGTGAGGAGAGTGCGTGGGAAAGGAGTCAGGGCCTTGCATATTATTGTGTCCGGTTGCTCGATGTTTCCCAATGTGGAACGTTCGTGAACAATATCCCAGTCCGACTGTGTGCCCTGCCGTTCTCTGTTTGTACGGTCGAGAAAGAGAAGGTTGATGAACTTCTTCTCGAATGTCACATGATCCGTGCTCCGATCACGCCAGTGGAGGTAATAATCCAACATGTCAGACCTGTACGGGTCGAAGTTCTCGCCCAGCGATTCGCTTTTGCGAGCCCATCCAGTTACCGAGCTTGGCACTGAATCTTCAGGGATCGAAAGCGAAGGCCCAAAGCCCTGGACATCTCCAGCTCTGCATAAACGGAACCCAAGTACATGGAGCGTAGTGCCTACTTGTTGTGCGGCAAACTCCACGCCAGGACAGGCATTATAGCAGATTTCTGGATCCCCGTGGTCTGCTGGATCAGCATTCCTATTATCGTCGGGAGTAATCCAGCTGTCTGCATCCCATGCGGCTACTCTAGTAGCATGCATAACTCCGCCATGTGTCGACCAAGTGGATGCCCAAGAAGGGAGGTCCGCGCAAGTAGCATCAGGAAGACAGATATTAATGAAGATGTCCAAAGACTGCTGCTTCTGAATTACCGCCATGGTGGCCTCCTGATAGATTGTAGAGACAGACTTAGTGTAGTCTGGCTCAAGCCCCAGGTCCGGCAATACGCCCAGGAAGCCGTAGACTCGATCCTTGGGATCGGTAGCTTTCAATTCTCTGTTCGTAGTCAAAAGAGCCTGGAGAAGTGGTCGTGTCAGGCTGCTTGCGTCCTCCTGTAATAATCCAGGAAACCCAGCCAGACCAAAGCGCTGGACTAACAGCGGACCTGTCGTATCCAAACCTGGGTCAGCACTGCGGCCTCGAACACGAAGCCTCGTCTGCACAACATAGTAGAGTAGGACTGCGCACAACATTTTTCCGAGGTGGATCTTGTGACTGCCAATTTGAAGAAAACCGCTACTCCGTCTCATCGCAATCACAGTCTCTTGCAGAATCCATAGGCGACTCCAGAAGGGATTTTCATCCAGGATAAATGCGATGGCTACGGCGAACGCCGTGAAAGGTTGTTGACCGAGTGCGCTATTATTTACTAGGGCAATAACACTCTCCGGTAGGATAAATGGTTGACAAAATCTTCGAATGCATGATGGTTCCTCAGCCAAGATAGACGCCACTGCCACTGCGAAAGCCTCCAAGTCATCTGGATTGTCCGCATCACTCTGAGCCAGCAAGCATTGAACAAATTTGTCTCCGAGACAAATCCATGAATCCACGAAAGAGTTGATAAGCGCCATAGCGCCTTCGATAACTTCAGTACCTTCGCCTTGCCAGAGGATAATTCGTTTCGCGTTTGTATACAATGCCCGCATCAGGATTACTTGACGACTGCGTTCGACGAGGTCCATTTGGTTGATGCAAATAGCGTCCGCCCATACGATAGTCGGCTGGAGCATATCGCGGCTTCGAACATGTCGCAGAGCAGAATGGAGATTCTTCCCGACTAAGATGGGCCGCCCATATAGCAGGACGGGTTTCTGGTCATCGGTACCGCCCCATACATATGAGAGAGCCTGGAATCGGCGTCGTTGCGTCGCGTCTAGCAATAATGTGATGAATTCGACCTCGGGGTCAGCGTCCAGATCAGTGTTCGCGCTAAGAGCCAGGACACGGATGACCTGCGTCTGTTCGGGTAGTGGAAAGATTGAGTAAAGGAACCTGAGCCAAACGGCTGAGTCTTGCATGGTATTTAAGACGATTCCATGGCTGGGATTGTGTGCTGGTGTTGCTGCCATAGTGCATGGGGTAAGGTCGTGTTGCTGTGATTAGCCTTCATGTTTTCGAACGCTGCATATATACGTCGTTCGCCGCGCTGAAGCCTGGGGACACACGAGACGGCATCTCTGTGTAAATCTGTGTGCATCCGGTCCCGGGCGTTGGAGATGGCTGTGTACATGCGACAGAGCTGTGTTTTCTTGATTCTGCATCCGAAAACGGAATGCTGCAGCCTCTCAAGCATCCTCACCGGTCTTTATCCCTCAAGCATTCTCACCGGTTTTGATCATATGGCTGCCAATGCTCGGTCTGCATATCCTCGTCGCCCTCGTCGAAACACTGCTGCTCATCTGCACGGGCGAGCCTCGCAGACCATGACGACACTGCTGGCCACGTAGCCCCAGCAATCTTGAGCGACTCCCTCCACTGCAAATCCTACCTGCTACATGGCCTCCTAGGGCGAGGCCATCCCGCTCAGTACTTACCGGTACAACATTCCGTCTCGGTCTACACCGGTAGTGTTCTGACGCACGCTGACTGCGTGGTTACGAGAGGGTTGGCGACATGGTGGTTGGGTGGAAGGACGGGGAAAGACACTTTTCTTGGCTATGATGTTCACTTCGTACTCCTCGTGTCTTGCGCCTTCTCGCGTTCTCGAACATGCAGAGCAGTGGCGTGGAGAAGTGGCTCTGCATTCGTCTTGCCGTTGCCTCGTAAAGGTCTTCTGTTGGTCAAGGTGATAAATTCCGTCTCACAAGGTCTCAGCGTGGGTAGGATCTCTCAAGTACCGCGAACATCTTGCCTCCTTTCTTTCCTACCGCCCCCTCCACGCTCTAGCCTAGCTTCGTCCCCTCCACGCTCCAGCCTAGCTTCATCGCTCCCTCGAGATCGCCTCAACCAGCTTGCTTGCGCATGGCTTCGATGCTGCGGGAGCCGTTCTCGTCATGGCTACGGCCTTTCGTCTTTGGCTTCTTCAATCACCGTCTTGCCTCCTGTCGTTCCCCCTGCGCGGTCACGCTCCAGGCTAGCTTCATCGCTGCCTCGAGATCGCTGCCTCGAGATCGCCGCCCGAGGTCGCTTCTGCCAGCTTGCTTACGCAAGTCTTTGATGCTGCGAGAGCTGTTCTCGCCGGTCCCCGCTCCAGCCTAGCTTGATCGCTGCCTCGAGCTCGCCGCTTCGGGCTCGCCGCCTCGAGCTCGCTTCCGCCAGCTTGCTTACGCAAAGCTTTGATGCTGCGAGAGCTGTTCTCGCCATGGCTACGGCCTTTCACCTTTGGCTTCTTCGCTGGCACAATGATGCCCTGTGGCTGCAGTGGTGGCGGCGGCAAGTGAGGGCCCGTCAATATTTGATGGGAGGCTCCAACACTTGGGTATAGGTGTTGGGTTGGCACAGCGATGTTTCAGCTACTCCCAGGTAACTCTGTGTACGAGGTAGCCACCTGCGCTCAGCGTGGACGCTCGGTCAAGAATGCGTCCAGCCTCCAGCAGCCCTGGCAGTACGTGGTCTTTCTGGCGGATTTGCTGTATCTCGTTGATTCTCTCCATTGCGATGCCAGACGGCTGGCACATCTTGCAGAACGTGACTCCAGGAGAGTTCGCCTCGACACTCAGGCTGCCGGGGCAAAGGCAGGCTGACCTGTCTGGCTGGGCAGTGGTGTTGGCGTTGGCACGATTGGTCTGGCCAGAGTTCTCCTTTCCTTGGCTCATAACTCTTGCATACGCTTCTAGACCGTGATACTCCACTCCGCCATTCCGTACACCTTCTTGCCCAGCTCGAACACGACCTCGTAGCTTCCTTCATCCTCAGCACGGAGAAACGCCAACACAGCATCGATGAGCGCGGTCTTGCCTCCTTCGCGGCGCAGTTGCTGGGCTTCCCGCGTTTCTGGAATGACCGGACCGAGCATGTGGAGGGGTCGAGTCCAGGCAGCGCGACCGAAGATCTGCTCACCCAGCGCCGAAATGTCGTTTGCAACATCGTTGGCGCGTCCTTCTTTGAATGCCTCCCAGGCCGAGAGGAGTTCGCGCTTTGCCTCGGCGCGCTTCTCAGCGATTTGCGCGGCGTTCGCGGTGCTCGGGGTGGTGGCTTGATTGGTATTGATGGCGGTGCTGGCGGCTGCATTGGCGGACGACTGCTGGAGATGTTAGTCTCGAGTTCACATAGAAGCTGCGTGAGGTTGCGAACCATGGTGGGTTGAGGAGAGCCGCAGAAGTGCGGTTGTCGGATGTCTTGGGATTATAGAGAGAGACCGATACGGCGTGGGGTAGGATGTCCGAAGAGGTGTACTCGAGGTGGTGCTTGTGCGGTGTGAGCAAGGCGAAAGGGAAGTTGTGTACAGATCTGAGGTTGAGATATAGCCAAGAAAGGGTGGGTCGTGGGTGCCTGAGGTTGACTTTTCACGAGCTAACGAGCATGTCTGAATCTGCCGCAACTTCTTAACCTTCATTATTTGATTAGCGATTAGATCTTACAAGAGCCTCCATCCTTTTCTTTTAGAAGTTGCAGGTTAAGTTTAGATGTATTTCTATGGAGTAGATATGGAACTCCCTGCATAAATAGTCTAAACAAAGAACTACTGCTCTCTACAACAACAAAGTACAGCTTACCTCCTTAATATCTGCTGTACTATACTACGCCTATCTTCGTGCTTCATCCAAGGTAGATTGTTACTATATAGCCCAATCTGGACACCCCTCCTCCAACAAATAAACCTACAGCTCGCTCGACGCTAAAGATTACTATGGTCTATTCGAACAGGTAAAAAACAAATTCTCTTTCTTCTTTCACGTGTAACGTGGCGGCGCAGCGGCAAAGCAGCAGGCAGCAAGTGACGCGAGTTCGAATCGTGAATTCGACTTCTCTTTTTTTGATCTTTTTGTCGATTGTTTTGTAGTTTGCTGGAGAGTAATTAAGTATAGTTTTGCTATGAGATTTAATATGAGAACGTTCTCGAGTCTTAGGTGATTTAGTCATTGTCTTCTCGCTAGGAACGCTTTCTACTCTGTTCAAGACAATGTGAAGTTAAAAATCATGGATATTGATCGCAATGAATAGCCTTTTTCCACGCCTTCAACGCCGCGCCCAACCCTCTTAGTGATATCAATCTCAGTTCTTCACAGCAGCCTCATACGGCGGTGGCAGATCCGCCGGGTTATACATCTTCCCCTCAATCGCATTCAGCGTCTGATACAACACATTACAGCACTGCGGGGCGATGATCTCCCCACTCAGAATCTCCGCATGCCGTATGCCCGGCTTGCCATAGAACCGCGGGTTCTCGTTCGTCCGCTCGATGAAGATGGTGCCGTCGATGTGCGCGCCGACGTACAGGCCGCGGTTCTTGGTGTACGTCCACACGGGACTGACCCTCTTGCTGACTTCCAGGTCGCCGACGGCACCCGCGCCGAGTGGGCCTACTGTTGCGGCGACTTCGCCGCCGATGGTTCCGCGCACGCGCGTGAAGCCTTCCATGCCTTTGTCTGTGTTGATGACGGCTACACAGTCGTAGACGTCCAGGCCGGCGACCAGCCCGCCGGTCATGCTGGCCATGTGGATCCCTGATGGTGCAGACCACGATCCGTCCGGGAGATGTCTGATGAGGACGCCGCAGCCGTTACCGCCGCCGATGTGCAGGCCGAAGCGCATGCATGTGAAGATGGCGAGGCCTTTGCAGTTTTGGATGGCTTTGGGTGGGATCTTGTAGAGGGCTTTGCGTTCGCGGCCGTGGGGGCCCTTCTTTTTGGAGGAGGCGGATGAGGTGGTTGAGTTCTTGTCGGCGTTGGGGTCGTTGGGATTGTTGGGATCGGGGGCCATGAAGCCGTCGATGCAGAAGCTGCGGAGGATGCGGGCGCACTGGAGAGGGTATGTTAGATGGGAGGTGGTGGAATTGAGGCAGTTTGTCTTACTTTCTCCATCTCCAAGTCCAGCTCTTGTGGGTTGAATGCTTCACAACCCATCTTCGTGGCGGCCTTGTTGAGCGGCTTGCTCATTTTGTTCATGATTCGGTTGAACTTCTGCGCCTTGCCCTGCTTCTCGGCCGGAGGAAGTTGTTCTTGTTGCGACTGTTGGCCGACATAGTGGGACGGTTCGGGGTAACTGTTCGACGGCTCTGGGTAGTTGTTCGATGGCCCTGCGTAATAATTCGACGTCTCTGGATACGGCGGGTACGAATTGTCGTAGCCGCCAGGTTGGTACATTGGTTTCGCTGCTGCCATATTGAAGATTGTAAGCTGTGAGAATGTTGGATTTCGAACACTCAGGCATCCTGGTGGCCACCATCTTTATATCACCAATCCCTCCCCTGCCTACTACCCCGTTCGCTCGCCAGCCATTGATGATAAAAATAAAGTCGGCAGTCGGTCGGACAGCTCGCTCACCTTGCCGCCTTCGGTTTGGCGTCGTGGATCGCTACGCGCACGTCGTAGGATTCGGGGGGCGCAGTCGACGGATTCGGCAGCCGGAACGAGAGGTGAGGTTCGCCGTGGGGATGCGTACGCTGTACGCGGAACGACAAACATGACCTCATCCCTACTTCGAAATATAGAACAGCACGACATCTGCTGCGTTATCGCCTATCAAACACCCATGTTGTTGCCAGGGCTGACATCTTACAGTATTCCTGGTGCCTGTAGGGCCTTTGCCGTGCGATACGTGGGATTCCGTCCGCAGCGGAGCGAGGGCTCTGCCGATGTGAGCTGATTCCTTCTTCGGTTTTCGAACCGCCTGATACTGGATACATAATACTCGCATACTCCTTCGGACATGTTCAAAAGCCCTATCGACCCTTCTTTCTCGAGCACATGTCGGTGACGACACCACAGATCCGCCGCGGAATATTCTCTTCTGATTCTCGCACTCACGGCGGACATCGCCCGGGTCGGACTCCCATAGCAAGACGCACATTACCCAGCGACGCGGCTTGTTTCTGGGGAGTTTGAAGGTCGGAAACATGGCATCTGGATACAGAACATGTCGAACGTCCGCAACTGTCAAGCGCATACCAACGAAAGCGATCTCCAATGTCCAGCGTTTGAGCCTGCACCTCGCTACAGATGCCATGCTGTGGTGCTAGTTGCAGTCTGATGTCTGCGAGTCTCTGCAGGGAGGCCATGAACCCGGACTCGGCCTACTCGAAGCTGAAGCTTTCGCGGCAACGAGGCACTGTGTCTGAGATGTTTGCTTGGCTTGAAAGACTAGAATCTGCGTTAGTGTTGGTGTTTGGATCTCGGATTGTTCGAACAAAGAATATCTGCGAAGTTTGAGACATGTGCACAACGCAAGAGCAAGCAAACATCGCTGCGAGACCGGACAGCTGCATCTCGTCTTTCGACGCTGCAGACGGCAGGCGCCTACATCTGAGACTGCTATGCTGCTAACAACAGAGAGCAGAATCTAATGCAATGTGCAGCTGCCTCACTTTCAGGTAGGTCTTGTATCCTGCATGTTGGGCGCTTGCTGTCTACAGTCAGTCTCAGGCAACATGCTCTCAATCTTGGGCTGAAGGAAGTATATCAACTTGCGGAGACTCCTTCGGTTTTGATTCTGGACATCACCATTCCATTCTCCCCTTTCCTCCTTCCGTCTCACATCTTTTCCGAGCATCCCTCCAACCCGCAATCTCCTCCGACCTGCAATCTCCTCCAAAGTCAAAAGAATCCCAAAACCAAAGACTCCATCAGCCCACAGAAAGAATCAAAAGCCATGGGCAAGAACAAGAAGGGCGGGAAGTCCGCTGCTCAGCCAGCCAAAGGCAAGGCGGACAAGAAGTCCGTTCATCCACTCTGTATCCGATATCCCGACCTAGAGACCGCTCATGATCCGAAGACCCACAGCCTGGAGGACTGCATTCTGCAAACCCCTGGCAACTCCAATTCCAACAAGAAGCGCTGGTCGGGCTTTCCATCACCAGAAAATGAGCCCTTCGACCTCAACTCCCTCTCTCCGCACCAATGTCAGAAGCTCCTCGACGAGGTCCAGGCCAAGAACGACCAAGCCGTAGCCGGCATGGCCAGCCGGTTCATGGTCATCAGCAACACGGAAGATTATCGCAAGGCCGCCAAGTCCCAGAAGATACCCATCACGAAGAAGATTCTCGACTACGCTCTCGACACTGCGATCAAAAACAAAGCGAGCGTCCCGGAGCAGAGCAGCGGCAACGGCGATGGCAAAGCCAGCGGCAGTAAGAAGGGCAAAGCCAAGGCCGGCGAGACGACCCCTTCCGAGCAGCCCGATCCATCGACTCTTTATATCAGCAAATTAGCCATTACTGAGAAGCCACACAACGCATTTGTCGCAGAGCAGTTCATGAAGACGCCACTCTCCCAGCTGGGTCACGAGACCTACGCAGCGCCATCAGCTGCTCAACGACAGGATGCAAGCGCATCGTCTCACAGAGATGAAGCACAGCCCCTCGATGACCCAGACCCAAGGAATATCCCCGCCCAAGCGGCCAGCATCAACCATACTGCAATCGGCTCTGTCGCGGACTTCACCCCACCGCATGGCACCCCAAGCAGCAACATGCCCTTGCGCACCTCATTGGCAACCAAAGACAACAAGACCCCAGTCCCCACAAATCACTTCACCGTCAACATCCCAAAGGATACCATGCTGTACGAGTATCCCGTCAACAACATCCCACCCAAAGCCACCCGCGCCAAGAAGCGCACCCATGATCCTTGACATGATTGAGCACGACCCTCTGCTATGGAAAGAGCGTGATCATATCGCCACCGACTGCCAAAAGAAGATCATCTCCGATCGACCTCTCTACAACGATGTTCAGCTCATCACAGTCAATGACTATGTTCCGGGAACGAGAGATGCTCCCAAAGCCCACAAGCTGGAACTCCAATATGTGGCCTGCCATCAGATGGACAGCCTCCTCGAATATGTCAACGGCGCGGATATGGAGTACAGCGACCATGGTGCAACTGACGCATTGAACATCGTCCTGTCCAAAGCAGTGACTGATGGCAACCGAGACACATTCCAAGTCGGTACCAACAGATTCTACTTCCGCGCAGGGTGGCACGACATCGACGACGGCCTCATCGCGGTCCGCGGCTACTTCTCGTCGATCAAGCCGTCCATGGGCAACATCCTCCTCAATGTCAACACTGTCACGAGCCCTTTCTACAAGGCCCAGGATGTTTCGAAGTATCTGGAACTGCCAAACCTCCAGAATAAGAACGCCGCGGAAAGCTTCTTGGCGAAGCGCCGTGTCTACGTGAACTTCAAGCGGAATGATGACCCCAACGAACAAGGCCGCAGCGTGAATAGTCTCAGTCGCCGCTGCAAGACTCTCGTTTCACTAGGTGCGAAGCCAAAAGAGCAACAGTTCTTCGAGCACGGTACCAAGAAGAGCGTCTGGAAGCACCTCCGCAGCAAGTACATCAACGACACTCCCGAGACGTGCGAGAAGTACTTCACGGCCAATGTTGGGAGCAATGGCGGCGAGAATGGCGAGAACGGCAAGTACTACATGGCGACTCAGCTCAAGGTTCTCCCTGGCCAGCCATACAACGGTCAACTGTCGGCAAGTGCTACGTCGAAAATGATCGACTACGCCCGTCGCGGACCTCGCGAGAATGTCGACACCATTATGGGCGAAGGCATGACCTCTCTGCAGCTGCAGAAGCTCACTCAGCCCTTGATCACTGCTTTGGGTCTCACCATCAGCCAAGTTATGGCAAAAGATCGCTGTGCCAAGCCCCGTCAGTATCACCGCAGCAGTGGCATCGATCGAGGAGAGAAGCTACTCCCCTTTGTTCGAGTATCGGAATTCTATCAGTCCGAACACTGGGTCTGGCAATCTACTGCTAGGTAAGCATGGCGATGCATCCCAAGTCTTAAAGGCGAAGGCAGAGAGTAAGCCGCGCTCGAGGCGGGTCCAAAAGGCAAGAAGGTTAACAAAGGACTCAAAGATACCTGTGCCAAGACGAAGTGCTCGTATCTTGGAGCAAACAAGGTCTAATAGCAGTCCCAGCATTAGCGTTGCTATGTGTGCTGCGACGCCAAGTGCGGAACGTCAATGACGCGGACCGACAGAACGTACATAGCGCAAGCATCGCGGTCAACGCGATCGGAGCCAGAACGTCGTTGTAGCAGCACCTACGCGAGGATCAACTGAGATCGAAAGTCTTAGGCATGATTTATCAGCTAACGCTTCAAAATGCATTCGGGGCCGATTCTCCTCGATTTAGTCGGCAAATACGCAACACACTACTAGGGGTCGATTTATCAGCCAAACCTCATTCACGGTTTCGGAGCCGAATGCCAAGTGGTATAAGGTCTGGCGGTAGCTAGTGAGTCCGTATCAAAGTTCTGTTGCTCTTCTCTAATAGCTATAAATCCGGGCCAGCTTTTCCGCTAATTATGTCATCTCTTACGAACCCTGGTCACAAAGTTCTCTCGCCCTTCAAGCTATCCCATGTCGTACTGCATACTGCTAATTTTGCAGTGATGCGCGATTTCTACAAGATCTTTCTTGGCGGCCGTGCTACTTTCGAAAATGACCAAGTTTCTTTCCAGACATACGATGAAGAAGACCACCGTATTGGAATCATCTCGGCACCGCCAGGTGCGAGTCACGCAAAAGCAGGTGTTGGTCTAATCACGTTTCATTTATATACAAAACCTTGGACGAGCTTGCCATGGCGTATTTGCAGCGAAAGAACAATGGTATCGAGCCGGTATGGTGCGTCAACCATGGACCAACGACCAGCATCACATACTCAGATCCAGACGGCAACTTGTTAGAGACTCAGGTTGAGAACTTCGATTCTGTGAAAGAGTCGCTAGCTTTCCTAGAAACGGACGAGTTTGAAAGGAACCCAATTGGTGTTAAGTTTCAGCCGAAAGACCTTGTCCAACGCCTGCTAACAGGGGAGTCTCATGCTTCCATCAAGAAACGTCCCGTGAATGGCAAGCGCGCTATTCCACCACTCTGAATAGCTCTCCGCCCCTGATCTCGAGACTTCGCACAGGGCAAAGCCAATATAGGCTCACTCGCCAGCATCGCAGCAAGATTATGGGCAGCACTCCGAAGAAGCCGGGAATGACTCTGTTCGGTCCACTTGTGCTTACCGAGATGGAACCGCGTCCGTGAGTGCCACGGGTGACTTGAGGAATGTCAAACTATATGTACGAGGACACGAGTCTCGCGGTGTGATCTTTTGTAAATGGGTGTGGTTTGGTCATTTACCCGCTGGGCATTGTAGATAGTGGCTTCGTATTTCGATTCACCAGTTGGCGCTTTTGCGAGAAAGGTCAGATGTGTTGAGCACTACCGAGCAACACTAACGTAGTAGAAGAGGCTGCAGTAAGTGCTCCTGATGCCGACTGGTCGAGCTGCAGATACTTCCGCTAGCTGTTGTTCTTGCCGAGCGAATCATATTGCTGTTGAAAAGAGCGAAACTCCGCTATATTAGTAGTTGATAGTTGATCCATTGACGATGAGGAAATAAGAGGTCAGCTCAAGAAGGCGAGAAATGATAAGACACCTTTCTAAGCTGTTAAGTATCGGCAAGAAGGGACTAGCTGCAGCAGTAGACTAGATCTAAGTAAAACGATGCTAGCGGGGTTACGTAACAGTCTTGTACACCGCCTCTGCGTGGTTCTGGAGGCGCATCTTATTGTTTAAAGTAATCTTGCAGCGAGGATGTGGGCAATCGACCGGCTCGTTATCTAGGAGGCACTGTAGATGTCGATTTTGGAGATGTCTCCTTATAGTTCCACGACTGTGGAACTCTTTTGCGCGGCGCTCGGACGACAGCGTCGTCTCCCCTAGGCAGAATATACATTAGGTAGGGTGACATAGATGCCCAGCTTAGACGTACACCCACCGAAGAGGAGAAAACAATCAGAGAGCCCGATAATGCATTTCGTGGAATACCCGTGATATCTTGAATTGATACTTAGCAACTCATGACAATTCTCATGGTCTACTGGCGACTTTCCCGATATTAACCATTACAAATTCCTAACAGACAGGAGTGGATTGAAGATATGAAGACGATGACGTTGAAGCGTCTGAGGTTGTGGTATGCCCAGAACGGGAACAAGCTACCAAAGCGCATCCTCTACTACCGCGATGGCGTCGGCGACAGCTACCTCGACAAGATCCTGAACAACGAAGTGCGATGCATCGAGGCTGCTTGGGACACTCTTCGCAAGGAGAAGCTTCCAAATCATACGCAGAAAGTCCTGATCACCGCCCTCGTCGTCATCAAGCGCCACCACACCAGACCGTACCCCGTTAAGCCGCCCTAGCCTGATGGTAAGGACCTCAACTGCCCGCCAGGCACCGTCGTGGACTCCGGCATCACCCACCCGTACTACTTCGACTTCTACCTGCAATCCCACCACATCCCCAAGGGCACCGCCAAACCCTCGCACTACATGGTCATCCGCAACGACATGGAGCTCAGCTCCGAAGAGATCCAGGACCTCACCTACCACCTCTGCAACACCTACGGCCGCTCCACCACTGCCGTCTCCTACGCCCCGCACGCCTACTACGCCGACCGCGTCTGCGAGTGCGGCCGTCTCTATCTCAAGCCCTTCTTTGAGAAATCGGACAACTCAAAGCAATGCTGAAGAGAGACGAATAGGCCGACAAGGCCAAGGCGGAGGCGGCGGTCAGGAAGGAGGCTGAGAAGGCGTTCTACAAGAACCAGGCTGACCCGCACCGGAGCTTCAAGAACCCCTGGCATGCAAACTTGGATGGCAAGATGTTCTGGATGTGAGCATCGTACCATCTACCACCACCTGAGCATCAGTGCTCGTCCAGTCCTTACTGAGCCACACCCCAACATGTTTGAAGAAAGACTCACAGGAAGTCATGGCGTAACCAGGTCGTGCTGGCTGCCATTTTAAGCTTTTGCTGCGTTTTGTACTACTAACAATGATGAGAGTGATGAAGGCACGATTTGTAGGAGTATCAGGTCGTGCTGGCTGCCTTTTTCTGAGAATATTTGGGGTACCAGCGGATGCTGTCTGTCATTTGGAGTTGGGTATTGAATCATGAGAACGAATACGGAAGATGTAATGCATGGTTGCGCAGTGTGTCCCCTCTCCTCCTCATCTTTCAACTCTTGTTTGACATCTTGCTGGCCAACACATCAACCTCTTGCCCTATGATGCTGCCATTACCAACATTCCCTATCGGCACCTGTCTACCCTTATCCAACCAATGCCTACAAATCTTTGCCACTTTCGCAGTGGTCGCTTCAACTCAGCAACACATTTCCACGTTGATCCTCTCAGCTCGAAGGCAAAACCGTCCCATTCGGATTCTCAATCTTGAACCCCAAATCCGCCCCATACGCCAAACTGTTGACCTCCGTATGCAACTCGGTAATCTTCCAATCTTCATTGAAGACGAGGTAGTGCATGCCTCGGACCTAAGAACAATCAGCTCATCACAACCCGTCTCTTAAGACAGAACGTCAGAGAGAGGTATACACTCCGGACACCTCATCCCCTCTCCCCCCAACCTCGTCAAATTCCAAAACCAAAACAAGCCCCAACACCCCACCGTGCCCCTCGCCAACGTCTCATTTCCCCCCTGCGCCTGCCTCCCCGTCGCACCCTCCACCTCCTCCACCTCGCCCGCCTTATCGATCGTCCCCACCTTGCCCACCTCCGCCAACCGCCCCGCGAGCATCGAGTACGAGTCGGACGTCGACTCGAAGTTCGAAGCGAGGATCTGCGTGAGGGTCTGGCTGCCGTTGCCGAGGTCGGTCGGTTGTAGGGCGAGGATCGAGCGGATGCGGGTGAAGGTTAGGTTTGCGAAGGCGGAGGTTTACGCAGTGAGGTTGCTGGGCGGTCCATGGCCAGGTGGGGAAGGGGGTGGGGGGAAAGGAGTAGCTTGATGCGGAGGCGATGAGCAAGGCGGGAGTGAGGGTTGTTAGACGCATGATTTCAGGAAGTTCGAGAGTGAGGAGGCCGAGATTTTACTGCTCTTGGCGAGCTTTTGTATGTCCCTCGTCGGCGGCTTCAGCTCGTCATGCAGGTTCTTGAAGTCAATTGATCCTGTCGCTCTGTCGGATACCCGACGCTTTGTCAGCTGGAAGCGAGTGGTTTTCGCTGAGGAGCACGAGGGGATTTCCTGATCGGGGATTGAAACGAGCAATGAGAGGATGTGATCATTTTTCCACTCTGTTCGGGTGTGTGGGAAAGCATGGGAGTGCTGCTGGATTGCTGAATCGAATGCAAGTGGCGAAGCCAGAAGAAATTTTAGGCTTGAACAACTTCCAAGAAGTATTTGACGCAAAACTCCAAACCCAGTTTACTGTGAAGAGCTGTTTGAATAGCTTGGCTTGATCTACGAGGAATCTGCTGAACCAACATGGGCCTTGGAGAAATTGAACAGTAGCGTCACCGGTGACGGACTCCTTGAAAGAGATGACCAGCTCGACGACCAGGAGCAAGTTCCCAGCCCAGATTGGAAATGTACTGGCCGAATGAGAAGAGGTGGACTGGTGTTTTGATCATGCTCGGTTCTCGACTTGCGTCCGGCAGTCCCATCAGCAGCGTTGAGCCTGCGAGAGAGTACTGTTCAACTGTTTAGTGAGAGATCATGTAGATTTCGCAAAAACTCGTAGATGGTACTGGTAATCGTCTGACCCAGCTCGGAAGAGCGCACGGAAATCGAGAAGAGAGGAATGACGTTTTCGTGTATTCTCGACTTGCCTCTGGCGATGCCATCACCAGCTTTGACCAGGTGTAAGAGTCGTCGTCCACAGTTGACTTGGCCCTGTCCTTGCCAGGGCGAATGGGGCAAGAACTCGTCCAATCTGTTTGCAGCCGTCTGAACAATTCAGCTGGGAGAAGAGTATGAAGATCGAGAAGGAAGGGGTGGTGTTGGAGTTGGTGTTCGTCATCACTTGGATGAGCGGCATCTATTGTATTGATAATGTTAATTATCTCTCACAACATCGGCGCGGGAAGATTAGAAGCAATGCAATCCTCACAGCTCCTCTCCTCCTTCGATATCCCCACTCACTCCTGCACGCCCACCATCTTCGCCGAATCCACCCAAAGCGTCTTCGCCCCCTCAACATCATACGCCCAGCTCTTATACCCGGCCACGCCACTCTGCGCATCATCATCAATCTTCTTCGCCACGCCCGCATCATCAAGATAAATCCCGCCCTTGCCCTCGAATTCCGGGCTTATCGCCGCCAGAACCTGCGTCGCGGCGCCCTGTTCGACGGATTTGAAGACTTTCTGGAAGACCTCCTGCTGCACGAGGGGCCCGAAGAGGTCCTCGACTCGCTTGTCCATGCCGCTCCAGCCGGCCGTCAGGATGTTGCCGGGGTGGACGGAGAGGCCTTGCAGGCCTTGCGAGCCGAAGCGGCGGGTGATTTCGTTGGCCATCCAGATGTTTGCTGTTTTGCTCTGGCCGTAGGCGACGATGGGGTTGTAGTGGCCGACGTCGGTGTCGTTCTTCTCGAGGGCGGTGAGGGGGTCGACAACGCCCTTGAGGGGCTCTTTGAGATCGTAGTTGCCGACTTGTACGGTTGAGAAGTTGTGGGCGGTGCTGGCGACGGTGACGACGCGGGATTGGAAGGTGGGTGTGGAGGATTTCAGGAGGAGGGGCTTGAGCAGGGAGAAGAGGTAGAAGTGGGCGAGGTGGTTGGTGGCGAAGGTCCTTTCGAAGCCGTCTTCGGTGAGGCTGTAGGGGATGTTGGCGATGCCTGTAGACAATGTTAGTTAAATTGTGCAAGTAGTACAGATATTGGACATACCAGCATTGGTAATCAGCACATTCAACTGATCGCTCTTCTTCAAGAAATCCTCCGCACCAGCCTTGACGCTCTTCAAGCTCGAATTGTCGAGCAACACAAAGTCAATCTTCGCATTCTTCAATTCTGCATCTTTCTTGCCCTCCTCTGCAAGCTCCTGCAGCACTTTCTTCGCCTTCTCCTCGTTTCTCGCAGTGAACCACACTTTCGCTCCAGTCTTGGCGAGTTGCCGCACTGTCTCTTTTCCAAGACCATCGCTGCCGCCGGTAATGAGGAAAGTCTTGTCGGGGAACTTCCCAATAACGTTGTTGTCTTTCAAAATTTGGTATGCAGTTGGTCGTGCATCGCCAGGTCCATTTGGAGAAACATGTGCTTCTTCGTATCGATTCTTGATTCCAAAAGTCGAAGACATCCTGAGCTGTGTGTTGGAATGGAATGAGGTGTTGCGTTCTTCACCCTGCAGCGGCAGCTCGATCCTCTTGTAGCTACTTTCTGACCCATTGCATTATGACTTTCTGACCTGCTTGGGTAATCCTCTGACCACCAGCCAGGGTCCTCTACCATCAGGTAAGCGTCAAAGGATTCAATGGACCCACAAATCCTTCAGGTTGCATAACTCGCAGCTTGCCCCGATTCGGTGTACGGTACGCAGCGCGGTCGATTGTGGCGCGGAATGCTGTCGAACACCGGAATGTCTTCCCTGGGGCATTTGGAGGTCATAGGGCTTTATGCGAAGAATGCCGGACATGCCTATCGTATACCCTAAGAGTATATCCTCGCAGGAAGAGCTGCAGCTGAGCATTCGCCGAGGGTGCGAAACATCCGACGCGGCGGAACGACTTCCCGACAAACCAGGGCTGATATACGGGCCCGAAACGTCCTCGAATGCTTCTTGCGTCAGCGGAACGAGGTCCATCAGTCCCGTCAGTTGATATTTCCATGCGCTTTGAGCCGCTCTTCGTACTTCTTCAACGATTCCTGTCTATTGAAGACATCTCTCTCCCACCTCTTCATATGCGCTGAGACCGCCTTTGTCGCCTCTGTTGCTTCCTTTGGTACGCTCTCGGCAAACTCCCTGATCATGTCAAAGTACTTTTGCGAATAGGCAAGAACGTCTTTCGTCCGCTCGATCTTCGTCGACATCTCAGGCGGGCCAAGAGACTTCATGCCCGTCGCTTCTTGAAATGTCCACCCGGGACAGAGTCGTTCGGCATCGGCTTTGGGCGATGCAAGTGCCCTCTCGTGGAGGGTTAGGCGATCAATGTGGTGTTGATGCTTGATTTCGAGGATTCTGATACTCTTCTCATCGTCTCCGTACGCATCTTTCCAGTTCTCCGGGCGTTGCGTCCTCTCCGCGGAGCCCGACATATCAACTCGCATTTGCTCATACTCCCACAAAGGCAAGTCTTCCTCTCGTTGGGCTTTTCCATCTCGACCATACTTGGCCACTTTCTCCCGGGCTCTCTGCAGCTGTCTGTCATTCCACATCTTGTGTCCCTCCTCTTCGAAAAGCTTGAACCGGGCGCCCCATTTTGCATCAAGATCCGATGCGTTCTCGGCCTGGTGTTTATGCTTCTCGGTCTCTGGGCTGGGAGCCCAGCGCTCACAGCGTCTCACCTGCTGCAGAGGCATTTTCGAAAAGTGCCTCGCTCTTTTGGCAGCATCCGCACGAATCATGTCGATTTCGAAACCATCTCCATTGAAATCGTCCGGCCAGCCGTTCTTCGGGTACAGAGGTCTGACGAGTTTGGGGGTCTGCCAGATTCCGCGTGTGTGCTCGCCTTGGCCAGGGATTTCCTTCAAGTCTCGATAGTATTGGTTGATGTCTCGGAGCGCATCAGTAGCATCTCGGCTGAAGATTAGTTCGAGACTGTTCTGGTTCGTGAGATTGAGAGCCTGTGGGCGATCCCATTCAGACATTTGCTCAACGATGTCGAACCCTTCGTCGTATTCAATTTCTTCGGCTCGATCTGCTTTGAGGCCGTCCAGCTCGGTTTGGTCAAGCTGGTCCTCATCATCCCAGAACTCGCTGCTTCCCTCAGAGCCTTCGTCTTCATCTTCATCATCCTCCCCCTCACCCCATCTTCATCCTCTCCCCAGCTGCTCTCCCCACTATCCCCCCAATTACTCTCCGCCTTCACCACCTCCCCATACCAAAGCGGACAAAAGAACGGATCCGTCGAATTCCTCTGAATCTGGTCCAGGATCCAAATCCGATGCCCCCTCGCATCGTACACAATAATCGAGGAATGATTCCCGCAGTTCGAAAGCGGCGTATACCACGGATGCATATACTCGCCCTGTTCAACATCGAAGCCCTCTCGAGGCGAGGAGTAGCAGGGATCCCGTCCTCGCTCGACTTGCCGAGGGTCCATATGGTTGTAGAACTCGCCACCTTGGAAGAAGTCTCCGGCGTCGGCGAGGTCGGTGTCGATGTAGGGCAGGATGCTGTAGAGGTAGATGATTTCTGGAGAGAGTTTGTGTTTGGTATATGTTTCTCGCATATCCGTGATGTCGTGGGGTCCTTTGATGATCCCGACCGGCCTGACGTACCGCATTTCGGCGAGAGTGGTGTAGATGGTGAGCATCAGGTCGGCCACTTCGTGCAGGCGGGCTTGTTGCTCGGCGGAGAGCGTGGCAGCTTCTGGAATGCTCATCATGAGGTTGTCCGTGAAATGTGAAGTTCATAGCCTGAAGATATGGCTTGGCGATGGTTTTGATGTTTCGAGGGAGGCACGCACCCGTCGGATCCTTCCGATCTCGGGTGCCTGCCGGTGCCTGGAGCTCGAGTTTCAGTCTGGGAAGTTGAGGGACGAATGGCCAACCAAATGATAGTTTGGACACATATCGTGGCCTTTGAGTGAGTGAATGAATCGGGTTCAGTGGATTTTGGCAGTAAGAATGGGGATACTGTCGATCTTCCAAAATGCCAGCATTTCCCATCACATTGCTTCTGTCACGCCACTGGCCAGGAAAATGTCGAGTTGCATTGCTTCCTCCCTGCCTCTGCACTTACCAGTGTTTGTCCTCTCAGCCAGCGGCTGCATCGATGGTTGCTCTACACCTGCCAATGATTTTGTACTCGACGCAAGTTTGTCGTTGAAGGCTCGATGGGAAACCTCATGCTCAGTTGGCCTCGTCGAGACACATACACTCCTCGCTGTACGAAGACAAACATGGCGCCGCCCTGGTGAGTTCGAAGTGACAACGACCCAGCTTTTGGTTGACCCCGTCCTTGCTCGCATTCGAGCAGAGATCCAGTTGCCACTTTTCAGTATGTTCGACGCTGAGGCGGGAGTGATGGTGTCTCTCACGAATTTGTCTCGCTTCTCCGTCGTACGAATGATATCAGAGCACGGACCAGCAGCCATCCAACTCTGTCATAATCTTGATGACCGAACAGAGCCGCGGCAAGATGAACTCACCCCGACCCGTCGAACATGATCGATATGCTGATGTGCGGCGTCGTGGCCGGCGTTTGACAAGTTTTGCATAGTTTGTGGACTGATGGAGCAGGCTGAGTGTGTTTTGGTGATTTCCGTGGAGAACTGTGTGTGGCCCATCTCTGTCACTGCCTCTCTTCCTCTTTCTGTTTGTCCTCCATCGGACCATTTGCGAGCCTTGACTTTGCCACGGGTTCGCTGAGAACGTGTCACCGTGACGATCTCTCGCGTCACTGCAGTCGTGACGTTGAGGCGGACTGCGGTTCTGTAACTCGCGTTGGAACACGCCCTCTACCACTGCCCCTACCTTCCTGGCGGTGCTCTTGCGAGTTCTTGTAGCTGTCGTTTGCTTCTCTGGGGGAATGGAGTGGCGGGCCAAGATGGCTTTCGTGTCGGTGGGTGTCAACGTCGTAGAGGCGTAGCGGCAAATGTATACATATTAGCTGTAATCATGTGTCAACGTCGGCACCCAGCGGCAACCGATCTTTGCTCAATATCTTCATGACTCACCCGTCCTCATCGTTACCGCTGTACTGGCAGACGCGTTGGCCGGGCGTGACGCGCTGCCTTGCACGTCAGGTCTCGCAGTCGCACGTTTTCGACGATTCGCGTCTTGCATCTGTTGGTATTTCATGATGATATTGCCTATGGTAAGAGGTCGTTCATAGCCATGGAGAGAACACTGGCCGTCGCAATCGCCGCCATGACCGCGACCCACAACAACGCGTCGATGCGCCATCACAACAAGCCCTCGACCAACGCGATGGCACTTCAACACACGAAGAGACCACATAGAAACACGAACAGGATCTACGATTCTTCTCCAACCGCCAGCAAAAGCCGGTGAACTGATGAAAAAAGCAATGTGCGTAACTTATGTAAAGACCAAAAATTGTGAGCCGAGTGCCGCTGAGCCTTCGCAGGTGGAACTACCGCCGCGATGTGCAGTGCAGGGTAGGGCCTAGTGATGGTGATGCGTGAGCTACCGATCACTGCGAGATCTGTCAGTATTGATGAACGATGATGATGGATGATGAGTGGTAGTGGTGGTGGGTAGATGGTGGATGGATGAGAGATGAAGGATGACTTACCAACTCTGGGCCATAGGCTTAAGCCTAGGGCGTGAGGAAGAAAGGAAGAGAAGTTGGAAGTATGAAAAGCTGGACTAAATAGCTGGATAGTGGCCCGTGCACAAACTGCCTAAGGCATTCACAAAGTCTGATAGATACTGTGAGGGGCGACGACGTCAGGGGCTATGGCGGTGTTAGGTGAGGCGTGTGTGTCGGGGACAGCAATTGCGGCGGGTCAGGGATACCAGCACAGGCCATGTACACATACGATCGTTCCCTGCCGCGTATTACAGCCCTCCTGACGCGCTCGCAATATGTTCACGCGCCATGTGTATGTTCATTGCCACCTATCGATGCTCCAGCCGATTACCAGCGACTGACGCGGCATCAACGACCTCGGTCTCCTCATCTCCATAACGTCAAGCCAGGAACACGAAGGCAAGTCAAGGGAGGATGACGATGTGTGACCAACGACTCTTGCCGATAGTGATGTGAAACAGAAGGATACGCGCACGAACTGCCGTACTCTGGTTTGTCGCCATGCTTGACGTTATCTATTCAGTCTCCTCTACATCGGCTTCCATTTCAAGTTGTCTTCCGCTCCCAAGATCGAATGCACGTCGGGCATCGTATTCGCGATTATGTCCCCGCCTGCAGACACATTCTCGCCAGACTTTTCAATCATTCCTGTCTTCGGCACGTCCTGTACACAATCCTGCGCCGTCACACTGGGACCGGGGGCCTCCCACGAGCAAGAGCATCGATTACGACAACTTCGACAACGTCAATGCCACTGGCGGCGAAGTCACGCCTCGTCGTGATGGTGGCAAAGATGATAAAGGAGGTAGAAGCGAAATGAATCGGAAAGATCTCTCCGCCCTCATAGGCGAGGCAATGCACGAAGTTGGCAAGATCGACGATCAGGTGCCCAGAAGTATCCCTCCTGAGCAGCATATCCACCTCTTTGGCAAATTCACGACTGACATCGTGGGATGTAACCCCCGCCACAAGGCGGAAAGAGTCAGGTCGTTGGGATGGAAGAGGAAGCATACAGATATGAGGCAGACGTTCGTGGAAGAAGCGCTGCCGATCTCGTTGAAGGAGAACAGATTCAAAACATCTGGGCTGGCCTTGGCTTGATTGACAGATTGACAGATTGACAGTCTACAAATGTCAAAGCTCAAGGACAACCTTCTTCCCACTAACACCCTTCTTGTTCTCGTCGAGAGCTTTTTGGATGCTCTTCAATCCTTGGCCTATAACCCACGGCTCGGGCAAACACAGCAGCTTGCCGCTCTCCAGCGCCGCTGTGAGGTATTCTCTCCAGATTGGATGTGTCACGGGACCGAAGCCTTGGATGGCTCCGACTCGAACGCTCGCTGGGACGCTTTCTGGGGGCGTGAAGACCACTGTCAGAGTCCCGCCACCGAGTCTCTCCAGGATCGCCAGTGCACGTTTGTAAGAGGATTCTGGGATGGAGACGGCGTCGTAGATGCCGATCAAAGTTCCTCCGACGTCTTTGACAGCGACGATGGCGTCTTCGACAATGCTGGGGTTGTTGTAGTCAAGAACCTTCGGGTTGTCAGCACATCAGATGGGCCTCAACTCGTTGACGCCCGATGTCTCACCTTGACAGCCCCAGCTTTCTCACAAAGCTCGCAGTTTTTCTTACTCGCAATGGCAACAACCTTCACTCCACTTGCTGTAGCAAGCTGGGTCGTCACGGCACCAACGGACGAAGATCCTCCCCACACTATCAACGTCTTTCCGATCGAGCTCGGCGTCAGCGTTGGATATGGTAGACCAAAGTAGCCTCCCTCGGCCGGCGAGTACAGCCCGACAGCTGCGGTGTCAACAGCGAGTGGGAGAACAGCAGCCTGACTGTACGAAATCGATAACGGAATTTTTGCGGTAGCCGTTGCAAGCACCGATGTATACAGCGCGAAGCCGCCATCGCTCGGATCGCTCGTCATGAAGCTCACGGCATGCCTTCCCACGAATCAGTCAAGCCAACAAATCGATACGAGCCTCCGAAACTCACGCAAAAACCCTGTCCCCATCCTCAAACCCCTCCACACCCTCACCAACTTCAACCACCTCCCCAGCAAGATCAGCACCAAGCACATTCGGCCACGTCTTGAAAACAACGCCGAACTCCTGGATTTTCCAGTCCGCCGGGTTTGCTGCTACGGCGTGGTTGCGGACGATGAGACGACCTGGTGCAGCTTTCGGCATAGGGATTTCGCCGACTTGGAGAGGCTGAGTGGCGGCGTGGAGCCAGGCTGCTTGGTTTTGAGGCATTTCTGCTGTGATGGCGTTGATGATCTGTGGGAGTTGATCTCGAAGGTTCATGCACATGCCCTTCGTCTACGGCGGCTTCATATACTCCCAACACCTCCCACAAGCTTACAAACCCAACCTGTCCAGTTTCTGACCTCTTCGCCACCACTTTCTAACAGCCCATTTTGGGATTTGGTCATAGCAATTTAGTGTGGTCGGGTATCCCAAAAAGGTGATGGAATCGGAGCTCGGGTCCGGCTGTCAGAAAGCGGTAGATTCTGACTTCGGCTGGCGTGGATCCTTCGCTTGCAGGGCAAGCTTAATATAATGGATGATAGAGGCATTTGATGCTAGACGCAGGTGTATTGAAGCGGACGAGCCCTTCATACAATAGTTGGAGGCTAAAGGATGTAACCTGGTTGTATAAAGGTGTGATGGGAAGGGCAGTAAGATGAGCCTCCGTGGAGAAGCGTGAGGATACCTCAAACGCCTCATGCGTCCTATCATGTCTTGAACGCCCAAACGTTCAAGCACCTAAGATTCCAGATCGTTATGTTGTTTTGGCATCAGAAGCAGTTCCTCGATACCGGTCAGCGTTCCCTGTTGATGGCACCCAGCTGCCGTACCTCCCTTTATCGTGCCTTGCGAGACTACCTCTTCGCCTTGATCATTGCCTTGCCAACCTGTGCATCAATGAACAACCCTCTGGCAAGTGCTCCAACGCCCTTTGCAGATAACTCAATGAGAATGCTTTTCGGACTCATCTCCAGTGCAATCTCGTCCCACTCGTTCGTGGCTTGGATGACAACAGTTTGGCCCTGCTTCATCGAGACCTGGTGCAGCTGAAACGGATATGATGGCAGGTCTTGAAGGTCTCGTGCGGTGTAATGCTAAGATCCTTCCCACCTCGTTGAAGCTCTGCAGGACACCTTCCTTCTGCTTGCTGGGGAATATCAGATAGATGACGGCGTACTTTCCAAGTTCGACGGTGGAGTCAAGATCCTCCTCCTCCTCTGACACTTCCATGCGTGTGGTAGTCTGGATCTCGGCTGGATATGCCGAGCGGTGTAAAGCTCAAGGTCTCCGTTCTTCTGGATTTCCTCCTTCATATCGAGAGTTTTGATCTGATTTCCCATCACCTCCATGGAGTGGTCAAACATGCCTTGGTCACTCTGTCCGTGGAAGCTTGCAGCTTGGCCAAGAATGCATCCCGTTCCACGAGCCTTGGTCCCCCTACTTCTGTGGATCCGGTGATCTTGGCCGTAGCAGCGATAGCACCCGGTCAAGCTGGTCCAACTGGTGCGAGCCCCGCCAGAGGCCTTGAATCAACATCCAGTGCGTGTTTCTCAGACACCAGATCTTCAGCTTCAATCACCCCAGCTTCGCTCTCAACCACAGCATCATCCATATCATCCTCATAACACAAATACGCCGGTCTCTTGATGCTCACGGCGACATCGCTCAGATATCAAGCTCCTGTTGAGCGTCTCCTCCGGTCGTCGAGATTATCGACAGCTGGGTTTGCTCGTCACCAGTATCCTCCATCAGCTCACCCGTATGCCCTTCCCTCCAGCGCGTTCACCTCTCGTCTCCATACGATCGGCTTGCTCTCCCCTCTCTTCCACCTCGGCACAGCCTCTTACTTTCCGCGCTGCCGTCTTACCAACGTGCTTCCTCTTCACCTCCTTCGCCCACGCCTCGACCCTCTTATCGTTCAAGCGCGCCAGCTTCAGTGGCTGAGGAACACCCATTAGCAGCGCGGGCTTCGTGCGCTAGCTCCGATGAGAAGGTGCCGTCTTCTTCACTCCAGAGACTGGGTAGAGAATCCGATGGGGTCTCGAGAAGGTGCCGGTCAACTCGACTTTTCACTTCATGGGGCGTGATGTGGTTTGAGGTGTATACGCAGGCATAGTTGGTGTAATCGGAGGCAAGCTTGGATAGGTAGTGGTATGATAGATGCGATGCGGGGGTCGTGTGTGTGGCTTGCTGAATGGAAGATAAAGAGGAAGCGGGAGGGCTATGACCAGCGTAATCGGATAAGGGTGCCATAGCACACCGCGATGGCACGAATAGGAAGTGAACATTCAACACAGGTTTCGAAAACAAAACGAAGTACATTACAAAACTACTCTAAAACCTTCCAGGCAGAGGCCCATTGTAAAAACTATCCGTTTCCTCCTCGACCTCCCTCTCAATCTCGTCGTCCTCATCTCCATCACCCTGACGTTGCTGGTAAGCCTCCCCATACAGGTCTTCCTCAAACCTCTCGCCCTCCTCTTGATCATCTTCGACTTTCTCACCTCGCAGACTGGCCAACAACCGACTGTTTCCCCGGAGCTCGTCTTCGATGGATCGACCATGGTTGGCGGGAGGCGCAGTCTGTTGCGGCGGACTGGCAGCTGGCGGAGCGTTGGCCTCTTGTCCTGGCGTAACGCCGAGCTCATCCAACAGCTGACCAAATGCCGTAGCCCGCTGCGTGGCATCGGGAACTCTGCGTTCTCCAGGGCCAGCTCGCTGCGAGTCACGTTCGATCACCCTGGCCATGTTCTCCGCTTCGTCTGCAGGCGGAATGCGTGACCGCTCGCGAATCTCGCTCTCGTCGTGGGCAAGGCCGCCGGCGGATGGAGGAGCTCTGTCCGGACCAAGGCTGTCTGAAGACCCCGTCTCCCGTGGTCTCCTCATCCCTGGCCGGCGGAATGACTCTCGTGGTGGAGAGTCTGGGAGGACAGTGATATCTTCCGTACCATCTGCCTCCGCTCGACTCTCGTCGTCCTGACTGGAGTCGACGGGTGGAGAGTAGGCTTCGGTATTGTCGTCGGCAGGAGCTGTAGTAGCTGGAGGAGCCGTAGACTGGGTGACTGGAGGCTGGACAGGGCGGGTCGGCCTGTGAGTTGATGGTCGAGCCCGTCGAGGCCTTCTCGCAGGCGTGCTGGCGTCATACTCCCTGTTCAGTCCTGGCTCAAAGCGAGCGAACTCGTCTGTCGTGATCCCAGCAGAATACCATCGACCATCGCCCAGCTGAACTATGGGCCGGTCAGGTGTCGTCGGTTCATCTTCTGCATCCAAGGCTGCTTGAAGCTGCGCTTCAAGGTCCGCTGAACCGTCCGAATCATCGTCAGCTTCTGCTGGCGCCTCAGGTGCATCTGTCGCTGGTGCAGTAGTCGTGGTAGCGAGTTGGCCAGACTCCGTCGTTTGGGTGAAATCGCCCTGTTCAATTGTGTCCTCAATGCCACGAACAATGACCGACGTTCTGTCTGGGTTGTCTTCGACGAAAGTACCTCGCTCAATGGTGTTCTCGATCCCACGTACAATGAAGGACGTGGAGTCTGGATCATTCGCCGTTGGGGCATCTGTAGGCGGAGCATTCGAGGTCGGGGCATTCGATTCCGGGGCATTCGAAGTGGGTGCATTCGCGGCAGGACCAGATGCGCTTGGTGCATTCGTCGATGGGGCGTTCGATGCAGGGGTGTACGAAGGCATAGTCGATACATTCGTATACGAAGGTATGTCATACCCAGAGGGCACAAACGAGCTTGGTACATTGAATCCGGTAAGAGTCGTCGTCGGCCCCCTCGTGGTCGATGCACCCGGAAGCTGGAAGGCGGGAGGATTGTTCGCGTGGTAGTCTCTGAACGCTTGCGTCCTGGGGTCGTTCGGGTTGTGAAGGTTTGCCAGGATATCTCTCAATCCAGCAGTGGTGGCGTTCTCTGGTGGTTGGGGGGGTTCTGGGAGTTGCATATCGTCATCGTCGAACCGTAGACCGAGAGGAGGAGCGGTCGGGAATGTGTTTGGCCTGCGGGAAGAGTCATCTCTGGTACTACCAGGTCGCGTGGGCGTGGTAGAGCCTCCGAAAGTAGTGTCGTCGTGCAGCAATGTGCTGTCGTCTGCTTCACCATTGGGTGGAGCGTCTCTTGGTGGTAGAGGAGGGCCAAAACGAGGGCTGTCGCCGAACAAACTCGTGCGCGACTCATCGGCTCTGATTGTGGAATCGCCGACGCCATAGTCAGTCGCCTCCCCTGGGTTCGAGGGGGGTGTTATAGGCAGTCCCAGATCAGATGGAGTGAGCGGCGGCGAGGGTCGTTCCTCAATTACGGAATCGTCGGTCGGATTGGCTGAAACACGATTTCCATTCTGCTGAGCGGTCGAGTTTGGTGCACTTCTTGCAGGCTGACCACCAAAGCGTGGTGGCGGTTGAGACGAAAGTTCAGGCAATCTTGGGGGTGGCGAGTCCGAGATGACTGTGTCACCAAATGCGTCGTACGTGATATACTTTCCGCGGCGCCGGGCTGTGTCATGTAGCCGATATGGCTCACCAACCCGGTCGCCAGTACGTGGCGGGATGGTGGGTGAAATATAGGACGGTGATTGCCTTGGAGTCGAGGGATCAGCTTGTGGCCGCGCTGGAGTTGACGGAGCAGCTGGTGGCTCTACTTGAGTCGAAGGCTCATCTGGCTGCTGTGCTGTAGTGTAGGGAGCAGCAGGCGGCTGTTCCGCAGACGAGGGATCAGCTGGCGGCTGCGCTGTAGTCGGAGAGCCCTGGGGTGGCTGCGCTTGAGTCGATGAACCAGGCGGCGGCTGCGCCGGTTCAGCCGATTGTCTCTTTTCGGGGGTAGCTTGCGGTGTTCCTTCGTTGGCTGGTCGGCTGCTATCGAAAGGATGACCGACAATATCAGTGAAGTCTGGATCACGATGATATTCTGGCGATCGAAGCGAGACGCTGCTAGGCTCTGCATTTGGTGGAGTTGGAGAAGGACTGTTCTGAGGGACGAGTGGGCTTGTAGTTGGCTGGTACAGTGGGCTTGTCGTTGGAGGTGCCACATATGGTGGGCTTGCAGGCTCAGTCGTTCTCGTGATGTCTGCCGGAGTGCCCATGTCGTCGGGACCAGGGCCACTGGACGGATCAATGAGATTCTCTTGATGTGGCCGGGGTGGTGGAGTTGCGGTGGGGGGCTGATTGTTGCCTTGGGGCTCGTCATCGGCTTGGGGTAGATTTTCACCAGCAGTTGGAGGTGCCTGGTTTGGAGGCTGTTGCTCGACTGGAGGCTGTCCCTCGACAGAAGGCTGTTCCTCAACTGGAGGCTGATCGTTGACCTGGGGCTCTCCATCGTTCTGAGCTGGCTCTTCATTCTGAGGCTGTTCGACTTCTGCATCGCCAGAGGTGCGTGGCTTCTTTGGTGGAGCTTCAGCATCCCCATCGTTGGTCGCAGGCTCTACTGGCTGCTCCTCTCGTGGGCGCTTTCTCTTTCCGCCCGTTCGAGAGGAGGATGTCGCGGGCTCTTCGGGTGCAGCTTCGCCGTCATCGTTATTGTTCTGCTGGGGCTGTTTACCCTTCTTCCTCGTCTTCGACGCTGTAGTCTTCTTTGATGCAGTCTTCTTTGGTGCAGCCTCGTCTTCATCTTCCCCATTGTCATCGCCGTCATCGTTGTCGTCCTGCTCGGGCTGTGGACCGCCGCTTGAGGCAGCCGATGTTGTGGTCTTCTTCGCAGTTCTCTTCTTCGGAGCGGCCTTCTTTGGTGCAGCCTTCTTCGTTTTCTTGGGGCGAGGCTTGTTCGGGTCGTCCCCAAACTCGTCTGCATAGCGCTTTGGCGGCTGCCTGTTTCGTGAAGGTCGTCCAGACATCTTGATTTTCGTCTCCTATCTGCGTGGATGATTCACAATCGTCGCGAATGATGGGAGAGCGCAGCGACATATACATCCTTCCGCCGGAAACAGCACAACGAAGGCATGTTCTTTGTTCTCCGACAAATATCCGCATCGGGAAAGCCTGGAATGCAGTCAGCCGGCATTGTTCTCTTTGTCTTCGCGGCAGGAATGCAGCACCCACGCTTCTACATCTCAATGTGGAAATGGTCGAGCCCGATCTCAAAGATGGCGTTTGCAGGCAGGTAGTACTGCAATGCCACGTACAGGACCCACAGACCGAATGCGGTGAGGCAGACCTCGAAGAGGAAGATCGACATGCTGGGCGTGGGACTGGTTGTTGGTCTTTATTCTCGACCGCGTCGTCGTCGCTGCTCTACTGGGGATTGTCGTCGTTGATTCTCAATGTGGTGTTGATGTCGTTTCACATTTCGGCGCCAAGTCGGCCTGAGAGCGCGTGCGGTGAAAACAACTTCTCGCAGCTCCAGCTTCAACTTCTCTCCGACAAGAACTACAACTTGGAAGCGCGACGGCAAGAGACCGCACGCTTCATGGACAGTGCCAGGCATGAAGAGGAGCGATACATCACACTGTGATCGTTCTTCAGCTGTGGCCGATCCTAGATTGAGTGGCGTCTTAACTGTCCGCGATCCTGGAGGTCAAGGGACGTGTGGTTGTGTAGACGGCATACATACTTCTCTACATAGCTCATGTTCACTCCATCCACGGTGTGGGATGCTCCACGGACAGTGTTGTGATAGATGTTTCCCAAAGACGACTCTCGCCGCACGCTCTTCATTACGCCCGCTTTCAAGGCCCACCTGCAAAGCCCACGACAGCCACGAAGTCGGCCGGCAACCCTTCGAGTATGAGAACGATCTGGTAAGAATTATCCCACTCTCGGATGCCTTTTTGAGCATATATCAGTCACTCTCACTGACGATCAACAGGATTCCAAGTCCGGCGCAGGCGAAACGCCACATCGCGCACGAATTCAAGAACGCGCTGTCAAAGCACAATCATGAAGAGCCTCCTACGGCTTCCACCTCCTATAGTGCTGGGTAGCGCACGAAAGCAACATGAGTCCTCACCTGACTGCTTTGCTGCTTCAGCACCTCCACATCCTCCATCGTCATCCGTAACCAGCTCAGCGGCGTCCGATCCGGAGAAAGAGAAGATACTCCAAGCAAGACCACACCGTCCGCCATCGCACGATCTTCGCAGCTCTTGATGCTGTCAAGCCGTCCATCACATACCACCCGGAGACGTCTATATCAGCGGCATCCATCTCTGGCCCACCGAACCTTCCCATCGAACTACGAACCCACTGCACCGGCCTACGCTCACACGTTCAATTTCAGCCTCAGAAGAAGAGGAGAAGGAGAGGAGAGACGTCAAAGGTGATTGGAGAATGATACACTTGGAAGGGACCTTCGAGGGCAACTTCCACTTTCAGAAACAGGCCGAGCGACATACCTCCCACGCCTTCGGCCAAGCTCAAAGCGAAAAAAAAAAGAACAAGAACAGCAATAAGAGATCGCACTAAGGAGAATTACCGTTCAGTTGCAGGGCTGCATGTTCGGAACTAGATGAGGCTACGCCGACTACAAATCCCCAATCTTGGCACAGTGTTGCGGCAAACTGAAGGAATGGGAGATGAAGAGAAGCAACTTTACTTGACAAGGTCAGCAACAGCGATAATGGAAGGCCCGCAGAGTACAGACCGATCTTGGGCAGCAAGGAGCATTTTTCCCGGTGAGATCTGACTCGGGATCGTCCTCCTACCTCCAAGACGAGCCCAAAAAATGAGGGTCAGCGGGCCTGAGGTCGCTGTGCTGGTAGGTCACAGATTTCACTTGTCGACATGGGAAGTGAGAAAGTGAAGAAGCAGTCAGTGCAGTTGTGCTCTTTGCCCCCAGTGAACGGCCAGCGGCAGCGGTAACCCCGGACGGTTCTTCTGTCTATTAAGTCAACCAGGAGCAGAGACGACCCCAGCATGCTGCGTCAAATCAGGAGCAGGGCTTCGGCCAGGTGATACTCAAGACCAAAGAGACGCAATGGCACATGACCAAATCATCAAGAAAGAGCATTATGCATTAAAGAGAGTCATCCAGATCATAAACCAATCACTCATAACGTCATCAATCCAATCTATCCCGCTCTCGCTCTATAACTTCACTCCTCCCACTTCCGCCTCCCAACCAACTCCCCTCCACTCACCATCTACCAACCCCAACGATTCCACCCACGGCGGCCATATCCATACCCGCGGTAAGCATTGTTATACAAGTAAGCATTGCCGTACCCGCGAGCATAGGCGTTGATGCCCAGGCCATTGAAGTAGGCGCCGTAGCCGAGCCCGTTGTAGGAGACGCCGGCGTTGATGCCGCCGGGGAAGAGCCACTGGTCACCTTGCTTGGCTTGTTCGCCCTGTTTGGCTTGGGCGCCCTGCTGGCCTTGGTGCGCTTGGTCGGCTTGTTGGGCTTGGGCGGCGGCTTGGGCCTGTGGAGAGGTCGGTCAGTCGCTTGCTGTGTTTGGGAGGGTCGTGGTGGATGTGGACGTACCTGCTGGGCTTGCTGGGCCTGCGCGTCCTGCTCAGCACGAGCGTAGAGGGCGAGGGCGTCCTGTGAGAGGAGCGTCAGCGGGTGCTTACCATGGAGAGGAGTTCGAGGGAGAGAGGGAAGTAGCGGTAGGTTGTTGATGTTGATCGTTGGAGAAGGTGGGTTGAAGGGGAGGAGGGGGAGGATTGTCGTACTTCTACATCCAAAGGCTGAGGGATTGGCCCGGCGATGGCGCTGCCGACCGCTAGGGAGGCGATGGCGGCGGTGATAAGTTTGAGCTGCATATTGATGGCCTTGGTGTTGCAGATGAGTTGATGTGGTGGATGTTGGTGAATGATCGTTGGTCTACTGGATTGCTGTCGATGCCGATGAGATTGTGTTGCTGATGATGTCCAACTCTGCTGAGACATCTTGTCTTCTTATACCATGCTTCGAGAAGTCTTGGCCTTGCAACGGAGGAACGCAGTCCGTTCGTATACAATGCCCACAGGCATCTGGAGAAGATCCGTACGAGGCCGCTGGCTCAACTCCATGCTGGCGTGGTCATCTTCACCAAGAAGATTGTCCATCCTTTGCCGTGGTTCCGATCTTGGAAGCAGATCTTATGCACGTGAAGCCTCGTGGGAAGCATGTGCCAACAAGCTGCTGTTCTTGGAGTCTATGGCAAGGTTCGGGTTGGCCAATGGCGGTCATGCTCGGTGTCTGACTGACAGCGTGCCATGCACGGCAGTTGAGCGATCTCGGTTTCGCGAGCATGCTGGAAGATGTCGATTGGCTGATGGGGTGTATTTTGGTAGCTAAAGTCCATGTTGAGCGTGTGCGCGAGGTCTGCAGTCCCAGTCTCGTGGATCGCATGGCGATATCCTGGACTTCCGATGAGGAGGCGTTCGACGCTCCGCGCACATGGTGTCCATGGATCCCACGGAGGTGGTAGATGTCTGTGTAGAACAGGATCAGAATAGAGTCGAAGATGTCATGAACCGCTTTGGCATGAACAGTAGAGCCAGTGAAGAAGCAGTAAGCTCCAAGCCAACACCAATGGCAGAAATATCGGACATCTTCTCCAATGACCCTGCCCGTCCACCTCCCACGTGCTCAATGGCCTTGTAAAGTCTGCTCCGAATAGCTCTTTCTTGGCCCGGGATTTCATCCAGAACGTTCGGACAGCGAGGAACGACGACTGGCTGGACGACGCTCGACGTGAAGTCAAAATTCTGAAACAATCGTCTGATCGCCTCGGAGGATGCGGATCATCACTGGGATGGGGGTGTTTCAGAATTAGAAACAGTCGTTCGACAGCGCAGGTCCTGGTTGGCTGTGGAAGTCTGTTTGGAGAATTCCATCGCACTGTGTCCATGGGCAAACGCGCTGGTTGGATGTGCGACAGGTCGAGCAGTCATTGCGTGAAGAGAAGCGAGTTGCGGCCAACATCGCTCGGACGCATGAAGTTGGAAGATGGTGATTTGTGGGCGAGAAAAGGTCGGCAATGGACATGATCACGCCTAGTCATCTTCGACTCATCTCAACGAAAGGCATTCAAGAGAAGAACACCAATCAAAGGAAGGCGAGATGGGAAGCGAGTGGAGATACTGAAGTTAAACTGTTTTTGTGTTTTGAATATCTTTTGTTTCATGTGTTTTTGGATTTTTCACCGAATCTCTGACACCCGCCAACGCGAACATTCCCTCTTTCCAAGCTTTCCTTCCGCCCTCATCGGTTCCGTTGTAGTTGTTGGGAACGTCTTCGTCGCAATGCATGTGCTCTGTCTCCATGTTGTGGTTGGTGCGAGTGACGATGATCAGGCAGCCCAACGAGTCTGGCAAAGAATGTCTATCCAGCTGTGGTAGGTTGAGTTTGCTTCGAAGATGAATGATGGCGTGAACATGCCGTTCTCGACACAGATCCTCATCAGCTCTGCTGGATCGCCTGCGACTTCCGCAGATTCGATGCCGTGCTTCTCTACCCAAGGCTTGAACTCTGCATGGGTAGCGATGAGGAGCTCGTGGTAGTTTGCTTGGAGGCCGTCGGTGCGGAGAATGGCGATCTCACGGCGAGCTTGAGATCTCTGCACACGCAAGGTTCGGCCGAGCATCGTCATGCCGTGGGCCTCGTCTATGGCACGGTATGCGTTGTGGCGGCTCTAGACAGCGTCAGTGAGATGTCGAACGTTGGCAGGGAGGCATGAGACGTACGTGGTACTGGAGGAGAGCCCAGGCTTCTCCATCATCGTGCGCTTGATGAACACGCTCACCCGGCCGTACTGACGTCCCGCCGCCACCGCCAGCACAGTCGTCTTCGGCTTCTTGGCCGGCGGTGGCAGCACGTGTGGCGGTTCGGGGGCTGAGGCCGCCGCCGCCGTCGGCGAATCCGCTCCTGCTTCTTGACGGCGGCGGCCGCGGACGTTGACGCGGCGGTCCCCTTCTGCTGGAACTGGGCCTGGGCGGCGGTGGCAGCCAGCCGCTTTTGCCTGCGCGAAGGTCCGTGGGCGAGGTGCAACAACCATCAGTTGAGAGAGGAGCGGTGGAGTCCCCGCAGATTGTCTTTTCTTTCTCCTCTCCCAATACGGCTGGCTGTTGCAGGTGGAATGACGGTTGAGTCCCCGTGGTTGTCTTTTCTTCCATTCCACCCCTCACCCACCTCCTGTACGAACGCAAGGCAAGCAAGCACTGATGGATGGTCAGTTGGATGTTGAGCGGTGGATGGAGGGAAGGACTCACAACTGCCGCGGCCGCGCCCGCGGGACGGCAGCGCTCTCAGCGAGGCGCGGGTGTGCTCCGTCCGGAGCTGGACATCGCCAGCCTGCGTGAGATGAGAGTCAGTGTGTGTTGCCGTGGACAAGAAGTGTATGTGGTGGAGATGGTTGGTGTCATGCTGGGGAGGTTGACGGTGCAGAACGTCCACCGCCGCCGTGAGGGTGACGACGGATATGCTGGAGATGGAGATACTCGTACTCTTGTGGTTTGTCGTCGGACTGGGTGGACTGACCACCCGTTGATGGGAGCAGCCTGTGATGATGGCGCCGGTTGTGGTGGTGGTGGTGAGGAGAAGAGGAAGAAGAAGCCGCACAGCTGGACGCGGAAAGGCGACAAGCTGCAGTGAAGCTTGGACCACAAGCAGGCAGCGACGTCAACTTCACTTCAGTCAATTTGATCAGGCGTTTTGATTGACGTGTAGTCAATTCAGAGCGACTAGCGGCAGACCCTGCTGCGGCAATACGAATCTTTGCCGCAAGACCTCTTCGATACCTGCTTCTTCTAATCCTTCAACACGCTGAAGCACATCTCTCACAGCTCCGAAGCATGACTGGAAACACGCTAGACTGTTGTCGCCCAAGACCCATTGCCTTGAAAGATAGGCAGAAGAGACCAGACCAAGCACGAAGGAGGAGTTGACACGAGGGCGTCCAAAGCCGCGGAATCCGTTGCGGCGTAGTTGTTCAAAAAGCATCTGCTCCATCCTGGCTTCGGGCAAGGAATGCCCTTCTGTTCAGAGTGTCACCATATTGTCCGGCGGCTCCACGATCAACACTTCATTGAAGCTTCAACAATCCTGTCTGGCACGATTCCCCGAGGGATGGACATCTATTCTCTGCTCGTGCGAGCAGACAACGTGACAACACCCTACTCCCCAACGTTCAGCACACTCTTTCGTGGTATACCCGCACTGGCTCGGTGGTCCAGAATCAAACGGTTGGCACCTCATTTTCCACGCGTCATGCTATAGACATGGCTGAGACCGATAGCAAGTTTTACCAAACGATATGCAAATACCCTGGAAGGGCTACATGACGAAGGATGCAAGCGCTGGTTGAGATATTGAAAGTCTCCAACTCCGATTTCCCAACAATCGACTTCTCTGGATCGGGTCGCACGAGCAGCTTGGACAACACCGTCTCTGCCTACCAGCGCTACCGAGGGCAATGAGATTCTTGAGGCTTGCTGGAGTGTTGGAGGAAGTGTCTGGTCTTGAAACGAAGTGCTTGCCCGCAGCTAGCACTTAAGATCAGGCAAGAAGTACATATCTGGCAGGGATCGAGTTTTGGCTTGATTTCGAGACTCTCCAACCACCATTCGAGTATCGATGTGCGAGTATATCAAGCTCAGACCCAGTAGCAAAGACATCCCCCGGCCTCATGCATCTGACTTCACGCATGCCAAACTTTATCCTGGATACCGGAAATCTGGATGTTGGTGTTCTTGATTTCAGAAGAGATATCTGTCGCTGTGTCCTTCCAGCAGTTCGAATTCGGAGGAGTAGTGTATTTTCACGAACCTTTGGCATCGCAGAAACCTCCAAGACGTCTTGGGACCTTTCATCCCCATTCACGAGTCGCGAAAGTTTGAGCAAGACGCCGAACACGCGTTCGTGTGTGATAGAACAGCTCGGGAAACATCCCTCGACGCAATGCAACATCCATTCAAGTCAACATCAAACGAAAACAACCAGGTACTCCTAGATCATCCACAAGCTTTTGTTGGATACGTACATGGTTGTCTTCGATCTGCAGGATTCCGGCCCGTGGGATCCCCAGATTTGCACATGGCTCCCACGACGACCGGCAAGCATCATCCATGTTCAGACAACGATAACAACTTCAGAATCCAGACCCTTCCAAGGCTTCCATGAGCGGCCAGTGCGGATTCATCAAACGCACCATGTCTGAACCGGTCGTACGGCAAAGACGGCAGCGTGCTCGGCAGCGTCTCCTGGCAAGGGCGATGGGGTCTTATATCAGACGAAGCATCCTTCGCTTCTCGTGTTGGTAGCTTGGCATCTCCGGCATCTGCATCACCATGGCGAGCCCTACCGAGAAGATCAAAGTGCACCATGTCGAGAACTTGGGTGTCAGCAGCCGCATCCACAGCGAGAGCAGCAGCGACCATACCGGACTCGATGAGAAGAATACGCCAGACTATCGTGACCCAGAAGTAAAGCGGATATGTCGAAAAATCGACTGGCACCTGCCGCCGGTGTTGGCGTTGCTCTACCTGCTCTCGTTCCTGGACAGGACGAACAGTATGTAATCCAAATACAACTTACCGTAACAACACTGACATGCTTCCTCACAGTCGGCAACGCCAAAATCGCCGGCATGACCAAAGACCTCCACATGACGGGCTCTCACTTCAACATCGCCCTAACCGTCTTCTTCTTCCCGTACGCCCTCTTCATGATCCCATCGAACATGGTCCTCAAAAAGGTCAAAGCCTCAACCTGGCTTTCATTTCTGATGATCTGCTAGGGAACGGTAATGACGATGCATGGCGTTGTACAAAGCTATGGACAGCTGTGTGCGGTAAGAGCTTTGCTTGGGCTGTGTGAGGCGGGATTTACACCTGCGGCGAGCTATCTGCTCAGTTGTTGGTACGCAGTGAGTACATCAGTGTGCTACCAAGGGACAGAGTGTGGATGCTGAGATTGTGTAGCGATTCGAACTTCAAACCAGAATGGCACTCTTCTTCAGCGCCGCAACCCTGGCGGGAGCTTTCTCAGGCATTCTGGCCTATGCAATTCAGCACATGGAGGGAACCGCAGGATATGAAGGTTGGCGCTGGATGTGAGTGTTTTCCATAACAATTCTCAATCATTTCACTCACCTGCATGTCCAGCTTCATCCTCGAAGGCATCGCCACAGTCGCAGTCGGCATGTCTGTATTCTGGATTCTGCCCAACTCACCAGCCACCTGCCGCTTCCTGACCGACCGCGAGAAAGCCATCATCGAACGTCGTCTCGCTGAGGATGCAGGCACAACTGATGGACATGTCGCATCCGACGACAAGTTTGTAAGATCTCGATCCTCTGACACATCGTCTCTCCAGTATAGCTAATTGTCCTCCAGCAATGGTCCTCCCTCTTCTCCATCCTCACAGACTGGAAAATTTGGCTCTGGGGCGTCGTCGTCTGCGGCCAATCCATCCCCTTCTACGCCTTCAACTTCTTCTCGCCCACCATCGTCAAAGAGCTCGGGTACAAATCCTGGCAAGCCCAGCTCATGGTCGTGCCCATCTACGCCGTCGCCTGCATCGCCACCGTCCTCTTCGGCATCTTCGCGGACTGGAGGCAGCGACGCTGGATCTACATCTGTGTGCCGTATGCGATTGCCGCGGTTGGGTTTGTGGCGTTGCTGGCGATTCCGCATCCGAAGATGCCAGGCGTTACGTACTTTTTCTTGTTCTTCATTCCGCTTGGTCGTGAGTCCCACCCCAACCATACCAAGTCTTTTATATCCTAACGACGTATCTAGTGTCAACCGGCGTCGTCGGCCTCCTAGCCTGGGTCGCCAACAACCTCGCCCCCTCCTGGCGCAAATCCATCGGCATCGCCTTCGTCGCCTGCCTCGCCAACCTAGGTGGCTCCATCGGCTCCAACATCTATCTCGAAGAGGAGAAACCGCGGTACTGGCTCGGCTTCGGCTTCAGTCTGGGTGTGCTGTCTGCGGCGATTGTCGCGTGCGTGTTGTTAAAGGTGCTGTTGACGAGGGTAAACCGGCGGAGGGAGGCGATGGATGTCGAGGAGATTAAGAGGTTGTGGAGTGAGGAGCAGTTGCTGGCGATGGGGGATCGAAGTCCGCTTTATCGGTATGTTACTTGAGGGAATGTAGGGAATGTGGGATTGAGGTCTGGGGAGGGATGCTGAGATTGGTATATCACGGCCACTATATCCGATGGCCTTGCATTAGAGCTGATGAGTAGGCTACGCCTAAAGAGTTCATGATCAGGTCTTCATCGCCTGGACATTCCATCCATGGAAACGCTTCCGTGCTGCGCTTTGAATCAAGGTAGCTCAAAACAGATTTAACAACCATCCCCGTCGCACGGCTAGACACAAGCATTTCGATTCTTGCTAATGTGCTTGGATATTCGTGTTTTCCATGAGATACTTGCACTTCCTGATATTGACGATGCACTCACGCCAACTTTCACATGGCCGGCTCGGTCCGCGCGCTAGCTTAGCGCACCCGAAAGCCACAGCCAGCGGTCTCAGGCATAAGCGAACGTTTTCAAAACATGTGAAGTTGCTAGAAGACAACCCGTGGTGAACGTGCAAAGACTCCCAAACACGAGCAAACACATCCAGCATGTATCCCCAACACTTCAACCCGTGGCAGACGGCACACTACCACGCTCATCACCCTGGCCCAATGGTGTCCACGAGAAGAACTCCGCGAGACATCGCACAACCCGCGCCGACGAATCCCCCAAGCGAAGGCCACCTCACGCCAAACCCTCTCAACACCCCACCCGCCCAGGAAATCGACCCGCGCTTCACCGGCCTCCTCCCCATGATCTACGGCGCTGACCTCACAATCTCCCACCTCTCCCAAGACGCCGACACCTTCACGCCCTTCTACCGCGGCCGCAACAGCCGTGTCCGCGCCGACAACGATCCCACTCTCGACCCCGTGCAAGGCTTCATCCACCCCGACGACCCGATCTACAAGTACGGCGGACCGGTCTACCGCGTGCAGCATCCCACGTTCGGACTAATGGATACGATGGTATGCAACACGGACGTGTGTGCGGTGTGTAATTTCCAGCTGCCTATCGCCTTCGCCGTGCCAGGCCCTGAGGAGAGTCCCACGCAAGGACTCCCGTTCGTGCATACGCTGAGGGACTGTCGCGAGGTGGAGGAGGATGGGGCGTTGCAGTTCTGGCAGACGGCGAGGCATGCTTTGTTTGTGGAGGAGTATCCGGCGAGTATGGAGAGGGCGAGGGTGAGGTTTGTGAATGTGGGCATGTTGGCGACGAGGGAGGCGATGTGCTGTGTGCCGGAGGAATGTGGGGAGTGTAAGGGGTTGGTTGGGATGGAGAGGTTGGAGAGTCAGGATGGGAGTCTTGTGGTGTGGAAGAAGAAGGAGGGTGATGGTGGCGGCGAGAAGGAGAGAGCTGGGGAGAAGGATGGCGACGGCGGGAAGAAGAGAGCGGGCTCAATGGGCCCTCCTCCAAAACCTCAGCCGAAGTAGATGGGATTGATGATGACTGACGAGACGATAGCACGAGCCACGAAGAGACTCTTATTGAAAGTCTGCCTTCTATGTGCTTGAGCATGCTCATACTCCCTCTTCAAAACAGTCGGCTTCCCCATGATGCCGCTATTCATCTCATCAAAACCCTCATGCCTCCCTCTCAGCCCCCCAAATCTGTCAATCTCTCTCTGCTTCTCAACCAACACCTCATTCCTCGCCGTCTTTACCTTGTCCTCCAACATAGCCTCCTGGTGGGCAGCCTCCAGATCCCCATGTTCACGAACCCGAACGAAATACTTCTTAATACACCCCTTCATGGCCAGGCTTGTTGTCTATCTTTGGTAGTTTGACCTGGATGAAACAACACGCGAGGAGTGAGATTAGTGCTGTGAGATTAGTGCCAGAGAGCTGCAGTTGCCTAGGAACTACTACAGTCGAAAGATCCAACATTGGTGCGAAGATACGAGAATGCACGCAGGCGGCTCGGGCGAAGTAAAGGAACGGTAGCACAATGAAAATCGCACGAGGTAGAGTAACAGGGGCATTCCTAGCTTTCTGAATTCAAAGCAGGGGGGTATTTGCCCTCATAGCATACAAGACAACAACAGGACCAACAGTGCTGAAGTCTCGCCCTCATGGGCCCTAAACCGTAACCTCACCAGCATTCTCACAACAATCCCTCTACCTCAAGTCGTGGTCTTGAAACCGAAGATCTTCTCGTCACCTTCAGCCTCGTCCATGTGCAGTGAAGCCCTACCAAGCACCTCGTCACCCCACTCGCCACAGCAACGCACGAATGGATCCGTTGGGTCGCTGAGCTTCGCCACGACACGAGCGTACTGCTGGTAGCCTTCGAGCTCTTGCGGAGTAGGATGCTCCAAGCGACGACGAGCCTCGCGCTGGCGGGCTTCGAGCTCTGCTTGCAGACGTGCGGCTTTCTCGGCGGGAGTCTCTTTGGGAAGACTCCAGTCAATGCCGTCCAGTTCGCGATCCATGCTGGCAAGTCGTGCGTCCAACAGAGAGGCGTTCTTGGCATCGAAATCGAGGGGGTACTTCGCCATGTCGGTTGGATCGTTGCGGTGAGCGTGGGTAGTCGAAGAGTGCTCTGGTACCAGCCGAGCCTGGCTGGTCGTCGAGGATGTAGACGTACCGGAATCGACGGCGGCTGTCTGGAGCCCAGCTTGCCTAACCATGGAGTTGCTCTGAAGGTGGTGCGCTGGCTGTGGCTCTTGGCCGTTCTCCTGGTAAGTGATGAATCCCGGGTCGTCCACATTGTCGTGGTCTTGCTGTTGGTTGGCGTGGTCGGGCATGTTGATGAATAGTGGAAATAGTGGTTGGAGCGAGATGAGAGAGAAGGCTGGTGAGGTGAAGAGGCTAAAATACTTTGGTTCGACGAGTTGGTATTGGGTCTGGTGTATGGGCAAATCTTTTTGCGAGATGGGCGCGGGTACACAATTCTTTCGAGACTGAGATTGGCAACATATTTTGTAGGCAGATGTTGCAAGACAATGAGAATCGTGAAAGGGTTCGTGTGGACATGTCCAGGCGAGCCTGGTACTTGGAAGATACCGGAAGAAAGACAAACATGAAGGGAGATATGGAACACTGCGATGCCTTTAGTTGCTCTCATCGGTATCATAGTTCATTGGGTTTTGTATCATTAGGCGTTTGCTCCCCAAGCCTTAAAATCCCAACAAAACCAGTCGTCTAAAGCAAGCGGGAAGATGAACTCTCCTTGCCTGCCATAACAAGACCCTGGCATTAAATAGTCGTCTTGAACCCGAATAGCTGTTCCTCCTCATCGCCGTCGCCCATGTGCAGCAAAGACCGACCAAGTATCTTGTCGCCCCAGTCTCCACAGCAGCGCACGAATGGGTCGTCAGCGTCCTTGAGCTGGGTCATGATCCGACCATACTGGTCGCTTTGAACGGCGCACGGGGCCTCCTGTCGCGGACGGGCATCAGCAGCTGCAGCTCCCGCGGTGCGAGCTGCTCGAGGCAGTGTCCAGTCCATATCATCTAGTTCTTGATTCATCCTCTCCACACGTGCTTCGAGGAGACGCGCGTTTCGCACGTCGAAGTCTTCAAATTGGACGGCGCCTGGCGTAATGGTATCACTGGGTTCGAGCGTGAGTCCGTCGGTGGTATCTGAGTCGGCGATGGTGATGATATGGCCAGCAGCGCCAACCACAGCGGACGGCGACGCCTGAGATGGTCCGGCTTCCTTGTTTCCAACCTCTGCTCCCTGGGATGAGATAGCTGATAATGACGCTGACCCTCGATGGCTCCTGGGAGTTCTTGAAATTCGTCCTCGCCCTGCGCTCGAGCGTGGGAAGCCTCGTGCACTCCCCACTCCTCATGCGAACCATCGTCGCTGTCCTCCATGTCTTGGTCCTGATCGAGGTCGACATCTTCCTCCTCGTCCCCGTTGTCCTCTATATCCGCCTCCTCCAAGTCTGCCTCCTCCTCATCCGTCTCATCCCCCATGTTCTCGCCGTCCACGTCTCCATCTTCTTGCTCCTCGTCGTTGGCAGTCTCTCCGTCTTCAGCCCAGGGAAGCTCGAGATCGAGATCGTCGGCGGCTTGTCCGATGAGACCACGAATGCGATCGAACTCCGCCAACTCATCCTCGGTGTAGGGATCGGTATTGCGCTCGTTCGGGCGGTCGATGTGGAACCACTCCTTCGGTCTCTTGTCCTTGAAGCGGCCGATCCACCGGTCGTAGTAATGCCGGTAGACGTGCTTCTTCGGGAGGTCGGGAAATGCACGCTTCATGAGTCTCGGAACATCGACGCGAGCAAGACGACCGACACCGTCTGCGGTTGTGGCAATCTTGATCTCCTTGAAGATGATGCGAAGTGCGCGGTGGTGATGGGTGTGGAACGCTTTGCCCTTGGCGCGCTTGATGGTCGGGCGATCAGAGCGGCGACCTCGTCCCATGTTGAATGACTACTACGCGCCTGTCAGTAGGTCTACGACAGTTGAGCGTGTTGATTCTGTCGCACCTGTATAGTCGTTTATGCAGTGTCTGTAGGATTTATACAGTCGCGAGTCGCAGTGCTTGAGATCGCGAAGAACAGTGGTGGTGGTAGTGGTCTCAGACGGCTACTTGCAACTGTGTGATGCTGAAGCTGCCAGCTGCATGTTGGAGGTTGCAGGTTATGTGCGATGTGTGTGCTGCTGCCGAATTTGGAAAGAGCGGTTGCCAAGCCAGAGCTTTGACCACAAGTGAATGTTCAAATCGACTTCAACTTGTGCGAAACCATGCCCGCCCAGCGCAAGCATGATAGCGTCACCCACTTGGGTTCATACATCTCCATATGTGTCAATTGAGATCATAGCGTCCGCACCTCTCAGATATATATATGTGGAATTAAAATTTATCAGATTTGGCAGGAGTTGAAGCCAGAGCTGAATGCTGCATAAGAAAGACGGATGGTTTTCCTCTTAGCTATATTTCTGTCCATAGGGTCACAACAAAACCAGGCAGTCAAACGTCTATCTCAGACATGCGGCATTGTTCGACAAGACGATGACGATCAATGGAAGTTCTTCAAGGCAAACGCAGTCTCGGACATGGAGCAGGATGAACTGTTCGAGAGTCACGTAACAAGCAAAAAACCTTCTCAATGGCCGTGCAGCACATATTGATGAAGGTCGCATCTTTAGTAGTGCATATGGTTCTCGTGCATGTGGTTCTCAAGAAGGGGGATTCTCGATGTTGAGCTGAGATTCGGGAGCCATAAGGTTATGAAAAGTGTCCTCGTTCGACTAGAGAGCGTAGACGTGGCTGTAGGGAGCAACGGAGTAGATAGAACAAGACGATGACCTCTATTTCACGGAGGCCACAAGGGTAACAAAACCTCTGCCTAGGATCATCTCCTGCGAAGAGGACAAAAGCACACTTATAGCGACAGCAGCATGGGCAACACAGATAAGGGAAACAAGTCATTGGACGGGAAGCCAGGGTAGAGGGCAATATTATTACATCCATTGATGGCGAACTGTTAGGCATGTCTATACGACAATGTCTTGAATTAGTGCGCGTGGTTCTCCCTCAATCGTTTGACTAGCCAGGCAAAGCCGTCGCACCAGCTTACTCGCAGCTTGATTTTAAACGTTCTAAAATGATGAAACTCTGCACGAATAGGCGTTTCCCTCATAACTTCTCCTCGGTAGGCGCCTGCGTAACAGCTATCCTCAACTTGTACGAGAGGTAGCAGGTTAACGACTATATCCCCTATCTCAGATGCTCTTGTCTATACTACCTAGCTTACGGTTTATCTTAGCGAGGCGTGCGTCGAGAAGGGACGAGTTAAGCTTGTCGAAAGTCTAGCGGATCGTTAGGGTCTCCGACGAGGGTAGTAAAGTCTTCCTCGCCGTCCGTAATAGCCGTAGATAACGATTGTAGTCGGACTTGGCTAGTGCCGTCTTTAACGAGTACTGCTAGGACTATTCCTAGTACGAACTCCTAGAGATCTTCTAGCTAAGGAGACTGCTTAAGCGTATCGTTGTCCTCTGTCCTACTATTACCATTATAGCCCTTAATAGTACCGCCCATAAGAGTAATATAGGTAACGCGATTGTCCACGTCTCTAGTAGAGCTTCCATTTTCGTGCATCTTAACAGCCTCGGTGTCAGAGTCCTCGTTAGTAGAATTCTCGTCTTCTGTGCTCGTCCCCTCGATGTCTTGTTCGGTATAATCCTCCACGCCCAAGTCGTCGATACTAGCCTCCTCTTCCTCCTCATCACCCTCTTCCCCTTCAGCGCCATCATCTACGCCCTCCAGGTCATTTTCAGCTACTTCTTCACCTCGGTCTTCAAACTCAGCTTGGACCGTCTCATCCTCATCTGGCTCTTCAACCTCGATCCAGGGCACCGTGATCCCAAGCGCAACGGCAGCCTCTTGGATCGCGCGCTCAATGCTTGCGAACTGCTCCGCCTCCTCAGCCGTGTACGCGTCCTTCCGCTTCTTGTTCGGGCGACCGACGGTATACCACTCCTGGGGACGCTTTGGCTTGAAGCGCATGCTCCAGTTCTCGTACAAATGACGATGGCTGTATCCACGCACCACCATCTCAGGAAACATGCGGTGGAAGATGCGTAGGTGGTCGTTGTTTGGAAGACAACCTTCCCTCTGGTTGTGATCTTCGTGCTTGATGCGACGGAAGGAGACGCGCAGGTACTGGAGATGCCGAGTGTACCAGATCTTGCGGTTGCCGCGACTGGACAGAGTTGGACGGCTCTTGCGTATCTTGCTGGGGCCTGGGAGAACAGAGCTGCGAGAAGAGGTCGCGCGCAATCCGCCTGCTAGTGTCAGTATCTCCCACCATCGACCTTCCGACGACATACCTTTGTCGCTTCTGAGCTGCATTGTTGGATGCACTTGCGGCGAGAAAAGGGAGAAGTCGGGAGTGGACTCGCGGGTGTGTAGTGATGATGCGCCGCCGATGATGAAGAAGCTAGTGTTTTGGTAGCGGGAGTTGCAGGAAGCTCAAAGTCGCAGCGCAGTCCAAGTCAGCGCGGTGTTTTGACGTCCCAAAATGGAAGGAGCGAGAGCCGAAGCGAGCTCGCTGACGTACATCGAGTCCTAGCCACAAGTGAATACCGCGCCTTGTCACCGATTGCGTAAATGACTGCCATGGTCTATGCTCGACTCCTTCATTCTCATTTCAGCTATGAGCACAACTGCTAAAGCCAGATGCTGCTCTGACGCGGAACTGTATCGTGATCTAGAAGGGACCACCCAAATACTATTCAGCCAATGCTGGGCAAGTCTTTGCATGTAGTCAGGCTTCAAGGAAATTTAGAGTCAGGGCTGGATGATTACCGCATATCACATAGTCGATGAGCAATGAACATAGGGAGTCAGCCTCGGTTGATGCAGGCCAGCAGCCACCGTTCAAGGATAGAATCATAAGTGTATTCTGCAGAGAGTCCAATGGGTCATCTTTGGTTGTTTGGGAAGCGAAAGGGGAAGAATCGAGATTGGAGCCAGAACATCAGAAGACAAACACCTAGCAATGAGTTGCACGGCCTGGTACTGTTACCAGCATAAGAAAGCCCAGAGAGAGCAACGCTCAGAGACTGGATCGTGGAGATTTTGACTTACTTTGTACCTTCAAATACCATTACATCTTGACGATTACACTTCTCTATGAATTGTTTTGTCGAGCAAATCCGCCTGTATCCCGCCCAGTACAACTGTTGGTTACATATTCCATGCAGAAACAAATTGACCTCTTGTTGGTTTCAGGCCATAACACATACCCCAGTCCAGGCTCCATTCATAGTTCTGCATATTTTAGGTGTTATTCACTTAAAACCGAGATAGGCCGCCGCGAGCACGTGCGCGCAGCGGGAGTTACCAGTCTTCTACGTGCAGCTGCCCTCGAAGTTTTGCACAAACACTCCCACCAGACAACCTCGAGTAAGTTACTGGCAGTACTCCCTCCGCTACTGCAGCTGCTAACAGAAGCCTCAAGCCGAACTAAACCGACACTCGCACGTGTACTCCGCAGAAGCTATCAACTGTCTACCTGCTGCTGCCCTCCAACTTCTGCGCAAACACTCCCACCACACGACCTCGAGTAAGATACTATAAATACCCTGGACGCCTTGATCACTGCTAAGAGTGCTGGAGACACAGACTCATTAAACCCATATCGCTCAACTTCGAGATCCAAATTCCACGCGAAACTCATCAACATGGCCTCCCTCCGTTCGATCGGCCTCGACCGCAGCAAGCCGGTTCACGGCCACCCCATCGACCTCTCCTGCTTCCTGGGCGACCACACTTGCCCGATCAACTTCCTCGCCCAGAAGTGCCTCATTGGCGCCTGGGCCAGCTTCCTCAACCTGGGCCGCAAAGGCGACGCCGAGTATCTGCGCCAGCTGGGCATCTCCATTTTCGGCGAGGCCGTCTTCACGACCTCAGTCAGCCAGGCCCTCCTCGTGTGCCAGGCGCCTGCTGGCGCTGCTGACGGCTTTGGGCGGATCGAGGTCTCGAGTATGATGGGCTTGCACATCGCTGATGATCGCGAGATGGGCAAGACCTCGCTGGTGGGCGCGTGGACGTGCTTCTATCAGCAGCTCAAGCAGGAGGGTAATGCGGAGACGGTGGAGAAGCTCGGTTTCGAGGTGTACGGCGAGGAGGCTTGGGAGGCCGCTCTCAAGAAGGCGCTGTACCCAGGCGGCGATCAAGACCAACCCGACGAGCGCATCGACCTCAATGCCACCAAGGTCAACGTGGGTACCGAGTCGTCTTTCCGTGTCAACCCAAACAGCGGCAATGTCGGTCAGGTTCGTGCTCAGTCCTGGGCATTCGAGGTCTTCGACGACGAGGATGAAGACAACACCACCACCCCCAACGTCACGATCAAGAACCCGAGCGCAGCAGCTCCAAACCCAGACTACGGCAGCTACTGCAAGCGCTGTGGTACTTCCAAGGCCAACGGTACGAACGAGGAGGGACTCGGTGAAGAGAAGATCAAGGTTGGGAAGGTTCAGGACGGCGGAGATGTTGGAGAGACATCGCAAGGTAGAAACGCGGTCGGTGAGGACAAGAAGGCTACCGTCCCTACTGGTCGTATTTGCGACCGCTGCGGTGTTGAAGATGGGGTTGGAGGCAAGTTTTGGGGATTCCACGTGCTCGACCCAGGCCACGCCTGATCAGTCCTCGTGCTTCAATTCCAACTTTTCTGGGAAATCAGATGATGGAGATTCTTTGGGTGTGGATAGTTCGGCACGAGACGATGAATATGGGCGAGCGATGAGGCTTTCTGGGGGTTTGCATGGTAGCACGAACGCGAGCAGCGGTATCGAGGCACGAGAGACTACCATCACGAGCAACGTGTACATCTGATATAGTATGCTCTTTTGCTCCTTCTCATGCTGCTGTCTACTCATAGTATCCGTGCTTGACCATCTTCATCTTCTACATGACCTGTCCACCACCCCGTCATCCCTCCACTCATCCCACCAACGGCGATCGTGAAGTGATAATTAAAGGTGGTAGTTGGATTCGCTCTTGGGCCACTGCAGGTGCTCACAAGCCGATGGAGATGCGGCGCAGTGGGTAAAAGCGTGGCCCGTGGTGTTGTTGGAGAGGAGAGGAAAGTGGAAAGAGGGACAGAAGAGTATGTCTGTGAAAGCTAAGGCGGGGCAGGGGTGTGAAACTAGCGGATGCTTGGTTGGACGTCACGTCAAACAAGAGCAGTGTACGAGGAAAGAACGGGATCAAGACAAGGCTCGGAGGTGCCCAAGTGCCTCGCAGGCGATCCATTGTGCATACCAAAATGAAGTTGACAAAGCTTCTCGTCTGCTCGATGGAGCTCTTTGTCTCTCCGAGTGCTCGTTGTTCCTCGTCATCTCCCGTCTCCCACCGTCAATGTCTCCAATCTCTCCCAAAAACACCACAAATCGTCGTCCACGTCAATCACCACTCTTCATTTTCGTCGTACTCCTCTCCCTCTTCGTCTTCCCCCCCTCCTCATCTGCCTGCTGCTGCTGCTCCTCTTCTTCGCCAAAGGTCTCTTTCACCCAGTCCTTCTTCCACGAGCTCAAGCCATAGACATCTCCAGCGGCAGCACGAAGGACGTCTGCGTCGGACGGCACAATCTTGTCCAGGTCGTCTTGGGAGAGGGAGCCGGGAGCGCCGTTACGGCAGAGCTCAGTCATCGTCTTGCGGTGCTTGCAGTCGCGGCAGATCCAGTCGCCTGTTCGTTAGTCAGTATGGTTCAGTACGATCATTCCAGGCCTCACTTACTGCTCTCCGTGTTCTCATCTTCGACACAACGGGCATGGAACCACCCAATCTCGCAGCCCTGGTCTCCACACTCGATCATCTTCTTCCCGTCGGCAGGTTTGCGGCAGATGCAGTAGATGGGGGCGTTGGGGTCGGGCTCCTCCTCCGGGACGCCGAAGATGAGACGATCCTGGGCGGCTTGAAGAGCCGCTGCCTTGTTCCTGGCGAGCGTTGCTCGCCGCTTTGCTTGCGTGAGCTCCGCCTTGGTGAGCTCGCGGGGCGGGGAGTAGGGGGAGCGAGAGGGAGAGGGCGAGGGGGATCGCTTGCGCTTTCCCCCTGCCGAGGGCGAGGACGGACGGTCTGCTGCTATAGCCATTGGTATAGTATTTTTAAATTTGTTGGGGATGATCGCGTAAAGTCGACTGTGATGTTGTTTTCTCCCCGGCGTGGGTGAGGCGCGTGGCGGTGCAGCGGTGTGGCGCTTAGGGGGTGAGGCGCAGATGACTTAACTTCTACTTCCTCTCCTGCTCTCTCCACTCTTCCACCACTGCGTCGACACACTCTCAACTTGGACCGTCGCAAACAGGTATGCCGAACCCTCCACCTGTCGCGCAGCTATCCTTTACTAATTCATACGTCGCGCTCGCCAGTACTGCAAGATGAATCCAGGAGCTGTCACTCAAATGCTGCAGGCGCACACCAGCCAAGGCACGAACATCTGGATCAGGCAAACCATCGAGTCCCCTCACCTACCGACTCAATCATTCCCGCACGATCTGCGCCTTGCATTCGAGAATCGCGAGCTCCTCTGGACCTCCAACGAAGACTTCCTTTCCTCCATAAGCGCCATCTTCTCGTCCGAGGTGGATCATCGTCGGATCAAACTCTGTCTCAGCAGAGTCTTCACTCATGTCGCCATGGTCCCTTCAGCACGCGCCATGGCCGCGCTGGCCAGCTTGCTAGCAAGAAACATCATGGACAGCATACGTGAACAAGCCGATCCGACTCTCGTGGTTGTGCGGAACGGGCTGAACAACGACCAAGTGTTCAGAGAGATCCGCAAGATTGCCAAAGGCCCAAGGGACATGGCGAGACCAATCTCATGCGACTACATCAAAACCCTCTCCCAGCTTCGCCGTGTGTGCGAGCTCTCTAATCTGGTTCCGACGGATGATGCTTTGGCTGATGCGTTTGACACCGTGCTCGAGACTCTAGCCACGGCAGCAGCTCGTACCAATTCGCGACACCATGTCTCCCAACGAGATCTGGATGTCGGCTATGGCCTGGCAATTGGTCGATGCAATGGCTGATGCCCACTCCTTCATCTCGGACTTGTATGCCAAGGGGCGCATGGTCCAGATTTACCGCCTCGTCGACGTGATCGCCGAGCAGGTACGCACATGCTCTCTGCTTACGGTCCAGAACTCCCCTGCTGTGCTTAGGAGAGACTTCGTCAGCAGCATCACGGAACCGCTCACTCGCGTATTCTGATGGAAGTCGACATCTTCGCATACGGTTTTTCTGCGGGTCTCCGATCCTCCCATGTCAACGCCACATTGGACATGATCAACCATTGGAAGAAGTGGAACGCAGAGTGCTCCGACAATGCCCGGGAGCGCGCTCGGTACCTGAGCATACCCCTGCTGCCCGTTGTGGATGGCGACATTGCGCATCCCTGCGACTTCTGGATGAATGCTGTTTACAGCGCCATCAATTACCTCCAACCAAGGTCTGACCCAGAGGATGACTGGCCGTACTGGAACTTCGTGGCGTGCCTGCACAGGATGAACAGTCTTGCGGCGACTTTTCCAGCCAACCAGATGTACCAGAGTCATGCCGCCGTCTTAAACTCGATTATGACCAATACTGACACTCTTGCAATCGACAATGCGGCCATCAGGGAGCTTTTGGACAAGCTCGAAGTCCACAACCTGGATGTCGCCAGCTTCAAAACGTCAAGTGCCTACGAGTACCTCGTGCCACGGCAGATGAAGGGTTGGGTTGACCGTGCGGAGCAGGTGCAGATGCATACCAAGGAGACTGTCGTTTTCGAGACTCAACAGTCTTAGGGACGAGCCTCTTGGACGAACATGCAAGGCTTTTCATTGTTATTTTTGCTACAGAATTACGCATCAGATTGCTACATACGTAGGTTGGGCCTGCTTCATGCTGTAAAATAGGAATTCGGCAGCTTTGGAAACATTTGAAACGTAACGTCCCTCCCCACGTCGAGAGCCACCCGTCGTCGCGAGCCACAAATGCAGTCTGAACCTTTTGACATCGCCCACTTTGCATATCCGAGTATGTCGTGCACATTCCGGTGATGTATAGCTAATTCTGCACTTGCTTGCCGTCGATTCGCAAAAAGGTAACATTCGGTACATTGCTATCCATTATGTGGTAGTGGACCGGAGGCGGCAAGAGTTTGTTTCTCATGATCCCTAATTGCTCGGCCTGGGAAATCCCGAGTACGATGATGTTGCCCTGTACGTACCACTTGCTTACCAATGGCATCTCCTCTCACAGTCTGCAGCTTGAGCGTAGTACTCCTCTATTGCTGGATCTGGAGAACGCAGGGCGTGGCCAAGCCACCAATGATTCATCAGCAATTGCTATCCTGGCCTTCATGTCTCACCCACCTGAGGTCGAACTACACCACACAGACCTGCGTGCGGAATTATTGCGGATCAAGTCTGCAACCTCACCGTCAAGTCTACCCTTAGTCCACAATGAAAGGTGCAGTCTCTGGAGAGCATATAAATCTGGACGCATCGTCGCACGGCAAGTCGTTGTCATCGTACTAGGCCCGGTCAATAAATCATGGCAGCCACGCTTGCCCCTTTGTCAAATCAATCGACACTGCTGTCCGGACAACGAATTGCTTATGGGAAACACGGTCAGGGAACTCCGGTAATCTTAGTGCATGGAACACCTACAGCATCTCTCATCTGGCGGAACGTCGTGCCGTCGCTCGTGCATGCTGGATTCGAGGTGTACACTTTCGATCTGCTCGGCTACGGCCTGTCCGAGCGCCCAAGAGACCCTTCCGTGGACACTTCAATCACCGCGCAAGTCTCCGTCCTGGAAGGCTTGCTGAAAAACTGGGAACTTGAGCAGAAGAAGTTTCATATTGTGGGCCATGATATTGGTGGTGCTATCGTTTAGCGGTTCGCAATCCTTTCCCCTGGGCGTGCGAACATTGTATCCATCGCCATGATCGATTGCGTTAGTTTCGACAGCTACCCCTCAGCACTCACTCTACAGATGATGCAACGAGGATTTGAGAGTCTCCTGCGGGCATCAGATCAAGACCATAGGGCACATTTCCGAGAATGGCTACTATCTGCAGTACACAACAAGGCCGAATTCGAACAAGGAGCTCTCGGGGCGTATATCGACTACATATCTGGTCCTATCGGCCAGCCTAGCTTAGTGCAGCATCAGATCAAACACTACGATCCCAAGCACACACTAGAGGTTTCTGAGCGCTACCACGAATTGGCGCAGTTCCCGATAAAGCTGATTTGGGGAGAGCACGACGCCTGGCAGAAATTACCATGGGCTTATCGTCTGCAGAGTGCGATTCCCGGAGCAAGTTTAGATGTTGTGCCAGAGGCCGGGCACTTCAGCATTGAGGATCGCCCCGAGGAAATCAACACAATTCTCAAGACACACTTCCAAAGCCTGGAACTTAGATCGTAGTCTGATGTTATATGTAGTGGGACTTGATTGAATTTCCACTGGCATACTCTCATATCTATTTCATTGCACCCTCCACAAGACGTCTTTTCAACATCCACGGCATTCAACACCTCATCTCGCACAAACTTAGCACGACCTGTGGTCAACCCCATCGCTCGTCTGCAACCAGATCGTGAACCTGTTCTCATAGTTCGTCTCATCGCCATACCCAAGAGCCTGCAAGCACTCAATCTGCTCCGTGTTCATGTAATCGATCATGGAGTCGAAAATGCCCACCCAGTCGTTATCCGAGTCCGGGTTGTTGGCATCATGGTAATCAAAACCCGGGTAAGACTCGACGTTGTAAGCCGTTACGGTAGAGTCTCGGATGGCTAGCCCATCCCTCCTCTCGGAAGACGGAGCAGACACCGAGGCAGGGTAGGGAGCCGGCATGTTGCTGCTCCAGGCGGCCTTGACGTTGGCGATGATGAGTGCGGCGGTTGGGGCGGCGATGCTGGCAACGATTCCCAGGCCGGCTTTACCGATGCATGTTAATCCAGCTGGAGTGCTGTACAGAAGGTAAGCGCCGTCGGGGCATCCAGCGAGAGCCTTTCTTTCAGCAATGGGCTTGGACTTTTCGTGTGGAGCGGTCCATGCGAGGGGTGCAAGGGAGAGCAGTGAAAGGATAGTCTTAGTACAGTACATTGTTCCGAGTCGCTGGTGTTGAACAATGAGTCTGTGAAGAAGGATCGATGAAGTGTGGGTGTCGAGGCGAAGTATGATCTAGGTGCGATGGCTGATGGGTGTTAGGGAGCTGTTCTAGACGGTGTTCATATGCATGAGGATATTGCTCCACGTGTTGGCTCAAGGGCTACCGATTCGATTCGAATGTATCTGTATGTATCACATGGCGAGGAAACAGATTCATTGCCAAACTGAGTGTCAATTGTGGACTCAATGGAACCTCAAACTGCTACGTTCTCCGCGGGCATAGCGACATCGAATGTCACATTGGATAGATGCCTGAACTGAAGACAAAGGATAAGCCTTCACAGTCTAAGGAGGATTGGAGCTTCCATCGTTCAAGACCTCGATGCCGGTGCTGCATGGATTTGGTGTTGGTCGTCTTGATCGGATAGTTGGAGTGTTCAGCCTCAGTTGCCATTTACCTGTAGATCTCTACTTTAGTGAGAGTGGTCCCGGATAATTTTCGATCTCAGTCCTGACGATTACTCGCTGCCTGTACATACAACCAACATCCACCAGTCGATCACGCCCAGCTCTCTTTTAGTTAGGAACTGGATGTGGTGAACCATCAGTCTAGCGTTGCGAGACGCACGCGGCTGAGAAATCTGGAAACTCAAGACCAGCGCTCTCTCCATTCCTCATCGTTGTGAGCTAAACCCTACAAGCCTACTTGGCAGCGTGGTAGATTCTTAAGTGGACTGCCAAAGCTGTGTTAGTCGATTCTTAAGTGGAGTGCCAAGGCTAGCCGGATTCTGAAAAGGATTGCCAAGGCTGTCTTGGCGAGAACTATGTGCCGTATAAGCAGTAGCCACACTAATGTTCTCGCGGATTGAGCTCCTACGAGCAGCCTGCCCATAAATCGGCCAACAGCGTGTTACTGGGCACCGTCTCCACCTCTACTCGCCGCCCCAACACTCATTCTTTGCCACAACATCGTTCATGTCCCCTAGAATATGCGTGTGCAAGTAGTCCAGAAACTCAGCACATCTCCAGATCCTCTACCCAGCTGCTTATCTAGCTCCCAAAGCTGACCACTCCTGACTCCGAAGTGTATCTGGGCACCTATAACCGAGGACTCGTACTTTACTTGGATAGCGCCTGGTAGATCGAAAGCTGAAAATCATCGACGGCAGGATCGTCCCGAATCGAAGCAGCGCCAAATAGCTGCAGGCCTTGAGGCCAAGCTACCTAACCACTAGCCCCAACCCAAGTCACCCCAGAAGCACGTGTGACCTAGATCCATCAATACCTACGACGATCGTTCCTAGATCGTATTGTAAATTATGTCAGTGGCATAGTTAGCGACAAAACTTTAAAGCTCTTTCCAATCCATCGCTCCTGATCACTAACTACCTGTTCGGTCGTTAGCCTATCCGACTGTCGAAGAAAGATGGCCCCTTCCGCGGCCTTGTGTTGCCTGATGACCTGTCGACGACTGTATCTCACCCCGTTGTCAAATTTAAGATGGACTTCAATGTAACCATAGGCCTTGGCATAGTCATAGAAATGAATACCGGAGGTTAGACTTCAATGCAGTCTTTGCAGGATTTATCGATCCACATACGGAGTGTTGGTGTTGGTTCACAACCTGGTGGTACAACCGCCAGGGGACGATGGGCGAAGAGCGGCACGTGGAGGGAAAGAGTGCCGATGAAGAGGGTATATAGCCTGACTCAGATCTGTTCGTTGTGGAAGATATCCAAGACATCAACACAAACCCCATCCACAACATCACCAGCAGATTCTCAGCCCCAAACACAACCATGTTCTCCAAGCCATTCGCCCTGCTCGCAGCAGCCCTGCTCGCAGTCACCAACACCTCCGCCCACCCCGTGGACCAATCGATCGATGCAAGCTACAGTGGTGTCGGCTGCGACAACATCATGCTCGCCCAGGACGAGACCGACACCGCGACCCAGAACCTCGAGTTCTACGGCCAAGGCAAAACAGTTTCGTTCTTCTCGTACGACGGAGACACCGTCGCCTTCTACTGCCAGTGGCGCACGGCGCCGAAGCTGGATGGCGCTTCGGCTGTGCATGCTTACCAGATGATCACGGATCAGTGCGGTCTGTACGGGGTATGTCGATTCTTGTTCATTAGATTGGAGCCTTGGGTGCTGACGATGGCAGGCTGGCTCTTACTCCGATAAGTCCATGGAGGACAGGACCTACTCGTACGGTTACACGAACTGGCGCACGATGGATTATTGCAATGTTCCGGCGGGCACTCGTATTACCAACCCGGATCAGACCTACAGCGCGTAAGGGCCATGCACGATCAGGAGGCAGCAGAGGCTCAGCATTGCTGGAAGCGAACAGGCTTGCGACTTCGAGATCAAAGCTGGCGGACCAGCATAACCACGCAGGGTCTTGTGACTGTCAGCACATCCTGTTGTTGACTCCATCTTCAAAAGCATATCAATCGACCGTCTCTACCGCATGTCCACCCGCATCATTTCTTTCCCTCCAACCATTATGTGGGAGCCATCTTTTCCCTAGCATTCTCATAACACACATCCAAGTCCTCATCCCAAACCCACTTCATCGCCGCTGCAATCCTCTCCCCGATGATCGGGCAGCACTCGTCAAATGTCAAATCGATCAAATCTTCCGTCTGACAATCATACGTATTGCCCACTTGTCGACTCGCAGCTTGGGCCTTCTGTGCTCGTGGAAGCCGAGCGGACTGGTAGAGATTTACCACACTTTGGAGGTCTGACAGCTCCGAAGTACCTGTGAAGTGGTCGCAGAGTGCTCGGCCTAGCACCCAGCCGTCCTCCATCGCTTGCCCTGACCCAGCTCCCATGTGAGGCAGCATCGAGTGGGCAGAGTCTCCCAGCAAGACCACTTTGCCGCCCATGAAGTGCCACTGATTCAACGGCTCCCGATCATTGATCCGCCACCTTGACGGCTTGCCAGCCATAAGACGTATGATCATCTGCACAGTCTCTTCGTGATCTGGGAAGTCCGCCTGAACATCAGCTCGCTCACATGTTGTCGTCCAGCTTTCGGCGAGCTTATCTGCTTCCGTCTCGGGTGTGTTGGTGAATGCGATGACGTTGAGCTCCCTGCCCTGCGAGATCGGGTAGACGAAAAAATGACTGTGCTTCGCAAGCCACATAGTGGCATAGTTTTCGTATGGCCATTTGGGTATTGAGGAGATGGGGATGATGTCGCGGTAGGCTATCTGACCTGAATAAGTAGCTTGGTCGGAAACGAACTGGCTTCTGATGGCCGAGTGGATGCCGTCGCAGGCGATGAGCATGTTAGCCTTGGCGGTCGTCCCATCAGCAAAGCTGATCTTGATTTTGTCGCCATATTCCTGCGCTAGCAATCAGCCATATCCATGATCGAAACAGCATTTGACTTCTCACCTCAACTTTCTGGCAAGTCTTCCCAGTATGCAGCCTGGCAGCGCTCCTCTCCTCAACCGCACTTTTCAGAACGTCCAACAACGCACTTCTCGAGCAAGATGCCAGTCTAATCGGACCGGGCTTCAGTGGTAAAGGCCACCGAAAGAGCTCTTCGCCATTGTCGTATCGCCTGAATACTGGACCAGAGGCTTTACCTTCGGGGTTCCCGGAAAGAGCATACAGTCGTTCTGCTAGGCCCATCTTATGTGCGAGACGTACTCCATTGATGCCAACACCGATGCCTGCCCCAATCTCCTTGTATTCTGCCGCCTGTTCGTAGACGTCGACTGAAATGAGTATACCTTGGCAGTGGTGGTTGAGGCACAGAGCGGCGAAGAGACCGCCAATACCGCCGCCGACGATGGCGATAGAGAAGTTCGATTCTGCAGACATGTGGCCGAACAGGAGAAGAGGTGCGCTTATGTTGTGAACAGGTGCTTGCTGATATATCTCACGAAGGATTCTCCAGCACTGCGTGCCGCTTCGAGCTAAATCAACGAGCGGCGATCCTGAATCCTTCCAAGATGGTCTTCCTCATCGGCTGACTGACGAATTCCAGAGTTCTTTGGTCTTTCCCTATACTTGACGAGAAGGAATTGTTTCGAGCCTCTTCTTCGGTAATCCAAGCATATTCTGAATGCTCCAGCGGGTCGATTGTAATCGGACTTCGGCCGTAGTCAACTTCGACCAGAAACGTTGTGACGGCCCAGTCGCTGCCCTCGTCGTCCGTAAAAATGAAAGTGCCGTGGATGCTTGCTCTGCCTGTTCTGTTCGCGGACAATCTGCTCTCGTCCGAATCACTGATCTCAATCGGACAGATGATACGTTCCGCCTGAAGACCGGTTTCTTCTCGAAGCTCTCGTATCGCTGTATCCGTGAGAGTCTTGTCAACACTTGAATCGGCACCACCTCCAGGTGTTTCCCATTTCAACGGAAAGGTATCTGTTGCTATCCGCCGAAGGATAAGAGTCTCTAGACTGCTTCCATCAACCTTTTGCCGAACGACCATAGCTCCGACAACGATGCCTGCTATTTGAGGATACTGCGTCCAGACCGCGCTAAGAGGCTGATCGAAAGCTTCCATGCTGGGTGTTCCTGGAGATCACAGTAGGGGCAAATAGTGAGCCGAGATGTTGTTGACTTGACGGTCGACGACCCTGTCAAACTCTTCTCAGCGTCATCAAAGCCGACGGCGGACCTCTGGTGATCCGATATCGCTGCATCAGAGCTTGAAGGTGTTCAGACATAGGCCCCTTAGTCAAACATCTCTATCGTTGGAAAACTCTCCGAGTACTTGAAGGGGCAATTGCAAACATAGCCCATATGGATTGCAAGAGATGCTGCTATAATTCGTTTCATTCTACCGAAATACCGACGATGGCGTTGAACACTAGCAATAGCCTCTTGAATTTCTGATGCCATCAGACCAGCCACCAGCCTCAGACTCTTCGACCATCTTCGAAATCGCTCTACATTGCATTTTCAGCTAGATTTACAAGACAACAGTCGTGGTCAGCAAAGCTGGGTTTGCGGCTATGCGCTCTTTCATTCCAAGGAGCTCGTCCACATCCCACTGCGCCCACACGAATCTGCCAGCCAGAAACTCTGCTTCGGGACTGGCGAGCCAAACAGCAAAGTCTCCGGGCAAGGTAACTATATCGTGTGATCAGGTTATTCGGTATTCCCATTTGCGAAGATGTGACAAGACCGGCTTACGATCTTCCCACTCGAAAGCCCCTTCAGGGGCCAGCTTTGCGACGCTTGTTGTGTAAATCACACCCGGATGGAAGGCTTGAATGGTAACATTTGTGTCGAGGTTCTCCGCAGCGAAATGCTGAACCAATTGGCTTGCGGCCGCTTTGCTCGGACCGTAGCCTACGTTGCCAGGACTGGTTATTTGACCAGCTGCAGAAGAGGTCAAGATGACTTGTCGCGGGCCTGACGACTCAACCGCGAGGAACTCTTTGATGATGTGAAAGGCGCCGACGACATTCGTATCGAAAGTCGCCTTGAAATCGTCGACAGTGACGTCCTTGCTTGGTACGAAGGGATGGCTCATGGCGGCATTGGGGACGAGAACGTCGATCTTGCCGACTTCCTTCATAATTGCAGAGATGCGGTCGTAGTCGGTGACGGAAGCCGCATAAGGTGTGACCTTGGTATTCGGGTACTTGGATTCGATGGCCTGCTTCGCCGTTTCCAGTGCGTCCTGTCGTCGTTGGATGAGGACAAGGCGTTCTACGCCTGCTTTTGCGAAAGACTCAGCAATGGCGAAGCCAATGCCAACAGCTGCAAACGTCAGAATGGTGAAGATGTAGCTTAGGGCCTATTCTGAATAACGCACCTCCGGCCGTGATCAATACTGTCTTGCCTTTTCCGTTCAGTGTGTTTGATGGCGAGATACGATCATACGTTGTTCGGTGATACGTCTTGATCTCAGTCGGTCTAACGTGAGTCCAGGTTGCGGGATCAATCTTCTGGGAGGACATGGTGATTGTGAGCTGAGGCAGATAGATAGGTTGGTAGTTATACGTGTACGAAGGAATGTCTTAGAACGATAGAATTGAGCAGCGCCTTTTATCTAGAAAATCGGTAGAGCTTAACATGTTTGATTGCCTAGCATTGCCAAGCCCAGGCTGATTGGATTACCAATGTATCCCAATTTAGAAAGTGGTCTATGGTGGCTGCATGCATTCTCAATGGACTACCCGATCGCGAACGTATCCCGAATGCGATTCATCAGCGAGGCTGGCTAGACCCCAGCCGGAACAAATTTGGAAACGATTGGTGTTACGGGATTTGTCACCCGCACTGCAGTTGTTCCGCAGACCGACATTAGTTCTTTGTTTTCAGGCTCATAGCTGCCAGAAATGGCCCGCAATCTTTCTATCATTTGCATGGGAATCGTACTCTTAACGGCACTGCTCTTTTCTAGAAGGATGTCAACCTCCACCAACATGGGTCAAAAAGCTGTCTTGCTGAAACAGAAGGCAATCTCTCTCGTGTCTTCCGACAATCATCCAATCCTCCGGCCTAGCGGATCGCAGCTCCTGGTTAAGGTGGCTGTAGCGGGCTTGAATGGCCATGATCAGATGGTGTGCGACATGGGGATCTTCTTGGGCAAGATCGGTCTCCCAGCGGTTCTGGCCAATGATGTTGTCGGGAAGGTAGTCACTGTCGGAAGCCATGTGACTACATTCCACAAAGGAGATCGAGTTGTTTCCCAAGCCGATTTTGGCTCTGGAACTCCGCAGAATGGCCTCCAGGAGTATGCAGTGTTAAACGAGCAATTCACCGCCAGAATTCCTGACAGTGTCACCGACGGCGACGCAGCAACGCTGCCAACAAACATCATTGCGTCGCTGGTCGCATTGTTTCACGACCTCCCAATCCCTGCTCCGTGGACGCAAGACGCCGAGGACTTCGATTACGCGGCGACAACATTGCTCATCATCGGGGGCGGCAGTGTCGCTGGTCGTTACGCAGTTCAACTGGCAAAGCTGGCTGGGATCGGTTGGATCGTCGTCGTCGGTGGGAAGGACGATAAACTCAAGGAGTATGGGGCGACTCATGTCATTGACCGCCATGGCAGCCAAGACGTGGTACTGGACCGCATTCGTCAGGTTGTTGGAGACGATCTCATCTATGCATATGACGTTGTCAACATGCCTGACGGCCAGCTGTTGGCTCTCAATGCCTTGTCCAGCCATACGAAGGGCTTTTTCACGAGGCTACTTCCAATGCCTATCGACGAATCCAAGGTACTTGGAAAAAAAGCTGGCTTCGAGGTGAAAAGTGTCCTGGGTATCTCCAGCGAGCGGCCGGAGCTGTGTCGCAAGTTCTGGAAGAGATTACCAGAGTATCTTGAGGAAGGAAAAATTGTTCTTATCCCAGAGGGTTATCCCGTGATATCTGGTTTGGATGCCGCGAAGATCAATGGAGTTTTGGACGGCTTTCAGAGACAGGAGACATTGAAACACGCCCACGTACACTTGTAGTTGAATGGTACCACGGTGCTAATATCAAGAGTTGCTGGCATGCATGTTGTTCCATTTTCTTGCCTCGGTGCCTGCTTGACTTTCTTATCCTGAGCCTCAGATGTAGGGAAGTGGTTAGGGCCAGGAGGGCATAGACACCTCAGTGTTAGCGCCTAGTGGTGAATAATATCCTTCCAGGCAGCAACACTATCCTCCAGTCTCGAGACAATGTCAAGACGAGACAGGAATGAGGACTGGTCCATGTCTCAATGTCATGCCGAAGTTCGAAGTCGTTCGTCAAGATATGGCAAGCGGCTGAGCAGGACTTGAGTCCGACCGGATTCTGGCTAGAAGCTGTTTAGCTATACTCATGATTGAGCACTGCGTGCTGAACATGACCACCGCCCGCCATTTTCACTGGCCCAATTCATGTTGAACGGGCCGTCGGCTAGAGTTTCAGCCTCAACCCTAACACTTGCTCCTCATTCTGTAGCCAAGAAAGCCACTTTTGACTAGGCTTTGACTAGGCTGTTTCTAGCATGTGGTGTCTATGGGCTTAGTAAAGAGCTCAGCCTAGACACTCTAGGCCAATCTGGTGCATTCGATTTCGTTGTTTAAGCAGCGCTTTGTCCACCCTGCCAAGCCCTCGCCCTCGGACACGGAGCAACCCATGTCGACAATATCAGCCCTGCTTTTGAATCATCGCTGTGATTATAATTGGGCAATGACAAATTCTAAGGTTCCTCAAGCAGGTCTCGCACAAGTCGCAATGCATATCTTCTATGCATGTTGAGGCACGTAGCGACTAGAAGATACACACGCACTCGCCACAGGTACATCTGTCATCTTTTCAACTACACTTAGTTCAGTCTCCTCGTCGCAGCCCCTCTTCAACGCTTCCACGCTCCTACAAACCACTTAAGACCCCAGCATGGCTGCCATGATACGGGACCGCATCAGTCCTCCAACAGACGTAAAACCTTCATTCAAGGGCCGGAACGTCCTGGTCACGGGCAGCAACGTCGGCATGGGATTCGAAGCTGCTGTCAAGTTCGCTGCCCTTGGTGCGGAACGGCTCATCCTCGGCGTCAGGTCTTTAAAGAAGGGCGAAGATGCCAAGGCAGAGATCGAGCGGCGAACTGGAAAGAAAGGTGTCGTGGAAGTATGGCGACTGGATATGGGCGACTATGAGAGTATCAAGGCTTTTGCTAAACGGGTGGACTCGGAGCTGGAGCATCTTGATGTTGCTTGTCTGAACGCAGGCGTGGCGCATTTCGAATATGAGACGAGCCAATATGGTTGGGATGCGACTCTACAGGTAGGACTAACTCTTCTGTTGTCTTGCCGCACAATGCTGATGAAATCGTCCAGATCAACACCATTTCGACAGCCCTGCTGAGCACTCTTCTGCTGCCCAAGTTGAAGGCAAGCAAGACTGGCGGCTCAGTTCCACTTCTACAACTTGTCAGCTCCAATGCTCATGTTTACGTCGCATCGGTCAAGGATGGAGCTCGCAAAGCAGATTCTCCTTTGCAGTTCTACAGCGACCGCGAGAACTTCAACGGGTTTCCGCAGTACGCCATCTCCAAGCTCTTCCTCCAGTTCGTCCAGGCTGGCCTGATCAAGTCCTTGGGACCCGTTGAGAAGGCAGGCGTCGAGGTGGTCACGATCTGCCCAGGCGCCACGAAGTCTACCCTGTCTCGAGACGACTTCTCCATCGCTGTTCGGCTCCTCTTGAAACTGTTTCAAGCTATTCTCAGGAAACCGACAGAGCAAGGAGCCAGAGTCTACATGGTATCTGCTGATATGGCAGGGAAGGGCCACGGCGGGTTCTACTCGTATGGCAAAATCCAGGAGTAGGTCACGACTATCTTCCTCACGTTTTCAGAAACCTGCTGACGAAGTGGTAGACCTGCAGCAACGCTCGTTGGGGTCGAAAACGAGAAGTTGCAAGAAAAGGTGTGGGAAGATGTGCTCAAAGCCCTCCGCAAAGACGAGCCGCAAGTCGATACATTTCTGGCTCACATTTGAGGAACCTAAAGAATGGACAAGCATGCTCCCCACTGAGATGACTCTTCAGTCTTGGATGGAGCATTGGTCCGAACCCACTACTTGTGGGCTTGTGCACGTTCGTTGTCAACTTTTCACTGTCGCAATGTACGTACAGATTCAGTTTCTCCGATGCAGTGCTGCTTTTAATAGTAATGTAAACATTGGCGTAAGCCAAGGATTGACTAGGCCTCGCCTCGTTCTTTGAGCCTGCCGTATAATCATCGTGCACACTTCCGAGAACGCAATATAGCCGTTGGGCTTGGACAGTCGCTGCGTGAGGGCAGGGGGTGAGATTTGAAATGTGGAAGAATGCGCACTTGTGACCGACAGTCAAAGAGGATGCAGATGTGGTCCAGGCAAGGGACGTTGTGTAGGCTAGAGCTAAGACTTCATCGCAACTCTCCGAGAGCAGTCAGAGACGTCGATGAGGTTAAGTCTATCAGAAAGAGGAATTTCATTGCAGAGCGTGAGCAGACCGACCAAGACCAACTTTAGTCTAGTATCACTCGTAAACTCATAACTGAGATATCATCCCATCCATCGACCCTCCTCATACCTTCTCAACCTGAACACTTTCCCCCTCCAATTTCCCCTTCTCCAAAACCCCCGTCCGCGCCGCTTGCCCAACATCCTCAATATCCCCAAAGTCCACCCCGCCAAACAGCTCATCCATCCTCTCCAAACTAATGCCCTTCGTCTCTGGCACAAAGAACCACGCAATAAGCACCATGCACACGCAGAAGCTACCAAAGATAAAGTACGTTCCGTAGCCATGATTCCCGACTGTAACAAGCATGACGGGCGTAGCGCGGGCGACGACGAGGTTGAAGAGCCATTGCGTTGCGGCTGCGAGAGCGACGTTCAGACCTCGCAGGCGGGAGGTGGGGATCTCCGAGACGTAGATCCAGCAGACGGGGCCCCAGCCGAATTGGAAGAAGGCCGCGAAGAGGTACACCATAACGAGGGCGACGTATCCTGCTGGAGAGACGGGTTCTCCAGTGACAGGTGGGTCGAAGCGGACGTAGAAGCCTAGGTAGAACATGGCGATGGCCATGGCAATGCCGGTCCAGACGAAGGACCAGCGGCGGCCGAGGGTGTCTGCGAGGAAGATGAGGAAGAGGCCGCAGGCGACCATTTTCACGATGCCGTAGATTCCGGTGGCGAAAAGGGAGTTGGAGTTGCCGGTTATGCCTAGGTTTGTGAAGATCGTAGGGGCGTAGTAGTTGATTGCGTTGGTTCCTGTCATCTAGATGGGGAGTTAGGATGAGATGTAGAGTATGGAGGGTAGGTATCACTTTACCTGCTGGCATATCATCAACACGATCGATAGGATTGCCCGCTTGCGATTGCTCGGCACAGTCCACATCTCCTTCACGATCGGCCAGAAACCCTTGCCTCCGTTGACGCTGTTCAACTCTTCTTCCAACTGTCTCTGCATCTCCAGCATCTCTGCTTGAACATATGGATGATCTTCGGGCAGCTTCCTCACATGCGCCAACGTCCTCGAAGACTCCTCCCAGCGGTCCGTCCTCGCAAGCCATCTGGGCGACTCATTACAGAGGAGCATGCCGATGAACAGCAGCGTCGGCGGAAGACACTGCATCGCCAGCGGAACCTGCCACTGACCATTGCCCTTGATATGCAGTTGAGAGCCGTAGTTAATCCAGAACGCCAACATGGCCCCCATGGTCTCGAACAGCTGATACAGTCCCACCAACATCCCCCTCGTCGCTCGTGGTGCATTCTCGGAGATATACGTTGGCGTCAACATCGTCGCAGCACCCAGTCCGAGCCCCTCCACGAACCGGCCTGCATACAAACACCCGAGATTCCCTGAACTCGCCGCTTGCATCATTCCTCCCAACGCAGCAAATAGAGCCGCACCAAGCAAGCCAGGTTTCCGGCCCCAGCGGTCTGAGCATGGGTTTGCGACGAGTGCACCGAGAAAAGCACCACACTGCATGACGGAGACGATGTTGGCGCTGAGATTTGCGTCGGCGAGTTTTGCATTCGCCTTGCCGAGTTTGGAGTACCCAAAGGCGGTTTCGAAGGTGGGAAGGGTGATGACGCCGCCGATGATGCCGATATCCTTGATACGAACTTGTTAGTGTATGTATGTGTTAGATAAAGACGACTGGGATTGATATACCATGCCAAACAGCGTCCCGCCGAAACATGAGGCACAGGCGAGGAGGAAGACCCGAAGATTGTAGATTTCGGGAGGGTCGACTTTCATGGCATCGTTGCGCACGATGCGCGAGAGGAGGCGGTAGCCGGCGCCTGCCATTTTGATCGAATGTCTCTTGGTCAGATTACAATGGAGAGGGAGACGAAAAAGAAGTCAAGATAGACTCAGCGAGGTTGAAGTAAGAAACACACCCATGCCGGAGCTTGTGGGGCTTGTCGGGTATTGGCACATGGCCAAGAGCACGTCTTGAGGCAGAATGCGAGGGAGGATTGGTTCGTATAGGACTGCATGTCGTCGATCAATGCTTGAAATGGTGTAGTGTTCGAGTTGTCGCATGGGGTGTGTGGGGTCCCCACGTTTGGGGGAGGTGGCATGTGGAGGAGGTTTGGGAGGATTTAGCCGGCGGGTAAACTTGCGGGGTACTTCACTTCACTTGTTGATGAGATATGAGAGGGTTTCGACTCAATATTCGTCCCTCGATCGTTTCCCAATCATGATCTGGACCTTTGATGATGTTGAACTCCTCCCAAAATTTCCCAACTTCCATTCTGTTGGGCGATTCACTGGATGCTCACCAAATGAAGCAGTCCAATCGCTGTCAATCCTGTCGGTGTAGTTCAGGCCGAATATTTCATCCGTTTGGGTTTCGGTCACTTTCAGCGTTTCTTTCCCGAACTTGGATCTGATCTGATGCCTTAATGTCTTGTACTCTGCTCTCTATGTCTCTGCTTCGATTGTGTCCTGTCGACAGCTTCGTTGCCTCTGAGTTCTTGTCCTTATATCTTCCGTCGACCCGTTCTTTCTTTCTTTTGCTTGGTAAGTAATTGCTTGCACCCTGCAACCAAAACAGCGCCCACTCTCCACTGCTCTGCCCCTGACACAACAGTATGTCGTGGATGCGATTGCGTAGCTCAGCGTGGAGATAGAGGAGAGGCAAGCGGGACAGCTCTAGCGGAAAATTTGGAAATGCGGTGGCCAACTCGGTAGGGGCACGAGCGACAGCGGTGCCAAGTGAAGAGAAACGCTTCATACCGGGCGTACTTTCATGCTGCGGTATTTTTGCTGATGTAAGCGTGTACAACGGGCTCCATTCTAATTCAAAACAGGATGCAGAGTCCGCTCAGCGAAGCAACGGAGGGCGCAGAAGCAACGGAGAACGCAGTCGATGGCGCTACCGACTCTAGCCACGACGCAGTGGGCGCTCGACGCGAATCGACTCCAGCTCAACGCGAACGGCGACGACATAAGAGATAGAATTAGTAAAGCTGTAGCAGAAGCTATCGAGCGTACTAAAAGTGCAGACAAAGCTGCGCATTTCCGTCACGTATACGTCTTTCTCGTGATGCTAATACCCTTTTCGGCTCTAAGGTGAAGAAGTCGACCCCTACTACGAAGTCTACGAGCTGCAAGACGCAGAAACGTGCCAAGACCCAGAAGTTGTTGCTCCTATTCAGAAGAGTTCGTCAGGGACCCAGACAGCGTGGTGGAGGCTTGAGAGGGGAGCTCACGCCCGCATTGCTTCCGCGTCGTCGCCTCGAGCATGTCAACACAACAGAAGATGTCCGCTACAAGGCGAGACAGCTGGAATTATGAGTGCATTCCATGTACCGTAAGATAGTTCCACATAGAAAGCAGGCGCCCATGTCTAACGACAGCAAGGCGCCGAGAGGCTCGTCGGTCTTGAAATCGGCGGGAGTATGGCTCCAATGGTCACATGTGATCGGGGCGGATCTTCCTGTATCTGTCTGTGTGTGTAGTGCATGTTATACAAGAAGGTGACGCCGCAAGCCAGTGTCGTAGTCGTGTCGAGAGGTGATACCGTAACGAAGATTTGGGTGCCTCACGGGTCGGGCTCCAAGTCAGCAACTAACACCCGGGCAGTCGCCGTAGTGGTCAGCCAGCCAGCCTATAACATTCCGACCTGTTCCTTACCATGCTCATTTCCATCAAGATTATAGACTGATATCGTTCCCACGGGCCCCTGTCGTGGATCATCCGAAGCGCTAGTCACTCACTTGCTTCACTTGTTAACAACATCTCTCTCAGAGCAGCTACCATAGCACTCTCATAATCACCGGATTGATTCCATGGATATGCACCAAGCCCCGGAGAACGAGCGCCATTTGTGGCGGTATAACATCCGCAGCGAAAGACAAAACCGATCTACCGTCCATGAAATACTACGAGGGTCATTACTACCCTTACATCTCACTTGTACCTCCGCATTTTCATTCACTCGCCCAAATAGCTTATCGCGGCTTGGCAGAAGCTTACTCGGCTGGGCGGCATGCTAGTCAGCATCCAGCTTCCCAAACGGGTATAATCGACGCCGATGACGGCATGACAGCTTGCGCGGCCCACCAAACAAGACCTGTATCGCCACACTCACGTCCATCGTTCAGCTCGACGACATCATGGAATCTCTGGAATCATACGACCAAAATATCTCAAATCATCGCATGACAATACGACAAATTTCCGGCGATTGAGGCACAGTAATGAACGGACAACGAGCGGATCCTGCGCTTCAGGCGTGGGCACAGCCGCAATTGAGAGACTTTCTGCCCTTGGAGGATGAGCAGCTGGAACAGATAATAGCGTATGCGGCGACGCTTTCTGGTGCTGAAATCATTGATCATTTCACCGAACTCTTGGGAGACAGTCAGGAAGTCGTACAATTTGCGATTGAATTTAAGCAACGCAAGGCAGAGATGGCGGCAACGGATATATCGAAACATTCTCATGATGTGAAGATACCGAATGGCGCTGGAACCGAGAAAGGTGGGAGTCGAGACTCCAAGCTGGAGCCCGTTCAAAACGGGCAATCGCCATCAAACAACGGCGAGAAAGCACCACCGCCGACTTCAAACAAGGTCGCACCGCCAACAGGAGCTCCACCGGCGTATGCACCTCCTGCAGGACCTCCACCTGGACCAGGAGCAGACAGACGCAATATCCGGAATCACACCAACCAGGTCATCGAGGCAGGCAAACTGCGAGCGCGAGACGAACAAGAGATGCAGCAAGCACTTCAATCATTGCAGTACCAATACCGAATTTACAATAGCGACATCGAACCAGAGCACGAGTCTGACTTCTACTGCGGGTGTCCAATCCATCAGTACAAGCGGCGCAAGTGGAACCGATACGGCGTTCAACGGGAGTGGTCGAAAGCGGTGATGTATCCAGGCGAGAAGGCATACGACGACAACACCATGTACGGCAAAAACCAACTCTTCAGTGGCAACCCTTATACCTTCCGTGTGGTATCTCCTTATGGCTACTGGCAGAATACATGGGCTCCTCCGGCTCCGATACCTGGCTACTACACTCGATCGCTGATGCAGACGATTGAGTTGAACAATGCACTAAATCGGGAGGCACAGGCCAGTATCAACAAGAAGGAGCCGAAGCATTCAATCTGGGAAGAGAATCAACTGGAGGGTGCTCTTGGCAGGATGAACATCAGCGACGAGAAGCGGAGAAGCCTGGTTCCTACTGATGCTTCTTCTTCAGCCCGGCCAGAGCCAAAGTCGAGATTATCAAGCTTTCGCAAGACTCTTGGGATCAAGTCGTCTGACGAAAGAACCATTGGCAAAGCTGAGAAAGCTGTTGGTCATGGAAGCGACGTTCGAAGTTCCATTCTGCGGGAGGAACAAGGACGGTGGCCCGACGAACTGACACAAGCTCTCGTCACTGCCTATCAGCAACACATGGGCATGTACGGCAAGATTGCCGATCTTCGAAATCGAAGTCCCATCCAATATCTGCATCTTCTTCGAGCTGGATACTTCGAGCCAATACCGGTGGCATGGGCGAATGATCCCTCGAATCCTCTGAAGTTCAGCATTGAAGCGGCCGCCGGTTGGAGAGGCATCACGCCTGCGTGGAGAGGCTACGAAGATACAGCTGAAGAGAGATTGTACTGGGTGCTGAATCATCGCGAGGGAGCTCATGTTGTGTCAAGACTGAAGCCTGACTACATCTCTGAGATGAGGATGGCACAGGAACGAATGGCCAAAGCAGTCCCGCCGCCACCAGACTACTACTCAGCCACTGATCAGTGTCACATCCAGCATACCTCAGCCGGCTACTCGAAGCAAGTCATGCCTGCACCGCTGCGACTAGAAGACCGGCCAGAGACTGCTACAGACGACACAATGATCCTCCTCGATGTCTCTGGCTCTATGGACTTTGACCCAGTCCGCCCCATCTACAACGAATATCTAGTCACCGGCTGGTCAAGATCAACCCAACCCAAAAACAAAGACGTCGCCCACGCCATCATCCGCCGCTTCACCGACGCCATGGAAAACCACGACCACCAGTTCCAAGGCTACGACCTCGTCACCTTTGCCAACAACGCCCGCCATATCGGTACTATCAACCACCAGAACTTCGATCAGATGTGGCGGAACGTCCGACTGGGTGGTGGAACGAGAGTGATGACTGGCTGGCAGAAAGTCAAGGAACTTCATTTCCAGAAACACTCCGAGTCCGCCTCCCACCACCCCATCTACGGCTGGCAAGCTGGTCCTGAGACGCCCATGCTCCGTCTGCTGCTCCTTCTGGACGGTGAAGCAACGGATATGGACGAGTTCGAGCTCGATCTCCTCGGTCTCTCCTGGGCACACGTAACGATCTTCCTCATTGGCGTCGACGGCTGTCCGCACCACCATCGTCACGCGAACGAGTTGCAGAGGATCAGCGATGTCAACCATCACGTCAGCTTCGTCGATGCGCAGGGAAACTGTCCGGAAAGGTTCGTCACGCACGAGTTGTTGAAGAGACATTTAGGATATGAGATTAGTATGAGTGAGTTTGAGACCATGGAGGAGCTGCCAGCGTACTCAGAGACGTGAGTGAAATGTACTGTATATTGTTATGATATGTAGCGTAGTTACTTGACAGCGTTTGTAGTGGATAGTTTCACCCTTCAGCCAGCCCGACCTCACCCCAAGCTTGCCCTCTATCAACAACACAACCCGAGAAACATAACCTCACAACCGACATTCATCTCCATCGAAACACGACAGTCCACACCATCAAATGGCCCCTCCAACAATCACTCCCTTCCCCCGATCTCGGGGATACACCTCCAGTCCTAGGAGAGGTTACTTCGGCCCGCACGACTCTCGCTTCCCTGGGTACCGTGGCGTGCTGGAGAATCACTGGTAGCCTCTGGATCGCGTGGATGCGGGCTCACCTGCGGATTTTGCGAGAGCGTATTACGCGGGGAGATGGGATGGGGACGCGGGCGTGAATCGGTTTCGCGCGATGCAGCAGCAGTGGATGGGTCTTCAAGAGGGAAGTGAGCGGCGTTTGCTGGCGGGGTTTCTCTGAAGATATGAATAGGACTGGGGGTATGGAAGGACGACGAGGAGCTTGGACGGGGATGTTGGAATGGAGATACAAGGGGAATTGGATGAGGTCGGGTTTATTTTGCTCTCTACGCAAGGGCGACGGCGCCGGCTACTTCACATCGTCACGCAGAGCATTCTGGGCTCTAGATTCACTTGGCTGAATGCCTAGATCTCCTTCTCAACATCCCTCTCAACTCGCTGCCCGCGGCGTCTCCTCCCGACCCAAGGCGAGATACCATATGGCTTCTTACCTGGATCGATCGTCTACATTTCACATCAGCAAGGACCTACACAAGAGCAAAACGGGCCTCACCCAAGCCTGACAACCATTCCGTCCAAAATACCTCGTCCCTTCACCCCTAGGTCCACCCCCGAGGCAAACCTCGCCCAACTGCCTCGTACAAACGTCCTTGGAGACGGGCTGAACGGGAGAGCATTTACCTATAACGCACATCAATAAAACCTTCCTCGCCTCATCATCAAGCATTGTACGTACCAGTAACCTTGATCGTCCCGTAACCCACCGGACCCCACTTGAGACCGGTGCTGGCGTACTCAGAGGGAACGGTAAAGTCACGGCCGCAGAATGACCGGATTGCGTCAGGCAGCCAGATGTTCTTGGACTGGCACATGGAGAGGGCTGTGGCTGCTTCGGTCGTGGCGGCTAGGCCGAGGAAGACGGCTAGGAGGTTGGTGAGCTGCATGTTTGATGTTGTTGTATGACGGTGATTGGCTTGTGGTTCTTGCTATGTCGTGGTTGGATTGCACGGAAGGGGTTGGGAACTTGAGGCCTCATACGTATATGTGGACAAAGACGGGGCCTTGGCAGAAAGTACAATATCAAGAGTAGTAGTGAGGTCAGACGACCGCAAGCATAACGAATGTCTGCCGTTCGCCCCTGTCTTCCCCATACTCGATGCCCATAATTGCCCCTTCCCGGAAGCCAGTTCGTGGTCTTTACTTGTAGTCAGCAGTAAAGATTGCAGTCCCAATTGCCAGAATCCCGTTTGTCTTGTCGGCTTCGTCTGCTACGCTGGTCCTGACACCGATAGTAGGAAGATGGAGGACTGGGGTCCCAACTCGGAACAGTCGTGTCTGGGAGAGTCTCTTGTCCGCGGGGCATCCAGTCAAATCAGCATTGCCTTCTCGTCAACGAGTTCATACCAGACTTACTCGTTTCCGGGGATGCCAGTAGGCCACAACGTGGGGCCAGTTGGAGAACAAAGACCCAAGAGTGTTCAACAAAAGCCGGATCTCTTTCGCGGCGGCCTGGACAAAGAAGGTTCCACTGGGGCTTCTGAATGATACTTCGTAGCCAGGCATATTGGCAAAGATGACCTGGCACCGTCCTACATAGTTGATTGATAAGATCCGATAGGTATCGACGTAGTGGTTTCCCCGCTTGCTCATTCTTCAGCTATTCTTGATCTATTGCCCACCCGACAGAGGCGTCAGGGGCGTGGATCAAGTCTAGCGCATGCATGTCTTGGAGAGACAGTGTGACGTTTTTTATTTGGCAAATGGAGAAAACGGGTAGCCTGACCTTCTGTAGGAATGTTGTACGGTGCCTGCACCTGTTAAACTCACCCCTGAATTTTCTGTGAATCTTCACCTGTATAGCATTTGCACAAGAACGTATATCACCTGATCATGCCGCATTTAGGTGAATCCCACTATACAGCTGAATAGCATTGTTTGGTAGAAGGTGAAGGGCGGAAGTTGAGTTTAACACATGACGCCTGGCGGATTTTCAACTTCATCTACCGTGCTGGGTTCAACTTCTCCTCGCCACAAACACACACTCACTCCACAATCTGCAGCCATCCCCGTCCGTCGTACGCATACCAGTACTTCAACAACATCATCTATACCACGATCGCTCGAACAGATTCAGAGAAAATGGCGGCAATCGCGAAGCACCTCAAGGACGCCCAGCCCGAAGACCTCGTCCTCATGCGCATCATCGAGGACATGGCGAAAGCGTCTGCGCAGGTTTTCACGGGCCACGAGGACGAAGAGAGGATACAGCAGCGTATCAAGGGTTGCCAGGCACACGACGTCAACGACGAGGTGCAGGCAGCATACGAGAAGGACTTGTTGAAGCGCCTTCATGCGTACTTCTTCTTCCATGAGACGCGTGCGATCTTCAACTCTCACGGCCATGTTGCCACCCAGCGCCCCAAAACCACGAAGCCAAAGACCCAAGCGACCGCACCACCGACCCAGGCTGCACCACCCGCGGAGGCCGCCCCTGCCAATATCCCGAGCATCACCGTGACACCGGCGCCAGATTTCGACCTTCAAAAAGAGGTGATTCCAGTCGAAGACGACCAAGACGACGATGAACCAACAAATTTCTCGAACTCGACCAATGCTCTCACCACCATTCCCAAGAAGGGCAGCGAGGATCGTCAGAAGCTGTGGTCCAACTTGGAAGTCAACGAGAACGTGCTGGAGAAAGTGGAGATGCAGGGCAAGGAGGGACTCTTCTACAAGTCCCAGCCTAGCATCAGCAAGCTGCCGTTCGAGGTCAGCTTCAAGAAGTCCTCCATCCGCCCCGTCATGAACATCCTGTTCAACGGTGAGCATAGCATCAAAGATGCCCGGGTGCTCATCAACTGGGAGATTTCGTGCCAGTACCTGACGCAGCCACCCATGCCCGTCATGGTGGCCGTCAAGTTCGCCAAGGACACACAGGATGCCAAAGTCGATGCTGAGCTCGCACCAGCTACCATCGGCCAGATCGCAAAGGCGGCCATTCTTCTTCACGCAACACAGAAGAAGTATTGGGTGGACGGAGCGAAGAGCTGGAAGTGGGAAGTCATGAGCATCGCAAAGAAGGACCTGAAGGGCGAATTCAAGGAAGCAATGGGCTTGATGAAGTCGAACCCAGTCTTCCTGCGCGTTGGCCAAACGGTCTCCAGCTCAGAGACTGCAGTTCTGAACAGGAACTCCAAGGATCCTGAAACGCAGGTCGCCGAGAAGAAGGCACTGGAGGGAGACGAGGGTCACGAGAAGGAAGGTATTGGGGGAGAAAGTGTGATCAAGAGGGTCGAGAACAACACGCAGGAGGAATCCGAGCAAGGCTTTCGAGGAGGAATCAGCAGGTTGGTCGGAGGGTTCGTGCGGAAGGTGCTAGGATAGTTCAGAGGGAGCCCCACATCAGATGATGAAGGTATCGAAAGACCAGAGGGTTTGTCGTACTTCTTCATGGACTAGCACTCGGCGAAGTGCAGTGCATAGACATGTGTTCTGCAAACAGATCCGAACAGCGGTAATTGACTTTCTTCCCAATCCTTCTCATAGACCCTCTCCCTGTGCCCACTGGTGATCATGTCCTGGTGATCTTTGCTTTCGTTTCGAGCATCGCTCTACATCACGTTTGAGCCTTTTGCAACCGAGCAATCCCACAAGCTAGAAGGAGGGGCAAGTCTTCCTTCCATTGGGCCCTGGAATCCAGACGCGAAGTGCTCGGGCTTAACACTCGCCGAACGTTTCTTTGCTTGTAATGAATGGAGGGCAGCATGTTGGTGTCAGCTCAGAAAGGCACTTCACCGGGACTGAGGTGGCTTGATTCCTCTTGCTCGTACAGGACTTTGGCAACCTTAGCTATCAAGATCCAGTCTTCCCTCCCCAGACGACAGCGTTCAAGCCCAAGTCCGAAACTAACCTTCATGTCTCGCTGCACCAGCTTTGGGTCAAAGAGAGACTTCCTAGGCCCCCAACCCCGGCCAAACTTTGCTGCTGTGTCCTCGAACTTTCCTCAGCATGTGGCTGTCAGACGGATCGTAGGGGCCGTTGAATGTTCACGCGCGAATCCTTTCTCGGTCATCTCGCGTTGCTTGCGTTGCTTGCTTGTCTTTTCGAGTCCGCCGTGGCTGAATGTGTCGTAGCCCTGGCGGAAGGAAGAACACTCCCACCACCGCCCCTGAAACGCACGAACCACCTCTTCTTCACTTCGATGTCGCACCAAGCTGCTTTAGAGCGCCGGGGAACTCTGGCAAGCCAAGGCGCTCTCGCTCTCTCGACGCGCCTGTCATCCTTCTTCTGCATCTGCTTGCGGACATCGTCGGCGTACAGGGCACGATGCTCCTCGACGTCGTAGTCGCGTGGCCAGGCACCGGAATCCTTGCAGACTTTGCTTCTCGCGGAATTGGTGCGGCGAATTCGCTCCTGCTTCTTAACGCCAGGAGCGACCCGCTTCTTAAATTGCGAGTGCATTTCCTCGTGGGTGATCTGTGTACAACTTCAGCTTCGTTCCCTTGCCTTTGCTGGCAATCGATTGCTTGTCCTTACTCCAGCCCACACCCCTGACCGGCACGCCATCCTGGTCTTGTTATTCGAATCCCCACCAAAAGCCGCCATGAACGATGAGCGGCAGGTCCACCTTCTGCTGGAGGAAGGCAGCCTCTGGAGAGATGTGATCGCTGCTCGTTTAAACGCGTCGTTGAGTTGGCTGCCGGCGAGATACGCCTATGGCTGACGCAAAGGTCATACCTCTCGGTCGTTCATCGATCGAATCGCGAAGTCTTGCAAGCTGCGGACGAGGGTTTTGTGCTTGAGGAGGTAGGCGTGGCCACCACCGATGCTGTCCCCTGCTTTCCGAACTCGCCGCCAGTAACCAGCTTCTTGCTCTGGATATGGTCGAAGATGCCGGAAAGATGCTGGTCGTGAGAAAGACTCTTTGTTGGAAGCTGCTTGGCGAAGAGCCGTTGAATACGTTGCGGCTGCTCTCTGAGTGAGGCTTGCCGTTCCAAGTACTGCTGCGTTCTTCTTCGTGTTTTGTTTTCGTGTCAAGACTCGTTGCCCGACTGATGTTGTCGCATCTCGCAAACTAGTCGCGTCACGGGGCGATTCGTGAACAGGCGCGTTCGTCGGTAGGCCGTTCTGATAGAGTGCGGTGCTTGTGGCAGCGTGAATCTTCTGCTTGCTGTGCGCGTCGTTCGGTGCTGCAAGATTGAGAACGGCGTTTGGTGAAGCCAGCCTTCGATGCGCGGGCTGGCTGTCACTCATTGCACATGTGGAATGGATGTCAGCCCAGACCGTGTTTGCCGTGTTTGGACGATACCGTCGCGTGTTATCCAATAGCCGTACGATGTGCAGCAGGTGCGCGATTGCTGGATGCGAGGGTGTTATTGAGAAGGACATAGACCTCTACTGGGCGTGGGCTTGCGCGAAGTGCTGGATGATACTCGCGGTGCTGGTGGTGGTGGATGAGGCGTATGTAATAAGACATAGACGGATACACAAAGATGATGCAAGCAAGACGCTATGGATATCATGCCCATATCGAAAGGTTGTGGTGGTGGGTGTGCGTGGCGGTCGTGATGGTATGCGGCCTGCAGCAGGACTACAACATCATCAAGTCACCAAGGGTATTGCGTGCACTACTGTGGAATAATGATGATGTTATGCGTGCATAGAATAGGCGGGAGAAGAATGGGTGGAGTGTTATATGGTGAAAGAATCTATCGTCAACATATCCTCTCAGAGCAACGGCTCTGAGTTGGATGGGGGAATGGTGTAGCGGTTTAGCGGGATTGGCGAGGGCGGTAGTTCGAGCGGGGTTCAAAAGGTGCGTAAATTTCATATCTCTCTTGTGACGTGACATGGCAACGGCAACGTCATTGGCACGGCGGTACGAAAAACCCGATCGCAGAGGTTTCTTAGGTCCACCACCGGGGTGGGCATAAGTTTTGTCTTTTTTGGCTCTTTTTTGATATACTCGTGGCGATGACTACGGGTGCGAGCACTGGCTTCTACCTGGTATGCATCTTCTTTTGCTGTGCGGCTGTGGGCGTGTTGGCGGGTTTTCATCTCAGCTGGTATGAGCGGGGCTTTGTTTTTGTCGATATTAAGAGCATTGTGATCTTGGATCGATCAAAGTGATCGTAAATCAATGGTCAAACGACTGCAGTCTCTTCTCAGAATGGGCCACGGCACCCAAGATCGACCACCTGCATCTCAACATCGTTCACGAGCAATGAGGAATTATTATTTCTTTTTGTCGTTGAGACATGTTGCAAAGCCCAAGTTCGCTCAAAAGTCTTGGCAGCGGCAGTACCAAACTTCGACTTGTCGCTTCGATTCTGCGTCTTCCAACAACACCACACTTTCATTTTCGACGACCGGCGAGCTCCACCTCGACGGCAGAACAACGGCTCGTGAGCAAATACAAGACGTCACAGGTCTGTCGAGGGTCTTTCTTTTGCCAGAAACCAGTCACTGACTTCACACGCAGTTTCCGAACACCCCATCATCTGAGGGCGGTTTCACATCCCTCTGACTCTGCGACGAGATTCCAGTGCGACAAGTCGATCAGGCTCTCGATCACTGGACGGCTCACCCTCACCCATCAGCGTGTTGGTCGTGCCGTTCGCGACATCACTCACTATTGATACTGAGTCGACAGCTACTCGCCGACACTTCCGATCACTTACCTCGAGTCACCATGGCTGTCGATGAATGCCAGCGTCAAGTTGAAGACGATGTTTCATCCGGTGGAGGAAGCTGAGGAGAACTGGACCAAGCAGAGCAGAGACTTCCAGTCCGCGGACACCTACATCCGCCAGCCAGAACCGGACGGCGGCTTCGTCATCAATGGCCCAGAGCCAATTAATGGCGCTGTTGCGAACCCGATCATCTTCACGGACACGAAGCTGGGCAGGTGTATCAAGTACAAGACTGGAAAAGGCAAGGCCATCGCCATCCTCAACTTGAGCAACGTCATTCCCAAGTCAAGCTGCAACGACATGCTTCTCACACAACCTCCCATCAAGAGCGTCGGCTTCGTCAATTCCACACGTGAGTACTTCCAGAACGGATGCGTGGTGGTCAACTCAGATGGCGTCACGGTGGAAGAAATCTTGGAGAAGTGTGGTCCATCTGCTCATGTCGCTGTCGACCTTGGGAATGTGAAGGTCATGGAGCTGGAGTACATGGAGAGGATGAGAGCAAAGGGGCGGTACATGGAGACTTGGCGTGAGTTATTCATTGACGGGTTCACGGCTGGATGGCGGTTGACGCAGTACCTCGACGAAGACGACATTTCTCGGCTTGCTGCGGTCAACCTTGCGCTGCTGTGGAGATATAGGCCTCACGTTGCGAGAATAGTCTTTCCACGAAAGTGGTAGATCAAAGTTGGATCGTTTGTGCAGGGGGAGACAAAAGCCAGCAAACAGCAAGGGAGGGTATATCAGTTGAAGCCTCATTCTTTTCAGGCAGCATTAGACCTTGTTATTGATAGTGACCTGTATACGTGTTCCCCATTTCGATCGTATACTTTACATCATGAGGTGCGGTGGTCCACTCCACACACTGAAAGCCAGCTTCTCGGCCATGTCGACACACGACTTCGCCCGCTTCTCCTTCGCTTCATCAACTTCTACACATCACAATATTCGACCCCCTCCCACCGCCAGACTACTGTCGCATACCTATCTACCTCATCGACTGCGTAGTCACAGCTATATCCACAGAGACACCATGGCTTCTGGCAATGAGATGACTCCTATCGAAGAGACTTTTAACATCACCGAACTGCTTGAGGGCCTCCTCCTCCAAGTTCCTGAGGGCCAGGCACGTCGCATGCACAGCTATCGCAGCAAGACCATTTCTATCACCAACAACATTGAAGGATCGATTCAACTCCGGCGCCGGCTGTGGTTCGATCCAGCGCCAGTACCTCACCACGGCGACCACTGGTTGCTGAACGACAACACGCGCCAGATCACGTCTCTGGTTCCCACGCAACCGCTGCTGCTAGGGCCACATCTTCACCTATGTCAACCGTATACCTTCAACCGCGACTACTTGAACGACTCGGCGAACGGACCTCTCTTCCCAAGCCAGATGCACCCAAACAGAGCAAATGGCACTTTGGCAATCAACGATGATGTGTTCTTCATCCGCGATGGACGTAAGGACTTGGACTGCTTCATAGTCCAGCCACCACTCACATCTGCGAGCATTTTACACGACGGAGCCAGCGTTCTTGTTTTCAACCTGAACGGCATCAGAGTGAGAGACGTGCGCGACGCCATGAAGAGGGCAGATCCAGCTGCGCGCGAGGATTGGAAGATTTGGATCGCTGGTGCCGTTTTCGTACCTCAATCTGCCATCACCCACGTCAGGGAATATGGCTACCTTGAAGTAGCGAAAGGGCTTGGGGAGCTGTTCCACGACAATACCCTGCACTGGAATGCCCCTCAAGGCACCAACAAGCAAGTGCGGCAGCGAATATACCGCCACCTGGCACCGTCAGACCTTTTGAAAGTCCAACAAATCAGCAAGCCTGTACGCGATGCCATGGACTGTCCTGCTGTGAAGGAACTTCTTTTCTATACCCCCTCTCAGCAACAGCAAACTTGGGTGATCGACATGCAACAGCCCATCCAGCCTCTCGTTGGCCGCTTGACCGACCCCAGCGATGTGCATAGATTATGGTGATCGCTCGGAAGAGAAGATCCAGGGAGAGAGCGATACTACGTCAAACCTGTGGCAAATGTCAATAACGCCGTCTTCGCCCTGCCCGAAAGCAACATCTACCAGCAAGTCGCTGAGTGCGAAGTAGAGCTCGTCTTCAAACCTTCACTCAGCACCGTGTATGATGACAGCAATCTGCACGAGATGTTGTTGACTTCGGCGCCGATTCAAGAAGCCGATGTCCTGGGGAATGGTTTCGAAAGCTCTATCCGGGAACAACGACCACTCCAGGTCAAAGACATTCTGCAAATTTCGCTGCAGCCTCAGTCTGGGCGTGTCTTTGACCACATACTGGTCAGACAGACGACGTGGGACTGGATGCAGAACAACGTCAGTGAAGTTGATCGGGAAGAAGTGCATGGAAGATGGAAGGATTACATGTGGTACCTCGCGTGGAAAGACGCCCACGAAAGCTGAAAGCATTGTCGAAACAGAGGTTTCTACTCTCCAGAGTCTCCTCTTGCTGGCATTTTGTCCCATGTCTGAAGACTGTGGAATTCTCTTTCCTATACACCTTTGGTTTCGATGTCTGTCGTTCTGGATCCCCAATTCATCGGCGTCTCTCACTGATTAATGCTACTGTTCTTCTCCTTTCCTTTATCCCGGCTCGTCTTGTCCAGTTGGAACTTCTCCACTCCACGGAGCTGTTCATACTGATCTGATACAGACGGTGCGGGAGTTGCCGCCCGCTGTTTGGAGTGAAGATGTGAAACACGACGTCAAGACAAGCATGGCGCTAAGACACTCAAGCGTGAAAGCTTAATTTGAGACCCATGTCATGATCCACTGCACATTCACAGAGCACTTTCAGCCCATTTGCATTTTCATATATCCACTCAACCGCTTCTCATCGTCCGGTAAGATTGGCATGTTCTTCAAGTCGTCCACCAAGACGTCGCCTTGATCGAATATTCACAGTACTGCCACAGGCTGAGCCCATTATCCTGGTAGGGGGCCCCATTGTCAGAAGCAACGCCTGCAGAATTCGTCCTATCTCGATCATTGAAGGAATTGGCAGTCTCCCAAGTCTTCCTCACGGCCGAATGCGGACCCCTCGGCCAGCTTCAAAGCCATGACGATATTGATGCGGGGTTGCTCGGCGCCCTGAGCCAACAAAGAAATCCAAAATCCCAGTATTGCGGCATCTGCAAACGTGCGAAGTAACAATGTCGACAGGCCTATCAGAGACATACGACCACACCGGCAAGCCGGTCAAGCATGGCCGAGCCAGAGTTAACGGCATCCGCATGCATTATATCACCGCAGGCCAAGGTCCACCTCTTCTCCTACTCCACGGCACGCCGAAGAACAGCTTCTACTGGTATCGTCTGTTCCCACTTTTGACCGAGCACTTCACTCTCGTCGCTCCAGATTTGCGAGGGTTCGGATATACCGACAAGCCTCCCACGACCGATGGCTACGATTCCAAGGAGCAGGCGGCCGACGTGGCAGATCTGATGACGCAGCTGGGCCATGAGAAGTTCCATCTGCATGGCGAGGATCGTGGAGCGGATTATGCGTATGCTGTTGCGGGGCTGTACCGGGAGAGAGTTTTGACGCTGTCGTTTTGTGAGATGCTGTTATCGGGCATTGGGCTGGAGGAGTCAGCACTCTGGTCGAAGGAGAATGTTACAGCGCAGTTTAGGCAGGCCGGGGTTTGGTGTTGGGTGAGTATCAAAGCACAGGGCCAAGTCTGCCGATCATTGACGTTCTTCACAGCACCTCCCATTCTTCTACATCCCGCATATCCCCGAAATGCTAATCCAAGGCCACGAGCGCGAGTTCTGGGAAATGTTCATCAAGCAAGAATGCTACAATCCCACGACCGTCGAGCCCCTCGCCCTCGACCACTGGATCGAATGCGTCAAGCAACCAGGCTGTCTCCGCGGCATTCTCGAGACATACCGAGCGGGTTTCAAGAACGGCGATATCAACCAGGAGCTGGCGAAGGAGAAGCTGACGATTCCGGTCATGACGATTGGGGCTCCTGAGTTTTTTGGTCCGAGAGTCAAGGAGTGTGCGGAGAAATTTGCTGAGAAGGTTGTGAAGAGTGAGCTTTATGAGGAGTGTGGGCATTCGTTGGCGTTGGAGAAGCCGGAGAGGTTGGCGAAGGATTTGTTGGGATTTATGTTGGGGAAGTGACGAGGAAACTATACCAAAGTGTACGACCTGTTGAAATCCATGCCTCGCATGCTGATGTTTCCCTTACCGTTGGGCGGTTTCTTGTCGGTCCAGAGGGTTCTCCTGAATTAAGATCGATCCATTGTGGATCAATGACTGACATGTACCTTCTGCTCCGCGCTTTCACTGTCTCTGTAAGATCCAGAAGGATGAGTTCAAGAGAGTCGGGCAATTAATAGCGCTGTCAGTGCTGCTCCTTGGACAAACCGTGTCGTTTTGTCTGGCCGCCTGGACTCGTGGCCTCAAGAAGATACTAGGAGAAGGCAGAATCTAGTCCAACTATCTGCTAGCCTCAAGCGTGAGTCTGAGGGCTTGAAGATCCATGTAGTTCCTTTTTCTCTCGCCTTCTCCTGCAGGTAGGGAGTTTCAGTAACTCAGACATTGTTCTATCAAGCCTAATGCGAGCAGTCACCCAATCAAGCAGGCTACCCGCCCTCCAGCGGAGGATGGACTCAGTGATCAAGTGAATGCTGGCGGAAGCGCACATCCTAAGATGTCGAGCGTCGCGTGTCGACTCTGCTTCTGTGCCCCACCCCCTGGACTTCTTCTCCCGGCGTCGCCCCTCTGCGTCTGTCTTCTCAAAACACCCCGAATTGTCCAAACACCTCGTCAAACACCGCGCAGCCTCCAGCGTCGGCATCAAGAACTCTCACTTTACACGACTCGCTCTCTTCGATCACTCGTCCCTCGACCGACCTACCTCCCTGACGAACACCATGGGTCGCAAAGATCGCAAGACCATCTCCTCCGGCAACAACGGCACGCCAAAGTGGACCGATGAGCAGCGCCAGGCTCTGCGGCTCTGCTACAAGCTCTGGAACCTCACCGACCAAGAAGTCAACGCCCTCATGCACCGCTGCTACCCTGAGTTCCGCGAGACTGCCGGCCGCAACTACACCTACGACCACACTCGCGACGAGTACAAGCACCGCTTCTCCAAGCGGCGCTCGAAGCGCTGGCACGCCATCGACCGCCCGAACAAGTTCAACAGCACGCGGTACACGCAGGAGGAGATCGATGAGCTGTATCGCGTTCAGGTCATGGTCGAGGACGCTGCTTCTGCTGGTCCTGATCAAGATGCCATGCAACTCACGCCTCGAGAGAATGCGCCTTTCCCCCTCACCTACCCGAACGGCATCGCCTCTGCTCCAGTTGTCACCAGCACAGTCCGGTCCAGCCACTGACGAGAACGCCGACACCGCTGAGGACAAGGGCGTCAAGACTGCTGATGCCAGCGTCGAAGACGCGACTGGAGAACAAGACGAGGATGAAGACAAGTATCCGGAGGAGTTTTTCGCGTTCGACATCACGCAGCATCTTGACGACGAGGATGATGCTGCTGGAGCTGAAGCGGATGCGAAAGAGAAAGATGAAGAGGAGGATACGCCAACAGCAACGGCACCCACACGGTGCTCTGCTCGCCTCCGGGGCAAAGCGTGGAGATTGAGAGGTTCGGTCTGCAGCTCTGAAAGCAAGATCTCATCACGAACAGTACCTAGCCGTTGGGCTGGAGCGTCGGCGCAGCAAGCAAATGCTTAGGCGCAGCCATACAACTCGCAGCAGCATGTGGAGATGATGGAGCTAAGGGATGCGGCGCTGGATGGGACTCTCACAACCGCGGAGGCATAAAAGCAACGGCTCCGATCCGCAACGACGGTCCACGTGGCATCTATTCATTGTCAGACCAACCTCATGAGCTTCGTTGATCGACTCTCCACCACGACTACGATTCCACCTGGAAGCATATCCGAAAACGCGAATGGACTTCTGGTCAGGTCTTGAGTAGACTGCAGTATCCTGCTCAAACACGTGTCTTCACGTATATATGCTGCTCACGTCGATAGACCGATAGAGGGATCCACCCGGTCGGCGTTCGATCTCGTAGCAGCATCAAGTGTACGCAAGTCTTTCGTACGACTAAAGATCTCCCTTATCAGCCTCATGCCTTCTCTGTTGTGCACACCGCTTTCACCTCCCACTCTGGCAATCTGTCTGCTCAAACTCGTCAGCCTTTTCATCACTCTGTATTGATGGGTGCCTGAGTTACTCTTTCCCTGAAGTGCTCTCCTCCTCCGTGTTCGAGAAAGACTCATGTCATGCTCGCCTCCCTCAAACCTAGAGCAACTAACCCACCAGCGGTCAATGCGCAAGGCGATGCAAGTAACGAACCACGAGCGCACTACATATTCAGGCTAAGAGACAACACGCATCCGGTTCCTATGAGGCCTGAGAAGTTCACTCCCAGGAAGAATGCGAGGTGTTGCAGCTTGTTTCAATGTCTTTCCACGTCTTGTCAAAAGTCATCAGCAATTTTTAAGTGTAGGCGACACTCGAGAGATTTGCGTATCCAAACGAGCGTCAGATCCATGTCCGTCGGACAGCGCATGAAGCATATGTGTAGAAGCGTTGTTGATAGAAGCTCTAAGGAACAAGACCATTTATCACGCACGACTTGACTGATCCTCTTTCGTGTTCGAAGGGCTTAGGACTCAAACTGAGGTTGACAACGGTGGACCCAAGGTCTTTCAAATAAAACATACCAAACCCTCGTTTCTATTCATGAACCATCGGCGACTCTCTCTTTCCAACCCCGGCATTCCTCCTGGAGCCTATACCAGGTGGGAGATCCGCTCGCTCTGAAGGGAGAGCGGCATCCCCCACCCGTTGTATTGCTCCTCCGAGTACTTCTTCTTGAGGAGGCGCGCGGCTTCCGCCGTCACCTTCGCGTGCTGGACGGTGCGTGCTGGAAGTGATGCCAGAACAGTCTCATCACCGCTGAGAGTGAGGCCTGACGGTGGCCTCCTGGACTTTGATGGTCAGTAGATGTCTGAGGAATAGAGGGGTTGGTGGTGCATACATACCGAAGTTCAAGATTGCTCGTGCTTGACCTCAGGCTCCTCGCTGCCAGAGACTCCATCGTCCTCATCGCAATTGCCGCAACTCTCGTCAACGGTCTCTTGTTGTGGTGAAGTATTGTCGGTTCTCTGCTGATGGCGGTCGTGGCGCTGGTTGCCGCCGTCTTGGCAATAGTTGTTTGCGTCTATTTCCACTGCTTAGATGGATGCTGGGAGGACATCTCGAAGGCGAGAAAGAACGCGGTGTTGCTGCAATGGTCGGGAAGCATCGAGGTGAGAACGTGATGTGGATGTTTTGTTGGGCCTCGAATCTGTGCTTGGATCTGCATTGAGCGTAATCACGTGCGTGCCTCTGCAAATGGAAGGAGCTTCCGCATACTGCTTGACGTCGACCGCTTCAATGCTTCATTCTCCCTCCCGTGTATCTGACCCAACGCCAAGGAACTCGACAATGACACTATTAACCCGCCGCAGCATATACCACTGTACGGAGTCACATGCAACAATAATGCATACATACAATTTCGAACTTTGTGAAAATCTCGTCTCGGGAACCGTATTAGAAGGCGGACCACAAACTTCTCTTATACTGTCTACAGACTATCTCGATTGCTTTCGCAGCATCTCTTGTCTCCACGCAACCCCGTTGCCAGACACTACTTGCTGCTTTGCTGCTTTGCTAGTGTCCGGGACGCAGATCTGAACAATTAGGAATCTACAGATCATGAGACCATGAGAACATATCCAACAGAAAGAATCACAACTATTCCGTCAAGCATTCTCACCGACAGCGGTGCCACCCAATGGACGTATACTCGCACAAGCCAACTTCCGGTATCTGGCAACCGCCAACGCGCGTACTTGGAAAGCAGCCTTTGACTTTCGCAGCCAGAGTCCGTCAAATTGAGTCCCATTCGCGGCCGCCAGTCTCGTCCGCGTCATCCTCGAGGGAGCACACACAGAAGAACCCGCGCTTCGCGGGACCGAGCGATACGAACACGAGCCGTCCGATACGACATACTGCACGGCGAAATTTTCCCGAACCAGATAGCCCCTCGCTCATGTCCTGTTAACCGCGTCCTTGGGCAACGGGCAGAAAATGTTGTGTATCAGAACTGGTTTCAGATTTGCCGTTGTTTCTGTGCACTGCCGGCTTTTCGTGCAATCAGAAATCCGTACAACTACCGCCGCCGTCCCATACCCCCACTAGCGCTGCAATAATGCCATTTTCGCCGATGAACGGTAGGATATTTGACATCGGCAGTTCCACGGCTAAGTGGAGGAACAAATGCTGGAGCCTGGCCGGTTAACAAACTACATAAAAAGATTTTGTGTGGAGAGTCTCCGTCAGCGATTTCCCTCCCTTCCCTCCCTTCGAACAATTGCCCGCGCCATGAAGATGCTTTTTACCTGTCTCTTTGCTCTGCTGCTGTCTGCCAAATCTCACGCAGATCAATTTCCATGCAAAGCCAATCCTTTGGACGGCTCTTGGCCTTCTGAGTCGGAGTGGGCAGCATTGAACACCTCTCTCGACGGTCGCCTTCTGCGTACCCAGCCTATTGCATCTTCCTGCTGGCACACTACCAACTTGGACTCGCCATTCTCTTGCTCAGCTGTTCAAGCCAACTGGAGCTCAGGTCTCTTCCATGCGTCAACGCCCGAATCTATCGACGCCTCAATCTTCGCCAACAATTCATGCCTTCCATCTGGGGTCGATGGCTATCTGGAAGGCAAAGGCTGCAGGCTTGGTGGACTCCCATCCTATATTGTGAATGCGACGACCGAGCAGTATGTCGCGACGGCGATGAAGTGGGCCACGGACCACAATGTCAGAATCGTGGTCAAAGGAACAGGGCATGACCTCAACGGACGGTGAGAATCCATATCATCCTCTATTCCTGCTGGACTGACTTCTATCATAGTTCGAGCGGAGCCTATGGAATCTCCATTTGGACTCGTCACTTCAATCACCTCAAACGTCATACCACATGGAAGGTACCCGGCTCGAATCGAACAGAAGATGTCTTCATTGCAGGCAGCGGACTGATGTGGGGCGATGTCCTCCCAGAAGCCCTTCATCAAGGTCGTGTCGTCACAACAGGTCAGGACCCAAGTGTTGGTTTGGGTGGGTACATCCAAGGTGGTGGCCATGGCCCATTGGCAAACACCTACGGCCTGGCTGCACAACAAGTACTTCAAGCCACTATTGTCACAACTGAAGGCCAAATTCTCGTCCTCAACGAGTGCGAAAACACCGATCTCTTCTGGGCCATTCGCGGAGGCGGTGGCGGGCAGTATGGTGTAGTCACAGAATATGTGATCAAATATCATCCTGCACCGTCAAATGTGGTCACGGGGACACTTTCTCTCGCTCCTGTCGACGAGAGCAGGGCCAATGCGTCTTGGAACGGAGCCGCAGTACTGTTTCGTCACCTGCCCGATCTTATGGATGCCGGTCTCGCCGGGGCAATGAGCATGGCATCAGGATCCACTGCATCCAGATTCAATCCATCTTTGCCCAATGGCACCAACGGCGCCTCGGTCACTCAGGTTTTCTGGGCTTTCAACACGACCGCTGAACAGGTGCAGGATCTGGTTCGCCCAGTCATTGACAAGATGCGCGTCTATGGCAACAAGAGCACTTTGTCCATCACTTTCGATCCGAAAGATGTGGGTGACTACTCAGCTTTCTACAGTGCCATCTCTGGCAGCAACACGGCGGGCCAAGGCGGCATCTCTTCTAGTCGTCTGCTCGGCCGGGATGAGCTTCTGGAGTCGCGCCACGACTCGCTAGTCTCGTACCTACGCCGCACAACCGCCGCCCAGAATCAAACCGCAGGGACGTTCCTGACTGTCGGCCTATCCGGCGGCCCAGGCGTCATCAACACACCCGACTACCGCTGGGGTGCGTTGAACCCATCTTGGCACAAAGCGTACCTGCACTTGCTCGTGGGTGGTGCATCGACAAGTCCCAACGAAACTACCTCTCCCAGTCAAGCCCTTTCGAAGAATGCCGAGTGGATCGAGGAGAACAAAGAGAAGTTGTGGCGGAAGTGGGCGCCTGACATGGGGGCATACATGAACGAGGCCAATCCGTACAACAGCAACTGGAAGCAAGACTTCTATGGCTCGTCTTACCACAGACTCCTGGAGATCAAGAAGAAGTACGATCCCGCTGAAAGCTTGTTCGTTTTGTCGGGCGTGGGTAGTGACGGCTGGAAATATGACCTACAGGATGGAACCCTGTGTCGAGTCTAGTGATACGCAGACGTCCCACTGGGCTCATCAGGTCGTCGAGTTGCTCATCAACAACGGCGGTTGATGTGTCATTGTGTGGATTCCCAAGGAGTCTTCATGGGCTGGTGTCCGGACAAAGACACGGCAGATAACCCTTTCACAAAACAATGCACACTTCTCGATATCAACAATGCCATTGTCGTTCGAAGGGCATTTAAGTACATCACGCTTCTTTTCTGTTTTGGGAGAGCCCACCTGGAAGCGTTCGAAACCACACTCGCACGTAGACCGGTTGTACCGCACCGTCGCTTCGAGCACTTCCCCTGCAACCTGAGACTCCAAAGAAAGCCGCGCGCCCAACTGCTCCATCGTCATGGCTTCCGATTTGAACTTGACGACCTCTGTGACGTTTCAGTTCGTCCTAGCGCAGTCGACGTATCCAAATCTCACCCGATCATGCAACAACACCCCAAACCTCCGCCTCATCCGTCAAACGCTGATGCTTCCCATGCAAGCCAGATGCTCGACATGCGGTAAGTCTCACGACTTTCAATTGCCGCTGAGCGACCTCAGTCACGGCACTGACAAGTCGAGGTGGTACGTTGGGGCTGATGCTACGATTGTTCCTTCCTTGGACGAGATTGACTCGCTGGGTGGTGATCAGAAGTACTTCCACTTCCATGGCATCAAGGTCAAATCACGGACTTTCGATAAGGCACATATGGAGACGAACACTGACAAGGATGATGTATTCCACACCCACACGGTGAGCATGAAGGGGGAAATCGCAGCCGTTCTCGAGCAGCTCGGTGCTCGGCTGGGCAAGCTGTACCCAGGCCCCTTTTGGAGGAGAGTCTGGACGTCCACCTCGATGCCTGGCTGTACCAGATCAAGAAAGCTCCAGGCATGCGCTCGATCGCTGAGCTTCTCAAGGGCGTGAAGGTAGCACGGATCCTCGACATTGACCAGGTAGACTCCAAAGGCCCACTTAGTTTCAGCCAGCAAGCCTCCACATTCGACTCAACTGCAGTCATGGCCTGGATCGACGTCCTCACCAAAGTCGTTCTTCGCGCCCACTACGCCGAGGGTACGTTCTTCGCTTGGCAGTTCTCAGGCGATGGCGAGTATCGAGCACCGAGCTATGATGCCGAGCAGATGCTCAGAGACCTGCACGTCAAGAAGAGAACGATGAGGTACTACCGGTCCAGCAAGAAGGACGACATCTCCCAGCGTGACGAGGACTTGGCAGCAGCTCTTGGGTCCACGTTGAGAGGTGATCTCCTTGGTCCACTGGCTATGCACGTTGCCAATACTGCAATCGCAAACACGAACCATGACAGGGTGAAGGAGACGATTGGGCAGAAGTTGAGGGCAGGTGGGTATGGACGGTACAACGCCTCTTACATTGAGGCTGTTGGGGCTGCTTCCTCGAATAAACCACGCTCACATGGTCGGAGGTCTTCGTGGGTTTTCATTTAATAGACTCCGCATGTAGAATTAGCTGGACAGGTTGAAATTGGGTGGCTTTCTGGCTTCATAAACTTTCGTGTTGTTTCTCAACACAACGCATTTCGCTGTTCATGTGTTCTTCGTGCAACGTCCTTGTCGAATCTCTGTCTTCTCGCCTCTATGGGTCACAACAAGACCAAAGTCCCTTCCTTTCGTTCTCTGCGAATCTTCAAAACAACGCCGCGTACTCAAATCAGAACTCCAAACAAAGAGACCCAGTCATCCATTGTCCCAAGTCTCGCTCATGCTATTGGCTATCTCGGTCTTCCACCCATCCTGAACGCCCTTTTAAGCCCAATCCATCGCATTTTCCTCCACTTTAACAGGTTTGGCCTTCAGCTTCTTGATCTCGCGCTCGGGCTTCTCCTCCCAATCTCCTTCTCCCTCCGTGTTGTCGATGTCTCCCATCTTGCGCTTGCTGCCGGCTAGGGGTGGAATGACCGGCGAGCCAAGGCGGAATGGTACGGGCGAGCTCAGGTATGCAGCGTCTGAAGACTTGCTGGTGGCGTCGCGTTCTACGGCCTGGTTCTGCAGCTCGATGGCAAGACGGTCGGTCGAGCGGCGCGTAACTCTCTTCTTCGTAGTGGGTGAGAGGAAGGAGCCGGGAGTTGGAGAGATGGCGAAGTCGCTGTACTCCTCGTCATCAGACCAATAGATGTTGTTGGTAAGACGCGCTTTCTTGGTGATGGGCTTGAAGTGTGGTGCCATGCCGGAGGAGATGAAGTCGCGATCCTCGACTCCGCTGTCTTCGTCCTCTTCCTCATCCTCGCTGTCGCTGTCGCTGAACTCGGCCATCATGTCGTGGTAGGCGCGAGCGCCGTCGGAGACGCCGTCGTCGAAGTCATCGTCTTGCTCGAGGTCTTCTTTTGAGTCGCCCGGAGAAGGGTTGCGTAGAGGCGCCTCATGGGCGTCCGCGGGCTGCATGGTCACTTCCATCATTGTTGGCTTCAGGTCATAGGTCATGTCCGTCTCCATGGCTTCAGATTGTTGTAGACTGAGGATAGTTCAGCGTTGGCTTGGTTGAGATTGATGAAGACGCGACGCCGCGATACGAACTGTGTGGTGATGGTGTTGACTTTACTGCTGAGAGAGTTGGCGGTGGGGCGACAATGAGGGGCCTGTCGCCAATGTTGGGATTTGCAGCGTTTGTTTTCTGCCCCAAGGCGTTTGGAGACGTGACGTGCAGTTATTGACGGTGAACGCGACTTTTGGCTTTTCGTGCGCCCTCCTCCGAACATTCACTCGCTCCCTTCCGCTTCCCGCGATTGGCGTTCGACGTCTTGGCATTCGCATCTCACCCCTCTTACATTTTATTAACTTTGAAAGCAATCTGATAAAATAGCGCTCTTTTTTCATGGGCTGCGATGTCTTCACAGCCGTCGCTGGCAAGTTGTACTAAGTGCTACCTCCCCAGCTAAAGCACGGACATTCTCGTTAACAACGATTGTAGAATCGCGGGACAGCTATTCAATAACATTTTCAAGATGATAGACGCACGACTACTGCTTAGAAGGCGTTCGCAGTGGCACTGACAACGTCTGACAACCAGAGCCATTACGAGGCGCCTCAAGAACCGGAGCGTTCTCACGAGATGTCGAATCAGGAACTTCGGAAGAGACTGAAAATGTGGGAAAGCAGTAGGCATCGAAGGATGTATTTCTGAAAGACTAATCTACATGATGAAAGCGAAAACGCCGGACTCCCAATTTCCCAGAACCGTCAGCTCGTCAAGCTGTCTGGATGCGTTGCTCTGGGCGTGTGCTTCTCCTAACGGATGGTTCAATAGCATGCCATCATCGAGCGGAGTGGCGAAGGTCTATCAGTCATCACCCGTGAGGTCGATGACGACTTTGGCCTTCTTTGAGTTGCCGGGATTTGCCTCCGTGCTGGTCTCGCCTTCAGCCGAACGCTTGCGCTTCACAGCTCGAGTGCTGGTCGAAGCAGTCGCCTTAGCCTCGCGATGGCCAGAGCTACGGTCTGCAGATGATGCTGGTCCCATTGGCATCTGCTGGACGGCTGGAGCTGGTTGAGGGACGTTGTCGGTCAAGGCAATGCCGCTGCCAAAAAATCCCGGAGGAACTAGCAACGTCGTCCAGTCAAATTGCTCGAGGAACTCGTACATGGGCTGGTCGGCTGGAATCTGGACACCGGTCCAATTGATCACCAGTTGAGTTAGGCGCCGCTCACGAGCACGAACATCGATCTCTCGGTCCGAGATTTGATTAGCGACGTCATTGATTGCAGCCTCGCGCAGGTCCAGCTCCCATTCACGGTCTTCCAGCTCATTCTGACGCTCGACGAGCTCGACGTCAAGGGCATCGGACGATGGAGATTGAGGAGCAGAGGGAGACGCTGCAGGGGAGCTCGGAGAGCTGACGTCGGAAGCCGGGTGTGCTGGGCTGGAGTGGGACGACATGGTCGATAGTTGTTTGGGGGTGACGGTGGTTATTCAGGGGAGGAGAAGCTGCCTGGTGGGGTCGAGTTGTATGAGTGAGCCTGCAGCGTATGTCGGTCTTGGGAAGATTCAGAAGTTATGATGTGGACTGCAGAGCGACAACCGGTGTATATATAGGTACCGAGCGGGCGTTATAATGACACAGTACCGTCGTGTGTTGTGTTTTCGTTGGTATAGAATGCAATTGTAGCCAGCTGAAGCAAGTGGTTCAGACGAACAAGATGCTTCAGCCAAGTGCATGGACAAAGGCGCCCAGGAAAAGGCCTTCTCAGTCACAGGCTTGGGCTTGACAGCTTGGGCGAAGTAGCCCAAACTTTTATAACCATGGAACAAGTCCATTATTACCTTCAAGTATCTTTGCATTGAGGTTCGACGTGTCTCAGCGTGAAAAGGAGATCCCGAGACAATGATTGAGCTTCGCACCTTGCAGGCAGCTCGTATCGCAGACGGCGGATCTAGCGACCGAACAAATGAACACTTCATGCCTAACTATGCGACATACCATAAGACAGTATCACTGACTAGAAGGTCTTACCATCACTTGAGCCTAGAAGAATCCACCATAGGTGGGAGGTCCACCGCCCCAATTTTCATACTGCGGGCCGCGCTGGATATGATTTTGCCAAAGTCCAGCATTGTTGTACCAGCTCCTGCCCGGCTGGCCCAGCCATCCGCCGTGGTAGTCGAAGTGCATTGTCGGATGTCCAGAGCTGCGATAACGGCTTTGCGTAGAGCGTTGCAAGTTGCGAAGTCCAACGTACTCGCGCGGGCTGTAGGTCGGGTTGCCCCATGTCGATCCGGCGTTGCCTGGCCCTACCCAGCCATGGTTCCAACCTGACATGTTTGGCTCTCAACGTTTTCGGTAGCGATGGAGGTAATGACTTAACGGCGGTTTTGACAATATTGTGTCAGGAGAGTCAGGGTGCCGGTGTGTGAAAGTTGGCCTTGATATACATTTCATCATGCACCTGTGAACGATGATAGTCTGCAAGGTGTGAGTCTGTAAGGAATGGGTCGAATGGAGGACACATATCGTACGCTGTGTTTGTCCTGCAATCTACATCTCCGGCTCACACGATTATGAAGATTGCGCCTTTCGGCATTGGTGTGCCTCAAGAGCGATGGCGTAATCACTATATCAGCGGCAGTCATTCCATTGGCGAGAAAGTAGAAAGCAGTACAAACGAAAGCTCGTTTCATGTCTCAAAGTTACCGCAGGACCCGTCTCAGGATTAGCAAACGCCCCAAGCAGGTATATGCACACTTCCTCTCATTTCATAGCACTGTGGAGCCTTCAATCGTAGCTCAGTATAGAAGTCAATCATCCGTTTATAGAATGGGGCGCCGGTACGCAGCTCTAAAATGTCCGTCTGTGTACTGCAAGACTGCGGGGCTCACTGGGAGACGCACAGTGGCAAATCGCAGCAGCAATTCACTCGCCCGCCGATCTTCACATGCTTACAAAAGCCCCGATGTACATCCACTAGCTCTGCGGGGTCACCGCCTTCGTCGCAGCTCGCTTTTCTGCCATTCGCAGCTTCAACAACTCCAACAACATCGACAACCGCCCAACCACCGACAGCTCTCACCAACACCCGTTCTTCGATCGTCAACGCGCCGTCAACCCAACCACGTCCTCAACACACGAAAGCACGTAGCTTATCTCACACATACCGAGTCAACTGCGACAACATGTCCGACAACGTCATCTACGACAGTATCCGCATCTCGCGCCTTGCCGGCGAGTTGGCTGTAGAGCTGGCGCGCGCCAATACCCACGCCACCGCCCTGCAAGCTCCGCAAGATGAGCGAGGAGATATTCGACCGCGAAGAGGACCTCGAGATTCGCGAGGGCCACGTTCAGCGACGCTGGGACACGGTCGTGCGAGAGGCAAGCCTGCACGCCGATTCCGTCAAGAGACTTGCGGAGCGCGAACAGGCAGTCCAACAGGGTGAGGAAGAGGTGAAGAGCAAGGAGCGTCGATTGCAGTTTCTCGACGACCTGATGAGCGACGAGACCGCGTCGGAGTTGACACGACGCCCTGGTCGTACACCAACCTGGGACGACCTGCGCTCCGCCTACCGCGATACCATGCTCCACGCGGACGCCGAGCTGCGGCAGTCTCTCACCAACGGCGTTCGTGGCCTGCACGACGAGACTCAGCACACTATTGGCCCTTCTGAGATCGAGAGCCCAGCCTCTCGGTCCCCTACCCTACCTCACCTGGCGGGCAGATGGACTTCGCACCTACCGCCACCTCTCCGGCCTCACCACCCCAAGAGCAAGACGTCGGATCCCTCCTCACGTCACCGACATCTCCAGTCGAGCACAATCGCGACGAGTACGACTTCTTCCCACCAACGCTCCCAGCCAATGTCTTCCCTCCAATGCCAGCAGTCATGGCCCCAGAGTCGCCACTGCGGCCTCGTCGTCGAGATCCTGGACATGCTCCTCCACCAAGGACCAAGAACCCGATTCATCTATACACGGGCAAGCCCATCCTCAACTACAACCCGAACAGCTTCGATCCCGCCAACAACCCCTGGGCAGGAGATCCTCGACTCAAGTTCGATTGAGGCCGCTTTCTATTCGCCTCGACCTCGCCAATCTCTTTTGAGATTTTCTTTCTTCGACTTGACACACTCCCTTCGACATCACACTGCTCTTCAAGACGTTCTTCGACTCGTTTTGACGCTTTCGACGCTTTCGTCAACCCCATCCCCTTTGTTCCTTGACCACACTTTCCTCCGGTTCGGGACTACCATCGCTTTTCCTTTGTTACGTTTCGATCTCACATTCAAGATACGTTCTTTGTGCATTGACTTTCAGACGACCTCGATTTGACTAAGCGAGCGCACTCTACAGATCAGCCTTCCGCACATGCAGCTTCTCACGGCAGAGACACACAACGCCAAGATGAGATGTGGAGTATGGCCCTGTTCGAGGCCGTGGCGCCGCCCACATCAAGAAGGCTGGCAGGAAGGCGCTGTGATTGTTTCTCGGGTTGTGTGCATGAGCTTTTGGGTTTTGAGTTCAAGTAGAGACGCTTTCTGGAATGCTTTTAGCTTGTTTTTCACGCGAATACTTCTGCCCGTAGTATTTTTGAGAGTTTTTGGGGTTTGCGTTGTTGATGATTATTTGGCAAAGGGGGAATGAGTACATTGATTTGGAAGCCACGGTGTTTCATAGTCGTAGCTTGGAAATGCCAGTTTGAGAAGATTGAACATGAATACTATTGTCAGCGCCCTGCGCCCAGCGTCTACAACTCTGTCGCCCATGCCTTCAGCACATCAGTTGCCCCTGTACCGCTCTTCATTCGTTTTCATCCTTAGTGACAATCTTCTGGTTATAGCCGCTTTTCTCTGCAGACGATACATTGCCATAACCTCCGATATTCGCCCCCCGGTCATTCATTCTCTTTCCTTCTTCCATCAGCACCGTCTTACCAGAGGCGGATGTGGGAGGCTTGGTTCAATCAAAGCTGTTATCAGAGAGCTGGCCTGACCGGTACAATCCAGCAGCGATGTTCATACCCAGGAACAGCTCAGAGGAGTACATCGCATTGGTGCTTCGTTGCCATACCAGGAGCCGACCATTGACTCCACGGCAGCATGGGCGTAGACACTACACGAAGAGCAAGACATAGTCCAAGCCATTGATCAATCACGCCACGAGTATGCCCTGGTCTGACATGTTGAACTCCTGGCTGTTGCTGTTACCATTTTCGGTCATTTCGTCGAACACCGTATCTATCGCTCGACTGGGCCTGTTATGTTTTGCCGACTTTGGGTACAATCAGCCCACAGAATCTTCACCGTGGCAAAGCGGGCAGGTTCAGCAGGGGGTGTATGGTTGTGCCACGGTCATCAAGGATAGGAAACCCCAAGTTCTGAAGACTATTCTCGCATTCGTTGTCCCTGTTGTAGGTCAGTTCCAGATCAAAACAAGCGGGCCTTTGAAGACTTACCATGAGAAAGGGTCGGTGTAGCCCTCAGCTTGAGCTTGGCTGTTGCTATTGAGGCTGCTAGCTCCCAGATTCGAGCCCATTTCAGGGCTGATCGGCGCACTGGCAGTCGGTACAACGGTGGTACCTTGAAGTTGCGCCATGATCTGATCTAGTGTTTGGTCGGGAACTCCAGATTCATCCTCGAGCTCTGGCATTAGACTGAAGTCGACATCCTGAATCCCCAGTCCGGCGACAGCGGGCATTCGCTTTGTGAGCATAAGATCTACCACTGGGCGAGGCACAATATCTGCTTGGGAGTTTTTGCTCGTCATAGGCGTAAGAGGTATCATTGAAGGCTCTACTGCAGTTCTCTGTCGATTCGAGAGTGCGTGCGAGAGCTTCTGCTTGGCCATGGACAGTATGGGAGACCCTGGTGTTGCCAACAGCGCTGTCCGTATGCCTTGCAATGCTGATGTACGTTCCGTTGCCTGAAATCTCTCTGCATGATCAATGATGATCGTCCAAAGTACCTGAATCAATGCTGGAATCGCATGCGGCTGGTACATGTCAATGTTCGTCGTATATGTTTGAGAAAGCTCGCGGATTCTCGATGCAGAGACCTTTTGGTCATCATCTTGCCGGCTTCTGACCAAATCTTTCGTAAGGCGGAGCAGATAAAGTGTCAGTCGTTGTGGAGTCAAAACATCGAAACTACCGTTATGCTGTCGACGCCTGGATCCAGTATCGGCGGGGCCATTGGAGTCGACGACCTTTCCGTCGGAGCGATCACCTGGCGATTGGTCTGTAGCGAAGACCTCTGCGAGCTCATGTGCGGCATCGCCAAGCTGGTTGAATGTGCTGAGCGCCAACATTGGGCCTGGATGTTTCGTGCGGCAGTAGAAGATCCCATCAACAGAAGCCCACTCTTCCATGCCATCCTCCTCCACCTTGCCCATATTCGACAGCGGTCCATGCCACAGGTACGGCATCAAGCGTAGCTTGGTCGCAAGAATGCAATCGAGCATTTGGTAACCGCGGAAGACGTGCGTGAACTTGTCTTTGTCCTTCTGCAATCTCTCTCCGGCGAGCTGCAGCGCCTGAGCAGCTCTGCCCACAATCACCCATGCTTCTTCGGGGCGTCCCATGTCCACGTATGCCAGTGACAATATGAGTAACGCTTGCACATGGCCGAGTTCCACGGCTTGGTACTGGTTGGGTATGGACTCCAGGGCTGTATGAAGCAACTCAAGAGCCGTCCTTACCGAGTCGCTATCTTCTGACGCAGCTTGAAAAGCTCGCCGTACTTCAGCGGCAGCTAGTATTGCCAGCAGGCAGCTGAAGCAGCCTTGACTAGGGACCTCTTGCCCTTTCGCGTACTGATAGTACGTTCGGTAGACATGATGGCGCTCGACGATAGGGAACCAACTGTGGACAACGATGAAGTAGGACTCGATCAAGGCAACGCTGTGGTCGGGAAGCGTTGTTAGCTCATGATAAGGAGAGTGTGGTCCCTCAGTTTCAAGAGCCTTGAAGGCATTCATTGGCCGAATAGGCTTCTGAGATGTAACGCCTCGGGCGGGACTGTTGACTGTCTCTCCTAGTTGTGCTGGTAGGATGCGGTATCTTGTCGTCTGTCGCAGGTTCGACTTGTAAAGCTCTTGCTCCCTCTCGACCTCCGCCTCCGTTTCGCCATCACCGGTCCTCGGAATGAGACGTTCCATTTCCTTTCCCAGCTGGCTTTGCCTCCATGACTCCGCCAGATCTTCCACGAGATGGACTGCCCATGAAGAACCCTCTAAACCTTCGTGGAAGCGTTCCTCCAGCATTTGGATCAAAACATCCTCACTGCCTTCGACTTGTTCCAGGACAACACCGAGCAAGGCTTCCATTGCTCGGACATATCCGCTTCTGAGGCCTCGCCTCTTCTGCGGCGCTTCGTATGAACATGTCTTCCTGGATGAGAGACATGTCGAACAAGAGGGCAGCTCTCCATCACACTTCAGCTTGCCTTGGCGGCATTTGGTACAGGCTCTGGCCGTTCTTTGGCGTTTTCGTGGTGGGTCGGACATGGTTGAGGTTGCAGAGGATTTGAATGCAACAACGGATAATGAAACATCCTTACATCTGTGTCGTGCTGCAATGCTTACGGATGTTGTGTCGGAGAATAGCAGTTGCGAAGCTCCTCCGGGCTGACCGGCCCGACGGAGTGACGAACGTCCTGAAGCCAATGTCGGGATGGCCGAATTAGGAAGTTGCCCGGCACAGCCCTTAGCGAACTCAATTGTACAGTACAGTCACTGGCAGGCTTGAATGGAGGACACTTCGAGCTGCTTTGGACCATGGTGATCAGGTAGCGGTGGCTAACCACATAATGATGGGACGAAGGTGGAAGCAACATCCTCCAATGTCCGGCCCTCATCCATAGTCGCTCAGGATCTATCCTTAAACTCCATATCGCAGACCACAACCTCATCGAATAGCTTTGGTCTCAGGTCTTCAGTAATCCTGCGAACCGTCAATCAGCCCAACCTGCACTGTAGCTCAGACCGGTCGAAGAAGATCATACTTGACGTGGGCGGGATGTTCTGCGTATACAGGCGCATCATCTGGGCCATCGAGCACCGCCACGAGAGAAACATTGAAACCTTTGGCCCTGAAAGCTGTCGCTGGTAACGGTGCTCCTACGTCGACGTAGCGGAGACCTGGTCGATTATGAGCTGTGAAGCCTTTGCTTAGGAACGGGTTGATCGTACCGGGAATTACACCAACGAGACCTTCGACCTGAGTCTGCCAGCTATCGAGGTCGAATTTCTCGTAGGACTCCTTGAGACGGAACAGAACTGGACCATGGCATCAGTTGGTAGACCTATTGCAGCAAGGGAGCTGCGTGTAGGGGCTTACCGATGTGGTAGACGGGCATAATGAGAAATGCTAACAGGCACGTTCGCGGATTGACGCAATGAAAAGGAGGTGGGGGAACTTTCAGCACTTGAAGAAGTGTTTTTGCTCTGTATGGTATCTCATGCAGTCCGCATAAAGTCAATGCCGAGGCCCTTCTGACTCCTTGCACACCTTTTCATCCCGGTCTCCTTCTGAACAAAATCCCCAGAGCTTCACGACTGACTGTAGCATGGTCAGTGCTGTTGCTGCAATGGTATATCTTGTTGTAGCTGACTTGCTGCTCAGGGGGAGTTTGCTTTGAAGCAGGATCACGGCCTCAGTGGTAGCGGTATTCCACGCGCGGCTCGACCGAGGTGACGCCACGCACGACCTCCAGCATCTTGCACGGAGGATAGACGCACGAGGGGCCTCTCACGATGAGAAGCGTCTGGGTGAAGTCGTAGCGGCTGACAACACCCAAGGTGAGCACATTATCCTTCTCCGTAGCGCTCGCCTTCATCTTCTCGTTGACTTTGTCCACAATCGTGTTCTTCTCCTTCTTGGTCAGGCCGCCTCGCAGGCGAACGACGTACTCGCGCTGGATGGTCTCGGCTTCGGCGCCTCTCGGAACTGGAGGTTGAGGCTCTCCGACCGGGAAGGGCCACAGCTGGGTGGTGACGGACTCGACGTCTGGGATCTGTCGAATCTCGCCGGCGAGCGATGGGCGGTCTGGGATGACGATGAGAAACATCCCCAGGTAGTCGTCGCCAGTGGAGCTTCCGACCATGGTGTACGGCTCGTCTTGACCATCGTCGATGCAGTCGAGGATCTTCGCAACCACCTCTGTGTCTTCATCGTAGGACATGCCGGGACGGAGGCGAATTTGGTACTGCTTGTGCAAGGCGGGCTGCTCCTCGGAGTTGCTGGGCAGGGACTTCATCACGTTGGATGGAATGGTGTACGGACCGGACTTCGCGGCCTCGCGGCGGACGCGGCGAATCTTGTCGATGATGTCGAGAAATACCGGGTCGTGGACTAGATGAGTGTCAGTATATGCCCCCGGACATCGCGCACTGCTTGATTAAAGGCCTACATTTGTCGGAGTGATACTTCGGTGGAGTAGTCTTGCCAGAGCCGTCGCTCAAGTGGGAGAACCGAGAGCAGGCGACTGCGGTGGCGAGGGAGCGCATGCGAGGATGCGAGGCATGATCATGGCGCGACGAGCGAGCATCGTGACCGCCATGTTGCTGGGCACGTGGTGGTTGGTCTGTATGCACGTGTTATGCACGTGTTGCTTTGGTTGCGTGCTCATGGTTTGTGTCGGCTTAAGTCAAGGGGAATTTGGCAGCTGCTGGCAAACAGAGCCGACAGATCAAAGTTCGCGCTAGCGCTTAGTGTTTGAAGAACACTTTCACATGCCAAATCTACCAAACAATCCAAATACATGCCTAGACTCGGCGACAGCATCTACATCTTCGGTGTGACTAGAGAACTTTCGTCAGCCGCCTTTCGCAGCTCCCTCCAAAGACCGTCGTTGTCCAACTTCTTCACCCTCTCCTCGCCCGCCCACGCCCGCCACTGATGCTCCGCTTGATGGCCAACGACATGGATCCCTTCGATGGTCCGCCAGCCATGCTGCTCCCCGAGCTGGATATGTCTCGTGCGCCTTGGCCTATAGCACATATCAAGGAGAACCCCTTTCTCGGGCCTGGCCAAAACGGCAGCCAAAATCGCTTTGACGGTCTTCTCTTCGTTCGTGGAAGGCTCGAAATCTGGAACAGTGCCGACGATATATGTGGGCGTGGCTGAGCCAGCTAGCTGTTCCTCAGCCAAGAGATGGACGATGGACGGCTTCCTGACGTAGTGCGCTTCGACATCTGCCTGGAGATCCAATACTTCTTGGACATCTCTGTTCAAGATATAGATCGTGCTACATCCCATCTCGGTGGCCAAAGCATATACAGCAGCGCGTGCAGCTCCACCAGCCCCGATGACGAGGCCTATCTTCTGCGCCGGCTCGTCCAGTCCCACGCTGCTCTCTTGCAGAGCGCCAGCTATACCACACCAGTCGAGGCTCGACCCTATCAGTCTATCGTCTGTAGTATGGGTCACTGTGTTGCAGGCATTCAGAGTCTTTGCGAGGTCGTCGTACTCGTCCAGGTGGGCCAATACGGTGTGCTTGAACGGCATCGTGATTGCTGCTCCGGCACACTTCTTCGACCGCAGCAGCGCCAGGCATTCCTCTATCGAGGGACACTCCTTGGTATGGTACGTCCATGGCAGTCCGAGAGACTTCGCGATGTAATTGTGCATTGGTGGTCCAACGGAGTGCCCGGTGCCAATGCCGAGAAGGTATATCTCTCGTGGCTCCAGGGAGATGTTCGATTGTCCGGTCATGGCTGATTTACGTCGGTATTGGTTTGAATTGGCCTGATCTCACGCTTAACGATACTCTTAGAAGTCTTACTTCCATTGACGTGAACAGGTCAGTTACATGGTTCAGAACGCTTCGGAGTATATCTTATCCGACCACGATTGGGCGTCCCGTTTCGCGAGCTTCGTCTTCCTCTGATCACAGTGGAACCTGCCTTGCGAACTGAAGGAGAGGGAACTTGATCGCAGTTTGAACTTAGCAATGACAGATCTGCCAGAAAGCCACTGTCGTTGGGGACTGGGCGCACGTAACAGGGCCAATGGAGTCAATAAAAACGCCCGCGGCATGGAGCCACTCGTGTCGCAGAGACATACCACGAAGGGCGTTCAGTCCATGGCCTGTTGCATTCGACCGAAAGTGCGGCGGAAGCGGCCTAACGTGGAGAGTTGGCAGCCGACTTGATCGTGAAGCGACCGAATCGCCATTTCGAGGCAATGGTTCCGCTTTCGCAGCCTTCCGACACGGCTAAGTTCACAGCCGAGACGCAATTCGCAACCCCGACATCACATGACGGAGGACTTGAATTCGAGGCATCAAAAGAATCGCATTGGGATGGGCAAAGCATATTGACAAGACTCCCGTATAGGAAAAATATCATCATGGCCAAGTACGAGACAAGACATTTTATCGATGGCAAGTTCGTCGAAGGGTCGCCGAGCCAGCGATTCGACGTAAAAGTAAGATACATGGAACGATCAAAGCAACAAGGACTGATACTTGAGCAGAACCCTGTGTCAGGAGAGCTCATCGCAAGCGTGCCGGCTGCTTCAGAGAAGGATGTCCAGCTTGCGGTTGATGCAACCAAAAAGGCCCAACCAGCCTGGGCTGCGTTGGCTGCGAAGGATCGAGCGAAAGTCTTGAGGAAGTTCGCAGATCTCATGGAGCAGAATGCTGGATATCTCGCAGAGGTATGTCGAGAGACATTGCAAATTCGGGGCAAGTGCTGACATCGAGCAGCTCGACGCCGTGTGCATGGGCAAGCCAGTCTCAGCTCATCGCGGAGAGGTTGAGACGGCTTGTGATATCACGAACTTCTTCGCGGGACAGGTCGAACAAGCATATGGCCAGTCAGCGCTCAATGCGCCGAATCATCTGAATATCTCGCTACGACAGCCTTTCGGTGTGGTTGCTGCGATTGTGCCTTGGAACTTTCCTACCATGATTGTAAGCTCTTCAGTGGCAAGTTATCATAGAGCGTTTCTGACTAGTGTGAAGTGGTGCCATGAAGTTCCGCCTGCCTGTGGCGCTGGCAATGCCGTCATCTTGAAGACGTCAGAGAAGAGTCCTCTTAGCGTGAGTGCTTTGTCTACTGCTATGTCAGTCTCGTCTAATACAGAATGCAGGGTCTTGTACTTGCGGAGCTGGCATTGAAAGCAGGATTTCCTCCAGGCATCGTGAACGTTGTATCAGGGGCTGGTCCCACGGGTGAGCTGCTCTCGAGCCATATGCAGATCAGGTGAGAACTGCTGTTCTGTTAACGAGGATGACTTATCTAACGACATCTGCAGGAGAATCAGCTTCACGGGCTCAACCAGAGCTGGCAGAGCTGTGATGCAAGCCGCTGCAAAATCGAACTTGAAGTCGGTCAACCTGGAGCTCGGTGGCAAGTCTCCCTTGATCGTGTTTGCGGATGCGGATCTGGAAGCAGCAGCGGAGTTGGCAACGACGTCAATCACATACAGTGCGTCAGGTTTGATCTCTTCCGCTGGACGTATACTGACGATTTAATGTAGACTCAGGCCAAGTCTGCACAGCATCTTCACGAGCTTACATCCAAAAAGGGGCTGCGGACGCCTTCAAAAAGCTACTTATCGCTCGCTTTGAGGCGCTGAAACTTGGGGCCCCAACAGCCGGAGATACAGACCTCGGACCCCAAGCAGATGCAGTGCAAGCAAAAGCAGTTGCTCGGTTCCTCGAAGTTGGCAACCAATACGGGAAGGCTCTGACCGGTGGCAAAGCATCGAACGTCGGCGAGAACTATGTGCAGCCGACCATCTTCTTCAACATCAAGGACGACAGTCGTATCAATGTCGAGGAGGTGTTCGGGCCAGTGCTCGTGCTGCATGAGTTTGACACAGAAAGCGAAGTGTTGCAGCGGGCGAATGCATCAGAGTGTAAGTCGTGCAATTCCTGTAAAGCTGAGCAGTGCTCACTTACTTGACACAGACGGTCTATACGCTTCTGTGTTCACATCGAATGTCGACACCGCTCTTCGCGTTGCTCGAGGGCTGGAGGCCGGCAACGTTGGCGTCAACTGTACATCGCCTTTTGACTCGTACGAACTACCATTTGGTGGCTACAAGGTCTCCGGGATCGGAAGATCTAAGGGTTCAAATGCAGTGCTGTCGTGGCTGGAGGAGAAGTCAGTGTACATTAGGCAAAAGCCAGGGCATTATTGACACTGGGCACAACATGTAGTAGAATTATGAGGTCGTTCAACATGGTTTCAAAAATTTCACCAAGCTGTTCGCCAAGAACTGGGCTGCGGTCATTATCGCCGTGATGGCAACTCCGCGGGTTCAACATCAGGCAGCTCAAGAGGCCAAAAGCTCCTGGCCGCGTGAGGATCGGCTTCCATCAGTGTCTGATTCACCACCTCGTAACTCCAAGCGCTGTTTTGAGATTGCTCGTTGTGACTATGCCAATGTGCTGGTGGCTTCTCAGGCTCGTCAGTCGACTTGCCTCGAGGAAATCTTTTTCTCCTTGCGACAATGGTCCCGAAAGCTCCAAGCATAACGAGTGCAAGCGCCGCAAATGCTGCTCCAACTCCGATCCCAACTTTTGCTCCAGAGCTCAAGCCCGTGTTTGGCTCTGTCTCCGTACTCGTCGACGCTGGTGGGTTCATTGTGGTAGTGGGCGCGCGCTGTGTGGACGTGGTCGCCGGAGCTTCTGCTGCAGACACCGTTGCGCTTCTGGTACTGTCTGTTGCCGTCATGGTTTCGTAAAACGCCAACGTGGAAACAGTATGCCCGCCACCATACGAAGCTGGACCTGCATCGAAGACTCTGTCTTGGTCATCGCAGCAAGTTTGGATCGTAAATAGACGAGGTAGCCGTACAGCAGAAAGTCGTCTGCGAGCATGCGATCAGGAGCCAATCTTTCGTCCACGCTCCACTCGCTGATGACTTCGATCAGCTATGTACCGACTTCTTCGTCAAGTGGACCCGCATCATCTTCATACCTGTCGATGAGTTGTAACAATACTTCGGACACGAATACGATTTCCAGTGGGGATCGGTGCAGCCGTCGCGCCAGTACCAGTTGAATGCACTATCATCTGGGCTTTTACAAAATCCTTGATTTGTACACATGTCAACCTCGGCACAGCAGGCGCTGAATTCAGCCGTAGAGTTGCAGACGGTGCCTGTGGTCTCTTGTCCGTTTGGTAGATAGCACACTGCGAAGCCAAGCTGCAACTGAGAAAGCGTAGTAACGAGGAGCACCACTCCACGAGCCATGATTTCGGGCTGGATAGACAATGGATGGATGGGCTGATAAGAGGGGAATGGCCAGCCTTTTGAGCAGTGAGTTGACCCGCGCGAAAGGCTGCTGTGCCGTTGCCATGGCAGCCACATGCAAACCTGATTCGTTTCTTTCTTCCAGCTTGTAATTATGGCTGGCACTGCCTGCAGCCACTCATGCAACGAAAGAGCCTGTGGTATGCCTCGAGCATCGACAGGCTTTGCCATACTGTGCACACTGCCTGAAGATGGCTAACTTTCGTTTGCCCTTACATGGTGTCGACTGTGCGCTATAGATCGGAAGCCAAGAAGATGCGCATACTCCCGGAAGCCTGCATCCGCAAACGAGGGCAGCACATGCGGGCAACATCATGCAGCTGAACCTTGGTTGATAGTTTCCGTGTACATGAGCTATGTATTGCGGGGAGCTAACCTGAACGTGAACTGGGCCGTGTACTGCGCCTTGGGATCATCTGCTCGGGGCACAAAGTCCACGATAAGGCTCGGCTTCACAGCGAACATAGAATCGTTATTCACGTATTTATCCTCTCGATCGAAAAGTTCAGTCACCAGGGTCTTGTACCCTGGCGCCTTTAACATGAAGTGGATATGTGCGGCCCTCATCGGATGTCGATCGAGAAGTTTCAGGAGATCTCCAGCTGGACCGTCGTCCGGGATGGGGTACGTTGTTGGTCGAAGGCAGTACAGAGAGTACTTCCCATCTTCGCCGGTCCTGAAGATACCTCGCAGGCTCATGTCAGGCTGATCAGGATCCTGCTGCTCGTACAGCCCGTTGGGTGCTGCTTCCCAGACATCCAGCTCTGCGCCAGAGATGGGCTTGCCAGTCTCCGAATCCACTATCGAGCCATGCAGGTACGCATGTGCAGCCTCGTCAAAACCATGGACGATCGAGTCACCCATGTGCTTCCTTGGAGCATTCTCCCTTCAGAATGGACCGAGTACAGCGGTAACAGTAGCTGTATCTCTTTCAACAACCCGCGTGATGTCGTCAATCAGTGCTTCGGATCCCAATACGTCCGTAAGGAGCAGCACTTCATCTCGTGTGTCGTCCGTCATCTGGCCTGCCCGAGCCAACTGTTTTTGACTCAGCTTTGCTGGTGCTTGCTGTCTCCGTAAATCTGGTGTCTTACCACTTTCAGTGCTGCTTGAAATTCGGGGCGTGTCACTCTACTCTCACGACAGAACGCATGGAGATGTCGAACAAGGTTGCTAATAACCTCACGTAGTCGGGGATCTGCGACACCCTGTTCATCTCACGCAATTCCGTAGGTTGGATCAGGCCATTGGTATCTTTCGGATCGACCTCGATGATGACGGCGGACATGAGAAAAAGCTGAGCATCTTGGCCGCTGAACTTGACAAAGTCGACGTATTTCTGAGCTGCAATCGGAAGATCTTTGTGGCATGGATGGCCCAGGATCTTGTCCCGTAAAACTCGTGCCGACTCCTGGGGAACCGAATATTCGGACATCGCTGCTCAATGGGTGTTTGCTATTTTGGCGAAGTCAGAATGCAAAAGTCAGTTGGCTGCTTGGCGAATATGAGTCTTGGCTGATAGGCGTCATTCTGTGTCAATCCTTTGACTTGCTTCATTGTGCATGGAGCTCTCATAGCAATGTGCTGGACTGATGTGGTGTGACGGCACCAGCCCAAAATGTCACATGCGGTTCCAAGCGGAGACTGTGGGGAAGAACGTCGTGAGGGACCAGATCAGGCTTTGAGATCGGAGAGCATGCCAATGCAGAGCAATGCACGGCTGATGCAGCTTTGACATTATGAACGCTCACAAAGGCCTTCACTGAGACCTTACGGATCTAGATGCCCACAAATTCCTCCGCATTCGGCATGTGGACGAGGTAGGCAGTCTTTGTGGGCTTGAAAATAGCTTATTGCTCCTTTTCTGGAGCATGAGGCGATGTTCTCCAAACTAAGTGGTCACACGACAGCGAGAGTACCGCAATACCCTACACAACCACGCGTGTACTTTGCAGACGGTACCGATGACTTGCCACAGCTGCACAATCTCCGTGTATATTACGTCCTTCCTATCTGTGCAGCTACGATGTCTGTACTGTTGGAAGTGGAAAGCTTAGCAGAATGGCTTTCAATCCCGACGAGGCTGCGATTGTGGCCTTGCTGAAAAGAGAGAGATTCTACCGCGATACTTCGCAATGGGACAAGTTGCGAAGTCAGTATCATCCAGATGCCCATGAGACATATATCAACGTTTCATGGTAAGTCCGAACATTTCAACGTTCACTCCTGACTGCAGTAAAAAGACATGGCATTAATAAATGATATGATAGGTTTCAAGGCGATGCAGACAAGTTTGTGGAACAATCTCAAAAACGTCCGTCCACGAATCAGGGCATCGAAATCGATCACTTCATCGATCCGCACGTTATTGAAATTCGCGGCCACCGGGCCATAAGCGACAGTGCCATCTTTATCAAACGACCCGCGGACTACAAGAACCACGAGTACGAGCTCGGCTCTCGATTGAGAGCACTAAACCGTTTCCTCAAAGTCGCCGGAGAATGGAAGATTGTGTCTTTAGAGGTGATTTACATTCGAGACCGGCTGATCAGCACATCGCCCAACTCGCCGAAAGAGCCTATTGTATTAGACGACAGCCTGCTTGAATTCCCAAGAGAGTATAGGTGGATGGCGTGGGTGATGTTGATGGAAGGAAAAAGGAATCCCAAAAAGGACTTGCCACGAAATGGAAACATAGAGGAGGTACGGCAGATGGTTGCGCGGAATGAGAAGTTCTTGGAGGGAGGTTAGAACGGATCTTCTTTGCTTATGCTGTCGACAAGACGCTTTAAAGAGGATTCAGAGGATGGAACTTTTCAAACTATCTGTCCATACCGTTCAGCAAGCCTCGTTGCTTCATAGCTTGATTTACCGTGTATAATGCCATACGCTCTACAAGAATGTGTGCACTCAAATGACGGCGCGAATGGAAGACTGGCAGACTTCTCTTGACAAGTGTAGTGTCAGAATCGGTTGCTGTGGATGGAGCCACAGAAGGAGTATGTCCTGTTCTAACACCGCTGACCGGCTGAATACGTACCTCGAAGCTAGCTTGCATGAGAGTCCGAGAGTATAGCCATGGACAAAGGTCCAGATCATCCTCAATATGGCGCCATACTGTCCTACAAAGTGGCGTTCTTCCTGCGTGCCTGTTCCCCACGGGGAAGCACAGCCGCGTAGCCTGTTGCGTGGACTGTCTGTGGTCATCCACGGCCGAGCACAGAATGCCGTTGCGTACATAAAGAACCCCAGCGGCGGCGAACCTTGGTGCAAACCAGCTCAGCCATCCAGCATTGCAAGCCCTTTTCCACGCAAGCCTCGTTTCATCACGGCTGTACTTCATCTTATTCTAAGCCATCATGGAGGAGACAAACCCCCAACCATGGCCGGGCAGCATCTGGAAGACGTCCATTTTTCTGACGAGAAGGAAGACCACACTATCTCAACAACTCAACAGGAGTCAGGCAGAATCACCGGCTGGCTCATCGGTCTGCTCCTCCTCGTCGCCATAATCCCCTTCATCTGCAACTTCGACATCTCCTTCACGGGCGTTTCACTCGCCCTCCCATCGTTCAACAATACTTTCGGCAAAAAAAGCACAGTCTCCGCGACGGGGGCAAAGTCATGCAGCCTCACGACGACCCAGCAAGCACTCATCTACATTCCCTACTTGTTCAATGCCATTGGCGGTGGTCTTGCTGGTCTCATTGGGAAGTACATTGGGAGGAGAGGCTGCATTACTGTGGGCAGTGCGTTCACAATCATTGGCGCTTCTGCCATTTTGGGTGTGCAGAGTGAACTCTCCCATCTCATCATCTCCAAGTGTGTCAGCGGCACGGGGCTGGGCATGCTGTTGGCTGTAGGCATCACATATGGGGCCGAGTCCACGAGTGCGGAGAAGAGAGATATGTTGCTGGCTTTGTTCAACGTCGGCCTCTGCCTCGGAAATATGACGACTGGGGCGATGGCCGTCGGGACAAGCAACTTCCCTGACACAGATGATTGGCAGTGGAAGACGATGGTCGCTGTCCAGATACCTCTGGGAGTTCTGCTAGGTAGTGGCATATGGCTCTTCCCCGGAAGCCCTCGCTGGTTAGTTGAGAAGGGTAAAGACGAGAAAGCCCGCGAAGCCTTCAGCAAATTCTCAGGGGAGGGCGTGCACTCCGAGGCGATCACGAGACGTATTCAGAACATCCACTACCATCTGACAGCAGGGCGAGAAGAGCAGAACCAGACGACATGGCTGGATCTATACCGAGGGACAGACCTACGACGAACGCTCATTTCTGGCTTTCTCCTCACCGGCCTTGCCCTCTGCGGTACGCAGTTCGTCGTTCCATATACGGCACTGTTTCTCAAAGACCTCCACATCGCCAACACCTGGATCAACAACGTCATTGTGGCATCCTGCGTCACAGGCGGTTCGATCGTCTCGCCCTTCGTCATTGGATACTTTGGCTGCCGCAAGAGTCTCATTTGCGGTTACGGAATTATGGCCACATCCATGATCTTGTTCTCGGCCGTGAGTACAGCACTTGGGAGTGGCCACCATACAGCTCAGATCATCTTGGTTGTGTGCTTCTGCATCTGGACCTTCACGCTGGGAGCTTCTGTGGGCGCATGTGTATTCCAGAGCTCGGTCGATATGCACACTGGTCGTCTGCGTACGTATGGTCAAGCCAGCACGACTATCACGTACCAGCTCTTGGCCTTTGCGTCAGGCTTCTGGACCCCGTATATGCTGGGCGTCAACTATGGTGATATGGGCACGAATGTTGGGTACTTCTACTTTGGGGTCGACTTTGTACTCATGGTGATTGCGTTCTTGGTGGTGCCTGAGACTTCTGGCCTGTCGTTGGAGGAGATGGATGACTACTTTGAGAGTGGAAAGGCGGCGTGGACGACTTCCTACCAGAGGAACAAGAGGATTCATGTTGAGTAGAGGATATTCGCTCTTCAGTGCGCGCATGGACAGATGTAGATGGAATTTCCCTCCAAATTGGAACTCGGCTTGTAGGCCTCGATCAAGATAGGCATCCAAACTAACAGAAAATGCTCAACATTCTCGTCGTCCCCTGTGTTCGTCGGTAAAAGCATTGCCGCGTGAATTGCTCTTCGGCAGCAGATCAACGCAAAGCACACCATCGTCCGCGGAGACGCCGCAAAGCCTATCGACTGCCTTGCTGCTACTATGCATATGGATATCTTTCTGGCATATTTGTTAGACCGCAAGTCCACAGAGATCACCCGTGGACGCAATGCATCTCTCCACATTCAACCCCAGAATCCTTCTCGCAGAACTGGATGTTGCGTTCCAGGCACGTCAAGCTTTCTGGCTCCTGAGATCGCAACTGCCGTCTATGTGCCGTGGGAAGACTTTGCGGTGACAGGTTGGCCCGCCAAACATTGATGGAGAACATAGCAGACCACAGGCGGTGCACGGCTCCGTCATGAAGGTTCCGTATTGCGTGTATCATGTTGCGTCAACGGATCCGCGAGGCCAGGCGTACATCTTAGCGTTCGATGCAGCCTCGTCACTTTGGTGGTCGTGGAGAACGTAGGCCGACATACCACGACGTACTCTTCGTCTGGTCACTCTCGTCGTGCCTTGTCTCGTACGTCGGCCGCGAAGTGCTTTTTGCAACCCGAAGTACACCAAATGACCCTCAACACCGAAGCGGAATGCGATACTCCCGTTTGCGACCAAATTTCCACTTCAGGCTGAGATGTGTGCGAGTGAGGAGATCCTGGCAGAAGATGCCCTAGAATCGCCGTGTGACGGGACGCAGACCCCTGCTAGCGAATTTGCATATCTGACATCCCTCGCCTGGACTGCTCTTTTGGACTTGTTCATTCCTCGAATATGCTGGAGAAAATAGATCTCGTGCCCGAACAGCCACCTTCGAATCCAAAGGCCGAGCGGTTCGTCCCCAAGTTCATCTATCATGATCCAAACTACCCGACTCCGGCAATCAATATCCGAGAAGACTTCTATGGATCTCGGCGGCGGTTGAAGGTAGCCGTGCTAGGCGCCGGTATGAGCTGTCTGAGCTTCTTGCATCACTTGTTTGAACTGGTTCCCCGAGACACCGTGGACGTAACCGTTTACGATATGAATGAGGATGTCGGCGGTGTAGTGTGTTTGCCTTGGGTCGTTGCCGCGGCTTTGCTGAGATTGAGTAGTGGCAATCGACGACATATCCCGGCTGTCGAAGCGATAGCCCAAGTGCGACGTACCAGATTCCGTGGCGACCACATATCTGGTCTCAGTTCTACGCCCCTCAAGAAGAGATCAAGGAGTATCTGCAGACCGTAGCCGGGGAGAACGACTTCTACCCACTCATGAAGCTTCGACATGAAGTCGTGAGGGCAGAGTGGCGGACTGAGGAAGCGAAGTGGACGTTGAGAATTCGAGATCTCGTAGCAGACGCCGAATTCGAGGGTAAATCCGATATGTTTGTTGAATGCGATGGGCCCGTGAGCAAGCCTCAAATCCTTGTCGAAGGACTGAACATATATCAGGGTGTCGTGGTCCATTCAGGAGACTGGCCAGAAGACCTCGATCTTAAAGGCAAGCGAGTGGCTCTGATGGGCTACGGCAGTTCTGGAGTTCAACTGGCCCCGAACATTCTCCTCAGAGTATCCAAGCTGTATACCTGGTTCAGAGGCCGAGCTTACATGGCGCCGCCTCCGTTCCCAGGATTCGCATATGATGTCCAAGGAACCAATTTCGCTTACAGCGAGCAACAAAGGGCCCTTCTTCATGATCCGGATGTATACTTGGCGTATCGCAAGGCGCTGGATGATGATTTCAACCGGCAGTTCGACTTGGTTGTGAATGGCAGCGAGACGTCGAAGAAGGTCCGACAACTCATCAAAGCGTATATGCAGGAGAAGCTGAAGTCCAAGCCGGGCCTGTATGATATGATTCGTCCCCCTCGACTATGACTTTACCTGTCGGCGACCGACTATGTGTTTGGGTAAGTCAACATCAGTTCTTGCTCGTAGAAGTGCTCATTCGCTAAGTATGGTCCGCATGATAAGGGTACTTGGAAGCTCTTGTTGACGAGAAAACCACTGTTTTCCAAGGAGAGCCTCGCCATTTCACCCCAAACGGCTTCCTAGACCCCGATGGCATCGAGCATGAGGTCGACGTAGTCATCGCAGCGACTGGCTACGAATATGAGCATATGCCACGATATCCGAAGATTGTCGATGGTGAAGACATAGCGACTTGGTGGGCCAGTCGTGGAGGATTCGGACATACCTACATGGCTATATGCTCGGAACACATGCCAAACTACTTCAATCCTGGCACGGCGTACTCGGGCCTGTATAGAAGCTTCTTTCAACCGGGAGAGGGGCTTTCGATCTATATGGCCAAGGTAATAAACAAGATGCAGCTGGAGCGAATCTTGAGCTTTGTGCCGAAAGAGCGAGCAGTGAATCACTTCGTCAGGCATGCTGATACGTTCATGCAACGATGGGTCCAATCCGGTCCTTGTCAGGCCTTTTACAAGAGCCATGGTCGACCACGACTCTGGCCAGGATCGTACAGCCAGTACATGCAGATCTTGGAGAATCCCCGCTTCGAGGATTTCGACATGGTTTATGAGGATGAGGACGATATATTCTCCTACTTCGGCAATGGCTTTGCTCTGCATCCAGAAGGGTTCGAGGAGGAAGAGGACAGCTCGTGATACATGGGCTCGCCGAGCAAAGAAGTCTCGAAACAAACGCTCGAGAAGCTGAAAGGCTGTCATGGCACGCCCCTGTTGGCGCCAAACTTGAGGCTCGAGGGGGCGTCGCGGGGAGCGACTGGCGAGTAGTCTAGATAACCGTCAGTCTTCTGGCGATGTGTCAAGATGGAGCAGTGAGCCCTGCAGTCGGTGTAAGAAAGTAATGAGATCAGTGGAAGTAGAGGAGGAAGAAGAGTTATTGTCTAGCAGAAAGGCGGCCCGACATCAAGTTCTCGGTCTCGGCTTGAGGAAAAGCTTCGGAGAAACATGTGAAAGCACACAATTGGAAAGTGTAGATGAATGAATGAATCTGGCGTCATGAACCTGGGATCTGTGGGATCACGTCTTCCTCATCCATCACTGCCAAACTTGCTGTATTTGCAATGCCCTTAAAATGCATTCTGCAGAACTCTCGTCGACAACATCGGCGTTGAGTCCGATCGTGTCAACCAATGAACGCGTCACCGCCACGTCCGCAACAACAACACCGCGTCCGCAAACCACTTCTCGTCTCTATATCACCAACATATCCTTGCAACCCCCATCACGCGGAATGAGCACCGCAAAACAGATTGAAGACGTGCAAGGTCGCGCCGCAAAGCTCAACACGCTCCACATGGCGTGTTCCTGGCTTTACCGAAAACCGCACAGCAATGTGCTACCCCATCGACGATGACCATACATTTTTAGGCTCAACAATATGATGAGCCAGTACTCGGCAAGGCCTAGAAAGAGCGCGGCCTATGATAGACGGGCCCGAGAGCCGGTTCCTCTGAACCATGGGAAATCCGTCATCGGAAGAGAACATTTCCGATGCTTCAGAAGCGGCCGTGACAGAAGACGGAAGATCAAAGTGTCGGAAATGATGCAGGCCGCTCACAATCATGCATTGAAACAAGGACGAACAAGGACGCTATACGGATCGAGCGTTGTGTGGACAGGAGGCTCGCGGCAACCACTTCGGAACAGGAGACATCGCCAGCAAGACTTGGGCAAGAAGGCAATACACGATAAACAAAAATGGGACAGCTACAGCTTGCTGTGCCAACGTCAAGTCTCGGGAAACCGGAAGGAGGACATGCAATCGAGACTATCTTGAAGGCCGCGGCCGAGCATGGAATCAAAGGCATCGAAGTCTGCTACGAAGGCATCCTGAGCCACGCCGTCAGCCGCTCAAAACAGTCAGATCAACCATCAAACGAGGAGATGCTCGATGCTGCAAAAGATATCAAACAACAATGCCAGAAGTTGGGACTGACTATCTTCGTGCTACAGCCGTTTGCATCATACGAAGGCTTGCTCGATCCGGAGGCTCACCGTGCCGCAGTTCGAAGATGGTCACATTGGCTGGATCTGGCCCAAACTTTGGGATGCGACATCATCCAGATGCCCAGCAACTTCGAGCTTTCTGGCACGACCGGAGACATTGACAGAACAGTGGCGGATATGGTCGAGATCGCGGATATGGCACTGGCTGCGTCCCCGCAAGTCCGCATTGCGTATGAAGCCGTTGCATGGGGCACACATTTCGACCTTTGGGAGCAGAGTTGGGAGGTGGCGAAGAGAGTCAATCGATCCAACTTTGGGCTGTGTCTGGATACCTACCACATCGCCGCCAGAGTATGGGCTGACCCAGAAAGACCCGATGGCAAGCTCCCGAACGGCGATCAAGCGCTGGAAGAATCACTCCATCGCTTGGTGAAGGATGTCGATCTGGACAAGGTCTACATGCTGCAACTTTCAGACACAGAACGACTGTCAAGCCCGCTCGTGGACGGTCATCCGCTTTACGTCAAAGGTCAGAAGTCTCGTATGACTTGGTCCCGGAATGCGAGGTTGTTCCCCTGCGAGGAGCAGTTCGGAGGCCACTTGCCCCTCTTGCAGATCACAAGAGCGGCGGTCAATGAACTCGGTTATCGAAGCTGGATCAGTATGGAGACATTCTCCAGACATCTGCGCGAGAAGGATGTCGAGCTGCCGGCGACGATGGCGAAGCGAGCTGCAGACTCGTACGCAAAAGTCTTTCAATCTTTGGAGTGGGACAAGTTGTAACATACACCAATTGTTAAGCGACTGTCGACTTCATCTCGCTATCTCAACAGGATAATCTGTCGTCTCAATATCGTGGGGAAAGACAATCCCATTCTGCCTCCTCACCTCGTCCATCACCTCCATCACCTCCAGACTCTCCGCCAACATCTGCACTCGACTTTCTTTATGACCATCTTTGAGCGCATACGCACATTCGTCCGCTTCCCAGAACATGCCATGGCCCTCGCCTTCTGCATTGTTGCTTTTGCCGACTTCATTGCCGAAACCGTTCCACCAGCCGCTGCCTTTCCCTGGTCCTAGTTGCGGCCAATCTTTCTCTTCGGTCTTGCCATTTGATCGGGCGAGTCTGCTCTTTGTCGGTCGGAAACAGGGATGGAAGATTTGGATTTCCCCATCTGTGCCTTGCACTCGCACCGCCGGTAAAGAGCCAGTCCCGTCTGCATCACTAGCAACATGCATACTAGCAGTGGCAATTCCGTGCGCATCTCCGCCCTGCTGTCGCGGAAAGGTCAACAGAATGGAGGTATGCTCGTCAGTACCCGCGATGTTCTTCCTCGCTGAGCTCAAGACTTGCGGAGGCGATGGCTTGTCTTGTGTGGAGTACAGCGTCTGGAAGACCCAGGTCAGAGAGTAAATGCAAGTGTCAAGGAGCACGCCTCCAGCCAGTTTGGGGCTGATCAGTCGATTGTCTTCCTTTAGCACACCAGCCGGCACGATTGAGCTGAGATCCGCGAACGTCCTTTGCACTGTCCCAATCGCTCCAGATCGGATTTGATCTCGGACATATTGAGATATAGGGAAGTATCTCGTCCATGCCTGTGCCCTCGTATCAGTACTGCAACGGCCCCTAAGATATGCGAAGACTTACCGCCTCCATCAAGAACAGATTCTTCTCCCTCGCCTTCTCAATCAAGATCTTGGCTTGAGCAGCATTCGTCGTGAAAGCCTTCTCGCAGAGCACATTCTTCCCAGCCTCAAGACACAGCATAGCATGCTGGTAATGATGGCTGTGTGGTGTTGCTATGTAAATTATGTCTACGTTCGAATCCTGTACGAGCTCCTTGTACGAGCCGTATGCCTTCGCATTCCTGACGCCGACCTTCTCAAGGAACGCCTGGGCTCGTTGCTGGGAGGACGAGGCTGCTGCAGCGACAATAATATGCTCAATATCCTTCACACCTCTGGTCTCTGGAGAGACGGTGAGGTCCCGAGCAAATGTCTCAGCGATGCCTCCAACGGCTAAGATGCCCCACTTGAGCTGGTATTTCGACATCACGGCAGACGGGCGGGAATGTGGTGGCAGGATGCAGTATCGCTGTATTCCCCCGCCATATCTTCACCAACGCATGTATACCATGCATGACATCGCCACCTGAGATTCGCCTATGACCTCTGCCGGCCGGAACTTCCACATCCGGGGCTGCCGCCAGCCTTGCGGGTCACTAACCGAGAGCGTCAACAGACACAACTGCGGCGGTCGGACACTCTCTTGCGACACTTCCATGGCTAAAGGCTGCCCCGCATACCAACCAGTCGGCTAGCCATAGCCTACATTATGGTCCTGGTATTCATGGTTTCCCCGCAGACGCAATGGGATCAACAGAGAGATGTCGCCGCACGCTTTGCTGACCGGCAAGGTTGCGCTTGTTACTGGTGCTGCAAGTGGTATGGTAATAAACGTTGTAGAGGTAAGGGTAGAAAGCTGACATGGAGTGATAGGCTTTGGTGAAGGCATAGCTAAGCTCTTCGCTGACGAAGGGGCCAAGATTGTCGTTGCTGACATCAATGATGAGCAGGGTGCTAGGTAAGGGGTCAGCCTTGCCGAAGACTTTATGGTCGGGCTGATCATTCTCGGAAATCAGAGTCGTCAAGGACATCGAACGGTCCGGAGGCCAAGCGGTGTTCGCCCGAACAGATGTGACGAAAGAGGCCGACTGGAAGAAGGCACTCGAAACCGCAAAGCAGAGCTTTGGCACACTGGATATCCTCGTCAACAACGCAGGCTGGACATACCGCAAGAAAGACTCCCTGACCGTGACAGAGCAAGAATACGATCGTAAGTTTCGCCATCTTTCCCGTCAACACCACTAACCCATCAACCTCAGGCGTCTTCGACATCAACGTCAAATCCATCTTCCACTCCGTCAACGCCATAATTCCCCACTTCCTCTCCCAATCCTCCGGCACCATCGTCAACATCGGCTCCTGCATCACCTGCAAGCCCACCAACGGCCTGATGTGGTACGGCGCGACCAAAGCCGCCGTGGACGTGATCACCCGACACATGGCGAGGGAGTTCTCCGACAAAGGCATCCGGGTCAACGCCGTGGCTCCATCGATCAGCGAGACGCCGTTGATGAAGGAGTTCATTGCGGGGGATCCGGACGAGGAGAGCTTGAAGGACGCGGTGAGGGATGTTCCGGTCGGCAGGCTGTGCACGCCGGTGGATATTGCCAAGGCGTGTTTGTATTTTGCGAGTGATTATTTTAATGGTTTTCAGACGTGAGTACTTGTTCGGAGTGATGCGGTGGGTAAAGGCTGACTGTTCTATAGGGGTATTGTGCTGAGAGCGGATGGTGGACATTACGCTTGAGTTTTCACCTGGACAAACAGAAGACTGTTCATTTAACGTCAGTTCAAGGCACGACAAGTCCTATTCAAGTATTTGATATTCTCAATCATAGCCTCGAGAACAGGTGAGGTCGGCTTAGAGTTAGGACTGCCGATGATCAGCCTACAGTCCTTCTTCCTTCGCATCTTCTCGATATGTTTCCGTCTGAATCTCCAAGCCTCTCCCTCCTTGCTGCATGTCCTTGCTAACAAGAAAATGTCTCCCAGGTCTGCAAAGGGACCCGGTCCATGGATGTGCTTGGATGCTGGCAGCATGGTACAGATTACGGAGAGGCCAGGGGTGCGATGCCAACTTCACAGCAACCAAGAGACGTCTAGTCCATCCACTTGCCATAACGCAACGAAAGGCAGAGAACTCATCCTACCATCTTGAACACTGCTTCCCACTCCATCGACTCACCCAATGTACTAAGCGATGAATGAACGGACTTCCAGAACTCGCAGATGCCAGCCATCACCAACCCCCACCCAATCCCGGAAGTTGGTAATAAAGCCAAACGTTATACGACGCGCTTCGCGAAAGCGCTCATCTCCTGGCTTCAATCTCCTCAACTCCTCTTCTCGCCGATGTCCTGAGAAGCGACAAGACCACAATCTCCATCCAAAGACCACCGCGACGTTCCACAAGCGGCTGCAGTGACCAATATGTCGTCCAAGTCCCCCGAAAGCTCCAAGAGTGCCGTCAAGCGGAACGCCGACGAGTCTGGCAGTGAGACGGACTCCAAGCGGAACAAATCTGACGAGAGGGAAGTCAATGTCGATCCGATTCATGATACTGCGTTGTATGATACTCACACTGGATCGTCGAAGCATCGAAACTGACAACTCTCCAGCGGTCTCTGCCTCCAAGCCCGCACGTTCCTCGTCGGACCCAAGGCTGAGCCCTTCGTCATCCACAGGAACCTGCTCCGCCAGCGATGCGGCAAGTATTGGGAGTCGCTGCACGAAGCCGTCAAGAACAACCCCTCGCTGATGAAACACTACTCTCATCGACTCCCCGAGGAAGACCCTCGCACCTTCGCCATGTTCGTCGCCTGGCTCTACACGGGCGAGATCCCACCGTCGCCCGACGACGAAGATGGCTGGAACATCCCGCCTCAGCTTCGTCTGGTCTCTGGCCAGGCTTCGGAGTATGAACGTTGGTATGATGAAGATCTAGTCGATCTTTGGGTCTTCGCCGCCACGAACCAGATCTACGACCTCTCCAACGCCGCCGTCTCCAGCCTGGCGATGCAGAATGGCCAGTACACCCGCACGACGACAAGAGCAGCTCTGGCCACGGCGTTCGAGTATACCGGCCGGGCGACGGGGTTACAGAAGTACCTGATCGACGAAGCGCTCTACCGTCTGGACACATCTGCAGTCCCGAAGAGCACCTCGCATTATCCCGTCGAGTACGTCTCGAGGATTCTGGAGGAGGTCATGTCCCGCAAGACGGGCGGTGGCAAGGTCGCCAAGCCTCGATGGCAGAAGAAGCCGTGTTTGTATCACAATCATGCGGATAGTGCGAGTGTTAAGCGGAAGTGTAGGAATTTCTGGCTGGGGTCGCCGAGTCCGAGGTATGATGAGGAGATTTAGTGAGTGCATTCAGACATCGCTTTGTGGATATCGCTGACTTTCGTGAAGTGATCTCTTGGAGGATACCGTCACACTGATCGTCGGCGCCTCCAAGATCCCTTTCGTCGTCCACAGGGGTCTTTTGTGCAAGTACTCGCCGTTCTTCCACGGTCTGTTTCACGGCAACTTCAAGGAAGCAAATAGAGGTCGAGTCGAACTGGACACGGACAATGTACGAGACTTCATATTGTTCCTATCTTGGCTGTACTCGGAGAAGGTACAGACCCCTTCTCCCAAGGTCAATCTTCTCATCGAAAGGTACTTGTCAGCCCAGGACCGAAGCCTGACGCTCTGGACTGCTCCGCCGTCCAGTGATGATTCTGGTTTCGAAGACATGGGCGATGCAGATGCCGAGCACGAAGTCGAGGATGAGGATACCGCGATGGATGCACCAAACTCGTCCGCGACGACTGTTATCGCCGAGGTTGTTGTCAATGGCAAGCAGGTCATTGCTTTGCCTGAGATTCCAGACGACCACGACGCCGCCATCGACGACGCTACCCGCATGCACCAAATTCAACAAGACCTGATCTCCCTTTTTATCTTCGCTGAGCACCGTAATGTCCCCCACCTTCGCAATGATATCATGAACCGTATCGTCGAGCTCCGCAGCAAGCGCTGGCCACTGCTCACAATCGACCCAGCTGTCATCCACAGATGCTACAGCTCGCTGGAGGAGAACTCTGACCTCTGCACCTATCTCGAAGAAGAGGCCGCCTTTTGCTGGAACTCCAACGACCACGCTTGGTTGCTCGATGGTGCTGTTAATCTGCCGCCGGCGTTTTTGGGGAATGTGTTGGGTGAAATCTTTCGCGAGAGGTTGGATACTGATGAGGAGAGGCGTCCTTCGTGGTGTGCGGATGTTTGTTATTTTCATTTTCATGTGGATGACGAGGAGGAGATGAAGTGTCGTCGGGGTCTGAAGAAGTGGCAGGAGGAGTTGAGCATGTCGGATTATGCTGCGGTTGATGCGCCGGAGTTGGAGTGGTGATGGTGAGGTTTTGTGATGTTGTAATTCATGCTTTTTGCCAGTATGCTGCTGCTCAACGATCCCTCATCGCCACCAGTCTCCACTTCATCGCCCACGGAATGCCAACGTCATCACCATCGGTGGCGGTTGGGCTTGCCTGTAGGTTCTCTCGCCGCTCATGGGGTTGACGACCTTCTCCACGCCTTCTGCCAGCTCTTGCAGCTCCTCGAACGTCGGAAACTTGAATAGGGGCACAGCAGGCAGACCATGAAGCTGCGCGGGCAATGGTGATGGACGACTGTGCCGAGTGAACACCGGAAACGGCATGGGATGCTGCCAGGGGTACAGCGGTGGCGGTGGCGACTTCTGCGGCGGTGGGGGCGGGAAGATGTCTTGTGGGAGATCGGGTGGTGTGGGGTTGCTCGTGCCTTGCCAGAGTGCGCTGATCCTGGTCTCCCTCATCGGGTTGTCGCGCCGGGCTTTGGGCGTATTGGCCTTATGCGATGGCTCCCTGCTCATGGAGGCCTGCAGCGACTCTCTCATGGTCTGGACGGTAGGCGTGCAGTTGCATGTGCCGCCACCGTGGAAGCGACAATTGGAGCATGGGAGTACCATGCCGGGGTCCCAGTCGGGGTGCGTTGGGCCACGCCGCTGGTTCTCCGTGCGTTGGCGGTAGTCGCACTGTAGTAATTTAGTATATAGAAGTATTGGAGGTGAGGGGTGTATTTACGTCAAGCCATCTCCTGCCCTGGCAGGGGCCGTAGAAGAAGTAGGGGGCGTCGATGCCGGGAATTTCGTCCGCCAATATGGGGCGGGTGAGGTCGTTTCCGTCCGTCATCTCCACGTCTTCCATTGTGTCTACTTGCTGCTTTCAACAGTGGGTAGCGTGGTAGCTGTTGTTGTTCAGGGGAGAGCCGACGCACTACAGAAAAGCAGCGCTTGCGCGCACAGACCAGGGGCGCCGACGCGTAGGACAAACGGCAATATTCCACAGTTTCACGCAGAATTCACGCGTGGAAGCCACTGCGAAGTTAAATGACTTGGGTCTCTGCTCGAACAGACGCCCCAGCAACCACTTATCAGCGGAGCCAGGGGGGAGTTCGAAGTTGAACAACGCCGCACGTATGGATGCAGCCTGGGCAACAACGTCCAGCTGCTGTGGTGCGGACAGTTGCCGCCAGACGCTTGTACTCCCGCCCTCAGCTCGCTCAAACACCATCAATCGTCGACCAAGAATGTCCTCGGGAATCGACGTTCTGGGCCCTTCATGCTGCTGTGGTGCACGGTGATACAACAACTTCGAGGCTTTGATTTCCGGCTCAGACCGCATGAGCGCGTAGACCTCTGCCTCGAACTTGATCTCTGAGATCTGGATGTCTACGGGAAAGCCGTCGAAATAGGGCCAGTTTACGTCGCCGCGAGCGAGCCTGGCCACAGCGGACGGCCGATTCGACAGCTCCAGCTGGAACCCCTGTTCGACGTCAACAAACGGTTCAGGATCAGAGCAGCCACAACCTACGTAGTTATTCGAGCCGTTGCTGATCCTCGGAATGTCGACGACTTGAGTATCAAGCTCTTTTCCGATCTCGCGAATGAGTAGATTGACGTCCCAAGCAGCACTGAATGGACTCTCGCCGTTTCGCACCAGCTCCAGCAAGCGTTTGCCGTCGTAATCACTGCCGTCCGCCATAGTCGGCCACACATCCCGCCAGTATCTGTTGTCGCCCATCGGATCACTCAAAAAGATCGTGTTCACGCAAAAGCAAGATGTGGCAACAGAGACGTCGCTTCAGCTCAACATCAAGACAAACAGGTGGTCGGGGACAGGGGTCAGGGGCTTGGCTTTCGCCTTGTTCATTCGGAAACCCGCAACTTTATATGCAGTAACGCATGCAGACCGCTTATCTACCCCTGTGGAAATGCAAACTGATTCGGATTAACCGTGAACACCACGGTGCAGTGATGCAGCGCTATTGCACCGCGTTTGCGATCTCCAGCACACTCCCCAACCACGCCCCATCCTTCCTCCCAAGCCCACACTCCGTCGAAACCCCAATCCCACCCCCCAGCACCCTCCTCGCGACCTCCAGCCTCCTCCTCGTCCCCTCAAAATCATAAGCATGTATAAGACCGACATAAACCTCCGTCTCAGCGTCCAGCTTCGGCAGAAGGGTAGTTTTCAAGGGCAGGAGGTATGCTTCATCGGTCCGGTCTTTCGGCACGGGAAAGTGGATCCAGGCCACGGGGCGGTGCAGACGTGAGAGGATGTTGGCGGCGAGCTCGGCGATGAGGGCGGTGGAGGGGGGTTGGAGGAAGTGTTTGTTGAAGAGGTCGCCTGGTTTGATCATCATCATGATTAGCATTGGCATATTCCCGCGATTATTTCGTGTCGGTAGAGGGCAGAACATACCATAGCAGAAATGAAACCCCAGCTCAACATCCCCTGCGACAGCATTCGCCAGGCTAACGATCTTCTCCACGATAATGGGCATGAGGACGTCCTTGCGGGCCTTGATGGGGAGGTAAGAGACCGGACCTTGGAACTCGTCGTACCAGGTGCCGTGCAGCAGGGCGATTTCCAGGGCGACGTCGAGTTGGATCGCGAGGTCTTCGTGGGGGATGTGGGCTTGTGTGTTGCGGATCGCGCGGATCAGGGCGTCCTGGTAGAGGGGCGCGATGGGTGCTTGGAACTGTGGTGTGTCAGTGGAAGCCTTTGCGGATGATGGGCGAGCTGCCACGCACGTCGGGCTGGATGTTCGTGCCGATGAAGTTGTCCGGCGTGGGGATAGAGACTTGGAATTTCACGCCCCGCGAGATTCTACCCTTCTCGCGCACCTCACAAAAGGTCTTGTAAGATTTGATAGCTTCAACATCGTACTTCGTCTCCAGCTTTGGCATTCTTTGCATTGTTTCTTGCACCTCCTGCTGGCTGTGAGACTTCCACCCATCGGGTTGGAACGCTTGCATAAGTACATGGCCAACGCCAGCGTCTTGGAAGACCGATTTCTGCCATCTGACAAAGTAGTCGCGCTGGCCAGGCTCTCCGTCCGGAATGCGTTTGACTTGGCCTGGGTTTGGCAGGGCAGAGGAGATGTGTTCGAAGGTCGTTGCGGAATCAGGCAGCGGGATGCTGCCCACGAAATGGACAGGCGTGGCTTTCGACATTGTCGGAGACGGAGTGGGACCCACGCGCCTGGAGATGATGTCCGGGGGCATGCAATACATTTATCGTCTGGTGAGGATGTCATCCTCCAGCCTCGCCAAGAGCAGGGCGGACCCGAGTGGACGCGAGAGACCGAAGAACCGAACTCGACTGATACGTCACCAACTTATCGTCGAGCTCGTGTCCAGAGGAAGAAGACCGAGCTGGTATACAGTTCTACGACCCCACTGCGGCGATTGGCTGGGTTGTACAGCCCTACACAGTAAAGGGGAGCTTGGATTACTGGCGTGTTCAGCCGCAAGCGTATCTGACGAGGCGAGCTCCTTTCGGGCTGGTGTCGTAAAACGAGAGCAAGAGCAGGGCGTCGCTTCTATAAAGTCCAGCGTGACAATCTAAGACGTTAGTACTCCCAGCTCGGGATAGATCATGCAATTGTGATACTTCGACATCGTGAGAACGGTAGGTCCCAAGCCTCGCCACTCATGAGCGATTCCACGTAGCAGTCTCCGATCAAGCGGTACTTCTTGTCAAGACCGAGTCGGTGCCACCTCTTCAAACATGTGACAGCACGTCCAGATCTCGAGATTGTCACACAATACCAGCGGCGGCTGCTGGAAAGACTTGGCGCAGGGACAGTCGATAGTCAAGTTCGATGGTGGGGAGTCTGTTGGTGGTATGGTTGGGCTTCCTGGTAGCAGCAGTTGGATGGGCCAGCAGTGCAAAGATACGATCCCTGGGGTTGGTGGAGGTGCGATTCTGAACAGACTCCACGAGATCGAGGAACGTCAGCTCGGAGGAAGGTGTCCATTCTTGCGCCATGACACCCATGCCAGAGCGGAAGGCATAGGGAAAGACAAGTAGAGACTGGTCGTGGATGACGAGACATTCGTATGCCGCGGCCAGTGCATCCCCCTCAAGGCTCCCGTTTCCGCACAAGCAAGTCGCTCGCGAACCCAGCCCTATTACTTGCCTTGTCCATATCCACCGAAACCAATCACGCCTTGCCAAAGATACGAGGAGGTCGATGGCGTAGCGTGAGTAGTCGGGGTTGCCCAAGATCATATCTCTCCGCTGCGGATCTGCAAGTAAGCGGAAGGCGCCATGTGCGACTCCAGGCCAATCCATACCAAGCCATGCAATGACGTTACTTGCATTTGCAAAGAGCTGTGCCATTTGCTTGACTTGGTGGTTGCGTTCCAGTAGGTTTTCTTGGTCGATACAGATCGCATCAGCCCACAGATAGGGTTCCCGGTCGGGGTCTCTGATCGCCCGCAAGGCATTGACGATGTTTTTGGTAACGTAAAAAGCCCAGCACCGGCTTGAATGGGTTCTTTGCGGGTAGTATCGCCCCAGGCGTACGACATCACTTCATATGTCGGCAAATGCTGGTGGGAAACGAGACGGACTTGCAATTCATCGTCCGCGACTCCCGGCTTCAAGTACATTACACGGAATGCGTCCTCTCCGAGATCTCGTCAGAAGCATGCTGTTGACATACCAGGTCGATATCTTGGATTTGCAAGGCGTGCTCTAAAGCTGCGTATTCCGATGACCCACTACCCACAGCCTCATGTTCTCGTTCCGTCATGACATTTGAATGCACAGATAGAGCTTGATCTAGAAGAAAGACGCATCTTCAGACGGGAGTCTCTGTGGCAGTGCATTGCGACTCTACATAGCTGTGCATGCCGGTAGAGTTCTTGACGTTTTGGAGAATTGAATCATGTCGAGTTCAAGACCAGGCGAGCAGCCCCTCGACGGTGGCTGGACATCTGGTATGGCTGGTACGTTTTGTGTTTTTGGTAGGAAGAGAAGACCTGAAAGCAGGGTTGACGCTATGCCAAGACCGATCTCGAACAGGGGTCAGACGGCCCGAGGCGACGCGGGGGATTAAGGTTTGGCTCGAGCTTCCACGCTAGTCGTCCTGTCCTATTCAACTCCGGCTTTTGAATTGTCGCCGCTGCGATTGCTCGCCGTCCTATTGTTGCTGTTGTTGTTGCTGTCGCCGTCTTGAACATCTTCCCTCTTTCTTGCTCCTCTTGCTCTGGAAATGCCCCGAATATAACATCGCCCATCTTTCCCGTCCTCACTGAACGCGCCCGCAGATCTCTCCGCCAACACCACCACACGCAAACGCGACCACCCAACTCCCTCCCATCCCAGACCACGATGGTCTCGACACGCCACTCCCTCCCCAACGTCGCGCCGGTCAACCCCAGCGACGATGACCCCACCGTGCCGAAAGAGCTGCGGCGCCTGCACATCAACGGCAAGGACACGATGATCGGGACCAAGGTCAAGAAGCCCAAGAAGAAGGACGTCTACCACTGGCGCGGCGCCGTCTACGCAATCACCGCCGACACGCCGCAGGAGTGGATCGACCAGGAGCCCGAGAAGTTCAAGAGGAAGGAAAGCCAGCCGGCGGAGGAACCCGCGGCGAAGCAGACCCTCAAGCGCAAAAGCACGAGCGCGCTGGAAGGTGCGACTCACTCCCACACCCACCGCGACAACGGCGACGAGGAAACCACCCGATCCGCCAAACGCGTCCGTCGCAACACCATCAATCACGTGTCACCCATGTCCACGCGACAGCGCAAGCCGACCAACACCAACACCACACACACCACCACCACCACCACCAGACCGCGCCGCACCTCGACCAAGCCTCCCCCCGCCGAAGACCATGACGCGACGCTGAAGTTCGACTTTAGCATGTCCAACCACCAACGCATCCTCACCAACATCGAGGTCCAGAAAGACGCGGCCCGCGAGAGGGGTTATACTGTTGATATGCTGTCGTTCGAGGAGATGGAACAGGCGAGAGAGCAGCGGAAGGCGCAACCACCGACCCCAAGCACTATCGGTGCCAAGCTGATCCGCGATATCGCCAAGATCGCGAAGCTCAATGACGCTGTTGCCTCACTGTCACAAAAGTATGAGAGAGCCAAAGAGCAGGGTATCTTCAAGGCCATCCTCGCTCGGAAGAATGCACGTCTGGGACGTCGTGCTACAAGGAGACGAGTACAGTTGGAGGATGAAGATGAAGATGGGGCGACGGAGGTGGATCTGGATGAGAGTGGACAGCCCATTCGACAAATCCCTACGATTGAGGTTGAACCGGGTTCGGATGATGTGGTGGGAGATGACTTGGCAGGAGACGACTTGCGTCTGGCGGATGCCGTCGATCAGGTGTACGATGAGCGTGACACTCAGTCGCAGATCGAGAGCCAGCTCAATGACGAGCTGAACGAGGATGAAGACGACGATCCATCATCACTACCAACGAACCACCGAGACTCCCACGAGTCAGAAGAGTCTTCCGAAGACCACAGCTCCCCCAAGCGTCAGGACTCTGCAACCAACACCACATCACCAGACTTGGCCCCATCATCGCACACGACACCAGTCGAGGAAGGAGATGCATCTCGTGGTGCCAAGAAGATCTCACTGCCCGCCTATCTCAGCAAACTACCCGGCAAGAACCGCGGAGGACAGGGTATGCGTTGGACTGTGAAGAGTGCGGAATTGAAAGGCATCTCCAAAGAAGAGCGATACGCAGGCAGTGGTCGTGCGGAGGGATTGATCCACAAGGGACGACTCAATGGAGAGAGCAAGAATGCTCGTCGGCGGAGAGTAACGCGGGAGATGAAGTTCTTGGAGAGCTGGCCGATTGATGGCGAGGCGAGTGCTGGTGTGGATTGAGGAAAGAAGAAAAGAAAGAACGCAGGATGATACGAATGAGATGACTGTATGCATGGCATGGCATGGCATGGGCTTGGGGTATGAGATGACTACTGCTTGAGGTGACGAGGCGGACCATAGGCCTCAAATTGGAGCACGCACGGCAGCGTCGTGATTGATTGAGAGGGCAGCTTGAGACCCGCTGGCTGTTGAAGCTGGATGAATGAATGATTGATTGATATCCCCGAATCGAGCTCTTCTCTTCTAACACACCTCGTTCCCTACTTCCTCTCTTCCTTTTGTTCTTTCACTCTCGTAAAAAAAGTCTAGCACTATATGACGATCAAGATAAAGAGCTGGGTGGATAGACGAGCGGTCTCAACTTCGAGTATTAGCAATATCAACATGAGAGATCGAAACCATCGAGCATCGAGAATCGACGACCTATCCTGTGCGAGTGAGAAGTGATTCTGGTAGCATTTCTGTCTGACTCCCTCCGTTGTACTCCCTCCATTGAAGCCCCTCCATCCCAATCCCTCCATGCAATCTGAAGCCTGGCAACACAAACCACCCTTACATTCTGCGAGCGCTCCCCAAAGACCAAAGATAGGTACTGTAAGTCCTCTTGTCGACTTGAGGGGCTCTCTGCCATCGTCGTGCTATCGATTTTGGATTTTCGGGACCTTGCCGTTCAACCTTTTCCTCGATTGGGTGACACTTGATATTCTATGTGTAGCGTCTGAGGGTTCTGATGTGTAGACATGCCTAGGCATACGCCGTAACGAAGTCAGATACATGTATTCCCACGCCTTCCATACACATCTCTTCCCAAACAAGACATAGCATGGCATGGGGTGGCATGGCATCGGTATAAACGTGCTCGCAAGATTTTAACGTAGGCTTCGGTCAAAGGAGTGTTGGATTTTGTGAATCATCTCATCTCATCTCACGGAGAAGCAGAGAAGGGAGTATTATCGCCTTTGGAAATCTTGTCATCAATCCTTTCAGTTGGGGTTATATTTTGTATTTTATATGCAGCGTCTGAGGGCTCCTGAGTGCCGGACAAAGACCAAGTACCTCCTACGAGCTTCTTCGTGCCGGAATAGCCATAACGAAGACTCTCACCAATGGCATGTCATGGCATCGGTATAAAGATCCTCCAAGATCTGACCATGGGCTTCGGTCAAAGTAGCTGTGGTTTCGTTGAACATCTCAATCCCAAGGAGCAGTAAGGAGGCAGTGGAACTCCCAGACAATCTCATCGTTCCGCAACCTCTTCCGTTGCCGGAGTCGGAATATCATCCCTTCATACCTGATCATACTCTAGAAGGAACCTTAGAATACTCGTTCTGTCCACATTTTCCCCTTCCATTCCATTCCATACACACATCCATACATTCATCCGAAAACAGTTCCCACCCCGTCTCATCTCGAGACTCAAACGCCCAAACACCATCGCTCAGACGAGAAACCGAAAACCCGAAACTAACAACGATTAAAAGAGGAGACACGACATCGTCCCGTTCGTCCATCCAGGACTTCTTCCCTTCCTTTCTGTACTCGGACATCATACATTCACTTCATAAACCCATCCCCTCCCTCTTACTACTACTACCGCGAACTCAACGGCGTAACAGGCGTATTCGCCTCGGTATCGAAAGGATCCCCTCCCCCTGAACCGCTCGTATTGCTCCGCGAGACGTTCGTCTGGCTCTGCCGTACCACATTCGGTCCTGCCACGGAGACGCGCGCGGCGCGGGCAGAGTGCACGCTCGCGGTGTCGGAGTAGAGCGTCGAGGTGATGCTGCGGGCGGAGCGGGAGGAGGGCCGGGGTGGATCGAGGGGCATGGCGAGGAGGGCGGCGGCGGAGGGGGTGTTGATGGTGTTGGAGAGCGGCGAGCGCGCGGGAGGGGGTTCTTGCGGCGAGCGCGGGATGTCGAGGGACATGTTGAGGGGGGTGTTCTGGCGCATTTGCGGGAGGGTGTAGGGCGGTGGGGGCTGCACGAAGGTCGTGCCGCCTTCGGAGGTGCGGCCCGGGGTGTATTCTCCGCTGTGTTGGTCGGAGCCTTGCGAGGAGGTGTCGAGGCCGGTGTTGTAGGCGTTGTTTTGGGGGTTGGTCACGATGGGCTGGTCGCGCGGCGCGGAGGCGTTGCTTGTTCGCATGGAGGTCCATTTCTCTTTTATCGACGCTGGGATGAATGCGGCGCCTATGCTGCCTTCTCGTTCACCGCGCGATTGTTGCTTTCGTCGGCGGAAACAGAGGAAGAGGAGCGCGGCGAGCGCGAGGACGACTACGATCGGTACAACGATGGCTGCGGCGAGCTCACCGCTGGAGAGGTCGTTGTCCTTGTGATGCTCGACGGGCATAGGTGTAGGTGAGCTCGTCGTCTCGCCGGCGGACGCGGGATTGGTGCTACTCGTCGGCGCGGGCGTCAAGGTTGGTGATGATCGTTGCGAAGAGGTCGTCGCGGGTAAGGAGGAGGAAGTGGCCGTGTAACTGGTCACGCTCGGATCGTTGCCATACACAGTGCTGACCACGACTAAGCTGAGGGTGTCGCCGTTGGTGTTGATCGTCTCTGTCGTCGCGCTGTCCAATCCGATGCTCGTCGAGATGGCGTTGTTCTGCGTCTGCGTTCCGGGGTATCCGTCGAGGTCATCATCGTCGGTGGTGGAGGAGGAGAAGGGAAAGCCGCGGTCGACGAAGGCGTCGAACTCGAGCTGCTGTCTCCGCTGGCGGCGACCCATCTCTGCGATCGAATCTCGCAACGAATGCAGACAACCAGCTGCAGAAGACGCAAGAATGTACTGTACAGTCCAGCTCCAGTCGCAGCCTGGGAACGGAGGAAAGAGGGCAGCGGGAGCCTCACGACGACGATACCGTCAGCCAGCCCAGCCGAGCAGAGAGTGAGATGTCGTTGGCAGAAGCTGAGGGCGGCGGAGCTTCGAGAAGGCCAAACTCTGCCGCTGTGGGGATATCCGACCCGAGCTGGATCACGCGGATCGAGTCCTGGTCCTGCAGATCCTCGCCAACGATGCCGTCTCGTCCAATCGTTAGGCGTCGACGACGGGCTGAGTTTGTGAATGTCTTGGCCTGAGGGATCCTGATAGGAGATGAACTCCTTCTCCTGGAACACGCGAGGGAGAGGGCGAAGGAGAGGGAGAAGTCGTCGTTGTCGATATGGCGGATAGTGAGGACGAGAGGGAGGGATATGGACTGGCACGAGGAGATGCAAGGTCATCCTGTTCATCGCTCGCACCATTCTCCGGAGCCAAAAAGACCAACCTTCCATCCATCAAGCGTCTACGAGGCGCCATCACGCCTATTTGTGCCATCAACACGACCTCCCCCAACCGATGACGTTCAGAAGCGATCGGTATCTAATCGCAAACACGAACCGCGATACGCTCCTCCTCCCACGGCTCTGCGACGTGTTTGCAACGTCGTTCGCATCAAACTTTCCGCTCTTTCGCTGAGATCGGGCTGGAAAATCCGGAGAACAACATGGCCCCTGCTCCTGTCCGCCATTCAGCCATGTGGTGGCTATGTTTACACACACGCTGATGTCAATCTCATCGCCGAGATGCGTGTGGGTGTGGGTGTTGACATTCGCCTCAACCGGACTTCGGCTTCTCCACCTTCTTGTCCGACTTCACGAGCTGTTCATGCAGGTCATCAGCCGGCTGCATGTCAATAATTTACGAATGCGTTCGCTATCCTGCACGTATTCATTGAAAAGAGGCTCTGCGAGTGTCTTGGATGGCGGCATCGTCCTGATCCGGCCAAACAGTTGCAGCGAAGACCGTTGAGCTCCTGCGTCGAAGATGTGGTACATTGCGGCCCCTGATTACACCCCAAATGTTTTCGGATCACGAGGCCTGCCCGAAAGGTTCGTTTCAATGACTGCAGTACATTCACGTTTTCTGGGCACATCTCAGGACCAATGGCGACTGCCAGCTGAGGATTGGGCATGCAATTCAGCGGCCAGGGTCAGGAAGAAGCCTTCTCGACAACATCATGGTAAGCGAAGTCTAACGAGTAGACCAGTCACATTGAACGTCTGACTGCTCCAACGGCTCAAATATACATCAGTCATTACAACTACAGGACCCGAACACTGCCACGACGCCCGCCTCAGCAACGCACCGAAGGCAAACGAAATCTCAGCCAACCCACATATACCTCTCCTACAACTCATCATCGGTATCAGTAGAAGTATCACTCAAGTCCACAAACCCGGCGCAAGTTGTCTGCGACGAGTCGACAGACTTGCCCTCCTCCGAAGTCTTGGACCCATTCGACATGCTCTCGCGCTTGTCATCGAAGCTGCTCGGGCGGCGAGGAGCTTTCGGAGGGCTCAGGCCACGCTCTCGAGCAGGGGTATCGACCTCCTCAATACGGCGTTTTCCACGGGCTCGCTCGACCGTGTAGAGGTACTGAATGCCGTGCCTTTCATAAAGCTCTAAGGAAAGGGTCAGCTTGACATCAGCACTTCAGCACTACCAAGGACGACGTACTTTCTTCAGCGACATTGACCTGCGCCTCCTGCTGCTGGGCGTACTGCTTCAACAGCTGCACATCATGCTCCTGTCTGGCCCGCTCCATCTGGCGATCGAGACGCTGGATCTTCAAGCACAAGTATTCCTTCTCTTTCTGTCGGATCTTGATCTGGCCTTCCATGGCTCCGTGGGTGGTCCTTTCGAGTTGGAGTTTGGTGTTCAAGGCGGTCATCTGGGCTGTGTGACTTGGTCCGATGTCATGTCCGCGAGGCGCTTCGACTGTGCCGACGATTGCGGCCGCGGTAGTGGGTTTGCGGTGGCCTGTGTTGAAGGCTGTGGGGGTCTTGGTGTCTTTGATGTTCGTGAATCCCATCTTGACCGATCAAAAACTGACGATGAGACTGCAAAACTCTTGGTAGAGATCGATTCCAAAACGAGACACCTTGGATACGTCCCACGACCCTCGCGTTTAAGAGCATTCGCGACGCGTGCCCTCCACCCTGGACCGCGATGTTTTGGTGTCGCCAACCAAACACGCTCCCAAGTCGAGCATATCACCTATCTCCACAAATCGGAGTGGAGACCAGCAGCCTTGTCAACCACGCAGGGATCAGCTCCACCATACCATGCGCTTCATTTCAACCAGGAGTAGGCCGACAATCACATCAGACCTTGAATGATTTCCCTCATGTGGCTGTACTGGGTGAGGACGATGCTGGAGCGTGGGGGTTGAACACCCAATGTGGTAATTAACAAATGCTCCTGGAAGTCAATCAACCACGCCTGCTACCCAGAGCGATGGATTCTTCATCTCAATCCCTCAACATGCACGCCGCTGACACAGTATGAGGACCTCTCTCCAGCATACGAGCTGGAAGAGACTACTGTATATGGCAGATGGCAGCAGGGAAGCGGGGTAAGTGAAAGCTTCATCAACCATCTCCTTGTCCTGCCGTCTTTGAAATCAATCACCCTTGCCTTCTATCCACAAACCATGGCGAACAACCCCGACCCAGCACCAGGCGAAGTCCATCGCCCAGCCTACGCCAGCGGCTACCCTCACATCTCCCACAACCTCCCCTTCCCCCAAGCCTGCGCAAAACACATCACGCACACATTCCACGCCTCCCGCGTCTACATCATCGCCTCTGGCTCGCTCTCAGAGAACACAGACCACGTCCGCAAGCTCCAGGATGTCTTGGGCGAGAAAGTGGTCGGGACCAGACACGGCATGAAGTCCCACACCCTGTGGAGTGAGATATTGGAAGTCACGCGAGACGCGAGGGGTGCTGGGGCCGATTTGATTGTCACGCTGGGGGCGGGGAGTTTGACGGATGGGGCGAAGATTGTTGCGACGGTGCGTTTGCTGGATCCGCAGGGTTTGTGGTGAGGGTTTGCTGATGAAGGTTCCTCGTAGGCGATGGCGAACGATGCCCGTACATTCGCGGATCTGGACAAGCTGCATTCTGGCGACGATTGGTCGCAGACACGACATGATCTCAAACCTCCTACCGTTCCTATCATCAGTGTCCCGACCTCTCTTTCTGGCGGCGAGTACTCCTTCCTCGGTGGCGGCACGAACGATGAGAACCACCGCAAGTACGGTTTCGGGCATCCAACCGTGGGTCCAGCGCTCGTCATCCTCGACCCGCAACTCACCACTTCCACGCCGGAACATGTCTGGTTGCAATCTGGCGTGCGGGCGTTGGATCACTGTGTCGAAGGGTGTTGTTCGTTGAAGAGTACCGAGGCGAGCGATGCAAATGCCGCGAAAGGGCTCAAGTTACTGGTTCCAGGACTCTTGAGGACGAAAGCCGACCCTTCAGACTTGAAAGCGCGCTTCGACTGTCAATTGGCGGTGATCGAGGCGATGAGCATCGTCTTCCAGCACGGTGTACCGATGGGTGCGAGCCACGGGATTGGGCATCAGCTGGGTCCCATGGGCGTCGGGCATGGCGAGACGAGCTGTGTCCTGCTGCCCGCGGTCTGCAAGCACAACAAGTCCGCGAATGGCGAGAAGCAGAAGAAACTCCTCGAGATCCTCTGGCAGGACGACAGTGTCAAGGAAGTCTTGGCGAGCAAAGGCCTGGAGGCCGAAACCAGCGATCTAGGTGACGTCCTGGACGTTATCATCAGTTCTCTCGGCATGCCGCGCAGTCTCAAAGCCGTGGGCGTCGAAGGCGAGGACAAGCTGGATCGACTCGCCAAGAATTCCTTGCATGATAAGTGGTGTGCGACGAATCCGAAGCCTTTGACGGAGAAGGCGCAAGTCATGGAGATTCTCGAGATGGTGAAGGGCTGAATGGGCACGCCGGCAGGTGATGTGCAACTCTTCTGGGCGGAGGCAGATTCGACTAGGATGGATGCCAGCCAAGATTCGCAATGCGGATGAGATGCTCTGCTACGAAGGTGTATTGCAGCGGATCACTCGATCGAGTATGCTCTGACCCGTCATGCATATCTGTTTCTGTTGCGGCTGAACAACACATGGTCAAACCAGCTCGGAACGGCATTGCTTCTGCGGCCCAGGCACGCAGGAATCTTCGCTTGAGGTGCTGTGCAACGTCGTCTTGGATCTCAGCGTTCTGAGCCCTTCGTCCTCTGTATCAGCCACCAACCCTCCCGAATTCAGCATCAGCACCGCTCTGACTTCAGCATCCCATCAGCGCAAGCCACAGCTCAATCCAGCTTCCCAGTAGGCGCCAAAGTAGGAATCGGCATAGGCATGAACTCTCCTCATCGCCGGCACAATCGCGTTCATCCTCTGGAGACGCCACAAAAGAAAGAAGCTGTTGAATCTGCCCGCCGAGACTTTCAGCCAGAATGGTTCAACAAGCCAGAGTTGCCCATTGAGACCAAGCCCAGGGCTGAGCTGGGGGTCGACGAAGCGGTCTTTGAGGTCCACGGGGCGGCGAAACCGCACGAGGTTGATGCGGAGGGTGTGGTTGAACTGGAGAGAGGCAGTGGGATTTGGAAGGCGCCGACATCGCCTGGGGTTCTAGAAGGGGAGGTGAAAGGCGATTTACCAGCTATTGGGGAAGTTGTAGGGGTTGAGAGAACGAGGTTGCAGTCATGATTTGAGGTGGAATGTCTGGGTCCTCTTTGCAGTTGTGTGGATGTGGTGCGCTGAGGTCAGCTTTCGCCAGATTTCGCGAGTCTCACTCACGCATCCCAACCCATCTCCTCACAATCGACAGCTTTAACCTCACCTTGACCTCCAACGCCTTCGTCTTCAAGCTGCAGGCGAGAACTCATGCTCAATCTATCCGATATGTCCAAAGACTCCGCTCCACAGTCTGTAAACACCACATTTCCTCCACATCCTCCCCATTGCCGCTCAGCATTGGCACCCAGACCCATCTCCCTCATCTCTTGGCCGACAGTGGAGGAACATACGCGATGTGTCTCAAAAACATCATCTTTACCGGCACTGATGTCGTCCAAGAAGTGGACGCACATTCCCGATGCCAGAAGGGCCGAAAAGAGACCGAATGGCAGACTGCGGGGAGCATGGAGTGATGAGAATCGAACCACTGGAGCTGGCGAGAGAGCAGGAATCAGGCGTTGTGGAGATATGCGGTTGCACAATGGCGATGTAATGCAAGGGTGATATGATGGTGCAGGATCTGTCGTACATACATTCGGCCACCGGATCTTCCTTCGAGCTCGCATTCGATCAAAGAGGCAGACTTCTCCGCAAAAACCGCCCCCGGCTTCTCAAATGCCTGCAGTCCCCGGATGGACTCACGCTGCACAGACGTCTTGGCCTCGTCAAGTCCTCCACTCGATCGGAAACGCTCTTCCGAATGCCCCAGGAAGGTTGTGTCACGTTCGATTAGTGATGCTGTGCTCGACTCATCCACTTCCATCAGCATTTACAAAGACGGTGCCCAGAGAATGAGGAAGGGATGGAAGACGACGCCTGCCTCGATTTGGGTATACGCTCGCTGAGCAGCTCTACTCCGGGCGGCGGTGGTGACGCCCCGGTAAAAGGGCCGTCGCCTGCCGTCCTCATGGCAACACAAACACCTCCTGCCAACGATCCCCGTTCACGTGCCCACTTCCCGGCCGCTGCTCTCTCTGCCCCGCAAAGAGCAAGGACCACAGGCTAAGTACCGGCATCTGATGAGGAGAAAAGCGTATAAGAGCCGCATGGCTGCCACGTTGTGACATCGATTTTGCTGTGAGAAGATTATTCAAGGAGCAGGCATCAAGATGAAGGCTGGCTTGGGAGTATCTGCATTGGCTGCATTGGCTGGGCTGGCTTTGGGTCAGAATGGCGAGTATTCAGTACATTGATTTGATGATGGCAATGGCTGATATTGAATAGCCATCACTGAAAACAGCGGCAACTTCACCCTCACCGCCGATGGCATGTCGTACCTCTTCCACGTCGACCAGGCATCCGGCGACCTCTTCTCCGATCACTTTGGCGGCCCTTCGACCGACTTCACGCCCCCAGCCCAGATCTACCAAGGCGGCTGGTCTGACGGCCTCACCAACGTCAGACGAGAGTTCCCAGATGTTGGTCGCAGCGACTTCCGCCTGCCAGCTATCCATATCCAGCATGCAGACGGCAATACAGTATCCGCATTCGCCTACCAATCTCACGAAATCCTGCAAGGAAAGCCCTCTCTGCCCGGCCTTCCAGCCACTTACGGTGAAGATGCAGACGTCTCGACTGTGCAGGTGACATTGTACGACAACTACTCCGACGTCACGGCTGTGCTGTCCTACTCCGTCTTCCCCAAGTACAACGCCGTTGCCAGGAGTTTCCAACTCCACAACAACGGCTCCGACGAGATTGTCATTGAGCGAGCCTACAGCTTCAGCGCCGATCTGCCAAACCTCGATCTCGAGATGATTGAGCTGCAGGGCGACTGGGCGGCGGAGATGAATCGTGTCAAGCGGAAGGTCCAATACGGCGAGACCGGTTTCCGAAGCACTGAGGGATATTCTTCCCACATCCACAACCCATTCTTTGCACTCGTATCGCCAACCACCACGGAGACGACCGGCGAGGCTTGGGGTTTCAATTTGGTCTATACGGGAAGTTTTGCGGCTACTGCTGAACGGTTCTCGCATGGGTTTATTCGAGTTCTGCTGGGATTGAATCCTCTCCACAGCAGCCTCCACCTGGCTCCAGGGGATACCTTCACCTCGCCAGAAGCTGTTGCCGTTTACTCTTCTGAAGGTCTGGGAGGCATGTCCCGGTCATTCCACAACTTGTACAAGAACCATCTTTCGAGAGGCGTGCAGACCAAGCAGACCCGCCCAATCCTGCTCAACTCGTGGGAAGGTCTTGGATTCGACTACAACGAGTCCTCCCTCGTCACTCTTGCAGGCGAAGCGGAGGCACTTGGCATCGAGCTGTTCGTCAATGACGACGGCTGGTTCGGCACTGAATATCCTCGTGACAACGACACCATGGGCCTGGGTGACTGGACGCCCAATCCAGCCAAGTTCCCGGATGGTCTCGGCCCTTACGTTAACGACGTCAATAACTACACTGTGCTCAACTCGACCAGCAAGCTGCAGTTCGGTCTGTGGATGGAGCCTGAGATGGTGAACCCCAACTCGACTCTTTACCACGAGCACCCCGACTGGGTCTTGCATTCCGGCCAGCATGTGCGGACGCTAACCCGCAACCAACTCGTTCTCAACCTGGCTCTGCCCGAAGTCCAAGAGTTCGTCCTCTCGACGGTCCACCGCATTCTTGACTCGGCCAATATCCAATACATCAAATGGGACAACAACAGAGGTATCCACGAGATGCCCAGCCCCGCCACCGACCACGCATACATCCTCGGCCTGTACCGCATCATCGACAACTTGACCACCACCTACCCTGACGTCCTCTGGGAAGGCTGCGCCTCAGGAGGCGGCCGCTTCGACGCCGGTCTCCTGCACTACTGGCCCCAAAGCTGGGCGTCCGACGACACCGACGCCTCAAACCGCTTGACCATCCAACTCGGCACCTCCCTGGCCTACCCACCCTCCGCCATGGGCTGCCACGTCTCCGCCGTCCCCAACGGCATCACGAACCGCAACATCTCCATCACCTACCGCGCCCACGTCGCCGAAATGTGCGGCTCCTTCGGCTTCGAGCTCAACCCCTCCGAACTCTCCGCGGAAGAAAGCGCCGCGATCCCCTCCATCATGGCCGAAGCGCACAAAGTCAACCCCATCGTCATCACGGGCGACTTCTACCGCCTCGCCCTGCCGGACGAAACCAACTGGCCCGCCGCGCAGTTCATCTCCAACGACACCAACACCGCCGCGGTGTTTGCGTTCCAGCAGAAGGCGACGGTGAAACCCGCCGCGCCGCCCCTGCGACTCCAGGGACTGGATCCCCAGGCGAGGTATTGGAATAGTGTGGATAATGTCACGTATAGCGGGGCGACGTATGCGAATGCGGGGATTAATCTGCCGTGGGCGACGGCGGATTATCAGAGTATGTTGGTTTGGTTGTATAAGCAGTGATTATTGATCGGAAAGGAAAGGAAAGATGGGTGGAATTGAATTGAACAACATCTTAATGAAACATGAATCATCGCCGAATCGTGGTCGGTTCATCCCAACCCAAGCCAAGCCAAGGTCTGGTCATTGAGCATTTATTATCACCAGGTCGATACAATACAGCATCCTTGAAAATCTTCAATTTTAGGCATGATTGGCCTCCCCATATGATGAAGTCCAGTTTCAGATTCAGCCACTCTACACAACTTCACCTCACCTATCCAGATCCCACAGCATCGTCGCTGTGCCATATCTTTCCCAGAAGTCTAGATCTCTACGTCTCAGAGTGATCTTCCTTGGAAGTCTTCAATCTTCGTGGTTGATTGGACTCCATACTGGTGCAGCTGATGAAGTGCAGTTTCAGATTTAGCCACACCACACAGAACACAACTTTACCTCTCCTGACCAGACCTGAAAGCATCTCACAGCAAATCACAGCAAACCCCAGCACGACCCGCGTGTCTCCGAGCACCGATGCCGTCGCCCACGGCATGAAACCTACCGCCGATGAAATTTCTCGAGGAACCAATACCGTCTCCTTGAGGACTTTGCTGGATTTTGATTTGTTTGCGGTGCGAGTTCGTGATGTATTTCAGTATAGATGTGTATGGATGTAGAACGAGATTGAGATTGTAAAGATGGACTGACTGTGGTTCGTCTGGACGAGAATCGAATGTGCGTTCGGCTATGGCTTCGAGGCTGTTTGTTCTTCTTGTTGGGGGTTTGGACGCTGGTGTCCACCCTTGCTTGATGCTTGAACGACACAGAAAAATAAAAGAAAGAATAGGGTGCGTTCCTGGGGCGTGGAAGGTTTTATGAGTTGTGAACGAGGTGAGGCGAGGGAGATGTCTCCTACTTCGGTCGACTTCCAGATTTCCAGAATGTAGTGTCATGGAAGTGTCGATGCTGCTTGGGTCCGGGACTTTTGCGTCTTCTTCTATGTACCTTAGAGAGAGCTATGGGCGTGGACTGCGACTGTCGGAGGAAGGTGTATGAATAATCCCCTCTCAGCTTCTGGTTGATTTTTTTCGTTGTCGGTGAGTACGTTACACAAAAAGCTTCCGTCTTTCGATGAGATTGATTCATTCACTCACACCTTTCCCAAGCCGCCAAGCTACACATCCCTGCTGTTGCATGGGTGGGTGAGTGGTACAGCATATGAAAGTTGGCGAACAAGTCAGCACCATAACGATCTCAACAAAGTGACGTTTGCAAGCGTAAGACGAAGCTTGAAACATATAAGCATCTTTTGTAGAAATCCCGCCAACAGAAACGTCAATCAGATCAGATCAAATCAGTACATCATACACCATATGCTATGCATTGTCGGATTTCGTCGTATTCTGCCATCCACGCACATCACAAGATATGCTTTCGTCAGGTATCCATCCATCTCCTCGCAAACATCTCTCTCATCTGTGCATCTCACATCCTCCCCACACTCGGCTTTCAAAAATCACCAACAACAACATCTAACGCTCTTCATCCCCCTCATATCGCAAACGCCGCCGCACCCACGACAACCGCCCACGCCACAGCTCCCGTCGCCCTCGCGGGCAACGCCGCCGCGGCCGTAATCGCCCCCGTATCCTCCGCATAATCCAGCGTCCTGCTCGCATTCACGGGCGTCGCATTACACGTCTCGTTCATGCCGTTGAAGCAGTCCAGCCCCTGCTGCAGCGAATTCGTGATCTGCGAGTTGATGGCGGTCGCGACGGGGTAGATATCCGGCGGGATACGGCCGAGGATGGCCTTGGAGAAGTCGACGCTGGCGTTCTGCTGCTGTTGCAGCGAGGTGATGACGAGCGGGCCGAGGTTGAGCTGGAGGAAGTCGGGCTTCTTGCCGATGAGGGTCGCGATCGAGGCGTTGACGGTGTAGGCGAGGCCCTGGGTGTAGGGTCCCAGGACCAGCGCTTCGTCGCTGGTGAGGTTGAGGGCGCCGAATTTGTTGAGGGCGGCGGTGGCATTGTTGATGTAGTTGACGAGGTTTGTGGTGGCGGATTGGACGGGGAGGGCGGTGGAGAGGTCGCTACCGGCAACCTTTGCGATTTCGCCCGTGACGTTCATGGTGAGGTTGACGACGCCGCCGAAGGCCTCGATGATGGTTTCTTCGAGTTGCTTGTCTTGCGAGGCGGCGAGGGCGGTGGTGGCCGCGAGGGCGGAGAGGAGGAGGAGCCTCATGGTGGTGGTGTGTATGAATGTGTGGTGGAAGAGGACGGCGCGGTCAATGCGATTCTTCACGGCGCAGACAGACAGTATGAGAGCAGGCTGGCGCTAGACAGCGACAGCAGCAACAGCAAAGTTGAAAAGGAAACCTTACCCTCTCACACGCTCACTCCATCAAGACCCCAAGCAGCACCAGAGGCGTCGTCCGTCCGCGTCCCATTGATCATATGCAACCCACGCCGCGCAAAGCAACGGCAGACGAGAAGAAAAGTGCCTCGGAGCAGCGAGGCAGGCAGAGTTCCAAGCTAACGTCGGTGGTGGAGGCGCGCCGTCGAAACGCTCCAATTTCCTGGGGAAGGTCACCTGCAGATCCAGACGCACTCCCCAAAGCGGCAAAGGTGCCGTTTTGATCAACGCTTGCGCCGATTCCTTCACTTGTGTGCTTGGCTCGGCGTGTGGCTCGCCCCGGCTCGTTGCTTCTTCCCCTCACTTCGTCTGGCTGTCGGTCGTGTTCGAGCCTCGTGGGATCTTGGGGACCGAGTTGGAGTCATCAAGCAGTCGAGAAGCCAGCCACGGAGGAGGCAATGGTCACCTGCCGTGCCGCTTGTTCCTGGGGATGTGGTATCTTCCGTCTACGATGCATACGATGTGGTATTGGGGTATGTGTGAGAGAAGCAATGTAGGTGGCGAGAGGCGAGGATCGAAGTTCAGAAGTCATGCCTGCATAGAGATGTTGGAGAACGATGAGATAGCAATCATACAGTTATTCATGAAATTTTTGAACTTCTCCGCTATGCAGAATATGCGTTAAAAAAGACCTATGCCTACAATGTTTCATTTCCTGGCGTAGAGAGAGAACCCTGTCTAATGTAGCGCTCTCCGACCTGATACCTCTCATATCACCAAGGCCCCGTTTTCTTCGTTACATCGTCTCACATGTGCTGTCGGATATCCCTCAGTCCCAACGAACATAATATGCAAACACCACCAAACGCAATGCTGATCCAGTACGGCCACTGGTAGGCGATGCCGAACGCATCTTGCACGGCGCTGATGATGGTGGCGTACGCCGTATCCTTGTGCATCACCGTCGGGCTGCTCGCGATCAAGTCCATGACCTTTTGGTACTCGGCGTTCGACGCCAGCGTGATGAGGTTCACCAGCTCGAAGTAATCGGTCGTGATTCCGGCGTCGGTGATCTGTGGGCCGGCCACCGTGTTGGCCAAGGCGTAGTACTTGTGGAAGAAGACGTTGTAGTAGGCGGCGAAACCCACGGCACCGCCAATGTATCGGATGGAGAGTGTGATCGCCGTGATGGTTCCAATCAACTCCGTGGGACACATGATCTGTGCGATAATCGAGCAGGGAATGATGACGGCACCCACACCGACGGATGCCAGTGTGATGATGGGATATACGACGGGGTTGAGGTTGTCTGGTCGTGCGACTGACATAGCTCCCACGAATGCCGTCATGAAGACGGTCCAGAAGATCATGAGGATGGTCGTACGTCCTTTAGTAGCTCCGATCAAGACCAGAGCGAACGCCGCACCAAAGATGATGCCGAATCCGATAGGGAGCGTTCGAATACCGATCTGCACGGGGTCGTTTCCGTACATGTTGTACACCTGCGTCGGCCAGAACAGCAAGATGACGAAGAAGTTACCACCGCTGAAGAAGGTAACCAACAGGATCAGGATCATCGTTCGCTTGTCTTTCGAGAAGACAGCCTTGGGGACCATGGGATACTTGGCGAAGCAGATTTCCCAGACGAAGAAGGCAATGATCATGACGAGACCGATCAAAAAGGGCACCAGGACGTGTACAGTGGTCCATTCGTACTGCGAGAGGTATTAGTATCGGGAGGTGATTTCGCATGATAGACACCCACCTGACGAGCTCCCCATTGCATCCCGGACATGAAGCACGTCACGCCGCCAATGCTGAGCATACCGCCAACGTAGTCAATCTGCTTGAGAATCTCCTTGGCCGCTGGACGTTCGCGGACTGGATCCTTGTAGCAGAGCGCAACCAAGATCAAGCCAATCGCATTCCACGCACCAACCAGCGCACCGATATATCGCCAGTTCGAGTCCTTCGTGATGAGCTGAGCCCAGAGGGGCGACGGGCAGAAGGGCAGGATCGTGAAGACGACCGCACCGACGTAGCCCGCTCGCTTTCGAACCGGTACCATTTCAGATGTTCCCGCGAGGGCGATCAGTTCGTTGAGACCAGCTCCCAGACCTGCGATGACCATGCCGCCTGCAGTATCAAAGTCAGCATCGATGATCTTTCCAGCAAGGGTGTATTTCCGTACCGATTGCAACATTGATGTCGTGCGCCGTCGAAACGACCACAGGTCCGATAATCAACAGAACTTGTCCAAACGCCGCCACCGCTTTGCGGCCGAAGATATCGGACAAGGCACCCACGAAGGGACACAGCGCAGCGTTGGGAATCAAATAACCGATGATCATCCACACCCATCGTCCATTCGCGCCTCCGACTTCACTGTAGATGTCGGGCAAGACCGATCCGAAGAGGTACAGCGGGATTTGTGAGCCCACCCACAGGAAGGACATGGCTGTGAGTCCCAGGAAGAGCTGGGCGTTGAACTGGTTCGCAGGTTAGCCGCATGAACTGCTCACGGCCCCCACCGAAATGCATTTTCCAAGACGTACGGTGGTGTGCACATTGGGGTTGTCTTCGTCCTTGACATCGTCTATCGCCTTCTCCGCCCGCTCGTTGCCGTATCCCGGGGCGGAGTGCTCGAACTTCTCGATGAAATCGTGTTCCCGGTGGCCGCTGCTGCTCTCGCCCGTCTCGCGGTGGGCGGCGGTGGTGTCGATGTTGGTCTTCTCGTCCGCCACGGTGGGCAGGGTGTTAGTGTCGGCCATGGTGCCGTCGTCGAGCCCGCGTACGTCCTGTCGATGTCGTCGCACAGCAGGAGGGAAAAGCTTCACTCACGAGCAGCAGCGCAGCAGAATCGCTCGACCAGCGACTCTGGCGCCGTTTTGTGCAGAGTCGCCATTTGGTAGCGGCCATTGGCGAAAGCCAAAATGCCTCGGTGATTGGCGACACCAGCGCTGCGCTGCTGCTGCTCATCGTCGCCCACCACCAAAGGAGCCACAGCTCCGCGCGCGTGCCACCGACGTTGCTGGCCGCTTGGCGGGCTGCCGCCGGCTAGTGCTGTGCTAGCGCGGCATCACGCGGCGTCGAGTGAATCCAATTCGCGCCCAGGGTCGCAGGCGAGACGTCCAGCCGAGCGCGCCGCCTCCAACCTCCCCCGATCTGCGCCCACCCCGCCAAAAGCCACTTCCCCACGACGCCAAACGTTAACTGAACCTCCAGCAACCGCCTCGGTGGCCGTCGCCCAATCACAGCCATCGCGAAGGATTCACTGACCGCGGCCGCCCTCGTCATTGGCTGGGCTAGGCTCCACAGCCTTCTGCATCCGGCAGGTGAGGGGTATCGATCCGCCTTGTTACGACCTCACGCAGGGTCGCTATACCGTCTTCGTCGTGGGCACGATCCTGTCCTGCCGTACGCCGCAGCAAACACATGTTCGACGGCCACCACGCACCACCAGATCTGCTACAGATGCGCGCAGAGCCAGGCCAGCAGAGCCGCACAGAAAAGAGACCGTTTGCCTTGTATACCATCAGATCTGCTACGACTACTGTCGGCAGGGAACATGGATGGTGTCATTGCCATGTGCGACTCTGCTCCGTGCCGCAGGACACGAGATACACGGTATACATATGTACATCGAGGCTGGTACCTTGCTGATGGATGGAATATGCCTCCCTGCAGCCACACCCCGAGAACAACAATATACCCCAGACGGAAGGGCCGGGATGGGGCATTGCTTTGCCTCGATGGATGACAATGGATCGACCCGCTTCGTCCTCGTCTGGGGTTGTAGGGAGGATTGCTGTACGTATGTAGAGAAGGTGGGTGACGACGTGACGTCTCTGCCGCGGTGCTGACAGGGCATGGCTTGGAATCGTGGCACATGGCTTGTACAATGACAAGTCTGTCCCACGCCGAGAACATGTCCCTCTTCAACCAGGTCATAGCCTCGACTGCTGACTTCTGACCTGCATGACATCTGCTGGACGAGATACTGTACATAGGGTCGGACGATCGATCGCTGGCGTGCCGCTGCCGAACTCTGATAGCCACGCTCGGCATTTTTCGTCTAATACGCTGCTCGGCATGTGACAGTGATTTAAGAAACGTATCCTGCGTACACTGCCTCCCTTGGCTTCTGGAGGAGCGTCTGGTGGGTTCGAGGCGTGGGCGTATCTATCACAGCTGTCTGGCTGGCGATGGCGTAAAGGTCGCTACAGACGTGCAGCGGTGGGCCAATCTCGATGGAGCGCAGTCGACTTACCTCGGTGCACCGACGTTTGTTGGTACAAAAGCGGTCTTGCTCGCCAAGTGGACCGGTATGGATCAAAACGATAACGCTCGCCTCTCGGAGCCCCGGAAAAGCCCGACTATGTGAGCGTCGAACAGGATTGTCCAACATAGAATCACTGTCATCCTCCATCCGGATGCAGTAGTCGGACTGTAAAAGATGGAGATATGTGTGGATGTGGTTGTGCAGAACGCGGCTGGCGCAGCTTCCGAAGAATCATCGCCAGTCCTGCCTGCTGGTTCGTGTCGTCGCTTGTCATCATTCTTTCGTAAAGTCGCTCGTCCAGCCAGAGACGAGGAACGAAAGACGAGCTGAATACGAAGCAGACGGTGGTCACCCTTCAGGGGTAGTATGCTAACCTCAGCCACCTTTGTATCGAGATTGCGCAGACGTAGCTACCTGGTCTGCGATGATTGAGAATCGGATTCAATGGACTTTCGGAGCAGACATAGGGGTGTTGATTTTCATGCCCAGCACGACGACAGCTTGATGAGCACGCCAGACAACGCCAACTTTGGTCAAAGCAGGCCAACCTGGTCAGGTGGATAAGAACCAGTGCATCGTTTGTGTGGTCGACCTAGGGTCCACTCACCTTATCGAAAACGGGTCCTCGATGCGTTTTTCGTGGTTCTGGTCTGCAGACGCAATGGTAGCCGACCCTGCGCTTCACTGGCAGCAGTCTTCCACAAGATCTCAACAGCTCACCGAAAATTTGAACTGCGGGTGGCAAAAGGCAGACCATCGTGAGCTTCTTTCCCGGTATTCAGAGTGTGGGCACGTTGAGTCTCCCAAGCTCTTTTGTGAGATCGTGTCTGACGACATGGTGTTCAAACGACGAGATGTCGCAAGATGCGGTCGGGAAGGCGGCATCCATGAACATTTCGATCGATACAGATTCAGCACGTCAGGCTCAGGGATCACGAGTGTGCCTGCGGATCCTCTGGTATTGTGATGCATTCAACGTGCACTCCGATGGGACCCCATCGCACTGTGGTGCTAATCAGGCTCGCTGCTCCTGCCTCTTTCGATGAGCCCAATCATCAGGGCTCGCAAATGCAACTTCGCCCCACGAGATCCTCCAGGCTTTGCTTCGCGATGTTGATACTCACATCTGAGCACTTCCCAGAACAAGGTGCTTGAGCCTTCTCGGGTTGTCCTTGAGTCTTGAATTTGTTCCACGCGACATCTGAGGCCGTCCATCCATCAGCACCAGGTCGAGGACTGTCGTCCCGATTGCAGAAGACGATGGGGAGCAAAGACAACCATGTACACCTTGGCCGCCTTCTACTAATCGTAGTGAGATCAAAAGGGTGGTCGAGGTGGTGGCAAAGTTCGACCAACCAAGCAAGCCAGTGTAAAAGACTTCGCCTTCGACTGTTATCTCGTTGCCAGGACCAGGACTCCATGCCTACCCAACTGTTTGGCATCGAGGGCCCCAATTCGCCGGTCTCCACTACACGCAATAGTCATCTCAGACAGGTCCGCAATTGCTCGTGTAGTCAGAAGTAGCCTTCAGGTGGTAGGGGAAGTCAGTCGCCCAGGCCTGTGTGAAGCCGACATCTCCAAGTCAAACGCCGCAGAATAGAGGATGGTTGTTGGATCTCTTTCCCAATTTCGCCTGACAGACCATCAGACCATGATCCCCGTGAGATGGAGTCTTCCCTTCAATCACTGGCTCCAGGTTCGTGAGGACGATGCTGAGGTATGAAGCATCGAGTCGAGGAACGGCCTTGGTAAGTCTGTTGCTTTAACCTTCAAGTTTATCTCTTCATACATCTGCGTCGCAGAATTCCAGCCTCGTGTTTATCCCGATCGGCCGTCGTTGTTTATTATGGGCAATGTTTGATCCTGCAGTAGCTGTATGCCGCTGGGACCGATGATGGCTAATCTCAACTATGCTGAAGACACACTCTCATTGAGATACTTGTTGCGGTGACTTGCACCAAGTCCAGGATTCTGCAAAGGCCCTACGCTCTCGTCGTCCATAGCTGGTTTCGCTGGCTCTCCGGTGTAAGGTGAGGCATGGAAGAGTTTTGCTTGTCCAGCGTCTGGGAACATATGGCCGTAGTGTTCGTTCATCTGCCTCAGGTAGCTCCCTGGTTCTCCAGTAGACAGACTCTTGGCTAGTAATTGACTCGCTGGTGTTGTGTGTTGGATACTTTGGAAATAGGAGGAAGGTGGAGGGAAAGGAAGAGGCGGCCTTTGACGGCGCTGGCGTCGGCCCGGGTCGGTGTTTGAAATGGGCGGGTGGGTAAAGACTTCACATAGCTTTTGATTTCACCTATGTGGTGTTACTCGGGATACATGTCATTTAGGTCCTCAAGAGCCGTATACAGGCTGTTGTTGTTCTGTGGGTATGGCATTGATATGAAGAACAAGATGTAGTTGACGACAATGTATATGTATTCTTGACTTTGGCCCCCACGCCCACTCACGCCACTTCGAACCTCGGCCTCCACTTCCATCCATCAACCTCACCTCACTTCACCTCACAACATCAATCCATCAATCGTCCCTCCATCTCCTCAACATGGCAGGCTCCAACCTCCAGCCCCCGCCAGTCGAAGGCTGCGCCGTCACCTTCCCCCACCCTTACATCCTCCTCCTAACCCTCTCGCGCCCGTCCCAAATGAACTCCATAACCCACACCATGAACTGGTACATCCAGAACCTCTTCGCCTGGTTCGACGCCGAGCCCTCTCTACGGGTAGCGGTGATCACCGGCTCCGGCACGAAGGCGTTCTGTGCGGGTTCGGATCTGATTGAGATTGAGGCGAGTCGGAAGAGTGCGTTGGAGGGCCAGGATTTGAAGACCGCGCAGCCTTGGTTGCATGAGCATCCGAAGGGCGGGTTTGCGGGGGTGAGTCGACGGAGGGGGAAGAAGCCGATGTTGTTGGCTGTAAATGGGGTGGCGTTGGGGGGTGGGTTTGAGATTGTTTTGAATAGGTTTGCGTTCATTTTCTGTTCGTCTGGGTACGATTGCTGATCCACAGCCAGTGATATCGCAATCGCATCTCCCAAAGCACAATTCGGACTCCCGGAAGCGCAGGTGGGAGTCTACGCTTACGGCGGAGGTCTTCCTCGCCTCGTTCGAGCAGTGGGCATGCAAGCAGCCAGCGACATCGCCTTGACCGGTCGGCGGATATCAGCTCAAGAAGCACTCGATCTCCGCCTTATTTCAGGCATCGCCAAGTCTCCAGAAAGCGTCCTTGAAGAGACGATGGAGAAGGCCAAGCAGATTGCAGCCATCTCCCCTGATGGAGTCATTGTAACGAGAGATGCTTTGCGAGAGGCGTGGGAGACGGCGAGTGTGGAGAGGGCTTTTCAGATCACGCATGATAGTTATTTTGATAAGTTGATGCGGAGTGAGAATTCGGGGGAAGGATTGTCCGCATTCAGGGAGAAGAGGAAGCCGAAGTGGAAGGGGTCGAAGCTGTGATGAACGAGAGACAGGGGGGAATTTGGCTAACGCTGTATAGCGGTGTTATGGGCAACCGGGTCAGCCGGTCATGAATGAATGTATTGATCGCCGACTTAACTATTTTCTCAATCTCACGTGTGGCCGTCTGCCGAACGAGAAATGGCTTGAGACTGCGGCCCCACCCTTCACACTGCGCCCTCGCGTCGACTTAGACCCACATCGGCATCGACGGACTCCAAGCTTTCGACAGTCCGATTCCTCACGTTGAGTACTACGGATATTTGAACTACACTCGCATCCACTCACGTCCGGCGCACGAAGCCCACATATCGCGAAAGCGGATTCCTCTACAAGTGTGGAAACGACAAGCCACCGATTCTCCACGATTCTTGGACCGAAGGAAGAAAGCCTCCGATCAGGACCTTCGCGCTTCGAACATCATGAACGAGGAACGCCCAGACCAGAAGGCAATGATTCCTTCTCCAGACTCACTTCACACGTCCTCGAATGGAGTCAAGGCCGACACCCCGAGTGCTGGCAAAGAACCGGACCGAGCGCTCGTTACGCCTGCGGGCGACTCCGCCACGCCTCCTAGGCCATGTGGCACGACACAGAAGAAGACACCGATCCTTGAGAGACTGACTGGACACATGGGCAGTAGGCCAACAACCTGCCACAGACTCAGCACTGTAGGTATAGCGGGGCTGGACTATGAACTGCCACAGGATAAGAGACCCGAGTTCATGGACGACTTCTTCAATCTCACGGACGAGGACTTGATTCGGAAGTGGTCTCTTGTACCTAGTGAAAACCAGAATTAGCCATAAAATACTGTTGAAAGAGGTTTGAACATCGACATGAAGCAAGTAGGTTGCATTTAAGATCGAAGAACAGACGCACTGGTCGCCAAAAGCTGGCCATAGACGACCACGTAGCGAAAGACTCTGTTCGTCGTGACTGGCTGAAATATGTCCTTGATGTTGCAAGCTCTAACGTATACTTTTGCCAACCACGAAGCAGATCCGTGGGCTTTTATCGCATACGTCGCCGTTGTCAAGTCCACCCCTTCATGGTCAGAATCGCACTTATTCGTCTTCGAACATGCAAGGTAGCCCCAGCCGCCTCTGTTTCCTGCGACATTTCCGCAACCCGCCCTCGAGGTGATCGTGAAAGAAACAGACCTTCTCCGCCGACGAGAACGCTACTCCGTCTGTTGTGGCGGCCCTTGCGAAAAAAGCGGAGTGGCCGACCAAGTCTGCGAGCAGCTTGCGATCGAGCGTCCCAAGTTCATCTGGCAGCATGTCCGGATCGTCCCACGACAGTCGTGCCAGGTCCGTAATGGCGAAATCGACGAAATGGTTCTTCCGCTGCAACAAGGCGTTTTGGACGCGGGTGATAATGTCACAGGAAACAATGTCGTCGTAAACATAGTGCTGGAGGATCAACTGGGTCATTACATCGTTCCGCAACGTACGGATGTCGTGAAACGAGGCAAAGATGAAGAGATCGGCGAGATCCCGGTCGGTCAGGGCGTCGTAGATGAAGTCGGGCGGGAGATGGACGTCCAGATACGTGCCGGCATCGAGCGTACGCCCGGGGTCGAGGAGCGTCTCGTACCGCAGCCACACCACGAACACGTGGACGACTCGAGGCTGGTATGCAAGTGAGAGCCGGTCTCCCTCTATCAAGTCTTTGAACTTTTCCGATGCATCAAGAAACAGACCCTTGCGGATTATGTATGGCGTGAAAGGGGCTCGGGATGGGTACACTCTCAACTCGGCATTGGCATCAGTGGGCCTGGCAGATGGATGAGCACCCTGTCCGCATGTCTGAGGGTCGTGTCACCAACTGATCCTCCCATCCCCGCAGGTTCCCACGCGTGAGCTCAACTGCTCCATTGCCTTGCGCAGTATTGGCTTGAAAGCGAACAACGGCTGCCATTCGTACAGCACTCTCCGACTCTGCTCGCTCTGCTGATTGTGCGAGCGAGATGTGACGAAGAGGAAAAGGTCAAGTTGTCGGAACAACGAGTAGAAGGAAAAGACCTCAGGGGTCTCACGTCACGAAGACAGGGGCCATATATATTACGGTCAAGGATGGCGTTCTTAGTTCGCAGCGAGCCTGAATCATCGCTCCGATCCTCATGACCGGCGAGTCATGTCGCTTGGGAACCCAAACTTTCAAAGTGCAGTTCCTCCCGGTCTCCAAGGGGTCTCCAGATCGATCAACGCAAGCTTTGGGTACCCAATCACTCCACATCTGACCGAAAGACGGGCTTTGCTGCGACGATTATTGCCAACGCAGACACATCTCTCGCCTCTCCCGGCGGTCCAGCTTGTTCAGTCCCAGCTTTGGGCCATCACATCCTCCTCATCAGGGATGAACCCATCTCTCAAATGGGGACACTGAGTTCGACACGCTCCATTCGTGTGGGGTGATCGTTCATGCCCAGGCAAAGTGCACGTGCTCCGAAACGGGCCTCTCAACCTCGCAATATGATGCGGCTGCCCCGGGCTGTGGGCGTACAGCCACTTGGGGATCCAGCCGGTGCTGTCAATAATCTCGAGTCTCCCATGACTTCGCCACTGGATCCTCTTCTCCCAGAACTTGTGTCGGGCGGCGTTTAGGCCGTAGTTGCGGATTTCTCTGTCGAATTGGTGGAATCCGACCCTCTCTCCCTTCTTAGAGCCGATTCCGACGAGGTTGCGGGACTCGGACAAGAAGTTGATCCATGGTCTAAACCAAGGGCCGAGGTTTGAGGCGAACATGAGAAATTTGATTTGTTCGTGGAGCTTCTCAGAGCCCGGTAAGGCCTCGAATTCGTTGACCGCTTTGTTGAAAGCAAGATAGAAGTCGTTGTAGGTGTCGAAGTCATCGAGTTTGCAATTCAGAATCGCTTGAAACTTGGCCAAGGCATGCACAATCGTAGTTGTGGGCTCCTCTGTGGCAGAGCATTCGCTGTCAGGGTGGAGCTGAGTGTCCTGAGTATCTGAACTGTTGACACCCACGCGGCCCAACGGTCGATCGACAGCCGCGCAATGTGTTTGTTTCCTCGAAGTTGGAGCCATTTGTGTTGATGCAGTGAAGTGAGAGGAGGAAAGGTGAAGTCGAGACTAATAGGAGTCAGCCGGAGAAACGCGGTCCGTCCTCGCCAGCTCCATGTGCCGCTTCCACAACCTTGGAATGGTAATCAATGACCACTGCAATTCCATGGGTTCTTCATCTCGTCTTCCTGGTTCGCATCCACGATGTTGATTTGCGGCTTTGAGACTCTGTCAGTAATCAGAGCTGGACTCCTGTCTTTGCTCCTTCTCCGCCACTAATACCAAATGACACTTCAGCCGTTCGACGCTGGAGCAGCAGGCCTACTGAAAGTAAAAGCCAGCACACCAGAACTCTGCCCACCAGCGAACAACTCCGCCGCAGCCTCCAGTCTCTGCCCCGACTCTTCCAGCTTGTTGTCCCCCGTCGGCTTCATGACCTTCTCGCCAAACTGCTTCAGCAGCATCCGTATCCGAGTCGGCGTGATGCCTCTAGAAGCGAAGACATCGTAGTCATTCAGCGCACCCCAGATCGCCACGAGACCCATGATGATGCAGCTTTCGCCGACTTCGCCTTTGTTGAGGCCCCAGCGGGCGGCCATGAGGATGTTGGCGGACATGCGGGAGGTGGCGGCGTGGAGGAGGGGTTTGGGTCTGAGTTTTAGCTCGCTGGTCTTGGTTGGGAAGAGTCCTAGGAGCCTCCAGCAGAGGCGGTAGAGCATGATGTGGGTTGACCAGTAGTGTGCTGCGGCCTCGTATTCCGGGACGGTGCTGAAGTTCATTGTGTAGGACGTCGAGTCCGAGTCGTCGGTTTTCTGGATCTGGACGTGGTGCAGGATCTCACTCTCCGCATCGATGTCTTCAACCTCGAGCAAGTCCTTCGCTAGGGTAATGGCCTCGGTGACTCTGTCGGGGTTGGCTTCAGTTGAGACACTCTTTACAAGCAGTATCAACCTTGGTAGTCGAATGAACAGCTGGTTGCTCATCTTCCTCAACCGATGCACTACCTTCCATGGTGCCCTCATATCGTCTTCCGCGAGCAGGACCGGCTCTGCTTGCAGCCAGCGTGGAGTCTCAAACGGCGACGGCACGCCCATCACACACGGTCCAATGAACGCAACCGCCCAGAACTGGTACTGCAGAGCTCGAGCGATTTCGCTTGGCGGCTTGCGTGACTTGCCTTGCCCCATCATAATGGCCACAACGCCATGCATGTGCGATCGAAGAGGGACAGAAGAGTACGCAAAGACCCGCTCGAAAGTGACAAGCAGGGCAACGGTCAAGAGCAGATCATCGCTGGAGACCTGCCTTTCCATGTCGTCTCTCAGAGTTGTGATGGCCTTGCTGTAGCTGCCTAGACAGCTTTCCTGGGTGATGGCAGTATTGAGGTTTGCATGCTCGACCGCCTTCACGATAGCCTTAGCCGCTGCATCTATCGCTTCACTATGGCCTATCCTTGAAGGTAGTAAATTCATCCACGTCCCAATGCGATGCGTGCGTTCCATCATCGAGGTGAACTCCAGCCTGAGCCGTGACGCAGCCGACGAGGGATTGTGGACCACCAGCGGCTCATCCTTGAAGCTCTCCGGTGTTCTGAGATTTCGCTGCACATTTCGTCTTCGACTCACCGACGCCTTGGTCTTGTTTGCACGCCCAGATACGGTTTGCACGGCTCCTCCGGCACCCGGGTAAATCGCCGCATTTTCGGAATTTGCTTCATCTTCGACCGGATCGTGGTAGTTGGCGTCGGGCTCGCTATCTGGAGGGGTTTGCATGCTCTTGAGCCAGCCTTGCCAGATCAATCCTCGCTATCCAGGGCGATGAAGATAGAGAACGCGTGGAAGTTCTGGGATCACGGCAGAGAACGACCGGCCGATCTATTACTCAGCCTCGGTCGCAACTTGCCGATGCATCTTGTGCCGTGTTTTCGGCGTCGCCGAACAGCAGGTCGATGTGCACTGTACGGTCAGCCGTGGTGCATGGTCGATGGGTACGGCGGACGTTCACGTTCTGGGACGCTTTTGGGGGCTGTTGCGAGATGGAAGAGGTGAGGTTGGAACAGGAATGTGCAAGCAGAAGGATCTCTCGGTCCGAATTCACCCGCGCCGTTTGGGCGCCTAATTTCACGATCTTCTCCACTTCTCGACCTCACTTCGTCCTTGTTCTCTCTCCATCTCCATGCCTATCCATGCCAGCGACTCATCCTCCGCAACATTTCTTGGGCATCCTCTGACAGATGCCTCGGGATCTCTGCCGCGAATTGGCAGCGAGAAGGAGAAGGTGGGTGGCGCTGGTGCCGGCGCGGGCGCGGGCGCTGGTGGAGGGTGGGAGTACCACGACGAGACGATCGGGGCTAGCGCCTGGGGTCGCGGTGATGAAGACGAAGGCGCGAGAGACAGCGCCTGAAGCTGCTGGTTCATCGTTGCTTGCGATGTAGCTGGCGGGTGCGAGACGCGATTTGGGTACTGCAACGCGCGAACCGGATCCTGCTGCATGTCTTGCGGCAGACCGGGGGCTGTCCCACTGCTCGATCCTTCCCAGTATTGGCTGACGTTCTTGTTCTTCATCGGGGCGTTCTGCCGATTATAACTACTAACAGCGTCGGCCGAACGTTCCCCAAGAAAGCATCTCGTCCAAAGCTCCTCTCACAACCTAGCCTACTCCCTGTTTGCAAGGCTCACAGTAGTAGTCAGCGCCGCAGTATCATCTCTGGTCTGCCTCCCGTTCGTGATCGCATAAAATGTACTCGACACTAAGCAGTTGCCGGTGCACATCAGGGCAAACCGACACACTTCTCCCACCGACTCCAGCCATCTATCTCAAGGTCCACCTGGCGGAGACCCACCGCGGGAAATAGTCGCCATTCTGTGCCACAATCGTAACCGGATGATCAACCTTCGGCAACGGTGGGTCTCTGCGAATGAGTGCCGTCTTGTTCATTGAGTCTAACTCCACCGCCCTGGCCCCACGAGCGCCTTCTGGCCACACGACGCCCGCAAAGTGCAGTCCCCCTAGTTGGGTGACCATGCTGTAGATGTCGTGCAGTCTGCCCTTGGCTTCGACCCCGTCTTGACTGTAGAGGAAGTCGACGGACTGGCAGGATCGGTACACGTCGGCGACCTAGGATCGGTAACCAAAGTGGGACCAGTCGACAGAGATGAAGGCGGGAAGGCGATCGAGAACGGTCCAGCATTGCATCGTCTTCCCACCGTGGGTCGGGCACGCCGTGTCTGGGAGTGGGAACGGCTCGAAGAAGCGAGTGATCGCCTCGGCTGGCGAGTGGATCTCGCCAACTGCGTATACCTGGGAATCATCGAAAGTGATGCTGCAGAGCCGAGTCGTCTCGACCATCTCCACGGTGTCGTCTAGACAACACCCAAAGTACTGCAGCTTGCCCGCGGTGAACGTCGTCGTCGCCCAACCGTTCATGACAATATCGAATGCAGGAATTTGCTCGGGGTACGCCGACTTCTTCTTGCCGTCTTTGCCAGTGTAACTGAAGAGATCGTCGTCCTCTGCTACCTGGCTCCGGAGTGCAGCCCATGCTGTCTCTTGTAGGGTAGCAGACTTCGCCAAGACGACACTAGCCACGTTGTCCCCGTATTCTGCTAAGCCTGGCTAGCTCTGTGCGTCGCATCGCCGGTGTCCGATCTGACGAAAAGGTTAGACAAAATATACACGGACAAGGTTCGATCGATCTCTACCAGAAGATTGCGCGCAACCATCAGGGCTGACTCGAAAGTGCAGGCATTCTTGCCACCGCTTTCGAGAACGCTTATCAAGCGCTTCTTCAACCGCACCAGCTCCTCTTCTGTGCGCTCGATTGCTCGGACGGTGTTAGGAGTGGATTGGCTGCAACAGCTCGAGCTTCACTTTTGCGGCTGCAATAACCTAGGAGAAAGCATGTCCGTCTCCCTACTAAACAGCGAGACTACTCCGATTGCAAGCAGCTTAGTCCCGTAGCCATACCTCCATTTCGGGGAATTCTTCGACAGTCCCTCGAGTAGGCACCATCCCTCCTAGTAGCCTACGAAGGACATAAAGGATAACAGAGACAACATCGACGCAGAAGAAGAGTCATAGCACTCCCGTCTATATTCCCTCTCTCTCCGTCTGACTACGACACTACTACGACTACAAGTATCAACAAACGTCGAGTCCCGACACACGACTTCGAGCTCTTAACAACGATCCACAATGGTTGCCCTGACTCAGTCTACAGCTGGAATGGGATCGATTGGATTCCAAACACGAGTCCATGTACTGCAAGAAACGAGACGATGGAGTAGTCCTGGACGGGGCGAACGATCTTACGGAAAGAAATCCTGACCGAATGAATAAAGGGAAGCGGGCGTGAGGTGTAAAGTACAAAGTGTGTTTCTCCCAGGTTTTCTAATCTACATACCCTCCCGAAAGCCCCGTGATCCCAATCCCCCGCGAAACAACGCAAAAACTGAGCGAAAACGAGAGACTCAAAATGACCCTCCCCTCCAATCCTCCCCCACTCGCCCGAAAGAAAGGAAAAACAGACCTACCTCACCCCCTCACCGCCCAGCCATCGACCCATAGACCGTCCCAGGCCGCCTCCTCTTCTCCTTCCTCTTCTCCGTCTCAAACGCCCGCACCGCCTTCAGCGCCCGGTACTCGTCGTCCATCGCCATCTCGCACCGGCCATGCACCTCCAGATACTCAGCGTACGCGAGCTGGACCGCGCGCTCGAGCGCCTTCTCGTTCGCGCCCACCTGGACGGCGTCGAAGTCCGTGAAGAAGGTGAGCTGGTCGAGCGGGGTGAGCTTGAGGGCGTCAGTGCGGGAGAGGTGCGTGGCGAGGCGGGTTTTGGCGGTTTGCCAGGTCGTGAAGGCGGCTTCGGCGAGGGATTGGGCGGAAGTGAGGGCGGTGAGGGCGGTGGCGTGCGCGTTTTGGAGGCGCCAGTAGGTGTCGGCGTCGATGGGGGAGGTTGTCGTCAGGGGCGCGATGGTGGGGGGTGTGACACCGATGGTGAGGCACGCGGGGTGCTGGGTTGGGGTGGGCATGGTTGCGGTGTGGTGGAGTTGCTCTGCCGGAGAGCGTTGGACTGTGAAGGTGAGTTGATTTGGAGACGTTTGACGATACCTGATCGTTTAGTCTCCGAGGGGGTGTTGCGAAGTGTGAAGAAGATGATATGGAGAACGTCGTCTACTTGCGGTCGACGGGGGCGTTTATATACTATATCTCCCATGCTACTTTCAATGCCATTGGGAGCCACTTCTTCCCACAGCCCTTGGGAGAAGATCTTTCTCAATATCATAGTCTTGCCTGGGCGCCTTTGCCGATCCATGAAGGCGATTGTTCCGTGACGAACAAGCCCATTGTTCCCCAGCAACGACCGTAACACAAAGACCGCCGATGAGAAATCTCCTTGGCACAGCCTACGGTCGAGAAGGCGAGACCGTTCCTTTTTCTTTGTTGTTCACGATCCTCAACCCCCCGCTTCGGTCGGCCTCGAAGGTTTCTAGCTAGATCGTCAATGCCCATTCATGCACCGCGCGCCGCAGCCTTACAGGCCTCAAGGTCCCAGTCCAACGCAACATGCCACGGGAGAAGTCCAAGACCAAACCCCATCATCGACATAACAGCAAGGAGAAGTAACCCATTTCCCCGGCGGGAGACCTTGCAGATAATCTGCATTCTTCCGCTCCAGGAGCCATCGACGACAAAGACCTCCTATAGCATACGAGGGAGGCTGCTTTCGCACGGCAAACGACATCGCGACTCCGAAGACCGTTCATCGTTCGAACTCAAGCGGGCGCTCCAGGAGGGCCAAGCTGGTTTAGGCTTAGAGATACTGGTTCCTGAACGATATTGCCCGGTTCAACGCATGCGGCCTCTGGCGCGCTATAGCTCTTGGTCGGATGGCCTACGCCTAGTACTACGAGTTTCGCGGCTGTCGTAAGTACTGAGACTGTACTTGCTTCCCTCGCCCTGTGTTCTTGGGAGTTGGGAAGATTGTTCGTACAATGTGATGTGGTAAACGTGCGAAGGGTTGCATGGCTTATTAGCGGCTTGCCTTCCCCTAAGAGAACTAGGAAGTAGTAAGGCTGCAGGGATGGTTTGATAACATTGAAGCTAGGAGATCTCCTCTGCCGATAATGCCTTAGACCGCCTCGACGAGATCTGTAGGTAAGTCCGCTTTTCCGCTGTGGGCTGGAAGGAGACGCTCGCTTCAGGGGCTTCCGGCTTCGTGCACTTCAGGCGAGACTACGATCTGCAAGCTTGCTGAGGCTGAGGTGGCTCGAGATGGGTTCAGAGTGCCACTAACGGCATTTCATTCATTATGGAAATTTTCTCACATCCAAATCAGCGGCTTCATCACCTACGACTTCCCACTCCCCAGCGCTTTCTCCCACGTAGCAACGGTAAAATCCCACACGGCATCTTGTTTGCCCTCCTTGACATACTTCTCAAGCGCCTCCGACCGCGGAGAAGGCTCACAGTACTCATTGAACCGCCACACCCCGGGACCAAACTCCTCGCTCGTTAGCAAAAACGCATGCCGCTGCCCCGACTCTTCCAGCGGAATCGCTCTCAACGACATAACCATCCTCCCCAACGACCGCAGGACAGGAAACGTCCACCGCCACAGAAAATTCGTCTCCGCCCCCGGCTTCGGCTTCCTCTCGACGTCCGTCAGGACGAACCCGGGCCAGGTGTGGATGAGGGTGAAGGCGGGGTTCTGGGCGGCGAAGCGGTGGAAAGTGAGCGTCTTCATGGTCGAGGACTGCTTGGCGAAGTTGGGGATGGTCCAGTTGTGCTCGAGGCCCATGTCGTCTTCGCGAAGGATGGTGTCGTGGCCGGCGGCGAGGATGCTCAGGATGCGGGGGCGCGGGGATTGTTGGAGGGCGGGGAGGAGGTTGTGCAGGAAGCGGATGCGGGACCAGTAGGAGAGGGTGAAGCATTGCTCGAGGCCTTCGGGGGTTTCTGTGTGGTTTGTCAGTTTGTGTGTTGGAGGGCGTAGAGTGGGATGTACTGATTTGTCCCACGATGGGGAAGTATCCGGCGCTCATGCACAGATAGTCGACTTTGCTGGCGCTCGCCGTGATCTGCTTGCACGCTTCGTCGACGCCGCGGATGGTAGCGACCTCTGCTTGTACAAAATTGAACTTGGCTTGGCTGTTTAGCTGGCGTAATTGTTGGTGCTGGACTTCCCATCGCGAGGCCGATCGGCCCACGACGTATATGGTGGGTGATGACAGGAGGGTGAGGAGGGCCTTGAGGGTGCTCTCGCCGATGCCGTTGGTCGCTCCCACGAAGACGCAGACCTTGTTGGCGTGTTTCTGGGCGGCAAATTTGGCATTCTGTGCACGAATCGCGGCAATTGCGACCATGATTTCGATGACATATGCCTGTGTTGTTATGGGAGGCGTGGAAGGCAGGGACGTGTTCTCTGAGAATCCTACAGGAAGGAACGATATCTTTCCGACTGGACTTCGAAGGGAAGGTGCATTGCCCGAGCTGTTTCCTTTCCGTTAACAATTCACTCCATCTACAGTTCAAAGATCAGTTCATTATCGCTGCAATGCGTTTCTCCATTGCATCTGCTTTTGCATGTCGATGGTTGCAGTGTTTCGCCAAGCATCAGAGGTGAGGTCGTCGGTATCCACTCCCGACCAATGGCTGACAGCATCATCTGCCCTCGATCGTGCCCTCGATTGCGACCATGCACATTGGCCTTGGATATTTCGTCGGACGAGCACATGATATCCATGTCTTGAGCGGGGAGACAGGAGATGGCGTGATACAAGACGAGGATGGTAGCAGACGAAGGAAGTTCGGAACGAGTGGCGACAGGGAATGCCGTGCAGGGTCAATGGCAGATAGCAGTCCCGGGCGGGCGGTACGTGCAGAGCTCTGCGCGTCACCCTCAAAAGCCAGCACCTGAATGGCCAGAGTGGCATGGAGACTGCCACAGCTGATGTTTGCTGTTGTTGCACGTTGCCGCCGTCGACGAATGGAGGTGGTCGTGCCAGACGCAGGTACTGGATGACGGTCCAACGCCCTGCAGATTCGCCGCCATCGCCAGAGAAAAATGTTTGCTGTGAGGACGACGTGTGATTGAGTTCGCTGGGCGTGGTCGTCGATGTCATCTCGCACCTTGCCCGTCGCTGGTCGAGGCCGGAAACGGCAAGCGTGACCGAGGCCTCGCTGTTGCGGGGAGCTCCTGCCCCACCATGGAGCATCTCGACCTCCTCCCACCAGAAAGTGACCAACCCGCCGCGCGCCATTCGCTGCGAGACCCTGCTGCGTCCGCCGATATAACAATGGCCCCTCTCTGCTCGAGGGGTAAGCGCGTTTTCATCTCCATCGCCTCCCGCTCTTTCCTCCTCTCCAAACCACACCCATACCACACCACCGCAATCATGGCCGCAGAAGGGTGCCCCTTGAAGCATGCCAACGTCGGCGGCGGCGGCACGCGCAACCGCGACTGGTGGCCCGACCAGCTGCAGACCAGCATCCTCCGCCAGCAGACGCCCGTCACCAACCCGTTCGGCGACAAGTTGGACTACGCCGCCGAGTTCAAGAAGGTCGACTACAACGCCCTCAAGAAGGACCTCAACGACCTCATGACCGACTCGCAGGACTGGTGGCCCGCCGACTTTGGCCACTACGGCGGCCTCTTCATCCGCATGGCCTGGCACAGCGCCGGCACCTACCGCGTGTTTGACGGGCGGGGCGGCGGCGGCCAGGGCCAGCAGCGGTTCGCGCCCCTCAACAGCTGGCCCGACAACGTCTCGCTCGACAAGGCCCGCCGCCTGCTGTGGCCCATCAAGCAAAAGTACGGCAACAAGATCTCCTGGGCCGACCTGTACCTGCTCACCGGCAACGTCGCCCTCGAGTCCATGGGCTTCAAGACGTTCGGATTCGCCGGCGGTCGTCCCGACACCTACGAGGCGGACGAGTCGGTGTACTGGGGTGGCGAGACCACATGGCTGGGTAACGATGTCCGCTACTCGGACGGCAAGGTAGGTCTCGCCGAGTCCGGTGTCGTTGATGGGGACCAAAGTAAACACGAGCACAAGGACATCCACTCCCGCGACCTGGAGAAGCCGATCGGCGCCTCGCACATGGGCCTGATCTACGTCAACCCCGAGGGCCCAGATGGCGTGCCCGACCCGGTCGCCGCCGCCCGAGACATCCGCACCACCTTCGGCCGCATGGCCATGAACGACGAAGAGACCGTGGCCTTGATCGCGGGCGGACACTCCTTCGGCAAGACCCACGGTGCCGCGCCCTCCGACCACATCGGTAAGGAGCCCAACGCGGCCGGCATCGAGCAGCAGGGGCTCGGCTGGAAGAACAACTACAACTCGGGCAAGGGCCCAGACACCATCACCTCCGGCCTCGAGGTCATCTGGACCAAGACCCCCACCAAGTGGAGCAACAACTACCTCGAGTACCTCTACAAATACGAGTGGGAGCTCACCAAGTCGCCCGCCGGCGCCAACCAGTGGGTGGCCAAGACCGACGACACCATCATTCCAGATGCATACGACCCCAACAAGAAGCATCGCCCGACGATGTTGACCACCGACTTGTCGCTCCGCTTCGACCCCACCTACGACAAGATCTCCCGCCGCTTCCTCGAGAACCCAGACCAGCTCGCCGACGCCTTCGCGCGTGCCTGGTTCAAGCTGCTCCACCGTGACATGGGCCCACGCTCGCGCTGGCTCGGTCCCGAAATCCCCAACGAGAAGCTCGTCTGGGAAGACCCCATCCCACCGGTCAACCACCCACTGGTCGACAGCAACGATGTGGCCTCCCTCAAGAAGACCATCCTCGGCGCCGGCATCAACCCATCCACCCTCATCAAGACCACCTGGGCTTCGGCCTCCACCCACCGTGTCACCGACAAGCGTGGTGGTGCCAACGGTGCTCGCATCCGCCTGTCGCCACAGAAGGACTGGAAGGTCAACAACCCATCCGAGCTTAGCAAGGTCCTCAGCACGCTCGAGAAGGTGCAGTCCGACTTCAACAACTCTGCCAGCGGCGGCAAGAAGGTCTCGCTCGCCGATGTCATCGTCCTCGCCGGTTCTGCCGCCCTCGAGCAGGCATCCGGCCAGACCGTGCCATTCACCCCAGGCCGCATGGACGCTGACGAGGCCAACACCGACCAGGAGCAGATGTCATACCTCGAGCCTGTCAACGACGGCTTCCGCAACTACGGCAAGGGCACTTCGCGTGTGAGGACTGAGCAGTTCCTCGTCGACCGCGCCCAGCTCCTCGGCCTCTCCGCACCAGAGTTGACCGTCCTCGTTGGCGGTCTCCGCACTCTCAACACCAACTGGGACAACTCCTCGCACGGTGTCCTCACCCAGAACCCCGGCAAGCTCAGCAACGACTTCTTCGTCAACCTCCTCGACACCAGCATCCAGTGGACGCCATCCGGCTCTGATTCCGAGCTCTACGAGGGCGTCGACCGCAAGAGCGGCCAGAAGAAGTTCACCGCCACTCGTAATGACTTGGTTTTCGGCTCCCACGCCGAGCTGCGCGCCATCTCCGAGGTCTACGCGAGCGCCGACAACAAGGACAAGTTGGTCAAGGACTTCATCGCCGCGTGGACCAAGGTCGTCAACGCCGACCGATACGAGCTGGCTCCGTCTGCGAACGAGACGTTCAACCTCTCCGCTCGTCTGTAGAGAGATGATGAGGCGTTTGACATGAGGTTATGAGATGATGCTTGGAAGGGGAAAGTTGAGATTGTGATGAAAATGCCCCTCGTCCATGTGATGGTGGCTTTATATAGAATCTGAGCATAGTTGTACATTTGAATGTGAATGTACATCCAAACACACATTACGATCTTCCTTTTCTCTGCCCATTCCTGCAGGATCCATTTGGTGAGATCTTCTGGGATACTTCAACACGAACAATCTCGATGTCTTGATCCACGCCTCCCAAACATTTCACTCCGGATACTTGCGAGCACAGGCACCTTCCTGGCGAGCATCAAGATCAATGCCTAACTTATTCCCAGAATCCACATCGTATCCCTTCAATCCTATTCCGGCACGACAACACGAAATGCAGCAACCGTTTTCGAGAAGAAAGGATGTCTGGTATGCTCGAAACCGCTTTCGTCAACTTTGACACGACTTGGGACGAGTAGTCGACTTCGAAGACAGATCTCAAACGCGGGTTTTGGTGAACCTGTGTCTTTTCACCGATTCGTCTAACAAGATGAGGGAATTGGAGGGATAGCGATGGCCTATAATGAAGGGGAGAGGGTTTTGGAATAGTTCTTTAAAGGAATATATTAAGTAATAGAGAGTCGTAATAGTTGTGTAAAGCAGGCGGGTCTTAACGTAATATATAATGTATTTTGATATTCTCTGCTAGCAATAGTCGAACTTTAGGTACACAGATTAATAGTTCTATGAGTGCTGCATCCGAACCAAATTCGCATACATCATATCGGCACGCATCAAGTCGCGATGAGTTCCCTGCTCAACGACTCGGCCGTGCTCAATCACATATATCCAGTCAGCATGTTGAATCGTGCTCAGCCTTTGTGCAACGGCAATAGTTGTGCGGCCGTGAGAGGCATAATCAATGGCTGACTGAACCATGAGCTCTGAGACGCGGTCTAGGGACGAGGTCGCTTCGTCGAGCAGGAGGACTGGCGAGTCGTTGAGTAAAGCGCGCGCGATGGCGAGCCTTTGCCGCTGGCCACCAGAAAGCGAAAGGCCGCGATGCCCGACTGCAGTATCCAGGCCTTCTGGTAACGAGGCAACGAATTCGCCCAGAGCGGCTGCGTTGATTGCTTCTTGTATTTGCTGTTTGGTGGCAGAGGGGGAAGCAAGGAGGAGGTTCTCTCTAATGCTGCCAGAGAATAGCGTCGTCTCTTGCGTGATGAGAGCTATGCACTTCCGATGACTTCGTACGCCCATGCATCGAATGTCGATGCCGTTGTTGAGTATCGACCCGCGCTGCGGGTCGTAGAAGCGCTCGATAAGTGACAAGATCGTACTCTTCCCACCGCCGCTAGGTCCGCATAGACCGATGTACTGGCCAGGGCGAGCGTTGATATCAATACCCAGCAACGCATACGCTTCTTCGCTGGTTGGGTAGCGAAAGTATACGTCGTCGAGTGTGAGTTTCACGCCTCCTGCTGGCACTGGAATTTCAGGTCCCTTGGTAGGATCGATAGTGGGTTGCCTAGCGAGCAAGGCCAGAAGAAGTCCACATGCGTTTGATGCCTTCCGGATATCAGGCAACAAATTGAAGCAGGCGCCGGCCGCTGGCGTGATAACCACGACGGCAATGTAACAAATGTAAAAGTCTAGCATGGAGACTTCGCCAGCGGCGATCAACCTGCCGCCGTAGTACAAAGCTCCGCCCAGGCAGAGATATACCACCGCCTGGGATAGAGCATAGATACCACACGAGAGGTGATCTTTCCGTACCCGCCTTCTCGATTGTGTCACCAATGGTTGCCAGAAGCGGTCTTCCATGTACTGCTCGAGGCCAAGGGAGACAACGGTACTCAAACAGTCCACAGACTCGCAGGCCAGAACCGCAGCTTCCAGAGACCACTGGCGGGCTTTTTGCTCCCGTTTGCTGGCAAAAGCGGCATACACATATCCCGCAGCCAGTAGAAATGGCACTGCCGAGGTGTAGACTAGAGCGAGTTTCCAATGCAGACCTATCGACATCGCGACAGCGGATACGAGGCCGATCAATCCACCTACCCAGGTAGACATGGAGGAGACACTAAGGCCGTCCAACTCGCCAATTGTGGTGGAGACGAATGAGGTGAGTTTTGAGGTACCACCTTCGGCGGCGAAGAATGCCATGTCTTGACGCAGTATATGGTCGAGCGCCTGCGTTCGGGCCTTAGCCAGGCTGTCCTCAGAGCAGATCGCCAGGGGTGTTGATCGCATGGTGGAAGCGATTCCTTGCGCACAGGCAAATCCCACCTGTAGTGCTGCCCAGAAATCCACCTTTCGAAAATACTCGTCTTTGTCAGATTCTAGCTTGCCGAAGACCAAGACAGCCTAAACGACTCAAGTCAGAAATTTCTCTTCCATCTGGCTATTACAGGGCTTACGTTTGCGAAAAGGAAGGCATGGACGGTGGGTGCACATCCAGAGATGACGGCCCACAGAAGACCAAAGGTTGCGAGACCCCATTTGCCCGTGTTCAGCCGGATCAGCAATCGCCAAATATCACTCGCTGAAGCGGTTGTTGATGAAGCATAGCAGGCCCTATGCTGACGCGACTCTTCTTCGAGACTTGCGCGCGATCCGGACAGGAGCTGCCCGGAAGATTCGCCATCTGATGGACCAGCAGTACTCATACTCTGTGCGGTAATAGTTGGGTCATGTGTCTGGCGGCGTTCCAGCGCTCCTCGGCAGCTCAGGTGTTCCCTGTCGACGATCTCCATATTGTGCAGTCTGGAGAAAGCACTCTTGCGTCTGACTAGATCGTCATATCGTCCTTGTTCCGCTATGCCATCTGGCGTCATGACTACGATGTTATCTGCGTTTTGGATGGTTGACAGGCGATGTGCGATGATAATCACAGTTCTGTCCTTGCCAAAAGCAGCCATGGCTTCCTGGATGTAGCGTTCTGAAACTGTGTCCAAGGCGGAAGTCGCCTCGTCGAGAAGTAGGACTTTACAACCGCTGACGAGAGCGCGCGCCATCGCCAGCCTCTGCCGTTGACCGCCTGGAACCCATCAGCTATGAAGAGAACGACTCGGGTGTCATGGCGCTCACCGGAGAGTCTCGACCCTTTCTCTCCAACACTGGTTTGATAGCCATCCGGCATACTCATGATGATGTGATGTAGGCCAACAGCTTCGGCGGCATCCATGATTTTGTCCCGCTCTTGCTGGTTCGTGAGAGTCTCCCTTGATCGGAATAGGCCGTACCGGATGTTGTCGTATACAGAAGCGTTGAACAGATCTGTGTCTTGATGCACAACAGCCATGTTCTCTCTCAACCATCGCAAACTCAACGACGTCAATGGCCGGCCGTCAAGGAAAATTGTGCCGTGGGATGGATCATAAAAGCGTTGCAGAAGCTTAACAATGGTGCTCTTACCACAGCATGATGCGCCAACGAGCGCTGTGGTACTGCCAGCTGGTATACTCAGACTGAAGCCAGTGAGGACTTTGACATTGGGCCTGGTGGGATAGGCGAAGTCAACTCTGTCGAATTCAATTTTGCCTGAAATCTTTATGGGCGTGGTACCTGCCATCGACATGCAGTCTATTGTGTATGGCTTCGCCATGGCATCCAAGAGCCGCCGTGCAGCCGTTGCCCCAGCAGAAACAGCTTGCGCATTGGGGCCGATCAGTCCAAGGGTTGAGGTTCCCGTTAGGACAGCTATCGAAGATTAACAAAGTGTGCAATCTGGGGCTCATTTCGTCTTTCACGCACCTAGAAGCACGGTCAAAACATCTGCAAAGCCAGTTTGACCATCGAAGTAGTATCGAGAGCCGCGCCAAAACGCCAATCCAAACAAACTCAGAGCGATAGTCATAATGACAGCTGCCATGATGTCGCCAGCTATTCGCGCGAAGATGGCGGGCCTGTAGCATCTGGAGAGACTGTTCTGGTATCGCGTGGCAAGAATCGATTCTGCGCCGTTGGTCATGGCGCACACGATACCACTGATTGTTTCTTCGGCCACAGAATTCGCTTCAGCTAAGGCGGCAGAGGACCGCTTTGTAAATCTGGAGACGAAGAGGGTACCGACGAAGGCTGCCACAGCGAGAGCCAGAACACCGCTGCCCAGGATGAGCGTCAGTAGCCATGATCTCGCGAAAGAGACAGCAAAAGCAACGAGCACACTCGATGTAGCAGCAATGACCCGTCCGAGTTTGCTCGAGATGGCATCGTTCACTGCATCAGCGTCGGCGCCAAGTAGAGTGTTGACATGTACCGTGCCAGCCTTATCTAGGAATGAGACTCCTCGGTGGAACACCGACACCAAAAGGCTACGACTGGATTGAAGGTGAGTCAGCACGTCGACCGGAAACAACAGCAGAGCCATGAAAGACGCACCGCATTCTGGCGCAGATGCTCTGGCCCCCAAGCGTGAAGCCAATCCACATCGCATAGCTTCCAACGAGCTCGCCAATTGCCAGGTAGAGGAAGTAGAGCATGATCTTGCCTATGACTATCACGAAGTCGTCCTCCGACAAACGACCAGATGTGACGTCCGCGAAAATGGTCGACATGCTGGCGAAGACAACGCACTATTTCGCGGTGGTGTCATTTCGTGTCGCTCTCGACAGCCGTGTTGCTCATGTCGTACCATGAGAGGCTGCAATGTACCTTGGACCATTGCGCCTAGGGAGCCGATACATAGAAGGGCCACATCTGTGTATGTCGCAAAGGACAGAATCTGTTCATCTTCATCAGCAGTTCCACCACTACTGTCACTCGAAGTGTTCTGACCTGTCGAATAAGAAGGGCATGCTCTGACTTCTTTCGGACTGTCATTATGCCACTGTGTGGAGACAATCTGTCTCAAGTCACAAGACAATTGGCGTTGCTGCCGTTGTTCTCAGAAATGTTCCTCAAGAATGTGTCATGATAACAGGTGTTGGCGCTTGAATCATGCACTGGATGACTTTTCACGGCAGATTCCTGATTCTGAAGAGGATCCACGGCGATTGCTCCAAAGTTACGTGGTCGAACTCCGGATGCCGCACTCCCCATGTCGCAAACGTGGCACAGTCTCCAAGTTGCCAGGGATATTGCGTTGATGGAGAGATCGGGAGCCGAGCGCTGAACATAGCTGCGCATATAGTTCGCAGCAGTTTGGTGCTGATGCTGGGACTTGCTCTGGGCCATTTGCGCACGAAGAAGGTTGGATAGTATCCTGGAGGTGGGCCGGTAAGGTGCGGTCATTCCAGCAGTGCCTTCGGATTAGTAGACAACAAGCTCAGATGGCCTAATACTAAAGAACGAAGCTCCAGCCTGCTATGTAGCCGGTCGATGAACGCGTGAGCCCATTGTTCATCGCTGACAGTGGTGTCTGGGTCGGTATAGGAGGTAGTTGGAAGTCGGACCTTTCACCACCGGAAGTCAAATGTAGTCTCAGGCACGACAGACCCCTGCTGCAGCACGGTAATCTGCTTCCAGAACACCTGTCTCAGCCTCCGTCGCGTGTCAAACCATCTTAAAGTCTCTCTATTCTTGTATTATAGTTGTAATAAAAGTTTTAATATCGCTCGTATGATCGGTTTCAATATCGCTGTTTCAAGCATTAGGAGTGGAGGAGCAGTCTTGAATTTTGACGGTTATATAAGGCACATCTGAATAGGAGGAGAGCGGTCGTAAGATGAGATGACATGACGAGAATTCTTCAAGTGCTCGTTAAGGGGACATCATTGCTGTAACAAGTTTCTTGTCAAGAGAGTCTCTGTTCGGTGTGATCCGGGACTGCATTTACAGCAATACGATTTAGATGCCTTTAACATGTTCTGAGTACTGACCCGACCTCTGATCGTGCTCGTCCCTTTGCGTTCCGCATGCAAGATGGATATTCTGCGACGGCAGCTCGACGAGTCAGCGACTTTGTGGGCAGGACAAGAGATACCTGCAAGACGTAAGAGAGGAAGACTCTGGAGGCTTGTTAAGATCCACCGGACGACAAGCTGAGATGTGGGATCAGAATGACACAGGGGTACTCGGTACGCGTCAAAGAGGCGGTAGAGGTGTATCATGAAGCACACTCCCACCTGTTGACTGTCAACCAGGATGAAGACGATAGGGTGATATTGAAAACATTTCCATCGTGAGAGACAAGCAAACAACCACTCAGACACACAATACACAATACAAACAGATCCCTACACCAACTCCAAAACCTCCGCCTGCGGACACCACCCCCCATGAACCACCCCACAAACCCAACACCTCGCCTTGACCCTCAACGGCCGCCAACAAGCCACAAACCCCCCTTCCCCCTCCCCCACCCTCTGTCTCCCAAAAGGAACATAAAACCGAAACAACTCCACCGCCTCGACGAAATACGCCAAAATCCTCCGCTGGCCGTGGGCCACCTGCTCCGCGAGCTGCGGCCGCTGGTCGCGCGCGGCGAACGCCCAGCGGACCTCGCGCAGGATCTCGTCGGAGGGGATGTGCCGGGCGGGGGCGGGGGAGAAGTCGGCTTCGAAGAAGCGCGGGCGTTCGCGGGGCAGGAATTCGGAGTGGAAGCTGCAGTCGCGGAGTTGGAGGGGGCGGTTCAGGAGGCTGGCGTGCTCCGTGCGGGGGTTTGCCCGTGAAGGAGACGATCCAGGCGTGTGGGCTGACTTGTTCGACGGAGGCGTCGCCGTGTTGGTGGCCGAAGACTGTGAGGCAGGATTGGCGGACTTCTAGGGTTGTGGCGTCGGGGATGGGGCAGGTGGGGGTGTTGATGGGGAGGAGCACGGAGTAGGTGTTGGGGATGGGGTTGTGGGGGACGAAGGGGACGAAGGTGGGGCGGGTGAAGAGGTGATGAGGTGGTATGGGTGCTGAGGGCGGTGGGATGTCTGCTAGAGGTGTAGTGCGGCCGACCTCAGACGGAGAGCGCTTGAGATGGTCTCTCTGGGAAGGTTCGACAGGCTTGGCCGCTTCACAGGTCTCGACCGATGGCGCTGCAAACTGCTCAGAGTCCGCAGTGGAGATGCCTTGCGTTTCTTCTCCATCTCCTGGAGACGAGTCTGGGAAATTGGTCTCTGGAGTGACGGGCTGGAACAGCTGCTCAGCCAACAAATCGTATGCCTCTTTCTTGAGCAGACACTTCAGCCCGTCAATGTGTACCCTCGACAAGAGCTGCTCCCACTTGCCACGCTGCTCTTCGTCAAGACGTGACCAAAAGTCAGGAGGATGTGGCCAAGAAGGGGTCGTAGCGGCTGGATATTGCCGGACGAAATTCTCGATATGGTACGTGAAGAAGTCGATAGATCTTGTAAACTGTAGACGGACGAACTCTCTTCTGTCGGCTCTATTGGAGGAGCTGTAGCCTTGGAGATCGAATTCTGTCACGGCGTCAGCATGTTGACGAAATCTCGTCAGATTCGACATCGTACATTCTGGTCAAGGCAGTGCGCTATTGCTTACCGGCACCATTGGCACTGTTGGTGCGGCTCGAAGACGGTGGTGTAGGAATCGCTTTCGACGGGTCTGTTGCGGGTGGCTGTGGAGTCCTGTTTGAGGCTGATGTACTCCTGGCGGACGTACTTGTGCTTTCCAACAGCAAGGCACAAACAAGTTGTAGAAGCTCTCGATCGGGTATAGTAGAGCTAATCCAAGACGCAACGGTCACTGCTTCTGCTTTGCGTAGCCGATTGAAGAAGTGCTGTTTTCGTTCCTGGTCGGCATGGCGGTCTCGAAGCTTTCCGACAACGAAGGGAACCTCGCTGCTGAGCGAGAACGGTGGTGGGAGCTGTGCATTGATATGGTCTTCGGTGAAGGTCTTGATAGCACTGGGCACGAATCGGTCGTCGTCCAGCGGCACTTCTGTCAGCACTTTCAGCGCACAATCGACCACCGAGGCATGGTTGCTGGGGGCGGTCGAGGTGGGTGTCGATGCTGAGGCGGACTCAGCGCGGCGACGTTTCAAGGCCTCCATTGCAAGGTGTCCTTTGATATTTGCCGTCGTCTGCTCAGTCTTTGGCCTCTTGCTTGAACCACTCGTGACATCAATCCCAGGTTCGACTTTGACCTTCTTGTCCCACTTGGCGTCGGCTTCTTCCTCTGCGTCGCCCTCGGGAGAGCGACGAGATGTCTTCCTTTTCGCCAACGGTGGTGCATCGTCGGTTGACGGTGCAGTGTTGTGCTTTTTCATTGGAGTCCCTGGCTGTGGAGCTACTATGAACTCTTCAATTCGCGCTTCAGATGCTATCAGTTGGTGTACTTCAATGTGCCACCTGAGTCGATGGCCAAGCGCTGCTCAATCTGTGCTCGATGACATGATCCAGTGTGTGGGCAGGGCCTCCTGGGTGTGGCCCTCGTCCAGAATCGTTGTTCACTGTTGGGCGGCAAACTGCCCCGGTTGCAGCAATTTCACAGGCTTTGAGGGGCAGCCCAAATTGAGGTCCCCAGTTGACAAGGCTTGGTGTTGGCAACATGGTCCACGAAAGATAGAGACAGCCATTGCGCTGGCATTCGGGGTATGTCATCTACAGGCTGTCGCGCGTCCTAGCGTGAACCGTGGTTTGTTGTGGTTCGTGTGGTTTTTTGCCTCCTTTGGCAATGCCGATGGGGCCTGTCGTGATGGCGAACTCTGTCAATACGCGGACCGCGTTCTGTTGGTGTTCTTCTTGTCACGTCAACGACACAACAATAGCGGACATTTCTATATGCCACAGCTTGTGATGACCCGCCGGCGTTGGGACGCTGAGTCTGAGCTGCGGTATCAGGAAAGCCTTTCGCTCGATCTCAGCTCATATATCCGGGAGCTCGAGAGGAGAAAGCGTGCTAGGTGTCCGAGTCCAGAACTGGTTTGTGAAAGGTCTCCATTGACCATGAACAGTCATTCAGGTACGCGGGACCACTATCATGTGCCTCATCAGAACAGTGCTGATCCCTCGCAGGTTCTCCTCCCACCTCATTCCAGCCCATCAATCAGGCAATGAGGCAGCATCCACCCAAGAGTGTAGAACCAAGAGATAACCACAGCAACGCGGACCATGATGCTTCCGTGAAAAGCGTTCAACCTCGCGTGCTTCATCCTCAATGGACGGATGATCTCCAATATCAACCGGCAAGAGAAGGCACGATCTCCGAACAGCAGCCCTCTGGGAGCGAGGAGGCTGCAAGACCTAGCATTCCAGACAGAGACTGGAAAGTGATCAGCGTCTTGGACAAACGTAGAAGTCAAGGCTTCGTCGAGCACTTGGTGCAATGGGCAGCTTCGGAGCATCCATCGTCTCTCATTCGAGAGAGCGACGACGGGAAATGGACGATCGGTATTGCTGGTGTTGAGTATGGGATTGCCGAGCGCACGATGACCGGGCGAGAAAGCAACATCGGCGAACCTTTGGAACTCGTCAAATGGAAGCCAAGCTGGCACTTCGCTTGGAACCTCCCCAAGGCTGCTGTTGCCCGATTCGAGCAGCAACTCGGAGAGGTGAAGACCGATCCTCAAGAAGTCCTGGAGCTAAGCTGGTGGACCTGGCGAGAATACGAAGGATGGTATTATCCTCCAGAACCACCGCCACATGCAGGGATGACAAAGAGCATGTCACTCGAATACCTAGAACCTGAGCTTGACTCAGACTACGTCATCAGCTTTCTGGAGCAAATGAGACACTGCGTGCTGGCTGAAGGAGATGATCCTTCGAAGCCTTGTAAGAAGACGATCACCGCCTTTCTGAACATGAGAATTCGGCAACGACTCTCTTTCCCGCCGGATCTCGTGGGCGAAGGTCGAACCCTCTTTTTGAATCGTGAAGAGCATTTCCGAGCGCTGATGGTGTACGCTTTCGAGTTCGCGCGTATTAACCAATGCCGGTGCTGTCTTGCTCAGCCAGGTCCATTCGCCAAATGTGTGACTTGGATGGGTGATTTCGCTGGAGCATGTTCCAATTGCGTCTTCAAGCGCCAGAGAACACAGTGTGACTACCACTTCCGTAGTGAGTGCCCTCCTTCAACAAGATGTACTCTGCTGATAACAACAGACTTCCATCAGAGGCTGCCTGAGCTCGTCCTACTGCCCGGACTGGGTTCGCCTTCGTCTTCGACGCCCTCGGAGTCGTCCGCTATTGCGTTTCGCAGCTCGGTCGACTTACAAGAACAGTACGATCCTTTCACTCCAGCGTCGTCGCAAGATAACGATCCAGGAAATGTAACCAGCCCCGAGCTGCCGATGGAAGTGCCACCCGAGACCATTCCAGATGATTCTCAGAGCCAGGGGACAAGGCTTGCCAGCATTGATGCCCACACAGGAAGTGACGCTCTACCAGAAGACACTGAACCTCGAGGGCGAAAGCGCCAGCCTGTCGACGACGGTGATAAAAGACCTGCCGTGAAAGCGGAAGATGATTCTATTGACGAGCCAATTCCGAAGCGCCAGCGCCAGGACTCTCAAGACCTGCTGTCTCCAACACTCGAGCATCGATACTGCGATGGCTCTCCCAACAAACCTTGCTCGGATCCAGATGTGGGAGCTGTTCCGCCGTTGGACAATTCCGTCATTGTCTTCTCCAAGCACAGGTTCACTCGCGCTGGCGAGGCGACGGACGATCAAGTCCGCTTCATCTTATCCAGATCAGACTGCGCGGCGAACCAACAGCTGCACGAGACGTGGGAGAGTTTGTTGATCAAGAAGGAGGAGAGGGGGGAAGAGAATCGTTGGCCGTCCAAGGAGAACTACATCTCCCATCGTCGCTGGCACAAATTGAACGAGCTCATTCGGGATCATTGTCCTTGGCCCAGCCACGGCGAGTGTGTTGACTTGACGGGAGATGATTGAGTTCGGTGATGTCGTGGATTGGGAGAAGGAAAGGAAGAAGAAGCTGGCGGTTTCTGTTTCGTGTTGTTTTGGCTGACGTCATCGGTTTCAGGGGTTGGTTCTTCGGGCGACATGTCAAGAACAACATATTCCTGTCGTCCCTCTAATCTTTCAAGCGACTACGCCCATATGTGTACTTTGGTTGGCCTAGACCGTTTGCAAACAATGGGGATGGATGTTCAACTTTGGACGAAATGTGCAGGATAGGGGGTGCGAAAGGACGGTCATGTATGTGCCTTCAGCGATCTGATCGCTAATCTCTCTTCTTGTACTGCTGTCTCATGTCTAGCTACACTCTTCGCTCGTGTGAGTGTTTCGGAAGTCTGTGACCGTTTCCTTGTTGTAGTGGTATCTAGTGCCGCCGCTCCCACGGGGGTGGTCGATACTGTTGGCGGAATTGCTCCTCCGACTCGTACTGTGGGTACTCTGGGCGGAGTACTCGCTGCTGTTGCGGTTGCGGTTGCGGCTGTTGATGGTGTTGGGGTGCGTTCGGCTGCTGGTAGTATTGAGCCTGGTGGTCTTGTTGGTGCTGCTGAGGTGGGTATTGCTGCTGGTATTGGTACGGCTGCTGGTCATGCTCATACTCCATCATCTCGCCTCCATCATCTGCTGCCGCATAGCTGGCAGTGTCTTCTTGCTGGCCCAGAGCTTCAAGGGCGGGGAATGGGTCGTACATGACTTGTGGTGGGAGGGCTGGTGCGTTCTGCAGGTCGATGGGTGAGGGCTGCCAGCCAGGAGGGAGCTTGTGGTCTTCGACTCTCTTGGGAGGCTTTGCTCCTTCGCCGCTTCGTGGTGTTGATGGGTTCACGTCTCCGAAGAGTTCGTGCCTCGTGGCCTCCTTGTACATAGCGTCGCTCATCGACTGCTTGCTGGTGCTGCAATGTCCCCCGAACTCACGGCAGGGCGTGCAGAGCACCGGGTTCGTCGCCTTGTCGCACTGGGAATCACATTAGCTGGCGCGCTATCCACACGCATTGAAGAGTACATACGTCGAGCCAGCGGCGCTGCTGGCAGGTGGTGCACTCCAGGCCTGCCGTGGTGGAGATGGTGAAGTTGTGCGCCACGCCGGCGCTCGCAGGGCCCTCGCTGGTGCCGCGGCTGCGAAAAGGAAGGGTCATCTCCATCTGGTTGTTGTTGGCCATGGTGGCGATGGAGTGTATGATGGTGTTGTCAAGAGTATGGCGACGGGGAGAAACGGGATAAACCAGCAGATGTGATATCGGTCTTGGCGTGGACGAAGAGGGCAGGAGCGGGACTTGGCGGGCTTCAGCGCAACACGGGGTCGAATCGCGCCTCAACACCGCTGTCAAGTCGAAGATAAAACCGAAGCAGTTCAGGGCATTTCTGGAAGGTCAAAATGACCTGCTTGGGGTTGTGCTCGACCTTCACGTCTGGGAGAGGCCACTCGAACGTCTGCCTCACCTTGTCCGCTATCTCCTTAATGCTGGGCGCTGCATCCCCACCCTCTCGTCGCTTTTTCGTCATTCTAGAAGGCAAGTCGCCTGCTTCAGAACCATCTGCGACAGCTTGCGCTTGGTTTGCAGAGAGCGATGGATGCTGGTGTGTATTTTGAGGGGTGAATCCGTTCCGTGTGTCCTTGGTCTGCACCCAGGCTGGATCAAGTTCGACAGAGCCTTGCTTGGCTTGTTTGATTGCATGCCACGTCCGTATGTAGGATTGCCGATGTCGTTCCAGGGAGGACTCTTGCCACGTTGAGGCCGAAGTCTTCTGCTTGATCTTCGTGGGTTTTTTTCCAAAACGACTTTCCTTGGAAGATGGCATGCCCAGATGCGGTAGTGTTCGGCACAACTTCGACAAGATAAGACTGGAGATCGAGGGTGAGTGGAGCGTTCGCGAATGTGTCGCGCTGCTAAAGGGCGCGTTTCCACGCGATGTGGACTACGTGAGGCCAGGCTGCGGCAGTTGCGGGATCTCAATCAGCGACGGACAAGCCACCAAGCGTGCCCCCTTAACTATGCTCTTCTGGAGACAAGTGTCGAGCAAGCCATTGAGCTTGGACTGCACTCGCGCTGATCGACCTGATCTATGATCTTCTTGTGCTGGTTGTGTCTTTGTCTTCCATACACCTCAAGGAACATCATCGCCTAGCTGGCAATTCCTCTCACTTGGAAGCAAATACAGAGACGCATGAATCGCTGCTGTGGAGCAGTCTCCCTCTAGCATCTCTGAGTATTTCGTCAAACATCGCACAGGCTCCTGTCGTTCATGACCGCAAGACGTTTCGACTTTCTTGTCGACGCGGTCGAGTGTCCACGATGCCGAAGCGCAATGCTCCATCAAGTCCGCCACTCACGGCGAGGCCATCAAAGCAGAGCCGTGCTACTCCGTCGACGAAACCGAGGGGGTCACTTGGGACCTGGGAATCGCTCTCGCCATCAACGTGTGATGCCGTAGCAATGGTTGAAGCATTTCTGGGCCAAGATGACCGCACCGGTGCATTGTCCTCGTCTGCGACAGCCTTACCTTCTGAGGAGGCAGACAGCGCATGTCCTCCGACTGCAATGCCGCGAGGCAAGTTCCGTCCCCTCAGAGGCGTAGACTACACCGAGAGCTTCGTGAGCCAGCTGCGATCCGAGCTACTCAAGATTGGCGAAGCAAGTTTTCGAAAGGTGCCGTTGTGGGCGACATGCCTCGAGATGCCCACTCGTCAGCGTCTCATCTTCCGTGACGAGTTCGTCAGTCGGCGCAACACGGTGCAGATGGACTTTCGAAACCATCGCCGCGCCATGCAGATCCATCGTGTTGGGCAAGCACAACGAGTACCTTGCGACGGCTGTCAACGAGGCTTCGGGCCATTTCGAGGCTGTGTCGTCGATGCGGACGGCGATGCGCTGAAAGGGGCTTGCGCCAACTGCGCATTTCGAGAACATGGGCATTCTTCGCCGGCGTCTGGCTCTCTTGGTGTTCAGAACGAATTGCTCTCGATCGCCCTCAACCCTTTGAGAGCATCGAGTCTTTCCTTTCAGCGGGTTGGCATGAGGAGCTGAGCGGGGTGATAGCTGAGGTGTGCCCTGTTGAGGCAGGATGACCCCGAATGAATAAAGCCATGGTGACGGCAGTGATATTGAGGCATGATGCATTCATCTGAGGAAACAATGGCATGTCAAGCAAGTTTGAGCATTGAAGTTGATGGCAGTCATTCAGAAGATACAACTGCATTTGATGAAAAAAAAAGGGACGCATTGCGATAGTGCTCGACGTCATTGATAGAGTATCTATGTCCGACATTGCTGGGAGGATCGCAGTCTGGACATCTACTGAAACCTGACAATCATCTTGCAGGCCTGTAGCTCTCCACAGACCGCCCTCGTGAACTGCCGGCGCCATTCGACATCGACCCCTTGGGCTGCTTATGCTTGTGTCCGCAGCTTCGTGGACCGGGTGTCTTGTGACGAGGCGGAGGCGTTCTGCTGCTGACATCTAGTCTTCTCAGCCTGTCCAGGACATCGTGCTCTTCGATCAGCCTGTTCGCTGGCTCTGTAGTTGATGAGTGATCTTCGCATTCTGCCTTGTAGCGGGTGAAGAGGTCATCCCACTGCCGTCGTTCGGCGTCCAGAAGCTGATTCCACACGCAGTGACTTCGAGTCCAGATTTTCTCGGACGGAATGTCGGGTGACCGTCTGACGGCCTCCTCCACGTGACGGGCGAATAGTTGAAATTTGTTGTTGGCCGGCCTGCTGTTCTTGTTGTTCTCACCCTTCTTGCCCCCTCTCCTCTTCTTGCCTTTCTGTTGCGAAGGTTCGTTTGACACGGGCCGACCAGGCTGAGGAACATGGTTGTTGTTGGGCGCAGCAATTCCGATCGAAGGGCTTTCAGAGTTGTCGATCTCGAAAGGAAAGTCTGGTTTTCGGTGAGAATGCAGCGGTACAGCGCGTTGCGAGGGCTGCTTCGATGAGGACCTCTCCCTCGTATTGGAAGCCGGTGGTGGGTGTCTCATGGGAGAACGCTGCATCAGGACCTCGTGCCTCCGCTCGAATCTGTTAGTGCGGTGCTTCTCCCGGTGTCTGGTGCCAGAGACTGTGTCCGCGGTAGCTTGCAGAGCGTCCGGATCTCCGGTGACATCCTCGAAGGAAGCTTCAATCATCGACCAAAGGACTTTCAAGATTTCCTTCAAGATCTCAGTCGCCCGGCCGTCCTCGACGTTTCTGTCTTGGAGCTGCTCGCAAGAACTTGCGCGTAGTCTGGCCACTTCAAGTTTCACTTTCTCAGATATCTCGGAAGCGATTGAGATGATTGCAGCCTTTGACACAGGGTCGGAAAGATCCAGCTTCGTGACGACGTCCTAGAGTGCTTTCATACGTTCGTCGTTGCGGTCTGATAGAGGAGTCGTGTTGGTATTCGATGGTCTTGATTCTGTTCCGACTGGATTCAAACGAGCGGCAGGCTGAGAAGGCTGAACATGCTCAGCAGCAGATTGAGCGCCTTTCTCTGGCTGCTGCTCTTCTTCTTCTTCCTCATCTTCAGATTCAGAGCTGGATTCGGCGTCGTTATCGGACGAAGACGAGCTTTCTGAGCCATCGCCAGACTCGCTGTCATCCGACGTCTCATCGTCGCTGTCGCCGTTGTCGCCATGGCCGGCCTCGTTGGCAGCACTTTGTTGCGCTTGACCATCGACACTTTCGCTCACAGAGTCGGCAATCTCTCTGCTCGGGTCTGGCGGTTCCTGCTTTATCTTGACCTGTTTCTGCACTTTCTGGAATCTGGGGTCGTCTGCAAGTTGCTCAGCCTTTCGTTTGCGGCGCTCAGCGGCCTCAGCTTTGTCCGCATTTACGCCATTCGAGGACATAGTTTCTTGCCTTGGATAGGTTCTTGTCTTTCGAGATCAAAGCACTCTTTCCCTCGATGACAGTGGACGAGTGGTTGTCTTGCAAAGATTCAGAGTCGCTTGACAGCCGCATGCCGTTAGTTTTCTCAACGGCACTCCTTTTACGATGCTTTTACGAAGCACGCCCGTGCTCTCCGGGTTGCACTTTGTCCTGGTCTGTGTGCTCGTTGACGTTCAGGGGCCGCTTAGCGTCAAGATTCGTCAGAAGTGTAACAGAGCCATGGCTGGATTTTGCCGTAATCACGATGGAGCGTGGTGAGCGACCGTACACTTTGTTGTTGTCGTTGTTCTCTTTTCGCGTGCGAGACGCGGTAGACGCGATCGAATCTCCACTGCACGACATCTCGACGCCTTGCTGACAGTTCATGGCCCCATTCGTTCGACGTGCTGCAATATCCCGCGAGTTTGCACTTCTTCTTCGACGACCACGGGTCGATCTCGACGCCCTTGAAGACCAGCAAACGGTACGAAGCCGCAAGGACACCAGGGCTGCTTGTCCGAGTCCAGAGAATCCGGGCTCTTTGCGAAAGCATCAAGGTCTGAAGGCGGCTGACAGCGTCCATTTCGATCAAAGCTGATGAATGAGTAGCCATGCCCGGCTTCACGGCGGTGAACCAGCGGCATCGGTCTGTAGAAGCATCTTCGTCTCGCATCCGGCAGGTTGAGCCAGTCGAACAAGACGTAGAGGAAGCTTCCCGAGTGGACAGAGCCTTTCGAGGTTCACATGAATCGCAGGAAGACGACCTTCCTGCACAGATTCCAGACCGAGACTGGGAGATCATCTCAATCATCGACCGCAAAGATGTCAACGGGCTGCTGCTGTATCAAGTCCGATGGGCATACACGAAGCATCCAACGGCCATCCTTCACACTCGGCGCCGTGGAGAAGCGGTCAACGTCGATGGTCAGGTCTGCAAGGTCCTGCGCCGTTCGACCACCCAGCCCGACTTGGAGACAGGGGAGCACACAAGTGTGATTGAATGGCGAGAGCAGTGGCTTCCACTATGGCAGCTATGCAGTGCCTCTTGAGCTTGTGGCGGAATATGAGCTGAAGGATCCGAGACAGGCCAATCGCCTGCAGCCGTCATTTGCCCTGCACCGGGAGCCGTGGAAATTTGAGCCCGAAGAGGAAGAAGACATCGAGAAGCGCGGTGACATTGAGGGGAATGTCTTCGAGCCTGAGGTGGGCATAGATTACACCATGAGCTTCCTGGAACGTCAGCGCGAAGAACTTGACAGTCCAGAGGGACTCACGATCGCCAAGTCCCTCATGTGGCTGAAAATGCCCATCCGACAGCGCCTCGTCTTGAACGACTGATTCTGTGCCAGGGAGACAGAGGAGCCACGCCCATACGATCTCGGCCGAGTAGGGAAGCACCGTGCAGTCTATGTCTACATGGTTGGGGACGCATGGCGAAAGACCTGCAGCCATTGTGAAAGCTTCGACCAGAGTCTGCCGTTTGCGAAGTGCGTTACCCTCGATGGAGCATTGATGGGTGCCTGCGCCAATTGCGCATATCTGGGTCGGGGAAAAGGACGCAGTTTGCATCACGACGTGAGGCCGGAACATACCATCAGGTGCACGGAAGCTCATGCTTCTGGTAGTCCTACCTCCGCATCGTCGTCTGCTAGCTCACCGAACGACAGCGCTGTCGATCTATCGAGTGATTCGACAATGAGCAGCTCTCCGGTGAGGATGGGCTGGGTTTCGCCTTCGCCAACGCCTCCCGGGTCACCTGAGTTGGGCTCAGATGACTTTCAAGGGAACGATGTGCATGATCAGGAGCCGGGCGATGAGAGGCTAGATCAGCAAAGATCAGACAAGAGGGCGAAAGCAAAGTCTGCCAGGCGAAAGCGGGCTGGAGATGGTGATCGAGCGGCTAGCCAGGGACCAAGCCATAAGGTCAAGAAGCGTCGCTCCAGGAAGTGGAAGAAGTTTGTGAAGCGGGAGCAATTCTCCTGCTCGTCAATCCCTTCTGCTTCGCTCCATCTTGACACCTGCCGAGGGGCGCCGTATCCGTGCACCCATCCAATCGCAGGCTGCGAGCCACAGGTGATCGAAGACGACTCCATGTACCCGCCGCATGTCGTCTTCAACGACAGGGTGTTTCGCAGCGGCCAAGCCATGGACGAAGAGGTGCGGTACATTCTGAGCCGCTGTTGGTGCGAGACCACAGAGTACATTCAAGAACTGTGGGATACTCATCAGGCATAAGCTGATGCGGATGGAGTCGACTCAATGTTCGATTCGAAGGAGGAGTTCCTGTCGATCGCATGCTATGAGTTGCTTACGAGCGTTGCGAGGATGTGCTGCCCGGTGCCGTCGTGGGACAACAGTAAGAAGATCGTCATCGATTTGACGTGATTCAAGTTGATGCCTGGAAAAACAGAGCAGAAGTCGCAGAGGCTGCTCTCGAACTCTTCTCGCCGCACGAGTTCTTCCAGCCCAGTCTCTCGCTTCTCAACCCTTCACCTATCTTCTGCATGGAGTTCCGCTAGACTGGTCCAGAACCAGACATTCCAAACCGCAGGCAGGGATACGCCTCGAAGAAGATTTTTTACAGGCTCGTTAAGAGGTTGACAATGCCAGGCCTGGTCCTGCCGGGAGTTGGCTGATGTCTTCTTCTTCAGTTCCAGCGGTATGGAGGCCAGCAAAGATCAATTTGCAGAAGCAAAGCCCTGAGGCAGACCAGACGATCCCATCAGCGAAGAGAACAATGGTGATCACGGGGAGACTCAACCTTCGCCATGAAGTGCCCGAAGAAGTGCGGTCTTCGTAGAGAGGTTTCCGAGATCTTTGGCATGTGGCCTCGCAGTTGCTGCTCAATCCAGGCGATGAATGTATCATCATTGTTGGTATGCGATGTGTTCAAGTTGAGATCTTGAAAGTCCGCTCCTTCCTTCTTCGGTCACTCCGAGAACAGATTCGAATTCGCCACTTCCTGTCTTTCTCGCTCTACCATGGAACCACAGACTTCCCACCCCAATTATCATCTTCACCATGGCCTCCAATATCCAGACCTCTGATCTCAACACCATCACAAGCACGCTGCTAACCACCAAATGCACGTCTTCAGCAGTGTCACAGCCCTGGATCTCAGTCACACATCTCGAGTCTTCTCGGCATCGATTTCAGCACTCTTGCCCGGCACCAGGGTCGACATCTGGACCATCCAGATCCCGCAGGCGCCGCGGACGAACGCTGCCGCCCCACAGGTTCTCGGCGCCAGAGGCCAAGACTGGGAACGAGGACGAGGCGACGGGAGAGGAAGGAGCCAGCATCGTAGTGGAATCAGGAGCCGTGGTGTTTGGAGAGGACGCGGCGGCGACTGGAGTACGGCCTCGATGCCACGGCAGCCCTTGAACACCCCTCTGCTCGAGCACCTTGATGGTGAGTCTCACACTTCAATCGCTAGCGTGATGCTGCTGACTTCAGGTCCAGACTCGTCTCCCACCCAGCATCAGAGCCCAGAAACGAGGCAAACAGAAGATCAAGCTCTTGGAACCCCACCACACCATGCCGATGGACAGAACGACAAGTACGCAAGTACGAGACCATCACAGACGCCGACAGGTGTCCACCCCCGGCGCACATGCTTCCCCAAGGTAACATCATCGAAGACGAGCCGCCTGCTACCGAAAGAGATCGTCGAGATGTTCCCGAGCACGGGGTCATGGACTGGTTGTTACACTTTTCAAGCATAACAGGTCTGGGTTTTCGTTCAGAAGATCGCGGAGTTGCTCTACGATCATTTTGACATCGGCGCCGGCCCCCGATCAAAGACTCGCTCCATGATCTTTTCCTTTTTTTTTGAGGTTTACTTGCAACGTCGAAGACTCAGTCTACGATCGACTTCTCTCTACCCTACGATCTGGTGGTCGGTGTGCGTAGCAGCCAGCTCTCGTTCTCACAGTATCGGCTTCACTTGCTTTGTTCGACCTCAAATAAGTCAATACCAAACCCGCCTTCCATATCAATGTCCATCGTTTCATTCCATATGTGTTGCTCTCAAGTCCATACCGTCCGTAGGCTTTTGGATCTTCGATTCCAATGCCAGTAAGATTGTTAGCTTCCCGCGCTCTTTTCGTCAGCTCCTCAACCATTCCAAGACGGACAAGATCTGCCGAGACGTCTTGTGTCAGCCGAGTTATCTCAGCGCACATGCCCTTTTCAATATCTCAGTCGACGTCTCAAAGCGAGCATCCTGAATTATCACCAGCTGGGGCAACGTCGAGAAGGCACTCAAAAGCATCGTTCAAGGCAACAGCTCCAGCATCCCCTCCATCCTCAAGCCTGAGCGGGTCGATGTCTCTTCATTCGGCCTTCCTCAACTGATCATCACATCAAGGTAGAAGATCCAGTGAGCGAAGAGTGCCATATCCTCGTCAATGCCCTGCACTTTCCGAGGCCACTGGAGAAACGGCGGGGAGGACGAAGTCGTGGGTCGCGGCTAGATGTGCTGGGGCTCCTCCATCACTGTAACGAATCATACAAACCGATGCTCAATTCTGGAGAGCCATTGGAGGCCACAAAAGTGTGATGAGATGCCTTGATCTCACACTACGTAGGTAAGCTCTTCGAAATGTAGAGGTGACGTGTCCAAGCCTGAAGCTTGGCGTCTGGTCCCGTGGGTCCTGAGTCGCTACAGCTACAACAGCCACAGCACTTCCGACAAGAGACAAGAGATTGGCGAGATCTCGTCTCGAAACGACACGATCAACTCTGATCAATGCCTTCATCAAATGTCTGTCTGTTGGTGGACTGGAGGAGAATCGGCCAAGTCAGCGCCGCAGCAGACATCATCAGCAACGAGCAGGGATTGGTAGAATCGGGCCCACGCCGTCAGTCTTAGCATGCGATTACGCGTCTGCGTGTTTGAACATCACCTCAAGAATCGGTTCATTTCAGGTTCCTGTTTCATTCTCTGTCGATGTGCCAATTCAGACAAGCAAGTCGGAACGTTTGCATTTCTCTCGAAAAAGAATGAAAAGCACTATCACGGACGAATAGGCGGCGGTTCGTGTATCCCATCAATCATTATTGCGCCCAAAACCCAACACTGCTGGCCCCCGGCTATCGTTTCTCGGACTGGATGCCGTCTTCGACGCTGCGCTCGCGCACGAGCACCCGCTTCGACTTCTTCTTGCCTGGTGTCTCCGCGGTATCCATCCCAGCCTCTTTCTCTGGGTCGAGAGGTGTTTCTCCCCTCGCCAGCGGACTCCTCCGATCATCGTATACCGCCTGCTTCGACCCGAGCCTGCTCTCACTCCGGTTATAACCGTACCCATACGGCATGAAAGCGTCTCTTGTCCGCGCGGGCGAGTTTCTACCACTGCCGTCAATCGCCGCCGATCCAGCTCCACCCGACGCATTCAGGTGAGGATCGCTCATCGGACCGGGTGCTCGCTGGGTGATACCTTCATTGAAGCCTCCGTTGATTTGATCTTGCTTGCGATCGTAGCGGCGCTTGAGGCAGACGGCGAGGAAGGCGAGGAGAGGGAGGCAGATGACGAGGACGATCAGCATGATGATCCATTTCTGGGAGAAGGTCAGTCCAATCTAGCCCATTCGTCGCAGTACAATCCACAAACATAGTGCGTGCTCCACCAGTCGCCAGACGATTGGGTCTTGCCGGCGCTGAAGTTGGAGTTGCCCGAATCGGCGTCGCTGCCGCCGGCGACGCTCGACGGGGTGGCCGTGGCCTGGCCGGCCGCAGTCGAGCTCGACGAAGGGCCCGCGGCTGCGCTGGTGGTCGCCGCATCGCCGGTTGTTCCTCCCGCATGCTCCGATGCGCCAAAGTCACTGCCGCAGTTGGTGGTGTACCTGGGTAAGTGTCAGCACAGGGCGTACGCTGCCCGATGGATGAATTACCATGTCCCGATCTGCTGAGCGTCGGTGGGGTTCGTGCAGGCCGTGTTGCAGAGGGTCGAGGCGGAGGACGTCTTCAAGGAAGTGAGAAACGCGGATTGGCAGAAGCACACCCACGTCGCCTGGTTCGCACTGCCGGTGCCGCCTGGACAGCCGGAAGCAGCCTGCTGGAGGGCCTGGCAGCCTTGTGCGCATTGGGGGAGCTGGCTGTTGCCGTTGACGAGGACGCCTTGCTGCGCGGTGACGAGGGAAACGAGCGACGACAGCAGCAGGGCGAGGGTGGTCGCTTTGATGACGGCGAGGGCCATGGCGGGCGGGTGTCGCCTCCGCGAGATTGCGGGATGTCGGGGTCGTGAGGACGTGAGTGTCGCGGACGGGGGAAGAAGCGATCCCAGATGATGGCGGCGATGATATCTCGTTGCGCGGTGCGTGGGCGGTGGTAATCTCGAGGGGGTGTATCAATGGCTCGCGCGTTGGGGGGAATTCCGGGAGATCCGAGCGGATTCTGGGTCGCCGCGGGGGTGGGTTCGTCGGGGAAGCGATTGACTGCGGCGAGTGAAGCAGGAACGACCGTGTTCTCTTCGTCACATCCCTCGTCCAGATCCTCAGCAGTCGCCGTCGGGGTGTCAGACGCAGGCGCGGGTGGTGAGGAAAGGGAAAGCTGGAGGGCCAGGTTCGCGATATCTCCACACGGCAGCACCCGTTTGGCGCTAGCGACGCCACACATTCCAAGTCGGGACTCCACTCCGCAACGTTCGTTTCGATCTTCAAAACAACATCAACTTCACCTCTTCGACATCAACGTCTACATCAACAATGAACCCATCACACTTGCTTCCGGCACACTTCAAAACGAGCTTCCACGGTCTGAGCATTCACCTGTTGTCTTGTGAAGCGAGGAAAAGCTTGCCTGTCAGCTCCGGCCTACTTGGAGGCAGTTTCACGAGGCAGATTTCCTACCGTTTGTCTCATCTGTCCGCCGATGCAACAAAAATAATAACTCGTTACCCTCCGATTTACGAATTACAGCTTGGCTGTATGGATTGATGTTCTTTGCCTTCCAACAAGGCGAGACTCGCTCTTTCATCAATGCGTGAAGACCATTGGCGCCGATTTCAGCACAAGTTAGATGGAAGCCGAGCTGCAGAACAGATCAGGATACAACCGGCCATCCTAGCGGACGCTGCATTCATTGCCGATACATCTCGACGTCTCAAAGTTTTCAAGAAGTCACGGCGTCAGAGCAAAAAGACGTGAAATCAAATGTGATATGCATGGTCTCGCTGCGAATCGAACGCAGATCTCATGGGCACAGACGGAAGGACCGAGAGTGATACAACCGGGAGCTGCCCATCTGGCGGTCAAGCCTGATGCCCCCCTCATTGTCGCCAGGCGTGCTACCAACTGCACCACGAGACCGGATGGAAAGTTGTGAGAGTGGACTGATTGTACGCATATATGAGGGTCGGTGTGTTCTCTTGTAAGTGAAAGAGTATGGATAAGGCACAAGAGCGAGAAGAAGACTCATTGAAACTGGATCGTCCTGACTATGTCTTCTCCAATGACCCATCTCACCGAGGCACTCAAGGCACGAACGGCGTATGATACACCAGAATGTATCGGGGATGCAGACGCCAGCAAGAAAGAATTGGACGTACGCACAGGGACTACACTCAGGTCGATCGACTGTCTCGGACCAATCCATCAAGCTCTTCACCGATGAAGCGTCACCAGCACTGCTTCAGAAGCCTTCAAGTCGAACGACACCTTCCCACCGCTGAGAGCCACCGACTCCGTCTCCTGCCCAACCTTGACCCCACCCGGCGAAGCGACGGTCCACTGAGTTCCCGCGTAGGTGATGTCACCACCATCATTGGTCGAGTTGGTACCCTTCCCCGTCAGCCTGCGCAGCTCCGCAGTGTTGACATCATTCCCAACTCCAATTTGAAAAGCACGCTGCGGTCGAGGCGTCGTCTCGGTCGTATTCCACTCCGTCAAATCGATCACAGCCAGGCGATCGAGTTTGCCGCCCACAAATGCTGCATACGGCGAGACGGTGGGATTCTTATCGCTGTACAACGAAACCACCTGAAAGTCGCCCTTTCGCGAATTGCTGCCAATCCCGAGCCAGTCCGTGAGAAAAATCAGACCATAGTACTGCGAGAAGATTCCAGGAGCAGGATCGCTCGCCCAGAAACTCGCAAAGTTGCACCCGTTGCACTGGTTCATATTGACCCTCGCGATTCCCTTGCTCATGACCAGCAGCACCCAGTCCAGTTCCCACAGAGCACTCCCCAGCACCGCATCGATGGTGCGCTCGAAAGGACTTCGACTGCCTAACGATGAGCCGGCTTCGCTAATGACGATGGGTGTGTCGATCTTCGCCGAGCGAAAGTAGTCCAGATTCACCTGGGGGTTCTTGTTCACCTTGTGCAAGACAGAACCCGAGTGATTCAGGTAGGTCCCGCGCAAGGTCGGGGATTGTGAGATGGACGCTTGGTAGTAATGCTGCGCGAATGCCTTGATCCGGCTGACTTTCCCCAAATTCGCCTTGTACAGATCTGCCGCTGACCACTGCGCCGCATCCGCCAGGCTGCCGACGTGGAAGATGTCACCGCTCGGTAGATTCGGCACCTGTTGGGTGATGGCCGTCGTGAAGATCTGGAGATCGGCGACATAGTCCTCAGGCGTGTACGTCTTGTTCCGGCGGCAGTTGTCTAGAGAGCGGAAGCACTGCCCATCGTACAAGTTCGGCTCGTTGCCGACTTCGATCGCCTCGAACTTCTCCGCGGGAATGTGCTGCAACATGGCTTTGGTGAAGTTGACGGTATTGTCGACGGTGCTGTTCGCGAGCGGGACCTGGATGATGTATCGTACATTCGGCACTTTATCCAGAGCCTTCGTGAAGTTCACCCCCAGAGTCACGGGAGAGAGGAGTCCATCTTCTTTGGTGTTGTTGTACGGCCAGAAATTGCCCTGCGGCTGGCTGGAGTTGTACTTGACGGAGTCTCCAGACGTGCCCCCGACGCGGATGATGACGGGAGCGCCGCTTCGAGTGACGAGGTTTTGGATGAGGATGCGAGAGAAGTCTTGGAGGCCGTATTGGAACCAGGATGTGGTTTCGACCATGATACCTAGGAAGGACTTGTCGACGGGAGGAGAGGCTGTAGTCGGCTGTGTTGTGGGTGCTGAGATGGTGACGGTGGCATCTTTGGCTAGAACGCCGATGAAAAAGAAGGAAAAGAGGGAGAGCTTCATGATGGCAAGAAAGAGAAAGCTTGATCTTCCGGGGTGGTCTTGACTTGGCCTCGTCGAAGCACCGCTAAGCTTTCTCTTTCTCTTATGTCAAGACGCTGGTGGTATATATACTCATCGTGAATCACACCTTTCCTGTCGGCAACCTAAAGAATATATGAGGCTGCGAGCTGAGATCGTCGTGCTACATCACTACAGCCGCAACTTCGCATTCTTGCTCCTTTTGAGCGATACGAGTACGGGAAGAGTGTAGAAGACCTGATGTAGGGCTCGCATCACTCGTGCATGGCGTGGAGATCCACAGTGGACAGTTCTTGTACTTTAAATCTCGCTGGAATCGAAGTGCTGCATATTGGATCGCTTTCGTCACCGTCGAGGCACGATGTACGCTCTGGATTGTACCAGGGCAGTCAACTCGTGTATGACCTTCTCGCGCGGGATCATGGTTGCAGGAAGGGGCTGGTGGCGATACTAATCATATCCAAGTGAATGTTGATGTTGTGCTGCACGTTCGTTCCGGGAGAAGGTGAAGTGAAGGTGAGATTGAAGCCTCAGGCCAAGAATCTGATCGGAACGGGAGCAGCCGAAAGCTTATCGATGGAAGCTGCCTACCTATACATCTCCAAGCTCCAACTCCCCCACACACAAACACATCCACCATGGCGCCCAAGAACGGCATCGCCGCCGACCTCCCCCCGCCGACGTTCGACCTCGAGATCTGGGCCAACCACTACGAAAACGGCCCGCTGCTCCAACTCCGCCTCGCACACGTCGCCGCGCGCTGTCCCTCCCTCGCCCACCACGCCCTCACCCTCGCCCTCGCCGACGCCAAGAAGGGCAAAGACGTCCAGATCTACAACCGCCTGTGCGATCTCGCCGCCGACTTGGGCCTGAAAGATCTGGGCAAGCAGGATACCGAGTGGGCGTCACGCAAAGATGAGGAGAATCGGCGGGAACTGAGCCGGCTGGAGAGTGAGCTGCGGGGGTACAAGAACAACCTCATCCGCGAGAGCATCCGCATGGGGCAGGAAGAACTGGCGATGCACCACCTCCTCACCGGCGGACCCATCCCCGATCCCGCCAACCCGCAATCGCTCAGCAGCGCCGGCTACAACGCGGCGTATCAGGCGTTTGGCAAGATGCGCGACTTCTGCACCACGCCGGCTCATATTAACAGCATGACCCTGCGCCTGATCTACACCGCACTCCTCCAAGCCGTCACTGCCCAGCAGACCGGTAACTCGTCCTCCTCGATGCACTTCAACAGCGTCATTGCCAACTCGAACCGATTGCGGGCCACGGGGGTCAAGGAGGAGGAGCAGTCCAAGCTGACGCCCATGGCACATGTTGTGGCGGGGATCGCGCACATGGGGATTGGGGAGTACCGAAGTGCTGCCAGTGCCTTCCTCCAGACACCCTTCGACTACCACAACAGCGGCGGGATCTACAACGTGGACTTTGAGCGGAGCGTGGCCAGCGCGAACGATGTGGCCATCTATGGCGGGCTGTGTGCGCTCGCCACGATGAGTCGTGAGGCATTGATAGACGATGTGCTGGGCGGCCCATTCCGAGCCTTCCTCGAGCAAGAGCCACACATGCGCAAAGCCATCGTTCTCTACACCACCGCCAAGTACCAGGCCTGCATCGACACCCTCCGCCGGTACTACAGCGACTGGAGTCTGGACGTCTTCCTCGGTGCTGGTGGTCTTTCCACCGGTTCGCACGTTGATCGCCTGTTCGCGCGGATCCGTGAGCGAAGCATTACCGCCTACTTCTCCTCGTTCTCTGAAGTCAGCCTCACATCCCTCGCCTCGACTTTCCCACCCACCTCCAACGCCCCCGACGCCATGGAAGCGGAGGTATTGAATATGATTGAAAACGGCACACTGGACGCGAGACTCGACGTAGTCAGCGGCGTGCTGGTAGCACCACAGAACGACACTCGGCTGGAGACCCATCAGAACGCGCAGAAAGCGGCGCAAGAGGTGGAGCGGACACTGCTGTTGCGTCTGCACCGGGTCAACATGACGCTGGCTGGGCTGGAGATTCCCAAGGCTAAGGGCCAGTGGGATGGCATGCGGGTGGGGAATGGATACTGAAGAGGGGTGAATGGTTTGCTTGATGCATAGCGTGGAGCGTTACAGGCGTTGGGACAGCTGGTGTCCGCATGGGAGGGTAAAGCATTGTAGCATTTTAGAGGAGATCGCGGCCAGAGAAACGCTTGCCCTCGACATGATGGTCATGAAGAAAAGGCATAAACGAATGGAATGTGAAATGATACCCCTGACACTTTGACACGATGCAGACTTCCTCCCTCCTCCCCGTCGTTGCCTTTCTCTTCTCGATCCAGTCCTCACAGATGGTTATAAAAGGGCAATGCATCGTAGCATTTCAGCGGCGATCACGGCCAAAGACCACCCGCTCTCACATGAAGATGATGACAAAGAAAGCATGAAGACGAACGAAATGGCAAATGAAATGAAATGAATGATACCCCCGACATCTTCTCGCCTCAGCGAAAGTCCTCGACCTCCCATGCATCTACAAATTGTCCCGCCTTGTCAAGACCAGAAGCAGGAGTATGTAAGCAAACAAGTAAGACATACCGCAGGTGTCTGTGTGTCTGTACTTTCTCCCTGAGGGGATACCTATAGGCCCTTTAGTTCTGCGAAGCTCTGCGACAGATTGAACGATTGATTGATTCCGGAATTCTACCAATTTGGGGTTTCCGGTCGAGGGGGTGTCTTTTCAAGGCTTCGGCCGTGTGTGATGTGATGTGATGTGATGCGGTATAGTATGGAATCGATATTTCGGCCCAACTATCGATCGAATTCTCTTGCGCAATCCCAGATGAACGAGTCAATACCGTACCCCATGCCCATGCGCGGCTCCAACTCTTTGCACATGCAGCGTGTTGACTCGTGGGCCTGTAGGGCAGGGAAGGGCAGGGGATGAGGATGCTGCACGTCATTTTTTGTGGCGTGCATGCATATGTACATGTATGTATTCGCTCAAAGGGGGCAATGCGAAATGCGTGGGCTTCGTTGGTGTGAGAGGGAGGGGAGGGATATGTTGGGCGTTGTGGATTGATGTGCAGGTGGAGGGAGAGGAGAGGACGATACGAGGGGTAGAGAGGCAGTGAGTGGTATATGAGATGTGGAGTTGGAGATGGGGATGGGAATTTGGTGTGGCGTACATATGTACATATACATATATACATACGCTCGAAAGGGGAAATGCGAAATGCGTAGGCTTCGTTGGTGGGAGAGGGATGGGGCGGGGGTGGGCGGAGTGGAATGTTGGGGATGTTGGGGATTGGCATGCAGAAGAGGAGGGAGGGAGGGAGGGAGGAGAGTGGGTAGAGAGGATAGAGAGGGTGATATGTAGGATGGGGAGCTAGGAAACGCTGCACGTCATTTGGTGTGGCATTGTATATGTACCTGTCAACGCTGTAAAGGGGAATTGCGTGGGTTGCGTTGTTATTATTATGGAGGGGGAGAAGGAATGGAGATATTGGGAATATTATACGTTGAGGGAATTGACGTGCTGGAGAGGGGAGGAGGGATGGGGATGGGAGATGGGGATTTCGGTACAGCAACGAGGATGGTCTTTAAGGGCTGATACGCAGCAACGGAGAGGTTAAGAGTTGAAAGTTGATAAGTGTCCGGAAGGGAGATAGAGAGAGAGACAAGTACGGGGAGGCTGAAGAGCCATGGATGATGCTACGAGGCAATGGACTGGTGGTCATGGTCTTCATTTCTGATTCCTTCTGTCTCATAGCGAAGCGTAGTCTTTCACGTACTGTGAATCCTCCTCCTCCTCTGTCCCCATTTCCGTCAAGTCGTCTTGCCCACGACATTGTTTCAGCGCTTCAGGCCCAACATGTAGCCTTACAGATTTTCTGTCCTGTCTCTCCTTCCCAGTGTGCTCGTCCATTCGTATCCTGTCTCTTCCGTCTCGTGCTGTGGTCCTCTCTGGCTGTTGACAACTTCTCCTGCGCTTCATGCTTGTGGTTCTTGGACTGTTGACATTCAGCCTGCATTTGTTAGGCAGTTCGTTCGTAACTGCCGGATCAGGATCATGGCTGGACGTATCTTCATGGGCCGGCCATACGTTGCAGTTGCTCGTAGACCTTAACCATTTGCTCGAAGCTGCGACAAGTCTCCCGTTTTGTAGCGAGTGGATTGCTCCCCGTCCATGCACTGCTGTGAACTCTTTTCAGATACCCTCTCCAACGCTGGCATAGCTCCTCTTCAAATTTATCCTTCCATCTCATCACTCATCCAACTCCAGAATCTTGCGCAAGGCACCCATCTCGGTATGATCGCGATAATGCTGCATGCGATGGCACCAAACCACCTCGCCATCATCAAACAAGAACTCCCCTCCAATCTGCAGCGGATTCCCACCCCTCACGATATCCCTCTTGCGAATGCCTTCCGGATCTTTCAGACTCTCGCGAATCGTCTTGACTTGCCCGGCCAACCACTGCGCCTTGGAGATGTCCTTCATGTATTCGGGCGTCTCTTTGCCGGTCTTCAGGCTGAGCACCATGCCCAGCTTCTTGAACAGTTGTCGCGAGGGGTCGGCGAACATGGGGAAGGGACAGCCGGTGAATGTTTTGTAGTGAGGGATCAGATCAGGCTGTCCACACCCGATGATGATTATCGAAGTCGGCGTGGGTATGGAAAAGTAATCGCGCATGCTGATGCTCTCGGTCAAAGCCTTGAGATATGCCTGACAGCCGCCGCAGTAGAAGTGTCGAACGAAGATCACCAGCTGTCGTTGATGCGTTGCGCTTGTCGGGTCGTAGATGGAGCCAAACGTGCGTTCGTTCCCTTCTGCGTCGAACAGTGGAATTTCTTGCACGGCAGCCAGTGTCGCTCGATCCGGACACTCATCTGACTCGGTCCCATCGAAATCGGATGCGGTATGGAACCGCGCGAACCACTCCTCAGGCGACACCGTACACACGGGACTCCCAATACTGCTCTCCTTGCCCGACGACTTGAGCCGTTCGTCCGAGCTCACCGACGTGGGCGACGTGTCCATGGTGTCGTGGGAGAAGAGCGAGTCGGCGGGCTTGGGGCGGGCGTACCTGGAGAAGAGGAGGTTGTGGGCGCCGAGGGAGGTGGACGTAGATGTATTCGTCGCCGTCTTGGAGGGCGAGACCGAGGTGTGCATGGGTCTTTCGAAGCGACTGGCTCCCAGCGGGCTCACGTCTCGTTTCGGCAGGTGGGAGACGCTCATGGCGGCGGTGGTGTAGGAGTCCTAGAGCTCCCGTGCATGCGATTGGAGCTGGCGTGCAGCTGTGCGAGACAGGAGGTCCAGCTCTTCAATCCAATGGTACTGTACATGTACCCTCACAACCCGACTGTCCAGCAGGAGGCGAAGAACAGGGCGGAGGGAGGGACGGCCAGCGGTTTTGTGTGTCTCGTCTCGTCATCCTGAGCCCCTCCGCGGCGGCGACTCGTGGATGGGCCATGTCGTGCCACCGCGCTCGACGAGAACGGGGAAAAGTGGCTCTGCGAGTCTGCGCGCGCACGAAGCTTTCACGGGCGTCTGGGCTGGACCACGGTCCTCGCTCCAGCCAACCAACGGCTCCTTCTCTTTTCGTTCTGGAAGCTGGGCGTGCGTCTGCAGGGCGGCGTCGCCGACGGGCGAGTGAATGTTCGTCTCACTCGCTGTCTTCCGCCGTCGTGAAACACCAGAAACAGCCTGATCCCAGTCGGTGACGAAGACGGAATCGTTATCGATCGGCTTCGACAATCCATGTGAGAGTGGATCTGCCGTTGGCTTCCCGGCTCCGACGTTCCGACCTCCTGAGACTTCATTCCAACCTTCTCCACTGTGCGAAAACCTTTCGACTGCGCATTCCAAATGTCACGATTCATCGACGATTGTTCGACATCACGTCCAACGGACTGTGCACCACGAAGAAAGAACCAGAAATACAACGTCGTCGAGCGCGTTCCAGCAAGTTTGGGGCGTCAGTAGAATTGGCTCACTTCCCATTCAAAATTAAAGAACAGTCTCATGTGCTTACGACTCGACCAACTCGTACCGCAAAAATGCGAAGCAGTGGCCTCCAGTATGAGAGGAAAACGCTCGCAAGCACCTCAGATTCAGCAGCACGAGGAGCGTGGAGATCGGGGAAATCGGCAACCCGGTCAAGGAGATGAAATGGCTACGAAGCCACTTTACGTGAGTCGTGAAACACCATTTCCATAAGCACGTCTCAAGCGCTACGCGTGTCTTCGGAGAGTGCACATTCTCAATGACGGGTGGAAATCCATCAAACTCGCATTGCCGTTTTCGCAAGTCAACCTCACCATTGCAGGAGTAGGGTATGATGACAGCTATACACCTCAAAGCACCTTCAGAACATCAGATTGTTAAGGGACCATACAGTCATATTCGTCACATCGTCAATCATCTTCGCTCACAATCCAGAATCAATCCCCGTCAACAGAGGCCCGCCGGTCTTCTTCAAGTACGCATTCCAGCCGTCGCATGTTCCTTTGATCTGAGCTGTCGCAGCACTCAAAGACGACTGGATGCCTTTCACGGACGGCTCGACGATATTGGCGACGAGACCCATGGAGCTATGCCATGCAAAGTGGCAATGCAGAGGCCAGACTACAGAACGTCAGCTTGAATCGTGAAAGATTGATCCACCAACATACCACCCGGATTGTCGACGTCCCTCTGGATCACGAGGAAACTGGGAGTGGTTTCTGAACCTGGCGGCATCATTTGCACATCACGTCTCTGGGGATTGTTCGGACGGATGATGGTGCCATCCCATTTTCCCATGCCGACGTTCAGAATCTGCACGTTGTGGCCTGGACTCAGTCAGTATATCAGTCTCACACCGCCTTTTGCGACTACCCACCATGGTAATGGATCGGATGAGGTGCGTCGTTGTAGTTGTAGATGATGGCCCGGGCTACCTTGGCATTCTGCAGATACCACAGATTCCTGGTTGGATCGACCTCGATGATGGTGTTGTCCAACGCCTTTCGCAACAATGGCTCATTAAAGTTCGCTCGGAATGTCCTCGCAGATGCACCCTCACCAAAGGTGTAGATGATGTTAGTTCCATTGCTCTTGGTCCGGATTTCGAAAGTCCTCGTGGCATCAGGCTTGCCCGCCGCCAGTGGGTAGCTGGGCTCCGTGGTGCTGAGAGGATCACCGCCGCACTGCCTGATGTCGTTTGCTGCTCCAGGACCTTGGTTGGCTATTGCCGTCGGCAGCGTCTTGGTGTCGGCGTCCTGGTAATAGATCACAGCTCGAGCTTCTGTCAGGACGCCGTCGTTGAGGGAACAACCGACGATATTCGACCGCATCCAGTACTTCTCGCCCTTCTTCCCGGACCCGAAGACAATAACATCGGCTCTCTGTCCCACACCGAGCGCCACCATCGAGGTGTTGTACGGCTTCACCGGCATGTAGTCGGTCGCCACCACCTGCATGACATGGCCATCGATGCTGAACTTCTGGACTGCCGCCGAGCCAACATTCATCAAACGCAGCTTATGGTTCTTGCCGGAGGTGAAGTTGAACTTGGCATAGCTGGCAGTCACACAGGACAGACTGGTCTTTCCACACGGAAACCTCGTCTTCCCATCGATCAGATTGCTGTTGGCGAGTGGCCGGACAGGTCCTCCAGATTTCAGTGGCCTGAACATCTTCTGGACGACAGTGGAGTAGCTATCGCGATACCACTCCGACAGCATCACAGGGCCAATGTCGACATCATACCCCGAATTCCAAGGTCCATAGACCACAATTGGCCCGATAGCACCACCGGCGTATTGAGCAGAATAATGAGTGTGGTACCAGCTGGATCCGTACAGCTCGGCCTTCATGGTGTACGTGTAGGAGCTTCCAGGTGCGATGGGACATTGCTGGACTCCGGGCACACCGTCGTTCTGGCAGTTACCCGTCTGCAGGAAGCCGTGCCAGTGCATGGCGGTTCCTTCGTCTTTCAGATTGTTGCGGACGGTCACGCTGATGGTGTCGCCATAATTGGCTTCGATCAGCGGCCCTGGGAACTGTCCATTGATGCAGACAGCACCCTTGGTCAAGACTCCATCCGGTTTGACATCACACGACGCCACGGTAAAGTCGTACGTCCTGGTTCTGGTGCCGGACACTTTGCCGGAGGAAGTGTAAAGGTTGGCATTGCCGGTCGTTATCCCACCCCATGGAGTCCCGCTGCCACTCCAGGACGACCATTTGGGCAATGTACTCTGGTTGAGCGATCCCCATTTCGAGTATCCGTTCTGGTTCATGGGCGAGATGGAGCTGTCGTCGTCTGAGTTCCAGAATCCCCAGAAGCGCTTGCGAGGCTGCTTCCAATCTTTTGGGTGATCGGCATGGTCGTCCTTATACCGATTCGGAGATGGTTCAGTCGTATCCCATGGTTGATTCGGTTCGTTGCAGTTTGTAGCTAATCCTGCGGTTGCAGCAGCGCATGACGCGAGCACGACGAGGCATGTGGCCCTGTAAAACATCTTGTTCTTCACATACTTCGACATCCAGTATCATGAAGACCGATCAAGGATGAAGCACAGGACGAAAACAGCAAGCCATTATACGTCGCCAAGCTCAACCTCATGGCTTTCACCCATTTCTGAATCAAGGTTGGCGAAGTCCACAACATAGTCAACGTCAACGATACCCGGGACGGATCGATATACCGAGTCCAATCGACATCAAACTCGACGAATGACGAAGTTCCTTTGTTCGATGCCGACGCAAACGTTCGCAATCTCTATGAGCGTTCATACATCAGATCGCCTCGCATCAGGCCCAAGTACGAGGCTGACGTCGATGCATGCGAATACTCTCTCCCTTCTCACCGGAGTCACCGAAGACATTCATTCAACAACGCCAACAGTTCTGTCCGCTGCGTCACTTCAGGCAGGACAACAGTCTCCGTGTTCTATTGTCTGATGCCTCAAATTAGCACAACTTGGAGTCCTCAAAGACGCCTCCTTTGACAGCACTATTAAGGAAGCTTTGTGTGGTTGCAAGGCACGATGTCGAGTCAAGGCCTATATATATGTTTTGCTCAGGAGTACGTCGTCTTCGAGTCCTGGCCCTTGATTCGACCTCCACTTTCACTTACATCAATCCAGCAGCCGGACTGCTTCCAACGAGCCAACAACTGCACCCAGAAAATAATCCGACTGGCAAGTCCAACACCATGCCTGAGCCCCTCCACCTCACATTCGGCATCGAGCTCGAGTTCATGTGCGTCTTCCGCAGGGGTGCCTTCAATAACCAGGAGCCTGACCTTCTCCCCACGAGTGAGGAGCTTAACGGAAATATCAGCGCAGGCCACGCCTTGCAGTATTTCCTCCACGCCGCCAACGTTCCTGCCACTGGCTGGGAGGAACTCGGCACCGTCCCCCTCAACGCCGTCCCCTACTCGCGGTGGTGCGTCAAGGAGGACTGCATCCAACTCTCCCCGCAGGAGCTCAATACCCTCCCGGAGGGCTACTTCGAGGAGGCGATTGAGATTTCCTCGCGCATCCTCAGTTTCATCGGCGATGACTGGAGAGGTGAGATCCGTACCGTACTGAACGTCCTCGCCATGATGCAGAGGAGATTCGACGCTCACTTCCTCTCGAACGATTCGACGGGTTTCCACGTCCACATTGGCAACGCCGGCGGTGCGCCTATGCCCTTCGACACGGTCAAGCGCATCTTCCAGCTCACCACCGCCCACGAGCGTGTCATCGATTCCATGCACGCTTCGAGCCGAGTGCTCGCTCCGGCGCACAAAGAGGACGACACCTTTCCGCTCCTCCTCTACGGCCCCGTGTCTTACTTCCACATACGTGATGACGAGGAGTTCGATCTCGACAACAACAACCTCTTCGGCTGGCTAGAGCGCATCGAGGACATGCACACCTTTGAAGACTTCTGCGAGATGTTCACGGGTGACTTGGACAGCAATGCCCTCTCAGGCCACAGTTCTGCGGTGAACTTTGATAACCTCTGGTCCGAGACTTACGAGGACACCACCAACACGGTCGAGTTCCGCCAGCACGTCGGCACCATCGACTACGCCGAGATCATCGCCTGGGTGACATTCCTCGCCAACCTGACCAACTTCTGCCACAACACGACCGACGTCAACTTCATGAACCTCATGCTCCAAGCCACCGACATGGACTTCACCGCCATCGACCTCATGCGGATCATCAACTGCCCCGACGACATCATCCAACACTACGACTACGAGGGCGAGGGCGAGGGCGCCATCATCGGCATGCTGCCCCAACCCGGCATCGACACCACCATGACCGACACCCTCCTCGCCCTCGCCGCCCAAAACGACGACGAAGTCTCCGACAACACCGACCGCCTCCGCGTCAAGCGCCTGATCAACGACAAGCTCGCCTGCGAGCACTACGGCTTCGACAGCGCTCTCGGCCGGCTCCCCATCAACCAGCCTCTGCTCGAACAGATGCTAATGCGAGCGTACCGCAAGGTAAGTCAGTGCATGTTCACGATCTGTGATCTGCGTCTCCCCGGTGGGAAGTCTCAGGCCAAGAGTGTTGTGTTCAAACTTTGGGCCGAGATGCTTCGCGACTATGATCCTACCCTGGGACCGTCGCAGCCTGCGATTGTCGATCCGCTTCGTAAGTTGTGGTAAGTGTGGTTTCGTCTTGTTTGGAGTTTGGGGGGTCTTGATATTTTTCTTTGGAAAGCTGTTCTGTTTCGCTTTTCATATCTTCTTCCTCCTTCTCATCCCCTTTTTCGCTGATCTGGCAGTCATTCTTCTGCGCTCTCTCTCCTTGAAGTCTTCGTCCCCGCGTCTCCAGATCGTACTTTCTCATCAGCCTCGCTCACCTCTTATCCCTTTACTCGAACGCAGTCTATTTCGTATCTGCAAAGGTCGTTGACTTCACACTCGGCGATCTACTTTCCCAACTTCCCTCCGTTCGTCACACCTCACGCTGAGCACGGGAGCACATATCCCATCGCCAAAGAATTACTGTTACATCAACCTATGAACCTCTGGCCGACCTCGATGTCCTCGAACGCCTTCATCGTATGGGCCCAGACCTCCTGCTGAAACCCCTCGTTCCTGAGTTTTGGATAAAGAGCTCCATGTTTCTTCTCCTCCACAACATCGCAACTCGACCCAACAGCGTAGCAACCACTTCCCGTAGCCCCATCCGTCCCTTTGGCCCGCTGGACAGAATTATTCTTCGATCCAGCCGGCGGAAACGCACGACCTGCAAGAAACAACGTCCTCTGCCCAGATTCTTCCGGCGGTATCGCCACCCACCAACGCAACAGCAGCTCCAAAACGCCCAAGCACATCTTAAACCACCATGGCAGCGTAGGATCTCGATACGAAGGCCCAAACACCATCCCAGGGGACATGTACACGAACGCTACACTCTCATGCTGCGAGGCAAGATGCTCAAACGCCATCGTCGTCATATACGCGCCATGAGACTTGACGTTACGGTAGCTATAATGGCTTGGAGCCCGCAGCGAAAGGTCCTCGCGGAAGAGATTCGCCTCCATGCCCGCTGCGTCGATGGAGATCACCCGAGCGCCGTGCGTGGATGCCTCGAGAAGTGGCAGGAGGCGTGCGATGAATCGGATCCGCGAGTAGTAGACCAGGGACAGCAGTTGATCTAATCCCTCTTTGGTTTCCTTGCGGGCTCCGAAGAGGATTTGTGCTTGGGTTTGGACGAGGAGGTCGATGCGTGGGTGAGGTTTCTCGTTTTCGAGTTGAGAAATTGTGGTCGTTACGGCATCGACGTCTTCGATCAAGGCGAGATTCGCCGCTTGGACGAAAGTGAATTCACCATGAGGACAGCGCGCACGGCAGGAGTTGAGGACTTCGTCTGCGGAGGATTTTCGTCGGCCTACGACGTAGACTCGCAGGGAGGTTTCTGGCTGCGTGGAGTAGAGGCCTGCGAACGCTTCGACTGCATATCTGCCAATACCCTGCGTGCCGCCTACGAAGACAGCGACGAATGGGCGGTTTGTGAAATTGTCAGCGTTCGTTTTCCGTATAGCTTCGATTGCGACCATCGTGGAGTAAGAGTGGCGGTGGTAGTTGGAGCAGGACCAGGAGGTGAGGTTGCAACAAGGCCCAGGCAGCAATGTATTGAGCTCTTAAATACTCACCGCTGACGCATCACACAGCATAACGGACGCGAACACGACATGCCATTCCGGGACGAAACAGCGAGAAAGTGAACTCACCTTGACGGACAAGCCATCCATCCAGCACAGAAATATCGTTCATTCTTCATTGCATACCCTCCACTCACGCCTTCCAATGATACTTCTTAGGAAACTCCTTCACCCACGCCTCCAGCTGATCCAGCACCGTATCCTGCACCCGCTTCACCCCCGCATTGACCTTCCCATTCTGCGTGATCAGATCACTCGTATGGAATCCCCCGGGCACGATCTCCACCGGCACCTGCTCCGTACTCTGCAACGGCCCGCCGGGGCGCTCAATCGCCGAGACGCCCGCTTCCCGCCACGGATCGTAGCCGCCGTTCACGTAGATGAGGCGGGTCGTGTTGTCGATGTTCCAGCCGCCTGTGTAGGCGTTGACTTGTTCTTCCGTGCGGCCTTTGGCGATACCGTACGTCTCGCCGTTGGGGCCGGGAGGGAAGTACAGCCCGCATTGCCGGATGTAGTAGTTGGCGTCGACGAGGCGGGAGACGATGGAGGGACGGCCTTCTGGGGCGCCGTCTTGCCAGTAGCCGAAGGGCTCGTTGCATGTCATCCAGACCTGTGGGGAGTTAGTCAAGCTCTCTATCGTCGTTTTGGAGGTCTGCTTACCCATTGCCTGTCCACCACGTTGCTAAGGGTTCTGTCGGTGTACAACGGGCTGCTCGCATTGTACGTGTCGAAGCAGGCGACGTTGTAGTCTCCCTGGAATTCAGGGTATCCGTACGCTGCACAGAAACCTGGAAGTTGCGTCTGCGACCACCACTTGGCATAACCCGCCAGCGCCGTGTCGAGCCCAACGCCTTCAGGACCAGCCACCGCGGATCCCGTCTTGTTCACAGAGTTCTCGATGTAGTCACACCAGGTGAAGAACCCAGTGTTGGTATAAAATTGATTCCCTTGCCAGAGCCACGGTCCGTTCTCCAACGCGGCCATGAAATCGTCGTTGTGCTCCACTCCGGTCATGTTGAACTTGGCCTTCAGATCGTGGACTTCCTGCTCGGATCCGCTCGTGAGGATGTCGTCCATGTGGTCAATCACAAGCGAGACGTCGCTGGAACAGTTCTACCAAGGAATCTTGTTAGCCGTGATCCCGCTAGGGCTCTATTATGGGTGCTCACCTTTGGCATTCCTTCTTGCACAGGGATGAAATACCCCCAGTAGTCTGACACAGCTTGAACGGGAGCGCTGGAGGCGTGATATGCCCACAGAGTGCCTGGCTCGACCGAAGCCAGCCAGGCTGAAAGGGCTCCCGAGTACGAACCTCCCATCGTCACCCACGGGACATCCTTCGCGTTACTACCGCCTCGCTTCGCAAATGGCAGCTTGACGTTGTTGGCGAAGTATGTCATGTCCTTCAGCGCATTCGTCAAAGTCAAGTATTTCATGTTCTCTGTCGTCAGGTCGTTGAAAGGAGACGAAACTCCCCAGTATCTGTGTTCCAGTACAATGGTCGCCGCACCGATTCGCTCCGCCAGAAGACCGGTCGTTCGGTTGGTCGTCAAATAGCTGTAGTATCTCGTGGCATTGACCTCTCCGGGAGTGAACAAGATCACCGGCGAACCCGGCCCTTTCCAGTACGTCGTGTCGTAGAAGTAGAACTGCGAGAACGTGCCCAGGCCGGGATTGCTGTGGTCGATGAGCTGTTCAAAGGTCGCATTGAGCGAGCCTGGCGCCGGCGTTTCACCACCGGGCATGTGATAGCCACTACCCCATCCACCACCATGAGGATATCCTCCATTCCAGTCCCAGCCTTGGCCTCCATGCCCGCCATGCCATCCGCCCCCATGGCCATGCCACTGCGCTCTCGTGGCCGCCGCGGCCGCCAGCAGCGCCACCGTGACGTGCATTGTTCAGGACGAAGGGAGGTTTCGGCTCGTCTCTCAGCGGGCCTGTTGTGTTATACCGGGCCAACCCTGCGGCGCTGCAATCTGCGAGATGCCAGGACCCGAAAATGAGAATCGAACGAACTCAACGCCCCGTCGCATCGGGGTCCCTGCCGCAGGTAATAAACGAAATATTGGGGACACGTCCTACCTGGCACAGCAGATTCCGTGCGCGCCCAAAAGATGGGATCATGCTCGCATCGTTGCCCTCGACGCTGCAGTGACGTGCGAGCTCCTGCCCAGTTGGGTGTAGTCACGAAGCTCTATCGCGACTCTCCTTCCGGAAACCGGATGGTGTGGGTGGAGATCTGTGCAGTGCGTGATAGTCGCTGCAACGCTGCCCTCGCGCGCAGGCGGGCCGTATCAATTTCTCCTCCCCTCGCTGCGACCCCCCGCCGGACCTGCATCATGGCGGCACCTGGAGCTGCTTGTACCTGAAGCCAAGTGCGCTTACCGCCGGCGCAAATTGCTTGCTTGCGGGAGAGAGCGTGTGTCTGAGCTCGCGATCGTTGGGATTGTCTGCCATTCTCTTATCGGGCCACGATTCAAACGTGGATCTTGCTCTTCTTGACCCATCGCTGCTGTCGAGTGGCACAGGGAGGTGGGTTTTCTCGTCTCAATGCTGAGTGAAGAGAACTGGCGATGACGAAGCAGAGGAGCACAGCCGAGGGCCAAGACTGGCGGAGAGAGAGGAGCGGAGGCGAGCTTCGAGTCCATCTTATTCAACAATGTCACATCGTCTGGATTCTCAGCGCCAGTGTTCAGAGCAGAGCAGTGCCAGATTGAACAGGTGAGGTGGAAGAGAAGAGGGAGAAGCAGGAACAGGCGGGAAAGGCTGCATTTCAATCCATCTCAAGCCACGCGGCGCCAACATGCCACAGCTTGCCGACCACGCTGTCATCTGTCCATCACCAATCGCAATACGCTTCAGCCTTTTAGGCATGGGATCCGCCAAACTCGTACGCAAGACGCCGATATACCCTCGTATACCGAAACAGGCATCCCTCGCGGGACCACCTCCTCTCCTCTCCGACGCCTCGCCTCTATCAGCGCCCCCAGGCTGGAAATGCGCACCGTCAAGACCAAGAGCGGTGCAAGATGAGAAAATCGTGGCGAGAAGAATCCGATTGTGGCACTATGAGTCGTGAAAGCGTGGGGAAAGCGTTGGAGGGCGGGAGTCAGCCCTGCGCGCCAGGTCCTGTCACGGCTCTTCACATGACCGGTCATTACCTCAGCCTGCGGCTGCATTGGAACATGCTCGCATCCATTGGAGGAGATGTCTGCCCGAAAATGCAGCGTCTTATGGGCAGCTGTAAGAGGGGCTGGGAGTGGAAAGCCCTCTGCCAAGGTGTTCGGGAGCGGCGTAAAGTGAAGGTTGGTTCAGTGTATTGCAACGTTAGATCTGGTAGGTGGCATTCCTTTTGTCGATCGATACTCTCTTATGTATAATGTCACATCCGAATTACCTAGTTCAACACTCTGTCGAAGCGCCTCGCCCACGAAGACCACCTCACAACTCCACTCCATGCTGAATCGCCGGATATCTCGCCACATTGCTCTGCTTTGTCCTCCTCGTGATGAAGAACAACGCCGCTGCGATCAAGGTCGTAAAGAATCCAATGATAAGAAAAGCAGCATCCGCATGCAACTTAGTGCAAAGCGACTTGAAGTCACCTTCAACAGCGTCACAAGCCCCCACACCATTGATATTATCCCTCTTCAAGATGACAACGGTAGCCTAGTCCACAAATCAGAACGCTCGAAATCGATTCTCGAATCACAGGGGAACGCACCAGCCCGCCAGCTAGCAGGAACAGCGCGCAGAACCCATCGACGACAACGCACACCAGACACGGAATGACCGTCCAGAGCGAAGCCGCAATTGCGAGGGCGGCATCGATGAGCGCGAACACCCCAGCGACCAGGTCGAATTTGAGGGCGGAAAGGAAGGGTTTGAAAACGGACTCGTCGACGGCGTACTCTTGGCGTAGTACGTCCAGAATGTAGTGGATGAATTTGATCCAGGCCACGGATAAGCCGATCACGACGATTGCGCAGAGGATCTGTAGCAGATGGTTAGTCGGGTATGTGTACGGCGATCGAGCTGCATACCAGGCAGCCGCGTGCGAGAGCGACAGGAAATCCATCGCTGGCTGATGTTTAATACGATCGTTGGGAGAGAATTGGCTATGGCAAAGATTGATGCGATTTAGAAAATGGGTAGATGGTATGTAAGTACAGCATTACTTGCTCTTCTTCGTTACATCGTCAACATGATTTCGTGCATCCTGGATGCTTGTGATACAGGACTTCGTCGCCTTCATCGGTAGGTGCCTCTCAAAGCAGACATTACATAAGGTATCCGTCGCCCATTCGAACCGTCGAGATTCGGATGCCGTCTTTTCTTCTCACACGGCAGACGTCTTGCTGCCAGTTCGCCTCGTGAGAAAGACCAGAATGACAGCGACCAGGGAGACAAAGAATCCGAGAAACATGAACGCCGTGCTCGCGGTCCACTCCCGACAAAAATCTGCCTCACAGTCACCGTCTCCACGTAGGACAGCCGAGTTCTTGGAACATTGTCAGGCAAGTCCCACATTCTGCTACCCGTAGAGTTACTTACGATGCCTCCAGCCAGGTAGAAGATCGTCGCGAGCGCATCAAATACCAGTGCGACGAACCAAGGAATGGATGTTATAAACGCGGCGACGAGTCCCACAATCGCTCCAAGCGTCCCGAACGCCCCCGAGAAGGCGGCATAGGCGCTGGATTCGGGCAGACGACCCAGGATTCGATCGCAGTACCTGGATCTGTACTCGTCGCATGCGCCGTTGATCTCGGCGGCGAGGTGGGCGGATACTCCCAGGACGATGATGGCGAAGATGAGCTGGGGGGTGTTAGCGATTGTGTGACCTGCTGGGATTGTAGATCGTTGCGTACCTGGAACGCTCGAGTAACGTAGAGGCCTAGTTTGCTGCCTTCCATTGTGTAGTGTTGCGCAGATAACTTGAAGACGAGGAATGCTTCGAGTGTAACTTACCACAACTACTTACCACAAACCGGGCGCGAAGATGCACAAGATTTATAGAAATCCACAGACAGAGGACTGCGGTACGACGTCAAGGGTGATCAGTCACACAGCCTCATCGTGAGGCGCCTCAGGCGCCAATGCAGCCGCAGCAAGACTTCACTGCGGCTGGTCTGAATCTTCCATTCGCTACAATCTGGTCTTGGCCCGAGGAGGCGCTTGAGACGTGTACCCATGATGTATTTCGTCGTCGATTTTGGCTTCACCGGTCACTCGTGAGGGCCGTATTGGCGAATCCTTCGAGATGTGGTCGTCTTGGCGGTTTGAGCTGAGATGTCGCTGACCCAATTCTCTAAATAGAGGCTTCGGGCTTGTCGCGAAGTGCGTCAGAAAGGCTGGAGCGTTCTCGATATCGCGCATCTCGTCGAGTATGTTTCCAAGTCTCATCGTTCCGAGACAAGACTGTTCATGGGTAGAATGCTCCAAGGTGTAGCAACGTCCAACTCCACGTCCTCTTGTAGCCGCGCCGCTCCAATGCATCAGCCTTCACGGACTCAACCTCTCAATCCTCCACTCCCCTCCCTCATCCCGCGTATAGCGGAATCGATCGTGTAGCCTCGACGGACGACCTTGCCAGAACTCGACCATCTCCGGCTTCACTCTCAAGCCACCCCAAAACTCAGGCACGGGAATCTTCTCCTGGCCCGAAAACTTGTCCTCGACGTCCTTGACCCTCTGCTCAAGCTCTGCGCGGTCTTTGAGGACCTGCGACTGCGGGCTCGCCCACGCTCCAGTACGGCTCCCCCGAATGCGAGTGTCGTAGTAGACCTGACTCTCCTCGCCGGCGAGGCGTTCACAAGGACCCTCGACTCGAACTTGCCGCTCCAATTCGTGCCACCAGAACGTCAACGCCGCGTGTGGGTTGAATGCCACATCAGACGCCTTGCGCGATGTGCCCCAATTGCTGTATATGACGAAGCCGCGATCGTCCATTTCTTTAAGGTAGACCATGCGTGCGCTCACTCTCCCAGACGGCAGCTCGGCGGTGGATAAGGTGACGGTCTCCGGTTGATGGACGTTTTCTTGGTTGGCATGTTTGAACCAGATATCAAACTGCGTGAAGGGATTCGGATCCAGTTGAGACTCGTCCAGGGATCCTTTGGTGTATTGTTCTGCTTGGAGAGAGTCTTTGGTGCCTCCGGGGGCGAAGATCTTGTGCGTTGCCATGGTGTTGGTTGTTTCTGGATATTGACGATGGTCGAAAGAAGAAGAACGGCCGGGCGAACGATTATGTTATATCGATCCTGATTGGCGGGCTGGGAGACTCGGGGTGCAGCTGGAATTGACTTCGACTTCTCCGTCATGCATTCTCCTCCTCCTCCGATACACTGTCGCATGCTCAATTTTTGAACAATTCCACCACGACGCCGCCTGGACATTGAACGGGCCTCCATCAAACCACCGCCGACATGCATCTGACGTGGAACGAGGCGCTGTCCGGCGTCTTCGGCTCGGTGTCGCTGGCGGCGTGGATCTTCCTACTGGTGCCGCAGTTGATCGAAAACTACACGCAGGGCCACGCCGACGGCATCAGCCTGACCTTCCTCTTCATCTGGTTCGTCGGCGACATCACCAACCTCGCCGGCGCGCTGTGGGCCGGCCTGGTGCCGACCGTCATTGCCCTGGCCGTCTACTTCTGCTTCGCCGACCTGGTCCTGATCGCCCAATGCCTGTACTACCTCGCCCTGAAGAAGCGCCAGGTCCAGCAGCGGGAGCACGAGACGGCCGACCATGCCAATGGAGCTCCGGCCGAGAGCGAAATCACGCCGCTCCTGCTCAACGGCGACCCGAATAAGAACACCCCCGCACAGCCGAAGCGACGGCTCACCGATGTGACGGGGGAGAATCTGGGTCTGCCGGGCAGTCGCCGGACCAGCAGCGTGACCCAGCGACGGCGCGATACGAACGAGCACCACCGCGACAGCCTGACGCGCGTGCTGGAAGAGCCGACCAAGACCCGCGCGACGATCAAGAACACCGTCTCCATCCTGGGCGTCATGGCCGTGGGCGCGGCGGGCTGGGCAATAGCGTGGAAGGCGGGAGCATGGCGGCCAACACCCGTCGGCGACGAGGGGGTGGGGGAGTCGCCGATTGGGGCTGAGATTTTGGGATACATCAGTGCCGTCTGCTATCTAGGCGCTCGGATCCCGCAGATTGTCAAGAACCAGCGTGAGAGGTCGTGCGAGGGGCTCAGTCTGCTGTTCTTCCTGCTGAGTCTGCTGGGCAACTTAACCTACGGCGCGGGGGTGAGTTATACGGAAAGTCGTGGGCTGGGCGTGAGCTAACATGAATGCAGATTCTCTTCCACTCGATCGAGAAGCAGTACGTCCTTACGAACCTTCCCTGGCTGATCGGATCGCTGGGGACGATGGTGGAAGACGTGACCATCTTCATCCAGTTCCACATCTTTGGCGACAAGCAAAAGGCGGCAGCAATTGTATAGAGACATATCGACTACAGCAGAACACCGTGTGAGATACAGACGTCTTGGTCCAGTCAGGGAACATACATCAGAAGTCTCTCAGAACGAGGGTTGGTTACCGCGATACAGAAAGGTCAAGCATGGCTTCGACCAGTCCCGAACAACGCCGCCGCTCGGCTGATTTTTCCGGGATGCCATTGCGATAGAAACGACTCCTTCGTGCACCCTTTCGGCAGCGGCGACTGTTTGCGCTGCCCCAGGCGATGTAGCCACGCTCGGCTCATCAACTCTGTCATGCTGCAGTCGGACCTCCGGATGAGCCACCGCACCTCCTCTGGCGAGGCTTCTCCTCTCTTGAAAATGCGGCCTCGTTCCACTGCTTGGACTTCTGATTCAGGGCTCTGACAGCCTGCGAGGAAATGCTGGCATGGGGAAGGTGCACCGGGACATCCTTCGTGGCGGAAACCAGGGGTGAGATAGTTCGTCGTACGCCAGTCAGACGTATGAGGCGAGCTGGTCGTTGGATGTGTACCCTCTCGAGGCTCAGTAGGCTCCTCGCGATTCGCCCTTGCGGTCGTCGCTGGTCGAGAGGACGATGCTTGGGGTTCTGCCGCCGGCTGAAAATCACGCCCAATGACAACACCAGCCACTTCCCGTTTCCGTTTCTTCAGCTTGCCTGGTCTTGGTGTCTCTTGCTCTGCCGGAGATCGATACTTAAGGGGAAGTTGTTCTGATACGGCACACTCTGAGACATCGCTGTCCGACTTGTCATCTTCAATGTGTTTGGATGTCCTCATCCCGCTTGTCCTGGCTCTCTGAGACTTGGACCGAGGGCGAGGTGGGTCTGGCAAGGCACCGACAGTATCTGTCTCGTCCAATACTTGGTCACATGGCGTCGCTTTCCTGGGGCTCCAAGGCCCATCGACGGCGTATGCTATGAGTCTGTCAGCCACCTGTGAGCCATTTCGCAGAAGTCGCCGGCCTCACTTTTCACATGATAATTGCACTTCTTTCCCACTCCTCCGTACACGCAATTCCCACAAGCCGACATGTTAAGTCCCGGCAGCACGACGCATCTATCGAATGGTCCATTGCCTCTGCTGCAGTATGCGCACTCTCGAAGCTGTGCAGCCCCAACCAGCTGCAGCATCGCGCCATGCCTGCACTTCCTCTCAAGGGCGTTGAAGAAACTCCCCTTCTCCACAAACCGATCACGGAATACAATCTCGTTCTTCGTCGGCTTCTCCACCAGCTCCTGTAGCGACCCAAAATCACATTGCCGAAGAAGTTTGCGGATACCATGGGTGTACGCCTTTCCGATCTTGGGCTGGAATCTCATCTTTTTGACCTTGGCTTGCCGCAATCCAGACGCCTCAGGCCTGGAAGGGCTGGACTGTGCCGTACTTGAATCTGCAGATGACTCTTCCTGGACGGCCACCCGTTTCCTGCGCTTCCTGGGGCTTGGCGTGCCGTCTTCGTCCTTGCGATCGCTTGGTTCTGGCTCATGTCCCAAATGCTGAAGCTCCTCGCGGCTGAGCCATGACGGTTTCCAGTCGACGAGGCGAAGTTCGTCAGGTTGTTTCTGGAGTTGGGTGTGCGACAGAACTTCACACTCTTTGCCATCGCAACGTACGATAGCACTTCCGGATTTGTTGCGGGTAATCAGACAGCGTGGTACTTCCGTCTTCGACCAGTGCACCTCGAACAATTCGATGCCATCTGTGACTCGGCGTCGGCCGATGCGGTCGATACTGAACTTTCGACCGCGCAGTTCCAGCGGTTCGTCGGTGGTGAACATGTTCGTGAAGCCATCTAGGCACTTCAATGCCTCGTCAATGAGCTCGTCGACGGGCGTAGAATGCCGTGAAGTCATCGAAATCTTCTTTGGGCGTTGGGTTACAAGCCACTTCAGATACGAGAGGCGGAGGCCAGTGTCAAGGTGCAATCACACTAGAGATTCGGTCACATTGAAGCACGGGATGAACATCAGCGCTCGAGACTGCATCACTGCATCTCGCCATTGACTCCCTACGACGAGGGGCATCATCGATCGTGGTGTCTGAGCGGGAGACTTTTCCAGGGCTGTCGCTTCCGATGCTCTGCCCCTTTCTCTTTGCCTTCCGTGCGAGCTCACTCCCACATCCCACGGACTCGACGAAATCGTACACCAACGCAGGATCCAGCTGGACGATCGATGAAGACTCGCATGCCCACACCCACGAAGCTTCATTGAGACATGGATAGCCGGACGTCGACCCAGCCGGACGTCGACCCTTGTCCGCCCCGCGAGCACAAATGAGCAGATCAGAAGTCAATTGAGCTACTTCGTGAGATGACCACGACAAGCAGCATGCGACTCATTATCGACCCTCGAGGCCTGGAGATGATGCCGTGCGTTCCCCCTCGCAGGGAGCTCACAGATCGACCGTCTCTTGAGCTGGCGTGCTGAACAACCTGCGCTCTCCAGATGAACACTTCTGCCATTGCTTCAACTTGCAAACGACAATCTCATCGTACTTACTCAAAACATGATCCGCACGAGTCTTCCACCCAACCTTGAAACGAGCAAATCCAAGCAGAAGCAGAAAGACGTTCCTCCAGATCATCACCGAGCACGCAAGCTCTCTGGCATGAGATGGGACGAGCCCCGAGAACGCCAGATCTTGCTGAACTTCAGCCGGAGCATTGGCAGAGATCCGTCTCCTACGCCGTCGGCCGGGAGTGGATCTGGTCGGCGTTCGAAGTGGACAGCCTATCATTTGAGCAAGCTCAACGATGGTCAGCCCGAAGCCCAAGACGAAGATGACCACACCGCGAACGACATGAAAAACGCCGCTAGCGATGCACCCAACTCAACCAGCCCACAAGATGGAGCCATGACTGTGACCGACGAAGGGGACCAAGAAATCGCAACGGCAGCCATCCTCTTCAATCGGCATAATCCAGCTCATCCGTATTGCCAAGTTGCGGTGCAGCAGCTGGTCGAACAGATCTTCTCCGACGACCATTTCGACGCGGCTGTGGCGATGCGCACGGCGAGGATGGCGGAGAAGCTGGTCGGGTTTGGACTGGACAAGAACAAGACGTATGTGGTCACCGCGGACCTGATGGAGTCCGCTCGTCACGCCAAAGCCAGTCGACAGGGTCGAACCCTGGTTGATGAGATGACGCTGCATGCCTTCCTCGAAGACGTCAAGGCTGGTGTACCCGATCCACTGATCGGCGACACTCTGCGCAAATGGCAGCGAGATCTGGAGATGCAGATGACGGGAGTCGAGACGGCTGAAGATCCGTCAGCACCACCGCCGCCGCAGCTTGCATCTCCCGTCTCCATCCAGTCGTCGAGAAGATCAACAAACGAGGCCTGTACTGCGGCCGACGTCCAGCAAGACGTCGCAGATGCGGTTGTCTTCGACGATGCAGAGGCAGACGCTGATGCCGAACCTGATTCTGAAGCTGACGAGGATGGCCTTTTCGTTTACGATTCGCACAACCGGAATGACGGAGAGTCGACCTTCGGCCAGGACAATGTGGCCGACCTCTTCACCATGTCGGGGGCTTTGCCTGATAGTCCATCCCCTGAGCCTTCGTTGAACGGACGTGCCATGCACGACCCTCCCTTGGTGGAACATCCCATGCCTAATCTCTCTCTGCCTGTCCGACAGAAGCTGCCCACAGTCATGGTGTCGCCGCCGACTCCCCAAGAAGTCCAGATGCAGGACGACGCTGAACACGAAGCAGGACGATTAGGGCCCAGATCTGCATCAACTCCTCGCAACGACATCGCTGCTATGCATGCCCACAGACAGCAACGACGCAGTGCTCAGTTCTCCGATCGATTCTCCAACCCATTGCAAGTCTTCATCTACCATGCTCATCAGGCTCTCGGGAAAAAGTGCACGCCCAAGAGGTCGAAGCCCCATATCACCGCTCGGGCGGAGGCAATCTGGTCACAGCTTGGTGATGTCGAACGACACGACTGGAATCGGTTGTGCTTGCAGCTCCAGTCTGAAGACAGTATGCCCCTTGACTCAGCCGTCGGCGTGGATCTGCTCGAGCGACAAGCGCTGTTGGACCAGTTGAAAGAGCTGACCGAGGACAATCACGTCGGCCAATCTCCACAGCTCAAGGCGAAAGTTGATCCTGAGCCACGTCAAGGTGCCAAGAGACCCCTGGAGCCGGACGAGCCTGTGCAAGTCTTCGACTACTCCCAGCCTATTCCCCGCGGTCCAGGACGAAAGCGTTCTGGGAGAAGCCGGGCTAGCATGAGCTCATCGAGGTCGTCGACGGCCAAAGGACGGCAGAAGTGGAAGAAACAGCGCCAGTTAGGGACGCCCAGCGGCGCCTCAGGACAGAAGCACCGACAAGGCACGCCAGCGTGCTCAAAGCCCATCACGCTCAGGTGCGACGACGAGAGCATCAATGCCAGTCGAATTGCCTTCATCATCGGCACACCGGACTCGCCGATCCAATTCATCGATGCGGTCGACTTCGTGCACCTCTGCAAGGCCAAATTCGGAGACGCTCTCGAGCCCGGTCGATGTGGCCAACTGTTCCCCCACGTATGGTCTGCTCAGTTCAAGGACCCTACCGCCGCCAAAGGCCTGCTCCACGACGGCGTCTCTCTCCTCCACAGAGGCGTCCACCTCACCGGCGAAGCCTTCCCTCAAGCGACCCGACTCCTGGAATGCTGCCTCTCCTCCACGGGAATCACCCCCGGCGAGGTCGCCTACGCCGTGGTCGCCGCTTTCCCTCGGGAGTCCTGCAGCTTGTTCCGTTTTCCAAACGATCGTTTCGTCCTCGTCTTCTCGACGCCGAGATTCATCTTCCGGTTGTACGTCCCCGTGTTGTCGAAGACTGGCAAGGTCAAGGCGCACGTTCGATTCCAACCCTTGGGTTCGGGGGATGTTTGTAGGGCGTGTGGGATCGTTCATGCGGATGTTTGTCCCGGTGGAGCGAGGGTGTTGTTGCCGAGGATCGTTCGTAGTTCGTAGCTCATGGCGTTCAGATCGGATGGTGTATGACGTGGATATCAGAATGTCGAAATTGCAATCTTGTTCTCCTCGTGGATGTGAATGCTTAGTCTCGTCCCCACCGTGCATTGCAGTTGCAAAATTCTTGGCTGTGATAATTTTGCAACCGACGCCGTCAAATTGCGGCGAACGGCAGTCACATTTGAGACATCATATTTGAACAAAGATCAAACTGCGTACATTGGCCACAGGCGCGTGAAAACAGGCCATCCCGTCCGCTCTGGCATACTTAAGCACGTGACCGCCTGATTAACGTACTTCACTACCGAGCCGGTCACACGGGCGAGCCGGTCAAGATTTGAGCTGTTCAGTCCAGATGGGCAGGCTGGAATAGGTGCCTAAGGCATTAATGCCAAGAGTCACGTGACTGAGGGGAGCTTATCTCACCTCAGTTCTCCTGCTTCCTGTAACAAACTAACACAATTATAACTAGGTTGGTTCCTGCTATTGTTTATCAATTTAGTTACTTCCACTATGTTTGACACCTACACAAACCCTGTAGAGCAGTCTCAGCTTAGCACTATCTAGATTAAATAGAACAAGACTAGTTACTTTAAAGCTAGATACTGCTAAGCTGAGACTGCTCTACAGGGTTTGTGTAGGTGTTAAACACAGTAGAAGTAACCAAATTGATAAACAATAGCAGGAACTAACCTAGTTGTAATTGTGTTAGTTAGTTTTAGGAAGCAGGAGAACTAAGGAGAGGTAAGCTCCCCTCAGTTACATAACTCTTAGTATTAATGCCTCAGGCATCCGTCTCAGCCTGCCTATCTGGACTGTACTGTCTATTACTCCTACTTAGGCTAGCATGTACATCTTCCCTGTTCCTAACGAGGATACTTGTAATAGACTCGGATCCTACTTTCTATCTATCTAACTAGGTGTCAGAACCTATTCTACTACTATAGTATAGTAGTAATAGCTGTAGTGTAACTCCTAGGCCTAGTATTCTATATAATCTTGCCTTTACTAAAAGCTGAAAGTAAGATTACATAGCCCCTTTTTATCCCTAGGCTATTTGAAGTTGCTTTACAAACTCTTAGAATTAAGGCCTATTCTTTAGTTTTGTAAGACTATTAGTAACTATCTCTTTTGTTAGAACATATTCTACTGTAATCTTTCTTTACTACTAGGGTCTCCTTACAAAGTTATAGGCTATATTAATATACTTTAATCTATTATAGATATAGGTATCTTTAACAAGTGTTAAGGCTGCTTAATTGTCTCTATTTAAGATTACTAGCCTTAGGCTATTAACTGTGCTTCTGTCTACCTTAATAAGTAGTTAAAATAAGTATTCTCCTACTAGCTCTATACAGTCTACTTCTCTTAAGAGTATAGAGAGAAACTGGGCCTACTTTATATATATATTTATAGCTATATACTTAGCCTCTATTATTAATATTACTACAGACTTCTGCTTTCTACTTATCTAAGAAACTAGTACTCTACAGAGGAAGAATATATACCTAAAGATTAAAACTCTGTCCTGCTTGTCTATTATATAGTTAGAATCTAAGTATTCCTACAGTTTGTTATTCCCTCCCCTCCTAAATATGATTCCTAGATCTGGATAAGATCTGAGGTATCTTCTAAGCTTCTTTAATACTTTTATATATCCCTTTGAGGGATCTGAGATATATAAGCTTAATCTTCTAATACAGAATGTAATATCTAGTCTTGTTATTGTTACTAGCTATATCTAGGTTCTATTATAGCTCTAATACTCTAATTTGTTATATCTCTTATCCTAAGGACCTAAGGGTTTTAGGCTCTTATAACTGTTAATTAGAGAGTATGTTAGGTAAGCTGTCTCCTTGTTCATGTTTATCTTAGTAAGGCTCTCTTAGATATAATAACCTTAGTCTAGTTTTAAGATTCCCTAATACCTGTCCTTTGTAATCTTTATACCTAGGATCTTAAATACCTTTCTAAGTTCCTTCTTAAACTATAGAATATCTTTTAGCTTAGGTGCAGTAATTAGAATATTATCTACATAGGTAAGGATTATAATTCTCCCCTCCTTGTAAATAAGTAGGCATAGGTCTACTTCTAACTGTTAGAACCTAATCTGTTTTAACTTTAAGATATAGAGGCTGTTCTAGTCTCTTACTGCCTACTTCAGCCTATATAAGCTTCTAAGGATCTTAAAGACTATATTTAGTAGAACCTCTACTCCTAGGGGTAGGATTATAAAGATATCTTCTTGTAGGGTGCTCTCTGTAAATATATTATTTATATCTACTTAGTGCAGTTCTAAGTCTTACTTACAGACTATAGCTATAAACACTCTTAGTGTGTTATGCCTAACTGTGGGTGTAAATGTCTCTTAAAAGTCTACTCCAAATTTCTGAGAGAAACCTGTTATAACTAGTC